GTCTCGACGGTGCTCCTACCAGTCTGTTTCAGCATTGTCGACGACTATCATACTCAGTACTAGCCTCAGTAGCCTGTCAAGAACTAGAAAAGGTGTTGGAGTATGATACTAGTCCGAGGGGTCGTCTTAGTGGCTAGCCCTAATTCAGACTAATCCGGAACAAGGAAAGAAAAATGGAGACAGTCCAGAGCGACGGCGTCCACGTTAAAATCCAGATCCCCGAAAGCATTGATAGTAAAAAACATGGCCAGGAGAAAGTAGGGAGAAGAAGATCATTATGTCCGATCACATCAGCCAATTCCCCGGGCTTTTCCGGCCGTGCGTTGTGACAGGTTGATACCATAATACCATATACAATATCATGATTATAATACAGTACAAAAGGGATTTAGATGAATAAATCAGTAAATAAATGGAATATACAAGATAGGATAGAATAAAGAATCCCATCCCCTCGTAAAAGACAGTTCAAGTCAATATAAGACCCTTGACATAGAATACACACGACAAGATTCTAAACTAGTAGTCCAGTCAACCCAAGAGTTCAAAACCCAGGCAAGACCCCTAAAAGGATCTCCTCATTCGGTAGTGCATGTCAAACTGATGTCTCCACCCTATGAAAAGGTCGCCGCCCCATCCCTGTCAACAGCACTATTGCCAATGGATGCTGCGGCCGCGTCGATCCTCACCTTGCTTCTCAATATTATTATTGTATAATATTTATATAATATTGAATAATAATTTAAATAACAATCTAAGAACATTAGGGTATTTAGTTTTACAAGAGGAAAAGAAATTGAAAAGGAAGAAGAAAAGGAAAAAAGAACAAAGTCAGTGGGTTCTCTCCGTTTCGGGGTGTCACTGACACCGGCATCACTGCATGGCCAGATAAGCACATATAGAAAGGAACAATATCTATTTTTTTTTATACAAACATAATATACTGTACTATAAGTTGAATACATATATGAAAATAATAACGAATGAAGAATAAAGAGAATCAGTAATTGAAATAAAATGTAGAAAAAAGATCGACATGATCCAAGTCTATCGGCTGCTAGTCGTTCGTAGCACTGGCCACCGATATAAGCCTTGTCACAACCTGCAGGAGACTGGGATCGATTATATGGTTCATGAACATTATTATCATTATTCTTATTATTATTACAAAAATAATAAAAATAAGATAATAGGATATCATAGGCTGGCGGGGAAGAAAACAAGGCAAATCAGATCCGGTCAAATAAAAATGCAGGCCATCTCTCTCTCCCACTGGGTTCATCTCCATCTTCCTGATCTTCCTGCTCTATTTCCTGCTCTATCTTCCCCTGTCTTTCTCTTGATCTAGGAACCATTTATTCTTCTTTTTTTCTCTCCACTACTTCCGTCTCTATCGACATTATCGATTTATTGTTTCATTTCTCTCCGTTGGGAAACCCGCGTGTGATCCGGCCGGAACTTTACGCCTCACTTCCCACTATACTTCACCGTTCTTTCTCCCCTTCTCTTCCTTTTCTCCTCTCAGACAGTTCACTCGAATAGTCTGCATTGGACTGGCTGGAGATTCGTCATTCCAGTCAGCATATCATATATCCCCAAACTTGGCGGGAGAGAGGGTCAATAAAACAGACCATCGTGCATGGTCCTCGAAAAGTAAGGTCTTTTCTACTTGATGTGATTTTTCTCCACTATCTTCAGGGAGTTTCTCTTTTATTATTTCGATGATCTCTTGTTTTCCTATTTATTTTGATTATTTTATTTTTTGTTTTCCTCCGATATTTCCCAGTTCTGCATTGGATTCCGTGGGCCCCGTTGATCGCCCACCATGATGCAATAAATCATCCCCAGGAGGTCAACCATCCGACTTGGAAATTTGATCAAAGAAGGAAGAAAAAATAATAATAAAAAAGACACGATCTGGCTGAACCCTCTGCCGATCGACAGCTTCCTAACTTCTGACTCCTCCAATCGCAGATCCAGGACGGACGGATTATAAGCTCTTGTGGTCCTCGCATCCCCGATCAAAGCGTGGCGTGGGTGGTTTCAATGATGACTGGCGACTGAACAGCTCACCCCAAACACCGCAATCCCATCCAGGAAGCCCAACCCTGGTTCCCTCTCCGTATATGGTCACCTGGACGCCCAGCGATGCTCTTGTCGATTCCACGCCCGATTCCTGTCCGTGTCCCGTCGCTCTGAGCCCGCATCCCCGTCCGACTGAGGCGCTGTTCATGCTGCCCCGATGCAATCATTAGTCCTCCCCCCTTCCTCCTTCATCACTCCAGACTTCGGACACCCGAGATTTCTCCCAGGCCCGGAGCGGCTCTCTTTCAATCGGACCCGGTCAACCAATGCTCGTCGCTGCAGTCCCCGGGACCTCCCACTCCCCCGCCCCATGTCCGGCTCGGTCCAAGCAGAAGACCCGCTGGAAACCACCGGGGATGCCAGACGCCCTCCGGACCGTTGCCAACCTCCCGCCGATCCAGCGGCCCTCGCCTCCTCGGGACTGACCGGTTCCATTCTGACCGCGGCGGCTCCCGCCCCGTCCACGGCCCACGAGCATGCCTTGCAGCGAGTCATCGCGACCCCGGCGGACAATCTGCCCCGGCAGCCGTTCCATGCATTCGACCCGTTCGCCTCGCGAGCCCCCATCACCTTTTCGGGGCGCGGTCCGACGCACTCGTCGGCGTCAGCCTATCCACCCATTCCGTTTGGGGCCTCGTCGCCGGGTCCGTCCTCTCGGACGCTGCCGCAGAAACCCACCCGACGGACGAAAGCGCACGTCGCGTCCGCGTGTGTCAATTGTAAGAAGAAGCATCTCGGGTGCGATCCCGCCAGACCGTGTCGGAGATGTGTATTGTCGGGAAAAGAGGTAAGTCATTCGTCCCTTGCATCCTTAACGTGAGCAACGCCTGTCGATCGTCGGGCTAAAAGAGACATAGTCAACGTGCGTTGATGTTACGCACAAGAAGCGAGGGAGACCCCCCTTGAAAGCAGAAGAGACGTCTCTCCGGACGTACGCGCCCCAAATGGAGAACGCCCCCGCCGGACACCACGGTCCACAGACCCGACGAGCCCACATGCACCGGGCGACGTCCTCACGCGAGATCCGACCCATGACAGATCTGCAGATCCCAGGTGGTCCGATGGGCTCGATGGGACCGCGGGCTGCGGCACCTCCCCCTCACCGCTGGGCGCCCGGAATGTACCCCCACGTCGTGGACCCGGCACTTACGATGCAGCGAAATATAGGGCATCGACGATTTTCGTCCTCGGGCTCCGCGCATTCCTTCACCGCGGTGTCACCACCGGCTTTTGTCCCCATGGCAGGCGGCGGTTACAGCCCAGCCCTAGCCCAGGGACGCATGCCCGCCGCGGTGGGACGACCGCTGTCGTCGTACGGCGCCCCAGGCCTGCAGCCATCCACCTCGCCCCCACAGTACCCGCAGCCCTACAGCGTGCCGATGTCCCCATACGCCGAGCCGTCTCGCATGACAAACCGACTGTCAATGGGCGAGCCTCCCATGCAGCGGGACCCGCGCGAGTCCTACCTCGAATCCCCCGTCCGACTGCCCCCGATCTACCCACCGACCATGGCCCAGCCCAGCCCAGGAAGCCAGGGCCATGGCCACCGCCTGAGCGATCCCTACCAGCCCGTATGGTCATCCCCTCACAGTCGCGAGGAGCTCTACCACCATCACCATCATCACCACCACTACCCACCCCATCCCCACCACCAAGAGCTAGAGCAACGACAGGCGCCACCTCCACCGCCCCCAGGGATCATGGACCCGATCTCACCACAGAGCCAGATGCGTCAGGCGGCTGCGGACCTGGGGTACGCGGAGTCTATGCCACGACCAATGGAGCCGATGCCATCGACGACACCCCGGCATTCGGTGGACTTGTCGAGCGGGCGGGCACGGGACGAACCGCCGAGCGGAGACGTGGACCGGCCCGCCAAACGGCGCAAGATGGCTTTAAACGACATGGTGAATGATTAGCCTGCATTATTCTTACCTCAACTGAGACTCGCATGAGGTCCACCACTTGATACCAATCCTCCATCCGCCTCAATCAAAACAAAACCCAGAACTAGCCCAAGATGCAAACGCTCTCAACGCATGTAGCAGGATCTACAGCACCACAACACCAACCAGCAGAATACAAGAAATACCACGGTTAACGATGCCCCTACCTACTAATGTGTACTTTTATTACACTATCCTCTCTTTGTTATCTGAGCGACTACCTTCGAGTACTACTACTACACGCATATACACAGCTATGTACGGATTAGCATTGGCAGCGACCTTACCACTACCACAACAGCACTACTCATATACTGCACTATCTATCTATAAAGAATTTCCTTTGTTAATTTTCTACAGTCCTTTGATTTCCTTCCTTCCTGTTTTTGGGTCTTCCAGTCTCATGGTTTCTTTCCGTGTTTGGGTTTCTTCTGTTAGGTGTTGAGCTAGATACCTCTGCTTTTCTTTCTTTTTCTTTATATCTGCATGGAAATTTTCCTTTGTTTTTCCTTTTTTTTTTATCCCCCTTCCATGTTTTTTTTATTGTTTGATTGTTGGTTGCAAGATTCAGCGTGACTATATTGCATCATTTATCTACATTGCATCTATCTACACTGCACCTACTATACTGCACTATCTACACCCCTACATCGCATATATTATATACTTGCATCACAGCCTATTCATCAAGTTAGCCTTTGTCATCAGAGTTCTTATCACTTGCTTACACACTACTACACGCCTCTATCTGCATTGAATATCTCATCTCGCAACTCACGCACCCGTTCACTCAGTCAGCCCTAAAGCAAACCAAAGCAAGATCATCTCACTAGAAAGAACCACAATACAAACAACAACACCAAAAGAACAGTCAATCAGTCAGTCACCACCACCTACCTGTCTCATTATCTACCTACCCACCTGCCTACCTACCCACCCATCTATCCATACATTGGATATACTCCATACCTACCTCGCATTCGTCGACTCTTGCACCGGTGTTAGGAGTTAATTTTGGGTTTTCAACGGGTCCACCGATTGATTGATTTGTTGGTTGGTTGGTTGGCTGGGCAGCTGGGCAGCTTCTATACCCACTTACTTTATGTTTTCTTGCTTGCCCCTTTTACTAACTGATTGGTCTGGGACTGGGGTTGGAGTGGACCGGGGTCTTGAAATAGTTTGGGTTGGTGTCTGTTTCTTTCCATTTCCCTTTTCTTTTGAATTGCATTTCTTTTTTCTTTTATAGTTAGTTGTTTTCAAAACAGACCGATTTATAGAGGGTGTTAGTAGTATAATCGGGGAAAATATCATATCATATATTACGTACTATGTTACATCTACATTTTTACATCATAGAACAACAACTGTACAATTGACTATCATAGTTACTCATGGCACTGTACTCAGCACACCTAAGAAATAAAACAAAAAACAAAGAAGTTAAAAGAACAACCACATTCCAACCCGTCTCGCCCACCCCCAAGCCCCCTCTCCCTCTCCTTCTCCCCACCATCCACACCCTCCCCATCACCACTCCCACTCCCACCAACAGCGTCACTCCCCACCCACCTATCCGTAACAAAATCCATCTCATGCACCCCCACAAACCGCGACCTCTTCACGACCTTCCAAACGAGAAACATAACCACCATAATCGCAATCTCGACATAATAAGACACAAAGTCGATAGCTTGAAAAGTCGGACTGAAGCACGACCACCCCTGCACGAGGATCAACAAGCAGTTGAGCCCCACGGCGAGGATCGGCCCGACGGGGTATGTCCAGTTTTTGTAGGGGAGGAGGTGCTCGAGGTTTTGGTGGCGGAGGCCCGCGCGGAAGCGGAGGGAGGCGATGCCGATGCAGGTCCAGGAGAGTTGGTTGGAGACGCCGACGATGCTTTATTATTGTAAGTATTGAGTTTTTTTTTTTTTTGATGGAAGTGAGGAGGAAAGGAAGGGAATACTTTTGCAGCCATGTCCATAGTTGACCCGCTCCAATATAACTAGCTCCAAAGCAGAGTCCACTGATGACAGAGGTTGCTAGAACAGCCACCCACGGGACCTGAAATCTATTCAGCTGAGAGAAAAAGGGCGGCGCGTATCCATCCGTGGCAAGCGTGAAGAGCAGCCGCGAGCCGGCGAACAGGGCGTGGTTAGCGGCGGAGATGACGCTCGTCATGAGGACAGCGTTGATGAAGCTGCCGGCAACGGCGCTGCCGGCTTGGACAAAGACGATGGTGAAGGGGCTGGTGGCGGTCTCGCCGGACGATAGGTCCGGGTAGGTGTAGGGGACGTTCAGGCTGATGATGATGATCGAGATGATGTAGAAGAGGATGATGCGCCAGAAGACATTGCGTATGACTTTGGGTATGTTCTTCGCTGGGTCTTTGGTTTCCCCGGCTGTGACGGCGATGGATTCGGTGCCGCCGCTGTGGTTGTCAGTTAGGTTGTGTTCATCCTTGGGATTGAATTGGAAGGACGTACTAGGCGAAGGAGGCCGTGACAAAGACGGATGCAAATCCACCGATCCCACCAACGAATGGCGCGTCCCCGGTATAGAAGTAATCGTCTCCCAGATACCGGTGTTCTGTGTTTCCGCCGCAGTTGACCGCAATCCCAACGATGATGAAAATCTGACCGTATTAGTATACTGCATAAGTTGAGGACAGTCAGACATACGACGATGGTCACCACTTTGAGAAGGGAGAGCCAGTATTCAATCTGCGATCATTTTAGATGGCTCTACTTGCGCGAGACGGTAGACGCATACCTCGCCGTACACCCTGACGGACATGACGTTCAACGCGATGACCACCACCAAAAATATCAGACTAATCGCCCATCCGGGAAAGTTATCTGTCCAGTACTGGAGCAACAGCTGCAGGGCGATGACATCCGCGGCGGTGGAAACGGCATCATTGAACCAGTAGTTCCAAGTCAGCGCGAACCCCAGCGCATCATCGACAAAGCGTCTAAACGAAATCAGTCTAGCTCAAACTACGTATCAAAGGCACAACCAACCCCGCAAAAGTACAAAAGGATCCCGCGATGGGGATGAACGCCGTCATCTCTCCCAGCGACAGCATCGTCACGTAGACGATACCTCCGCAGATGGCGTACGCGATAAGCATGGAGGCCGGTCCACCCGTAGCCAGCGCTTTGCCCGTCCCCAGGAACAAACCGGTGCCGATGGTCCCGCCAATCGCGATCATCTGGACCTGGCGCGCGGAGAGCTTACGGGCCAGTCGGTCCGCATTCACGTAGGAGGCCTCACCATCAAGGGGTAGAGGCCCTACTGCGGGATCTAGCATTTTGGGGTCGCCATACCCCAGTGGAGTGGCTGTGGACTGTTTTTCGACATCGCTGGCACCCATATTGACTGTGTTCACGTACTGGAACGCGACGTGAGTCAACAGATCGCGTAAGATTGTGATTTGGCGTAGCGTCAGCTCAGCGTCCAGGGTGTTGTCGCATACGAGTCGATGATTGGACGATACCAACAGGCGCTCGAGGCCGTCGGCCAGATGCTGCAGAACCCAGTACCCGGAGTAGTCGAACCTTCGGAAAAGCGATGGTAGGGCTGAGCGGACAAGACCCACAGCGGAATGGTTTTCGGGATAGATGGATGAAGGAAGGAAGGGGTATAGGGACTGATATACAGGGAAGGCTGGGCAAGATTGTGCGATCGCAGGGATCTGGAGGCAAAGACGCCTCTGTTACATTGCCAGGACGTTAGCGGATGGCGTGCTTGCTGAAGGAGGACATAGTGGTGTATTTTAACCACAGGGTGCAGGAGAGATCGGGTAACGCCGAGTAATTTAATTACCCATGTTACTGCAAAGTTAAAATAGATCCACAATCAGCATGGACCTTTATATCCCTTATATGCTCTGGCTGGGCGATGTTATTGAGTTATATGCCCATTTCCCCAGGCTGTGCACTCTGTGTGCAAACGGAGATGCCGAGGTTGATCAAGGTGTATACCACAGAGTATAGAATGGATTTCATCGCGATACAATCCCAATGGCAACTCATTGAAGACTGATCGGCATGTGCATAATCATAATATGCAACCACATCAGTCTACGCAGACCAAGCAGTCAGTTGATCACTCGTCAGCGTGGCAGCGATTTGGAAATGAGACCGGGCATGAAACATGGCTGGGATACCCACTCAAAGGTGCCAAGCTTTGCGCCAAGCAACTGACAGTGGACGAAGATGCATGATTGAAGGTGATCTATGGTATCCAGTATTCAGTATTCAGTCAGAAACATCTTGGATAGACAAAACGAGGTCTATACAGAGGAGTGTCTGTCTACAGTCTATACAGAAGAAACCGGATCAGAAGGCGGTCAGGCCGGGCCGAAGTGACAGACTGCGGGGCGCGGGGTGACCAGAACATTCTCTCTCTCTCTCTCTCTCTCCCCTCAACTCCTTTGACAACTTCATCTCATGTTATCGACACCTCCTTCTAGCTAATCTCCCATCTGTCCATTGCTCCTCTATCGTGGCTCTCATAATGCCCGACTCATTTCTCCCCAATGGCACCGCCAATATAAATGCCAACTCAGGCTCTCACCCGCCCGATTCCACGTCAACATCAACCTCGGCGCAAACATCCCCATCACACCAACAACAACAACAACAACAACACCACCACCAACAAAGTCCGCAACAACAACAAGAAGAACAAGACACAAAACACCCCACAACATCCACCCTCCGCCTCTCTCTCCCTACCATAATCGCCCACTGCCACCACCAAGTGCACTCCTTCCTCTCCGAATCCCACCCCCCAACTCCCTCCTCGCTACAACCCAACACCAAACCCGCACCTCCCTCTCCATCATAAAAGACGCCCTCACCCGCTACCAACTGCCCGAACTCTCCCTCTCCTACAACGGCGGCAAAGACTGCCTCGTGCTCCTCATCCTCTTCCTCGCCAGCCTCCACCCGCACCCGCCCGCCTCCGCCGGCGGGCTGGCCTCCATCCCAGCAATCTACGCCCTCCCTCCGGACCCCTTCCCGGACGTCGAAGACTTCGTCCGCTGGTCCTCAGAAGCATACCACCTCTCCATCGATAAATTCACGACCGACCCGCCGACCTCGACCCTCCGCGACGCCTTCGATCACTACCTCGCGCTCAACCCCACTATTCGCGCGATCTTCGTCGGGACTCGCCGCACGGATCCCCACGGCGCGAGACTCACGCATTTTGATCCGACCGATAGTGGATGGCCGGATTTTGTGCGCATTCATCCTGTGATTGATTGGCATTATGCCCAGATTTGGACCTTCATTCGCCATCTTGATTTGAGATATTGTCCCCTCTATGATCAGGGATATACCAGTCTCGGGGGTACTACCGATACCTTGCCCAATCCGAAGCTGCGCACTGATGGCTCTGACGGAGAGGACGAGTACCGTCCGGCCTATGAGTTGACCGAGGACCTGGAGGAGCGACTGGGCCGGAATTGATCGCCTCATGGCCCCGTATATACTCGCATGGCCCGGATTCCCCCTTTTTTTTTCTGTCTTTTTCTTTCCACGGAATCCCCGTCCGACATACTATGATAGATTCTGTATACACTTCCACATCACCAGTCACCATCCCCTTCATCTTACTACAGCTTGGTACAACTTGACTGCAACTTTTGCTTGATTATAATACCTAGACGATGCAGCCACTTTGGCGAGGCCGGGTACCATACACCGTTAGACAGATACAGGAAATATCATTCTCTTTCATCCACCCCCGTGCAATTTCCCTCCCTTCCTCGTCGGATCCCGGTGAGCGCCATCTCGACCGTTCCGTAACACATGCGGTTCCTAAATGCGATCATTCTGCGGTGATAGAAAGCAACGTCAAAAATTCCAGAGGAGATAACACTTACGGCAGATAAGACATTTCCGCGGAGCTGACAGTCAAACACATCAACGCAACAAGACAAGCAGATGCACAGCAAAGATGAAGTTTCAAGACAACCACGTAAGACAACAATTTCATAAGCAGCATACAAGTAGTCAGAAACAAAAAGCGGATACTCAAGGTAAACTCATGGTGAGCCGGGTACTTGGCCGTCGCACAGCCCCTCTCATGGCGACTTACATGACCGAGCGAGGAGAATGCACGGCGACTTCTTTGCGTGAAGAAATCGGTGAGAGAGATCCCGATTTCATGTTTTCCTTGCGGGGACTAGATGCCCGTGAGCGGGATTCCGCACATGGCGTGCTGGGGATCGCCGTCATGGATGATCCGCCAGAGGCACTGTTGGCCATCCAGGTGCTGCGACTGGCTGAGGGCAGACGTCCGCGTTGCAAAGGGGTGCTCGTCAGACCTGCAGGGCTGTTCTTGGCAGACCATGAGTTGTATCGTACATCCCCGGCGGCCTGGTTCCTCACCAGGGGATACCTGCTTCTCCAATCAGTACCGCCTGCCATTCCAGGTCATTTGCTTGTACTTACGAAGGGGAAATCGACGTTGCAGGTGTCCAGGGGGGACCCACGCCCACTGGAGATGGATAGCTGACCTGGGAATTAGGGCTGAGATGCGACGCAGTCTGTTGAAGACGGTGAAGAGAAGGCGATGGAGTGGACCCTTGGACCACTTCAACCGAGTAATTGTACTCCCCGGCCCGATATGCGCGACGCTCATTGCTTTGCTGCTTGAGCAACTTCTGGGCCTTGGTATCTGCGAAACGCAGAAGAAGCTTCACTCCGTCTTTTCCGACGACGTTGTGGTACTCGTTCAGAACATTTTCCGCAATATCGCGGGATTCGAACCTGTAAATGAAAACCGCCGAGTCAGAGATGTGTGTAAGCGGTGGGACTTCACACCTAGTTACTCACCGAGCAAAGCCCACCTCCTTGCTGACCCCAGTCTTTTCGTCACGGCTGATCTTCTCGGAGACAACACGGAACGGTTCGAAATGACGGCGAAGATCCTATCCAACAGACGGTATTAGTGAGTCTCCTCTGTTGTGGTCAGAGGTGAACTCACAGCTTCAGTCCAGTCGATTGGCAGATTGGTGCAATAGATATTGGTCGAAGCCTTGTCCTCAAGATCCTTGAGCCGCGAGTTGCGAGACTTCTGTATTTTATCAGCATCATCACCGATTTAGGTGTCTGTAATATCATTACAGACCTGGGCAAAGCTAGCTTGATATCCAAGATAGAAGAAGCCTCTGATGCAATTCTCACAGGACTCAAAGTTGAAGTATTGAACAAAGCCAAATCTGAAGGTTATGTTAGCAGAAATCCTCGATCAAAGGAAAGAGACATTACCCTTTACACAGACCAGTGTCCAGATCCACAATGGCTTTGCATCGATCAATCTTGCCAAAGCGAGATGCGTAGGCGTGCAACATCTCATCCGTGGTCTCCGGAAGAAACCCCCTGATGTAGACATTGGTAATTCCCTCACGATTCTCAAGGCATTTTGCAAGAGTCAACTCGGACGGATTGGTCCACATGGCAGGCACAGCCCGGGGAATGGGCGGATCCTGCTGGGTCAGGCTTTCGAGGTCCTGGAGTATGTATCCAGTGGGAGTCTTCATCATCTGGAGGGGCAGACAGGGGGGCCCAATCTGAGGGATGCCGTTGTAACTGAAGCCCGATAGAGTGGAGCCGTCGATGTTGGAAGGGGTAGAACCTGTATAGTACTCGCTCTGGTTGCTCATATCCGAGGCGGACAAACCGTGGCCCTTTTGCTCCTCGCTGGAGACCCAAGGACCCCGTTTCTGACCACCCATATCCTGTATATCACAGTTCATCAAGTAAGGAAAGGAATACCCCGGCATGGTTGCAGGAACCATGGGGCTCATATTCGGATAAATGCTGGCAGGCATATACGGAAACTGGCCGACCTGGTCATGCCCGGGGATCGAACCCGGGGTAAAAGGAGTCACAGGCGGCAATCCGTTGATCATGGAGCCATTTGGCAAGAAGAAAAGAGGGCTACTGTACGACGTACGCTGGGCACCAGCAAGGTCCAAAGCGGGCGGTACCGCCACAGGCATGTTATTCTTGACATTGTTGTACTTGGACCCCGAACGCTGGCTTTGGAGGTTCAAAGCGTTGAAGATTGGTGCCAGGGAAGTTCCATTTCCGTCACGATTGTTACCAGCTGAGGCCTGCTGGTATCCGGAAGTATAGGGGCCACGGGCGTCGGGGGCACAGTGGCTAGTCTGACCGGTCGGGCCCTGACTGGGCTCCGAGCCAGAATGCTGCTGGCTGTGCATGGTCATCGTGCTGGACATAGTCACTGGGAGAGTTAGCCACAGAGTTCTATACCAAGAAGACAATAGGAAGAGGGTCTGAAGGAAAAGGAAAAGAGATAGGAGAGACATCTCTGTCTGCGTACACCGTCGATATAGACAGCTCGATTGAAAGAAGCTCAACGTAGACAATGCCAGACGTACCTTGACAACTGGGACCAAAACCAATCACTATCAGATCGAGTCAGTCAGATTCCATAAAGAACGTCTACAGACCTTGACAACAACAACCAGACGAGAAGACTAAGACCAAGCCAAACTCACACTATTTCAAGATGAAAACACCGTAAAGTAAACAGAGTGGCACTGAAAGCTCTGACAGACCAGATATAAAGGCGAACAAAGGTAAACAGACGGGGAATACTGAGAAGGAATAGGGTAAAAGGTCAACAGGGTAGAAGGATGAGAGGGTTGAAGAGAGTAAAAGAGGGGAGAGAGAGGAGAAAAGAGAGAGGAAGGGTGGGAGACAGAAGAAGAGGGGAGGTCTGGTCGAAGAAGAGAAAAGGAGGAAGGAAGTCCATGGAAGAGAATGACTGATTTGGTGCAGTTGAGGAAGGAGCCATGAGGAGGGGATAGGAAATGAACTCAAATGGAAGGAGGTCGCCTACCACGGCTAGGGTGATACCATAGGTGATCTATACTCGAGCGGTTGCTCTCTAGTGGTGCTGTGCTGTCAGGTAAGGGTATGATGGAAGGGGTTGATTGAGAGTGAGAACAACGCAGTATCAAAAGTTGAAGTTTGAGTCCAGACCGTGGACCCTGTGATGCTGCATACATAATAATCATTGAAGATTGTGATATTGAATAGCGAGAGACCGTGACTTATGCAACACAGCGCCATTGATAAGCCGCACCTAATGTACATCCATAGTAGGCTACCTACTTGGGTATCTGTTCTCCATCAAGCTCAATCAAGGCTCTACCACTTTGGAGTATGAAAAAGGACAAAAACTCATTTCAGGATATAACCAATCAGACCGAAACCAAGAGACTACCAATGATCCCGTGTAGTGATAGGGTAAAGCACGCCGACATGCACGCTAGTAATGAAGAAAATAGAGACAAAGAGACTAGGTCTTTAAATGGTCAACTCTCATTCTGACTTATCCTGGAGCCACTTATACACCACAGAGAAATCCTTCCCACGGTGCGCCTCCTCCACCGTCCGATAGACGTCCCGGGCCTGGTCACCGAGGGCGAGAGGGGTACCAGACTCCTCTGCAGCGGTCAGTGCCAGTCGTAGGTCCTTATTCATGAGACTGATCCCAAATCCACCCTCGTACCCCCGCGAGGCCGGTGCCGTCTCGACAACGCCCGGGACGGGGTTGTTGACCTCCATCGGCCAGCAGCGTCCGGTAGAGGCGCTGACCAGTTGGGCCAACGCCTTGGGGTCGAGACCCCAGCGAATGCCCAAGTTCATGGCCTCTGCCGTGGCAATGTTGTTGATTGCCAGGATGTAGTTATTCGCCAGCTTCGCCGACACACCGGTCCCGGGGCCTCCCATGTGCCACGTGGTTTTACCCATGTGCTTCAGGACCGCCTGGACCCGCTCCACAAGCTCCTCGTTCTCCGGCGAGGCGCCGAACATAAACGACAGTGTACCAGCACGGGCACCTACGACTCCGCCGGACATCGGTGCGTCGACGAAGCGTCCTTGGCCTGTTGTATGGACGGCGTTGGCGACCTCCCTAGAAGAAGCTGGGTCGATGGTTGATGTGTCGATGAATAGCCGCTCGCGGTCCAGGGCGGGAAGCTCGCCGGGCTTAAGAATGGAATTGAAGACATGCTTGACATGCTGGGGCTCCGGCAAGCTCGTAATCATTACTGACTTCAAGACTTCGTCAGTATAACGTCGACCGAGAAGTTATAATGTGTGCGCCTTACCGACTGCTCTGCAACCTCCCGCGCATCCTGAGCAATCAAAACCTTCGCAGTGTCTTCTCCAGCGCCGTTGCTCTGGGCTTCTTTCCGAGCCTCCTCAACAAATCGAGCGGCGGTTTCCTCGTTCACATCACGAATAACCAGTGTATCAGCTGCGGGGATCTTCGCGCGGAGATTCTTGGCCATATGATAGCCTGGTTGAACAGCGGTTAGACTCTAGATTCTGGAGAAACAAAAGAAGAGCGCTGTGAGAATAAAACGGGAAGAACTAAAAGAATAGAAGAACCGGGGTACAGAAACATGAAGATATCCAAAACATATCTTTTTTCTCCCCAGTTACCTTCCCCACACAAGCACCAAGTGATCGTGGACTAAACCCCCAGCAAACAATCCAAAACAGAGTAAAGAAAGAGAAAGAGAAAACGTAAGAAGAAAGAACATACCCATCTGCCCCAACCCCACAAACCCCCAAGTATCATCACATCTCCTAGACGTCGCAAACCCCCTAGGCAAAAACGCAAGCTGCGAAACGCGGGGAACAGCCGGCGCAGACTTGGGAACTGTCGCTCTCCGCAAGGAGCGCGACAAAGCGGGCGAGAATCTCATTCTGCAGATAGATAGATAAATAAATGAATAACCAAGATAAAGTAATTGCTGAAAAGAAATAAATTGTGGTGTGAATATTATACAGTCAAAGACTGATCAGGTTGAAAAGTGAGGATGTAAAGTAGCTCAGACAACACCCCGGGTTTCGTTTCGTATAGGAAAGCGGACTTCCTCGCTCCCTTGATCCGACGCGGCGGGCAGAAGCCCGAGGTGAACGAACAACGGTTAACTATTACACGTTTGTCAACCTCCGTGGATTTCCGAGCCCTCCAGCCCAGAAACAGACGGTGAAGGCGGGGGTAAATCGTAAGTAACGGGGTCTCCCTTCCATTGTCCAACCGAGTTCCCCACTCGGTCTCCATGCGGGGGAAACTGCGGAGCGAGGCCAACCGAGATGGTCACGTGGTGCTTTATCTGGTAATCCGTTACATACGATGACGACAAGAAGAGTAAGTAGTTCTTAACCATAAACAAATGGGTATTGATTACTTGCTAATCGAGAAAATCTAAACACCATGGCCCTTCCATCCATCCCAATATCTCAAACACTAGATAAATGACAAGAGTAGATTGTGTGGCACGAACGCAGGAAAGAAGCAGAAGAAGCAGAAGAACGAGTCCAGCCAAGTCAAGCGGCGATCATTGTCCCGGGGAGGTCGGGTTACTCGTTGGCCCCTGGTTGAGATACTCCTGAGGAACCTTAGGCACTCGTGGTGAACTCCCAGCTTGCTGACCCATGACTGTCCGTTGCTGCGATCGGACGAGCTCACGCTGTCGCTCTTTCTCCCGGTTGTTGGCTGCGCCGCCGGTTAACCGTCTCATGCCGCTGCGGATCATAGACTCGAACGAGGAAGATCCATCGCCATTGCGCGGGTGGATGATCGAATGGGGGACCGGCAACCGGCTGTTGGCGAGCCGCCCGTCGGTGTCGTACAGCCCTTCTTCTGTTTCGTCGTCGGAAAAGAACGCCGACTCGTTGAACCCCATTGGGGGAGTGGCATATGGATGAGATGTGGCCGGGGCCCCAGCTGCCCCTGGGGTCTGAGAGAATAGATGGTTGACTGGTGAGGTGACGGAGCGGGTGTGGGATGAAGCGCGTAACGTTTGGTTGGACGCCTGAGGCGTCAGTTCGCCGGGAGACCGCACCCCCGGAGGCGCTGCATTATGAGTAGGTCCAGGGGCGCTGTCCGCACGGATGTTCGACGGGCGGGGATCAGCCAGACGAGACTCGGCCATACGCGATTCAGCCAGGCCGTTGTGGAAGGATGATGACGACGCAGTTCGCGCGAGCGACTTTCGCAGAATGGGCGCGGTCTGCTGGTCGTACAGGTTGGCGCTCGTGTCGGCATAGGCACCAGTGAAATTCCGGATGGTTGATTCGGGCAAAGCATGATCCAAATCGATCATATCCATATCCGTGTCTTCGAAGAAGTCATCCAAGCTGTCGAGCTTCTGGACAATATCGCCTATGTTACCATCGGCCTGTGTGTCGATAGACTTCATGGTGTCTGCCCGCATCGGGAAGGAGTCGTTGTAATCGTCCGCGTGGAACTCAACCTCTGGTGGAGCGGTCTCCTGCACTTCTACACGATCCACCTCGGCACAAGTGTAGAATACCGCATGAACGTTGTGGCGGGTGGTGCTTGATTGAGCCGCTGGCATGGGGATAGACCACCCAGTAGGTTCCGGTATGCCGTAGAGACTCTGGATGCGCTCGTACTCTTTCCGGATGGCTCGCGAGGAGGTCGAAGAAGCCATACTCATGCGAAGATGATGGCGCTCCATAGGATTTCCGGAGACAGTCATTATATTGTCCAAGACTTGCAGAGCCTGGGGGCAGAGGTTGGTTTGCAACAGCCGTAGGAGAGGAGAAATCAAGTCAGGACCATGACAGGTGACTTCTCCCCGTCGCATGTCGACCTCAGGTATCAGCACACAGAGGATTTTCATGATCTTGATGCGGAACCAGTCGGTTGTGTTCGTCAACAAGCCCATCAAGAAGATCAGACTGGAGACATCCTGTCGTGGAAAGTAATACGAACGGACTTCGGTGATAATGTGGCTCAAGAAATCATCCTCCGCTTTATACTGACCATTGGCAAACCCGAGAAGAGAGGCCGCAAGCCGTGGATACCCTTCGCCTTCTGCGACACGCGCCAGCAACGTAGCTCTGGCAAGAGTCTTGGGGTCATCAAAGGACGAATCGAAATGATGAAGGAAATGAGACAGGTTGCCCCAGATCGTGAAAAGCAGTCTATTCCCATCACCTATGAGCTCATTACTTGGCAGAGCGCTCAAGCGGTGCAGGATATCTAGCGTCCGGTTGAGGGACTCCGAAGACTTGAGTCCTTTGTAGACCAAAGCCTGAAGTCCGCCAAAGCCGCCTTCCCACTTAGCAGGCTGGCCCTTGATGAGCTCCGCAACGACCACGGGATCGCTCAGGTCGATTCGGTCCATGAATTTCTCCAGCATCCCCAGGCTTTCGATGAACTCTGTTTCATGAATAGTATTCAGACACGCACAGGTGGTCCAGAACAGTTGTGGATAGCGGAGAAGGTCGGCCGGGGCTAAGGAGCTGATGATTATCTTGAGAGTCGTGAGAATTTCCATGGAGAATGTCCGATAATCCGCTTCCTCGTCTGCAATGGTGTTCGACAGACGGGCTAGCATATCTGCGAGCATCCTAGAGTCCAAAGACATGGATATGCAGCGGAACACCTGGAATGATCTGCAAGCCAAGTGCCGTACGGGGCACGAAGTTGCCCAGTTCAAGGCCTCCTTCGCCCAAAGATCATTGATGCCTTCGTACGCTAGGCTAAAGACATTGATGACTTGGCGGGTCACGCTGACCATACTGGAAGGAACACGGTTGTCGTCTTCTCCATCATCTTCATCGTTGCTGTCCTCATACTCCCACACAACCTTGGGGTCACTCTTGCGGATGAGTTCCACGAAGTCTTCAAGTGATGCTCGAGTCCCAGCAGGTGCGCTATCTTCGATCTTGGCAGATATCAGTTCGTGGATCAGATGTACCAGCATTTCCCTAGCCTGCTCCTGCACGGTAACAGTGTAGTGATCCCACAGAACAAGAACAACGTGAACCAGTTTGACTATGTCTTCTAAGGGCAACGTGACCGGAGCGACCATCAAGTCCACAAGGAAAATGAGGGCAATCTGGCCTAGCGAAAGGCCGGCCTGCTTGTTCCCCATGTGGAGAACATCGCCAAGCTCAGCAACATAAGGCAAGCTCTTGAGATCCGGCGGCGTGGGTGTAGTATCCTTTCTCTCCTGGACCATGTTTTTGGGCACCACCTGCATTAGGAAGAACTGGATCACTTTGGACCCGGCGGGCGTCCCTGACAGGAAGACAACGACTTGCTTTGCATACTCCACAAAGTTCTGTTCTTTGCGCTCTAGACAAAGGTTGATGATGAAATCAAGAACCAACTGAACATTTCCGCCGTGCGGCCCTGTCGCTAAGGCTTGCCACAGAGCCTGAACTTCGTTAGGGAGGATAGTACTGCAGCGGATGGTTATCTCAAATAGATTTGCCAAAAGCATGTAGGACCGCGCTGTGGGTCCGCCATTGGGATCGACTTGTAGCTCCATAGTCTGTACCCATGGAAGGATAGCAGCAACCATGTTACGCTGGCTGTCTGGTTGGAGGGCCTTGAAATGCAAGGAAATTTCAGAGAAAAGCGTGAACGCCAAGTCGGAGTGCTGTTTTGCCAGTCGCTTGGATGTCTCAAACTGTGCAAGCTTGTAGATAGCGGTAGTTTTGTCCGATATGCTGATCTCAAAATCCTGCAGCTTGCAGTTCTTTTGTTGACGCTCTTCCAGAATACGAAGGAGCTTGGCCGATTTCATCCTTATCTCGCGCTTCTGGTTACCCAACGTGACAAGGACAGCGCCTAGAACCTTCCAAAAGCCCACCGAATAATCAGAGTTCTCAATCAGTACCTCGGATACCACCTCAAAATAGCTCTCCAAGGCTTTCGTCTGCTCTGTGACATAGCACATTTCAATCGATCGTTCCAGCAGGTAAGGATGTTCTTTGTTATGAATGATGAGGTTCTTCAGAGCCCGTCTGCCAATCGCATGCCACTTGTCGCTGAGGGTTTTGAAGATGATATGAATCCATGAGAGCATGCGCCCCACATCGAACTGCAATAGAGAGCCACTTTCAGTGGTGATGCTTATGGGGCCCGCGCATAAAGACGCCATCGCGCTCAGGGCTGCTGCACGGAGATTCTTCTTTTCAATTTCCATGGCAGCCCCAGCACTTGGATTGTGGGCGAGCGCGACCTTGCGCATGTGCTCCTCTCTTTGAGAGATCTGGGCTTGGTTCGGCGAGTAGCCGCACCAGTCTTCCATCAATGAGAATGCCGATTTTCTGGATTCGAACGGCATCCAGCGGGAAGGGTCTTTGGTACGATTTACCCCTTCGAAAAGCTCCTCCATCAGCCCACAGTAGTGAAATCGGAGCCGCTGGAACCCCCAATCATTCTGCACTTCCGAGTCGCTCAAGAATATTCGAAGGTCCTTCGCATAGGTAACGAGGTTGTTGACAATCCAGTCGTCATTGTACACTTCTGGTTCCTGCAGAAAGTGCGATGTGAGCTTGTATACGTACGTTACTTCGGTCCGCAGTCTGTCGGTCTTGCGATTCCGTCTCGGGCTACTGGGGGTGCGGTAATGCTGGCCAATGCGAAGTTTGGCTTCTTCGTTGCAGGTTGTGACAGCATACTGCAAGGACTCGAGGAGTGTTCGATAGAGATTCTTGTTTATCGAGCCCAAGGCGACAACAATGGCATGTCTAATCGAGCCTCGTTCGGCGGACAGAAGTGGGATCGCAAATGCAAAGAGACTTCTCGCCGAATTGATCTTGTCCTGTGACGGTTGCGCTCCCTTGGAAGACTTCCGCACGTGCTGGGCATTCGCTAGTTGGCTCTGAGACTGTGCACCGACACTATTCAGCGTGGTACAGGCCATCACCAGATATAACTTCCATTGTTCGACAAGAATTTCGGCCGTCATGTTGTTGCGCCCGAAGACGCGCGTTTGGGCAGATTCCACGGGCCCATAATGAGGGTTCTGAGGGCTTTCCGCCAGCGCGCTGACCGCTTTGTGCATCAGAACAAGCCTCGCGCAGACAATCTCTCGTCCCAAAGTCACGGCAAACGGACAGGTCTCAAAGCTGATTCGGATGATGTTGGGAAAGACCTTGGACCACAAGGTCGAGTCATACGACACCTCGCTACTGCAAATCTCAATCAGGGTATTTTGCGCGGCGCTTCGGCGCTTGCCCTTTTGGATCCGACTCCTCTCCGCAACTGTGAGCTGCTCGTCGTTGACATCCAAGATTTGTTGAGAGTCGGCCTCGAGGATCCTAATGATCCTGGTGTGGTCTTTCCCGAGGGCGCTGTCGAATTCGGTGATGAGACGCAGCACTGTGATCGCAAAGGACCTGACTCTTCGGGACTGGGAACATAAGAAGAATAGACCGTGGGACTCGATCTCCTCGACATGTGTCAGAACGGTGGAAAGATCGAGGTGTAACGCACGGCTTCCAGAGCCATTGCCCTTTTCATTTGAGTCCTGGGTTGCACCCTTGGTCTTTTGCTTGATCTGATCTATCCAAATCCTCAGCAGCTCAACATAGAGTCGCAGAGTAGACTCAATGTGGCCTGGTCCCAACATGCCTTCGTCTGACATTGTAGAATACCTAGCATCGAAATTGAAAATGAATCGGGCAAAGCCAATGGTAACCGGCTGTGCGTGAGACTGCCGGGCGATGGCCTTCAGCGACTCCGCGGACGAGAAGGCAATATTGGATTGGATATGAGCCGTCCCGGTGCAGAGTAGATTGATCAAGGAGTTGAACGGGATGTGATCCGACAGGCAGCGTGGGAGCGCTTGGACAGCCACGTGAAGCAGGTCATAGAAGCCTTGCTTTTGATCTCCCGCGCTGAAATGATCATCGCGTCTCCCAAAGCTGAACGCTTCCGATATGGGTGTTTTCGGTGTTACACCGCCGAACTTCTCATCCAGCGCCGCCTGGCCGCCGAAGGTGTTGTCGCACAGGAGCGTGATTTTACCGAGAATCTCGCAGAACCGGACGTAGGCACCCTTAACGTTGTCACTCAGTCTTGCGATGTTGACGGCATGCGACAATCCCTCTTCTCGACTCTCCAGTACATTCGGCGATCGTAGGTCGGCAACAAAATGCGGTCTATGTGAGTACGTAGCGGTCGAAACATCGGTGAACGGGTTGGGGATAGAACCGGTTGGGACCGGAGGGCAAAGTTGGTCGCAGGTCTCCAGATCAGTCAGGATGGACAGGAAAGACCTGATTCCAATAACCATCTTCTCCGGTTCCATTTGCTCGATCTTCAGTTCCTTCGGGGACGAGAAGAGATCCGAGTTGATCAGGGGGAATATAATGTTGCGGAAACAAACATCTGGATGCTTAAACCCGATCATACGCACCAGGTGGATCAAAGGATCCGCGACTGATGGCTCCGTGCTTAAGTATGTCCGTTTGCCAGGGGGCAGCGCTATCCTGGAGACTTCTTCGACTTTGCGAAGTGTCGCGGTCGGCGACTCCGAATAGCGGAAAAAATATGTCCACAGGAGACGACACATGGCCTGGAGAGCTGGGCCTCGGGTAGGACGGTCCTTCAGCCTAGCCGGCAGACTCTGGATGACTGAAAGCCATTGAGAGGAGAAATTCTCCTTCGGCGACACGCAGAGCAGTAGAACATAGAGAGGGAAAGACGCAGCCCAATGGCGAGGTTTGGCCAGCATCTGCGACAATCGCGGCTGGACCAGCTCTAGGAACTCCTTCCACCTAGGTAGCGATAAATCACAACTAGGATTTGCCGCGACGGGAAGAAGTAGCTTCTCAAGGATATAGCAATAAGCCTGCTTCACCCGCTGTCCATGAGAACTGACAAACAAGCGCGCCAGCGCCCGCAGAAAGTCACACGATTTAGGCCATGCTTCGGAGTTGATGCCAATCCGAATGTGCCTCATTCCAAAAATCAAGAGTTCGGCCTTGGAGTCGCCTTCCTTCGAGGGCCCGCGGAGAGAGTCGTCCTTTTGGTGCTTCTCCAGTTCAGCCACGAATCGGTTCGTGACACTCACGAAGTTCGAGTCGCTCATGATCCCCAGAAGCTGAGCATAGATCCGCCAGTTCGCCATGCGCAGCCTGGATGCCGCGATCTGGTCGGGATCCACGGTTTTGAGCTGGCCAAACACGATATCCTCCAACCGGTCTGCCATGTCGATGGTTATAGAAGCAAGACTACTCTGGTTGAATATCTCCATTAAGACTCTGCAGACCAGGTATACCGAGACTGTCGCGCGCCGTTCTGCCAGTACGACATCATCATGTCTGGAAAGAAGGGAATTGGGGGGGGTGGCAGTATCAGTATGCGTAGTTGACTCCGCAGCGGACTGGGGAGGTTCGGTATTTCGCCTGATGAGAAGGCCGTTCTCTGGGGGTGCCATTTTTGACTAGTCATGACGGATTTGAATTAGCCAGGAAGACCCCATATAAAAAAGCTAGAGAGATATTGCCAAAGCATACCTGATTAGTGGCGATCTGCTTTGCCATGATAGCGGAATCGCCTTTGGCCTTGCGCCAAAGCATGATGGTATCAATCAACGGCTTCGGCTTTTGCCGTGCAATATGGCCCAATGCCGATATCAATTGGTCAAAGCTGGCATCGGCGCCTGGTCCGCATACCTCTTCCACGGGGGCGTCGGACTCCCCCAACTTCATGATGGCTTGATTGATCTTGTTGTCCGCCTGGCCCACAAACTTTTTCCCGCCGTCAGTAAGCCGAGTCAATCCGAAAAGGAGGGCACGCGCTTACCGAGTTGAACAGATGGTGTAACGCATATTCCCCCACCGTCTTGGATTCGGAGTGGTGGTGCCTCGACTGCGAGCGGCTATGGGATCGGTCGCGCCATGACTTCCCACTCGAATTCATCCTCCTATGGAACGTGTGCGCGGGACTCCCAGCCGCGAGCCCATCCGAATCCTGATCCGCGATGGTGCTCAGTGTCCCCTGCAACGGATGGGTCGTCCCGTTCGCACCAGGGTGCGCATCCGACTGCTCCATCCGCGCGACATTGTCTTGTTCCATCCCGGTTCCACCACTGCGAGCAAGCGACGTGATCAATTCCGGACTCAGAGGATTATTTGAACCGGACGAGTTGGCGTGGCTGGGGTTTCGGGAGTGTTGCACGCCGTGTACGATGGAGGTCTGTCGGTGGTGGCCGTACGAGTTCGACGTGCGTCGTTCGAGGCCGGCATCGTAGCCAGCACCGGGGCGTCCGGACGAGGTTTCGGGACTTTTGGAATGGGACTGGCCCCGGCGGTTGTTCTGCGGTTGAAGCGTCGAAGGGGTTAGCGCGGATAGGTCGGCCGGGCGTCCTCTAACAGCGGAGGCCTCCCGACTGTGAACTGCCGACGCCGGTGTGCTCCTGGTTACCAATCGTTCTGGTGGGGAGGAAAAGTTATGGTGCGACATCAAATTGGCGTCGTCAGGGATGAGGGGCATTGCGGTTGGCTGGACGGGGCCAGCTTTAATCGATGGATGGGAGGCCACTGCGCATGCATCAAGTCAGAAGTCTGTTCTGTCTGAGGCCGATCTCGCGTTTTCCAAGATCAGCAGCGTCCATGGCGTCGTTGGCTCACGTGTCGCGAGCCTTGCCTGGGAGCCTGGGCGAGAGAGTTCCCTGTCGATCTGACATGCGAACCGATCAGGAGTCACCACTTACTGTCAGACTGCGGCTTTCGATTCAAACCAGGCACGGTGCCGACTGGACCTCACATCCACTAGGAGCAATACAAGAAGAGAGCATTCGCGAACAGGGCATGGTTGCTCAACAGCTCGAAAAGGTGCCAACGCGGCAAGATGAGAGAGATCTGGGAGTGTTTCTCACACCGTGATGATAAGCATTGGGATGACTGGGGAAAGATGTCGAACGTTTCGCGAGCGACCGGGCGCACGGGATCAGTTGATAGCCTTCTCGTACAGAACCATTCATACCACGCGGAGTGTTTACAACCCCTGAAACACTCGGTCCTCAATTTATGCGGTTTCTTACTGTTTATTCTACTAGTACATATCTTACTTGACATCTATTCACGCGAATTCCGACCTGAACCTGTCTCATGGAGTAGAATGTCTGGGCATGGATAAGCCCGAAGTCGCCGCTGATTATCTAACTTGCCATGGGTTTTTTTCGGTGGTCCAGTGGCTGGTAAGTTCCCCGTTACTAACCTACTTGGGCAGGAGTTTAGCTGATCATCTCCATAGGACAAAAAAGGGGAGTATATCTCCAGTGTTTATTCATAGTCGAGACTGAATACTTCCGAGCTATGGAGTACGGACTACAAACAAAGAGAAAAAGGGGGAGACCGGCGTATGCAACGAAGGATCCCTTGAAACCACTCAAACATGTTGGCGGTTTGAGACCTCGATGTATGAGAAGGGGTGGAGAAGGTCTGACAACGCAGGCTTGTTTCTGATGCTCACCAGCCACCAGCATTCCAGTAACTTCTATTGCCAGGAACCAACCCAAGTCACGTCAAGAATGAACTAGGGAGACAGGGATTCCCACGCGGTCTTGACCTGCAACGTCGACGATTAACCGGTGCCAAGGCTTTTCGCATCCATCTCGAGTCAGGGAGGGGATCGAGGCGGCTAGTTCTGGGAAGGATTTACACTTATGACGGGGTCCGGGTATAACTAACGATCTCAACTTCTGGATTTGGTCAATTGCTGCCATCATAATGTGTATTATGACGGGTAGGGAAAGGGGCACTGTGGATGAATGGGGAGCGAGTGGGCGAGTGGGTGGGCATATGTGGTAAGAATCAGTAAGGGGGGATGATCCATCTTACCTACTAGGTATGAGGGCAGGCCCCATGCCGAGGGTCAGTTTATGTTGCTTTTCCTCAGTATAGCAATTTACTCGGCTTCTTCGGTAGGCTGGGTCACTCTCTCAAGTGACACAGTGCAAGTTTGCCTGAATAATGGGTCGACTCGAGGACTACTCCATAGAGATTGAATGCTTAACCCAGCAATTTGATCTTTGATGGAGGTAAGCCTGTCGAAAGACAAACATTGCTACTCTAATGTCAATGAAATATGGTGTCTATTGCTCAGTTCATATGCCTCTCGAGTATAGGAACCATGAATGAACGGTCGAACCAGTCAATCAACGATCACTACTCCTGATCTATAGGATGCATGACGTCATTAGACATGGTCCTAGCAACCGCGGAATGCGATCTCTATTAGCATCTGTCACCATCAATATATATCCTGTCATCGACATCGCACAGGATAGTTAGAATAAACCTTTTGAATGGCGTCTGGCTTCGCCATTGTAACGCCAGCCTCACGAGGGTTAGGATTCGCCTTTGCGCGACAATTGCTGGCTCAGACCAACCTCCCAGTAGTCGCAACCGCACGAAGAGACTGCGACGAGGTACGATCAGATCTCGTCAACGGTATCACTACATCCCAAAAAGCAGACGAGAGACTACATGTATTCAAGGTCGACGTGACCGGTAAATCACACCTAGCCACTGTCCCAGAGACCAATCCATCTAAAGAGCCACCCAGATGAGTCGGCCATTTCCTCCATGGTGTCCAACATACGGGATGTACACCCTGACACCCATTTACGACTGGCAATAACCGTGCCCGGTACACTCCACGTGGAGAAGACACCGTCGCAGATTGATTACTTGAAAGCTTTGGATAGCTTCAAGACCAATTCCCTTGCTCCAATGCTGCTAATGAAGCACCTATCGCCGCTTCTCCCAACCAAGTCAGCGGCACCGTTCTTGGATACTCCGTCGTCTCCTTCACATCCAGAGGACTCGCTTCAACTACCAACACATGCAATCTACGCAATGATGGCCGCGCGAGTAGGGTCTATATCAGATAATGCAACAGGAGGGTGGTACTCCTACCGCGCCAGCAAAGCAGCCGTCTTCCAGCTCGCAAAGACGTTCGACTTGCATCTGCGCACCCGGAGTAGAGACCGTGCGCTGGCTGTCGCAATGCATCCAGGGACAGTGCAGACTGATTTCACGAGGGATTATTGGGAGGGTCGAGATATGCTGCAGCCCCACGAGGCCGCGGACAGGTTGCTTCGGGTGATCTGTGCAATGGGGGCTGGTCCTGATGAGGGAAGGGGCAGATGCTGGGATTGGAAGGGGGAGGAGGTTTTGCCATGATTTTCTGTTGATACAGCTGTGGGGCGACTGTTTCAGTTCGAGGGAGATCAACGATGTATAGTTTGCCCCGTGTTGGTTTCAGGCTCGGTAGGCAATCATCTCCGCACGGATGCCCTCAAGAGCGGGCTATGGGATCTTGAACCCTTGTTTGTAACTGATTCGTAGAATTGAGTGGCTGGTATTTGCATCTAGTATAAATCTTGTTTAACATAAGGATGTATTGCATCCCTATATTAGTTGGCCACTGTTGGTAACACGGGTATATCTGACTCACTTGGTCCATCGCACTGCATATACTATTGATTCGATACACTGCCTGGTAACGCCGAAGCTTCAGCAACTGCAAGAAGTCATTTTATCACTAAACATAGATTTGATTGGGACAGTGATGGCCTGTGCTGATCTGTACAGTGTTATGAAGTATGTATGTAACTTGTTCTTTATCAAAACGACCCTCTCTGGTTGATTCTCTTCGTGAAACTTGAGTAAGCCAAGTCTAATCTTCAATGATTCGGATTTATTTTGGGCATTATAGAGGAACAAATAGCTAGGTTTTGATATTTGTTGGGCTCTATTATCAGCGTTGAGAAGATAGCACGAAGATATATATTGGAAGACACCCGCCTTCACCAAGAAAAGTCCCGCCAAAGCCTGGAAACGTTGTCCATGAGCAATACAATATTGCAGATATTCTAAAACCGCGCGAGAAATCAATTAAGCCACACGACTATGTCTATAAGAAGAAATAGCAGTATAGCGAAGTATGCGCATAGCCGAAACTGGATGGGCTATAAATACTCAATGTTCAGAATAACCTTACATAAACCTTCATCTCACCACATAACTAAACACCAGTGTCTCGAATACCCTAAGTATTGATACTGACAGTCCTAACATGCCTAACAGACTACAGTACGGAGTAGATCTTGTTATTGCGGGGACTGGCCAAGCACCGACAACACTGATTGTTGGGTGGCGGATCAAGAGCCGCAGCATGCGGAATCAGCCCGTACTGTCGGAAGTCCGTGGGAAGCCCAGTATGTGCATGTTTTGGTGGCGGAGACGGAACTTCCGGCGGAATGATTGCAGATACGAAGTGTCTTCAACAGCCTTAATGCAATGGAGGAACCAATAATGGCTAGTGCCAAGGTTAGCACATGTGTCAATGATTGATACTGGGTTTTAGAGGAGAACAGTCTTCACATTCCCAAGATCGACAAGGCTGTACAGCATCCTGGTTACTCCTCAGTAAGTGTTGCGGGAGAGTCACATGGATGTACCGACTATGGATGCACTAGGAATGCGTAATTATTGAACTTGCCGCCTGAATCTCCCCGCTACATTCCATGGCCCTTTTGCTTCTATATCCAATGATACTCCGTACTGTGGTATAAACCTGGCAATCCAAAGGAAAGTAAAGGCAGTTGAAAGGCGGAACTCGGCTAGGATCTTCGTTCGGCAGGATACTCGGGAAATCAATCTCCATCTGATCCTCTTCTTTGACTCTGCCCTACTATAGTATAGTACTAACTACTAAGGTATTTGCTGAGCGCCGAACTCCCTTCCGAACCACAGACTTCGCCTTGGTCCATGCCGGACTTCCCCACACGGTCTCGTGGATATATAATACCGGGGACTGACACTATTTAGTACCTTTCTTACTTGTTGAATTTCCCGCCTCAACATTTGGGAGATCTTGTCGGTGTACTATCGTTCTGACTAGACTGACCACCCTTGCGTTCAATCGGCTATCGAACAAGGTATGTGCATGACACTTCACCTGCACTCCCCTGTCTCCCTGTCTCGTTTAATCCTATTGTCCTCGGGATTTCTCCCGCCACCCACCTTGACCTGACCTGACCAAGACTAAAAAGGTAGAAAACCGTTTCGCTGACATAAAGTAATGAAGATTACATCGGAAAGGCCACGATCGCCTGTATCATTGCCTCTTTCTCCCCTAGTTTCTCTCTTTGCTGCAATCTCACGCATCTTCTCCGGTTAGCGGCTCCCGACTAAGTATGCGGTCGGCTGCTTAGATCAGACCACGACTTCTCTTCCCTTTCCCTCCTCCGCTTTCCCTTCGGCTCTTGGGGGTCTCTTCCTGTATTTTTTTTTTAACTCCCTTTTCTTTCTTTTCTTCTTCCTTCATTTCTTATCCTTTTCTTTTTATTCCTTTTTGTCCTTCGATTGGTCTTTCTCCGTGTGAATTAGTGGTTGGTTTCACTTTTCCCACCCGGAGTTCCCCAAGTTTATCGACCGGTGGAATCAGGGGGTTCTTATCTCTTGTCCGCGTCGGCTGAAGGTGCCTTTCCATTCTTAACCCCCCCTCTTCAATCTCCGCTCTCGGGACACAAACAAAGAAACCGCGATCATGGCGCAACTCGACACCCTCGACATGGTCGTCTTGGTCGTCCTCCTCGTGGGCTCCGTCGCTTATTTCAGCAAAGGAGTCTACTGGGGGATCCCCAAGGACCCGTATGCGACCTCCGGCGCGGCGATGAATGGCGCCGCCGCGGGTGGAAAATCACGCGACATCATCGAAAAGATGGACGAAACGGGAAAAAACTGTGTGATCTTCTACGGTTCGCAGACTGGAACGGCCGAAGACTACGCCTCCAGACTCGCCAAGGAAGGTTCGCAGCGATTCGGCCTTAAGACCATGGTGGCGGATCTGGAAGACTATGACTACGAAAACCTGGACAAGTTCCCCGAGGATAAGGTCGCTTTCTTCGTTCTCGCCACCTATGGTGAGGGAGAGCCGACCGATAATGCGGTGGAATTCTATCAGTTCTTTACCGGTGAAGACGTCGCCTTTGAGAGTGGCGCCGCCGCCGAGGAGAAGCCTCTGTCCTCCCTCAACTTTGTCACTTTCGGTCTCGGTAACAACACCTACGAGCATTACAACGCGATGGTCCGTCAGGTCGATACAGCTCTTCGGAATCTCGGCGCCAACCGTATTGGAACTGCGGGTGAAGGCGACGACGGCGCCGGCACCATGGAAGAAGACTTTTTGGCCTGGAAGGAACCTATGTGGACCGCGCTCTCCGAGGCGATGAGCCTGCAGGAGCGCGAGGCCGTCTACGAGCCCGTGTTCAACGTCGAGGAAGATGAGTCCCTCAGCCCCGAAGATGACACCGTCTACCTCGGCGAGCCCACCCAGGGCCACCTCCAAGGCAGCGGCAACGGTCCTTTCTCCGCCCACAACCCGTTCATCGCCCCCGTCGTCGAGTCTACCGAGCTCTTCAACGTCAAGGATCGCAACTGTCTGCACATGGAAATCAGCATCGCTGGAAGCAACCTCACGTACCAGACTGGTGACCACATCGCGATTTGGCCGACCAACGCCGGCGCCGAGGTCGACCGATTCCTGCAGGTCTTTGGTCTCGAAGGCAAGCGTCATACCGTTGTGAACATCAAGGGTCTCGATGTGACTGCCAAGGTTCCCATTCCCACGCCCACCACCTATGATGCCGCCGTCCGTTACTACCTCGAAGTCTGTGCCCCCGTGTCTCGTCAATTCGTGTCGACTCTCGCTGCCTTTGCCCCCGATGAGGAGAGCAAGGCCGAGATTGTGCGCCTGGGTAGCGACAAGGACTACTTTCACGAAAAGATCACCAACCGGTGCTTCAACATCGCGCAGGCTCTTCAGACCATCACTCCCAAGCCGTTCACTGGCGTTCCGTTCTCCCTGGTCATCGAAGGCCTCACCAAGCTGCAACCCCGTTACTACTCCATTTCGTCCTCGTCTCTCGTGCAAAAGGATAAGATCAGCATTACCGCTGTTGTCGAGTCGGTCCGCTTGCCTGGTGAATCGCACATCGTCAAGGGTGTGACCACCAACTACCTGTTTGCTCTGAAGCAGAAGCAGAACGGCGATCCTTCCCCCGACGCCCACGGATTGACCTACTCGATCACCGGTCCCCGCAACAAGTACTATGGTATCCACGTTCCCGTCCACGTCCGTCACTCGAACTTCAAGCTGCCCTCCGATCCCTCGAAACCCATCATCATGGTTGGTCCTGGCACCGGTGTCGCGCCCTTCCGCGGCTTTATCCAAGAGCGCGCTGCCTTGGCCGCCAAGGGCGAAAAGGTTGGCACGACTCTGCTGTTCTTTGGGTGCCGCAAGAGCGACGAGGACTTCCTCTACCAGGACGAATTTAAGGTATGTTCCCTAATTCACCACAGCCTGTTGATATGCTTGATATCGCTGACCCATGACCTCTAGACCTACCAAGAGCAACTCGGCGACTCGCTCAAAATCATCACCGCCTTCTCGCGTGAGTCATCCCAGAAGGTGTACGTCCAACACCGACTGCGCGAAAACTCCGAGCTCGTCAGCGACCTCCTGAAGCAAAAGGCCACGTTCTACGTCTGCGGCGACGCCGCCAACATGGCCCGTGAAGTGAACCTGGTCCTCGGCCAGATCATCGCAAAGCAGCGCGGTCTCCCCGCCGAGAAGGGCGAGGAGATGGTCAAGCACATGCGGAGCAGCGGCAGCTACCAAGAAGACGTCTGGTCGTGATACCACCTATTTCATTTTTGTGTCCACTTCCTAACATTATTGTGCCACGACTTCCCTCCTCTTTTTTTTTCACGTTTAGATGATGCTCGCATATATACTCCGCCAACCAATTTCTTCTCCACGTTTTGAGCTCCATGGCGTGATTTTTGTATGATTGTGAACCTTTTGACCTTTCGCACAGTCGATTTACCCGATGGAAAGAATAGGATAGAAAAGAGGTCAATTGGCCCAGGGCTTTTTTGGAGAGATTTGTGTGGAACTATCGTGCCCTGCTGGTTTGGTAGGGAGATATACATATTTAATTGAAATATTTCAATACTTATCACATTTTCTTTTCTTGCTGTATTTTAGTTGGTTGTGTATAAGCGTGGTAGGCTGTTGAACCCAGCGCTGTTCGAGGTCAATTATTCCTTATTTCTTGTTTTCATCCTCGTTCTATATTTCTCACCAACAGTATGTTGAACATGGTCAAGTAGGTATCAAACTAGGTAGTTGAAGAGGTCAGTTCGGGAATAAAGCGGAGTTAAAAGGCCTGGAAGGCACAAGAACCGCAAGCATCGTCATTCACTCACCTTAAACGCGGAGTCTCAATCCTGCCAGCTCCAACTCCTCTCCACCCCACTTCTCCAGTCTTTCACTTACAGACTACGAATTACAAGCGCGCCCTACACGGAGATTACCATATACACGCATCATTCCTCAAGTGTATAAATTTCCCGACACAGTGCCTCGCAACCAATATCGCTAGGCGGTCGGGATCAGCCGTGGTCGCGCGATCATCCGAGCTGTGCCTCTAATGCGGAGAGCGCTCGCACCGAAAACGTTCCTCGAGAGATAAACCCCACCGACGCAACATGTCCTATGTCGTGCCCATCCACCAAGCGAGCAGTATTCGCCATGCCCTGAAGCTGCACTTTTTGAAACCCGAGGAGGAGAGCTTGATTGTCGCGTTAGTGAGCCCCCCGCCTTCGCTTCATGCGACGCCCGCCCTCGGTGTCGAGAGAAACACAATAGAACCTAACAGTACGGTCTTACAGCAAAGTCAACCGACTCGAGGTCTACGCCCTCAGCCCAGACGGCCTTAGCCTCGCAGCATCATGTGCCCTCAACGCTCGGGTAACAATGCTCGCACGACTGCCCGCGCCCGCCAACTCCCCAACAGACCACCTCTTCGTCGGCACAGACCGCTACACATACTGCACGCTAGCATGGGATAGCTCTACAAACCAGATCCGCACGCAACGGAGCTACGTCGACGTGTCAGACCCGGCATCCCGCCAACCCCTAATGGGAAACCGGTGCCTGATCGACCCCAGCGGACGGTTCATGACGCTGGAGATGTACGAGGGCCTGATCGCCGTGATACCGATCGTGCAGCTACCGGGCAAAAAGCGAGGACGGGCGCCCGCGCTGCCGTCCGGCCCTGATGCGCCGCAGGTGGGCGAGTTGGGGGAGTTGACCACCGCGCGGATAGACGAGCTGTTCGTGCGCTCTTCGACGTTCCTGCATGTGCAGTCGGGCGCGCCGAGGTTGGCGCTGCTGTATGAGGATAGTCAGAAGAAGGTGAGGTTGAGTGTTCGGGAGTTGCAGTATACGGCTGCTACGATGAGTTCGAGTGCCGATGCGACGTTTGCGCATATTGCGGATTTTGCGCAGGAGTTGGATCTGGGTGCTTCGCATTTGATTCCGGTGCCTGCTCCGTTGGGTTTGTTCCCTCTTACTATTCTTATCTTGCATTGGGCGTGAGCAGTATAAGGTCTAACATGAATAGGTGGTTTCCTCATTATCGGCGAAACGTCTATCAAGTACGTCGACGACGACAACAACGAGCTTATCTCCCGGTCTCTCGCCGAGTCGACTGTCTTTGTGGCTTGGGAGCAAGTAGACGGCCAGCGATGGCTGCTTGCTGACGACTACGGAAGGCTGTTTTTCCTGGTGCTGAAGCTCGGCTCTGAAAGCCTTGTGGAAGAGTGGGACCTCCATCTGCTGGGAAACACGTCTAGAGCGTCTACACTCGTATATCTTGGCGGTGGGATAGTCTTTGTGGGCTCGCACCATGGCGATTCCCAGATCCTACGAATCGGGGACGGTTCGTTCGAGGTGGTGCAGACCCTGCATAACATTGCTCCTATACTGGATTTCACCATCATGGATCTTGGTAACCGCGCAAGCGAGAGCTTTACTCATGAATTTTCGTCAGGCCAAGCTCGGATTGTCACAGGCTCGGGTGCCTTTGACGATGGGACCTTGCGAAGTGTCCGCAGCGGTGTCGGCATGGAGGAGCTGGGTGTCCTAGGTGATATCGGGCATATCACCGACCTCTTCGGGCTGCAGGTGCAGGCCAAGGGTGACTATCTGGATACCCTCCTCGTCAGTTTCGTCGACGAAACGAGAGTGTTCTCCTTCAGCCCCGACGGCGAGGTTGAAGAGCTGGAACAACTCCTGGGCCTAAGTCTCTCGGAATCTACGCTGCTCGCGGCCAACCTGCCCGGAGGACGGATCCTCCAGGTGACCGAACGAAGGGTCCTCATCGCAGACGTCGAAAGCGGCATGGTCACCAACGAATGGACACCGCCAGACCAGAAAATCGTCACAGCCGCTTCCGCCAACGAATCCTCGGCCGTTCTCGTCGTCGACGGCGAACTGGTCACCGTTCTAGACATCAAGAACGAAGCACAAGTCATCGCGCAGAAGCACTTTGGCACAGACTGCCAGATCTCCGGCGTGACCGTCCTCTCGTCCCCAGCAGACGTCTGCATAGTGGGATTCCCACAGCTAGCCCAAGTCTCCGTGCTGAAACTTCAAGACCTCTCCGAGCTACACACAACATCACTCGGCCCAGCAGGCGAAGCCTTCCCGCGCTCCGTGCTCGTCGCAGACGTCCTCGCAGACAGCCCACCAACCCTATTCGTCTCAATGGCCGACGGAAGCGTCATCACCTACTCGTTCAACCCACAAGACTACACCCTCACAGGGATGAACAAGCTGATCCTCGGCTCAGAGCAACCAACCTTCAAAAGACTCCCGCGCGGCGACGGACTCTACAACGTGTTCGCAACCTGCGAGAACCCAAGCCTGATCTACGGCTCTGAAGGCCGCGTCATCTACTCTGCCGTGAACTCCGAGGGCGCCTCGCGCATCTGCCACTTTAACTCCGAAGCGTACCCCGGTTCCATCGCGATGGCTACGGCGCAGGAACTGAAGATCGCACTAGTTGATAAAGAGCGGACGACTCAGATCCAGACTCTCCCTATCGGCGCGACAGTCCGTAGGGTCGCATATTCGCCGTCCGAGAAAGCCTTCGGCATCGGGACTATCGAGCGCAAGCTTAAGGACGGCGCGGAAATCGTCACGAGCCGGTTCGTCCTCGCGGACGAGATCCTCTTCCGGCGGCTAGACTATTTCAGTCTGCGGCCGGAGGAGCTGGTCGAGAGTGTTATCCGGGCGGAGTTCCCAGTGGGCAAAGACGAGAGCGGGCGAGACGCTTTCAAGGATCGGTTCATTGTTGGGACGGCTTATCTAGACGATGATGGCGATGAGGAGTCCATCCGGGGCCGCATCCTTATCTTCGAAGTTGATAATGGAAGAAGGCTTACGCAGGTTGGAGAGCTCCCTGTTAGGGGGGCGTGTCGGGCGCTGGCTATGCTGGGTGATAAGATTGTAGCAGCGCTTGTGAAGACGGTAGGCCACACTTTCTTCTTTCCCCCTTTTTTTCTTTTGTATACAGCAGAATACTAACCCCGTCCCAGGTCGTGATCTACAAAGTCATAAACGACCGACTCAGCGCAACCAAGATCGAAAAACTCGCCAGCTACCGCACCTCGACCGCACCAGTCGACCTAACAGTAACAGGCAACGTGATCGCCGTCTCAGACCTCATGAAGAGTCTCTGTCTCGTGGAGTACAAAGAAGGCGAGGGCGGGCTGCCAGATACATTAACGGAGGTTGCACGGCACTTCCAGACCGTGTGGGCGACCGCGGTGTGCTGTATCGCGGAGGATACGTTCCTCGAGAGCGACGCCGAGGGGAATCTGATTGTTCTCCGGAGGAATCTTACAGGCGTCGAGGAAGACGATAAGCGGAGACTGGAAGTTACGGGGGAGATTTCAATGGGCGAGATGGTCAATCGGATTCGGCCGGTGAATGTGCAGCAGGCGGGGAGTGTGGTTATCACGCCGAGGGCGTTTTTAGGGACGGTATGTCTTTCTCTCCTCATTCTTTCGTCTTCTCCAGCCCTCCATCCCAATACATCCCCCAGTCAACATCCTATTCTAACCACACATCTTGAAAAACAGGTCGAAGGCTCAATCTACCTCTTCGCGATGATCAACCCCGAACACCAAGACTTCCTCATGCGCCTGCAAGCGACAATGGCCAACCGCCTCACCTCCCTCGGCGACATGCCCTTCAACGAATACCGCGGGTTCCACACGATGACGCGCGAAGCGAAGGAGCCGTACCGGTTTGTGGACGGGGAGCTGATCGAGCGGTTCCTGACGTGCGAGGCAGCTCTGCAGGAGGACATTGTTAGTTCCGTGGGGGCGGGGGATGTGGATGAGGTGAAGGGGTTGATTGAGGGGTTGAGGAGGTTGCATTAAGCGTTCGAGATACTCGGAACTAGAGTTGTTTCTGTTGTTCTTCTCGTCAGTTGGGCTGTGAGATGCTGGTCCTGTTATGCGTATGATTTATGAGGTTTATTGATTTGTTTGTGAATGTGTGGTTTATATATATTTTTGTAGACTGTAGTTCTCTGATGTAAAGGGGTTATACTACGTGACTGTAAGAATGCTTCGAATATTTAGTTGAAATCTATGGTAGGTAGATGATTATATAGTACATGAGCCTTTGGCAGACGCACAGAATATGGCAAGGAGTCACAGTATTATAAAATACACAATTAAGACATCACAAAGACAATTAGAACTCATTAAGTGCAGCACAACCACATTAACCTTTCTTCTCCCTTAAGAGTAAAGAAGGGTGGACCCATAAGCAGTCTCGACAAACACTCACTCATCCTTCGCAGCCTGCTCCTTCGCAGGCGTAGCCTCACCCTCCGAATCACTCCAATCCAACAGCTCCATAAGCTTATCCTCGGAAAGCGTCGCCTTGCCCTTCGCCTCCTTATTCAAGCTCTTCGCATGCTTCTTCTGCCTTCTGCGCGCATTATCCGCCAACTCCGGCACCCCACTAGCAGTCGCAAAGTCGACCTCATCCTCCGCGCCCTCCCCATTCTCCAGCTCATCATCCGTATTTTCCACCTCACCAAGCACCTTCCCCTCCCCAGCAGCCTTGCCCCCACCACGCAACGCATTAGCAGAAACCTTGGCCTTCCCGCCGGCTTCAGCCTCCGCCCTCTTCTTCCTCTCCTTCTCCAGCTGCTTTCTGCGATCGCGCTCGCCCATCTTCTTGAAGAGGGCCTCGATGTAGGGGCGGGCGATGAGGTAGCCCACGACGGAGAGGATGACTTTCGTCCAGCGGTTGACGCTCACGTCTGCGAAGGAGCCGTAGAAGTTTTTCACGAAGCGGAGGACGATCGTTTCGAGGAAGGTGTAGATTTGGTGGAAGAAGTCGGAGGCTGCGTCGGCGGCGAGTTCGCCGGGGTCGCGGGTGGCCATTTTCTTTCTTTCTTTTTTTTTTGTGGGTTTGTAGGAGTGTGTGGTGGTGGTGGTTGTTTTTAGAGGGGCGGACTGAGATGTAGGGATAGTAGGCTAGCGGTGAGGTTAAGGTGGGGGTTGCGTTCCTGTTAAGGAAGACAAGATAGATGTGGGAGTAAATAGGGACACAATATCAATATCCCTGATGGTAGAAAGAAAATAGAGAGAAAATCCAGAACAGGACAACAATCCTATTCAGAATCAGGACAAGGGGAAGAAACCAATCGACCCAGCAAGAACAGCAACTTTGATGCCGGGATTCCGGGCACCAGAGCGGATCGGCCAGCTCAGCGGCCGCTTTCACTGACCGCTCGGGAAAAGCTCTCATGCCGGGCCGGGTTTAGCGTGGGCTGGATTAATGTTGATCCGTGAGTATTCTGTAGACCAATCAGAGGATGTTTCGCTGGATGCGCTTGAACGCGTCGTTCGCGTGCCATCCTGCTCTATTCTATCACTTGAGATACCTCGTGTTGTTGCGTGGTTGATACTGTTTCTACGTCTGTCAATATCTCTCAACGTTGACATCACTACACGAAGCTACTTCAACATCTGACCACTCGTATAATCCCGACAATGGACGTTGAAGAAGCCGGTCTAGAAGAGGTATGCATATGTCTCCAGTCTTCATACTCCGTACAGTTACTAAGTCGTATTGTCTGTACAGCGCCTCAAGTCTGCCCTCTGGCTGTCCATTGGAAAAATTGTGGACGAAGAAACAGTCAAATTGGGCGCAAATGCCACTCCCCAGTTTATCGGGGCTCTGACGGAGATGGTCTGGGCGCAGATAGGTATGTCCCTAACTGGTCGTACTATTGATTGTTTCTATTCGTTGATTGTTTCTATTCGTTTATTGTTTCTATTCGTTTATTGCTTCTATTTGTGGATGTTTTTATAAAGCACGTGTACTCTGATATAAACTAACCGTGGTTGATGCAGAAACCGTCAGTCAAGACCTGGAATCATTCGCCAAGTAAGTGCATATCCTGGGGGTGGCTTCCCATCTCGCGCCAATATTTGGTATCGCTCGATCGGCTATGGAACCGTACGCTCACCTCGTTCTAGACACGCCGGTCGCTCGACTATCAATCTCTCCGACGTGATGCTACTGGCTCGCCGCAACGAAGGACTGGAGTCTATCCTGCGTGCTTTTATCGACCAAGAACGGGACGAAGAAGCCTGACCTGTTCTTGCAAGCCACAGGCTACACTCATACAGCGGAACAAAGTCCCGTCCCCTCTCCCCGCGCCCGCGCAAGATACTACCATCTGATTGGTGGACCACCGTTACCACCACTCCAAGCTGACAGGTTTGTGATGAACCCCCAATAACCTGCCTATCATCGTGAATTTCTAACTTCTAACCGGTCGACGAAGTAGATCGAGACCGACCTCGTGGTCGACCCGTGGCGGGCAAATCGGCAGAATCCCATTCGCGACCGACTTATGACGACAACACCCGTAACCCCACACATCAACTATCGCGGATGGCAAAAGTACACAACCAGGAGCTACAGTACTTCCAAACACCCGGAAACTTTGATGTCATCCTGCCGTGGTGACAATGTCCAGCTGACCAGCTCTTCCCTGGTCATCTTGCGTCCAAAGCCAATTGCTTACCCTTCCCATCGATCTGACGATATGGATATCGTATCCGGTTCCATGGTCGAGCGCAATCTCTAGATCTTAGCATCATAGCTGGTGTAAAAGCGGGTATCAGATGAACAAATTCATCGGACCCAGCCAATAGGGTCTCACGATAAGACAACTTTGAATGCAGACAAGTCGTTGTCCTCCAGGATGGCCTTGAGCAACGCTGAGCCAACAGAGCCAACACCGTTAACGTCATGAGAACGTCTCCCACCATCTGGAATATAAGATCTGTACACGATAGACCGTAGCCCACGATCCCCAGACGATATCGTCACTTTTACTTGCCCTCCACACGATCTAATGAACCAACCCAACAACAATATCCCTCAGAGTCTATAGTATCAGTAGCAGAAACAACAGCGCACAGCTGCGATCCTTGAATCATGTCGAGCACCGCCACCAATTCAGACACCCTTTACACTACCCTGAAGACGGATCGTTCCATGAGCACGGCTCAGTCCATGAAGTCCGTTCGCTTCCACGGACCGGGGGACATCCGAGTCGATGTTGTCGACGAACCTGTGTGTGGGAAGGGGCAGGTGAAGGTATGTCAAGTTCCTAATTAGCGACTAAACGAACTTTATAGTGCCCTGGAAGGCATGCGCTAACGCAACGTCGGGATATAGATGCGCCCAGCGTATGTTGGGATCTGCGGTAGCGGTGAGCCGACTCCAATCTTCAACCTGTTTTGCCTTTCTTTTTTACACGTTAGGCAAAACAAGGAAGCCCAGACTAATATCTATGTAGATCTCCACGAATACAACTCAGGACCGGTGTTGATCCCGAAGAAGCCGCACCCACTCACGGGAACGTCCTACCCGGTTACACTGGGCCATGAATTCGGCGGCATCGTCGAGGAGATCGGAGAGGGCGTCACGCATGTATCGCCCGGACAACGGGTCGTCGTGCGACCGACGATCTACGATGGGACGTGCCGGGCTTGTCAAATGGGCTACAATTACTGCTGTGAGAACATCGGGTTTATCGGATTATCAGGTATGTCCCTTCGATCTAGCCTGTGAGCAGCAATCGGGGGAAATATACTGATGTGGTCCGTAGGATACGGCGGCGGTCTATCCAAGTACATCGTCGCACCGGCAGAGCACTTCAACCCCATCCCGGATAGCATCTCACTCAAGAGTGCAGCGCTCATCGAGCCCTTAGCGGTCGCATGGCACGCCGTCAACGTATCCCCGCTAAAGCCCAACGACCGGGTGTTCATGATCGGAAGCGGACCGATCGGGATTGGCGTGATCCAGGTGCTGAAGCTGCGCGGGGCCGGGCAGATCATCGTGTCCGAGATGATGGGCAGCCGGAAACGACAGGCGGTTGAATTCGGCGCGACAGACGTCTTGGACCCCCGCGAGGTGGACGTCACGAAGCGGGTGCGGGAGCTCACGGACGGCATGGGCGCGGATATCATCTTCGATACGGCTGGGGTGGAAACCGCGCTGAATGGCGCGATCGGCGCCTGTCGGAGTCACGGGACGATTGTGAACATCGCGGTGTGGGAGAACCGACCGGCTATCCGGGTGAATGACCTGATGTACAACGAGGTGAAGTATACGGGATCGGCCCTGTATGATGATGCATCCTTCCAGGATGTGATTCGCGCGTTGGACCAAAGTATGTCAACTCTCCTCTCCTGTGTACAAGGTAGAATACTAATTCCGTAGAACAACTGCAGCCGGAGAATATGATCACGACGACGGTCAAAATGGACGACGTGGTTGAGAAAGGGTTCAAGGCGTTGTTGGAGGACCGAGAGAACTACTGCAAGATCCTGGTGGATGTGCAGGGATGTCAGTAGCTAGCTGTATGAGTGACGTATTCTTGTACGGATAGTAGGGTAGTAAATAGTTGTAATAATAGTGGACTATCTCATATGGGGATTCCCGTTCCAACAGACACGCGTTGCGGATACATCATATTCTAGGTATGGAGCTTCATGAGACCATTATGACGGCAAAGGGGCGCAGGCGTGGCTGTGTCAGTCACGTTGTGTGGCTGGTGGACGTCAACATTACCACAATAACACAAGTAGTGAGAAGTACCTCTAGGTAGGACTGGACGGATTCCGGAGTCATTCCGGAGTGATCCGCGGTTACAAGAGTCCCAAAAATAAATTAATCTGCAACTGAAGGGAAAGACCCCCCTAATGGGATTGCCTAATTTTAGGAACCACACCCATGCATGTGAATTGCCAGAAGACCATGGATGGAGTAATGATGGCACTGCGAAGACCCACTTAAACGTCCTCCCAGTAACTGCTGTCCAGAATCACGTATAATCACTAATCACACTTCCTCGTAATGCACTTGACTAATCAGGGGTGCTGCACTGCTGAGTCACCATTCTGCCGGTTCCACAGGGCGGTCAGGCCAATCATGACGGGGATGACATCACTTTCGTCTCATCTGGCTAGTTGTGATAGTCCGATGGACTATGGAGTGGATATCCTTTCTTCGTTCCAGGTTACTGTTTTTTTTTCTTCTCCTCCCACTTCTTACTTCTCTCCCAATCATATCATCCGGCTTCCCTCCTCCATCCGTGGATCGTCGCCCTGGCTGTGTCACTGTCCACTGTCCACAGGATCAGGGCCTCCACCGATCTACTTCCAATGTTGCTCCAATGGCTCCATCCTTGTTGTCTGCTTGGGTCTCGAAACAATCATGTAATTCTGCTGCCTTCTATGGCTAGAGTTCCGACCGGTCTCCTCCTCGGAGGACGGATGACCCTGGATGGCGCTGGTCTCAGCCTTACTACCTTAATTTAAGAGTTTTACCTCCTGTCCCCAGTGTGTCGCCGGTGGAAATCCTGTCAACTATTATTTATACTTGTGTCGTCTGCCATCTGCTGGTACACACCTTGATCGATTTTTCCTGAGACTGGCTCTCTGATTAAGCAACAACCCCAAACCAGCTAAAAATCAACAACGCCAAGATGGGGTTTGGCGGCGCCGTACTACGATTCGTGAACCTCGCCGTCCGCATTCTTCAATTCCTCGATGCCGCCGTCATCCTCGGTATCTACTCATACTTCCTGGCCGTCCAGAGCAAACATGAACAGGAGATCCCGCAATGGATGAGAGCCGTCGAAGGTCTGGCGGGTGCTAGCGCCCTCTACGCTCTCCTGGGCACCCTCTTCACCTGCTGCGTGGGAGGTGTGGCCTTCTTCGCCGCCATGGCCATCATCCTCGACGTGGCCTTCATCGGCGCCATGATCGCCATCGCCGTGCTCACCCGTGACGGCGTCCAGACCTGCACGGGCAAGAAGATCGACACCCCGCTGGGATCCGGCCCCAGCGGCGAGGAGTCCGCCTCCAAGGTGTCGTTCGAGTACGCCTGTCAGTTAGAGAAGGTCGCCTTTGCCGTGGCCGTCATTGGAATGTGAGTAGCCTGTTGCCTGCATACCTTGTGCCACGCAATCACTAACATAAATAGTTTCTTCTTCCTCCTCTCCATCCTGTTCCAGGTGCTCTACGCCCGCTACCACAAGCGGGAGAAGCGATTCGGCCCCTCCCCGGCCAACGGATACACCTACGGCACTCGCCGCCGTGCCTTCTGGCGCCGTAACAAGAACAACCCGGATAGCGGCAGTGCCGACGACATGCTGCCGGGTCACCCGACGCCGAGCGATGTCGAGCTGGGTGCTAGCAGCGAGAAGTCTGGCGGTCTCTTCGGGAAGAAGAAGGCTCCTGCTGCTGCTCCACCGGCCCAGAACAAGTTCGGATATGGTAGTTCCGCCTATACGGGTAACTACTAGGTTGGATGAACCAGCTTGGCATGCGTTGGATGGGGAAAGATGTATCCGGTGAACAGACCTGGAAAGAAGATAAAAGTACGGTGGCTACTGAACCAGCGACTTAATATATTCTCTTTTGTTGGATTAGCCTGTACACATGACGGTTCACTCGTCTTGATCCATACTCAGACGATGTGTATTCGTCAACGATTTAATGAATGTCTTATAATTTGATACCAATGAACTTATCACCAGACAGATCCTTCCTGCACAACAAGGTACATGCTACGTATGTCCTCACCTAGGCACCCCGAATCAACCCCCTCACCTCCCCCCACAAACCCCATGACAACACCCATGAACAAAAAACCCACCCCTCCCATCCCCCCAAGCCGTAATCAGCCCATCCGCCCACGTCCCAGTCACCTCACACAAATCCATAGTCGTAACCCTCATCTCAACGCACGCCGGCGTCACCCCCAGAAACTCCAACCCGTCGAACCGGGTCCCCCCCCCCGACGACGACACAAGATACCACGGGTTGAAGGGGGTGGGGTCGCGCACGTACCAAGGCTTCGTTGCCATCTTGGCGTGCATTGCGAGGTATGCGTGCTGGAAGGGGGCGCTGCGGGCTGTGTGGATTACGGTGCGGAGGGTAGTGGATTGGGTTATTATGTGGTTGTCTTCATTCTTTTCGTCCTCGTGATGATGCTTTGATGGTGTGTTATCGGACACTGACATGCACGGCGGGACGAAGATTATCCAGAAGGGATTGTGGAGGTCCGCTGGGGACTGGGGTTCGAGATCTCTAGCGATGTTCATGGAGAACCTAAAGACGGCATTGGGGTCAGAGGGGAATGCTTTCGTCATGGCCTGCATATTTACTTAGTCTTTAGCAGTCCAAATGTTGACCACAACATATATATATATATATATATATATATATATAGGGCATGCTCACCCTGCGAACAATCCCCATCAACAAATCCCCCCGCGTAACTTTCAGACCTCTACCCTCAGCCCCAGCAGCAAGCCGATCAATGACAGACGCAGGGACATGGACAGTCTTCTCTACACGAGGATCGATCTGCGTTAGTCGCAGGAACCACACCCAGATCATCATCCAAAGAAAGCCTATCCAGCCGGCGCCGCAGACAGATGGAAGCATGTTGATCATTTCCTTTGTCAGGGCTGCGTTGGCCTGCGGGGTGTCAAGAGGCGGCTTCTCTTCGTTGCCGAGCTGGGGCTGGGCGGGTCGACGGTGGATTGTGTAGGGGATGGGGGTTCCTTTTAGGAGGGTTGTGTATGCTTTGAGGATGTGGTGGTGGCCTATCTTCGTAAGTAGAGTATCTTTTCATGACTGATATATGTATATATATGTATATCGACTAGACACACCTGCGGCATCACACAGCGGATGTTGAATGATCGACTCGAAGATCCACCCGTCCTTGAATCCAACCACCTTGGCCGACAGAACAGGCGGAAACAGCAGCGTGGAAAGACGATACGGAAAGCGCAATAGTGACCGGAGCGTTGCGCGATCAGCGTCGCTGAGACATGCCAGGCTATCGGCGCATTGGGCCAACGACGGCATACAGCTATCCAGTGTCTCCGGGATTGACTTGGCTAACCAGCTGTTTTCTACTGCGTTCGGGGACGGTATGAAACGCGAACGCTGTGACCATCTCAGTCGAGTTAGTACTCCTCCAATACATTATATATGATAATGATGATGGGATAACAGTGTCGTACCACCATATTTAGTCGCGTGGCCAACAGAGGCCATGCCTCCAGCAGCTGTCGATGACATGCGTATAGCTTCCCCAGATCGAGTTGACCGCAGAATATTAGCAACACGCTGCCTTGAAATACTTGTTGACCGGCGAGGTCTAGACAGTGTGGTTGTTGCTGCATGGGTGCTGTCCAGAAGTATGCGAGCAATTCATGTCTTGAATCGAATTACTGCGATATCCCTGAAGCCAGAACTAGGGCTGGCGGGCTCGCGTGATGTGTATTGGTGCCTCGAGACTGTCATTCCTGGCTGCGGATGGATGACTCGAGCTCGATCTGCTTTATCCGATATTGGGCCTCTTGCATGAGATCGGTCCATCCTTGGAAAAATGAATAATACCACTTAGATATAAAGGGGCTCTTTCTCATGATACAGGACTGCATGGTGAGGATGTTCGACATTTGCTTCCCCTGGCGGATTTGGTCTCTTTTCCTGTCATGATAATTTCCACGAACTTGGAAAGCTTTAGGGTTTGAGATAATTTAGTAATATATGAAGAAATTGCGTTCTTCTTCTTGTTCTTGATTATTACTATTATGTTTTATAGCAAGGACCGTATGTGCTAACCAACTGAACCCCTGCGCTAGACCTCTATACCCCGGCCATCTACTACACCAAGCATGATATCATGTCTCAAAGTCGCAAACTCAGAACGAGGCAAGTCTCAGAAATAACGAATGATTTGGAGGAATGGTTCAATCATCATCCAGAATACTCCAAATATGAATTCTTAAATGTTTGAGGTACTTCCCATCATGTTCTAAACACAGGGCATAGTACCCCGTAAATCAGAGACTTACGATGGATGATTACACGATACGACTGCGAAAGAGCCAAAGAAACTTGTCAATTCAAAGACCAAACTCCCGAGTAATATAAGTAAAGACACTGTGCACAATAGTATTCAATCTTGAGCAAGACACGACAACAACATTATTGTAACAAGACATAAGGGAAAAACAAAAGAGATTGGATATAAAATATGGCGCTGAGGCCACAATAAGAACAGCCCCGATCGACGACCTCCAAAATACAAACGAGGAAAGGAAAAGAAAAGAAAAGATAGTCTACAGCGCGTACATGCGGCCATGACGGCAGATGGTGCCGGGGGCCACGGCGCCCATGAAATGCGGAGCGCCATGATCACACATGGACCACGACAGGCCATTAGGCTCGCAGATGATGGTACCGTCTACGCAGCCGGCAGCGTGGAACATGTGTGCGAAACCGTTTGCGATGCTATTGAGGAACGGATAGCGTGCTGGTCCGTGAGTATCGTGCGTCTTGGGGCCATGGCTGGACGACGGGGAGGCGGACGAAGGCGCGGCGGAGGAGGCCACGCCGGAAGAGGAAATCATGTGGGCATGGGACGACGAGGGTGCGGCCGACGAGCTCGTGGAGTTGGAGCTAGTTTTCGCGGAACGGGAGGACCCCAGGAACGGCGCGCTTCCTTCGCATTCGTAGCCCTTGTCACCTCCAGCCTCACCCTGCACGGAGGACCCCGGCTGGGGGAATTTGACGGCCTGGCCTTCGATGGTGCGACATTTGCCCGGGCCGTTGTTGTTGGCCTGGAAGATTTCGGGCAGGCTGTCGAAACCGCCGCGACGGATTAGGGACCGGGTGGACTGTTCGCGCTTGGAGTGGCCGCCGCCGATGGTGACTTGCGCGCAGTTCATGTACATCTCGCGGTTGCCCACCTTGTTGAACCACGACCAGGAGAGGAGGGCCTGGCCGGACTTGGCGTCTTGGGGGATCTTGAACTTGTATTTCTTGGCCTGGGGGCATTCACCCAGCATCGAGTGGATCACACGGAACGTCTTGCCCTGGTCGTAGGACAGGCCGATCTGACAGGAACCGCCGTTGTGAGTCGCGCTCCCTTGCAGTTCCAGATCGTACTCTTGGCCGGGGCTGTAGTTGGCCACCGATTTGAATTCGTCCTTGGCGTAGCCCTTGCACGGATAGTCGGAACCATCGGTGGACAACGGGTTGGTGTAGGAGTAATCCTTCTGGCCGCTTCCATCCTTGTTCAATGGACTGCGAAGAGGGTAGGGGTTGGACATTTGGATGTGTCCTGACACTGAAGAGGCCAGGAGGCCTAGAGCTACCACAGACCACTTCATTTTGAAAATATTCGTCAATTGCGTCTGCGCGGTGTTAGTTTCTCTGACTTCTCAGGGTAGATATCATACTGAGCATGAGCAGGCTTACCCTTTAATAATCACGGAGTCTCGATTAAAAGAACCAAGGATAGCGAGAAAGGGACCCGGGAGAAAGAGGAATGACAGAGGAATATACCGTTGTCGGAGAGCAGGGAGTATATAAACGCAGGGCCACAAACAGTCGATCTCCCCGAGTATTTGACACGCACGTTCCCGGCAGGGAACAGGGGCCTCTCAGACATCATCGATGAATGGCATGTATACGTCCCCGATCCAGCATGCACCAGAGCCTGCCGAGAATGGACGAAGGAGTGTTGTTTACCATTTCCTTGACCGGAAGAATGCTGCAAAGACTTGTACCCCAGCAATCACCCCCTAGTGCCAACATTCTCATAGATCCAGGATCAAACTTTCCAGTTTCTAATCTTGTTTTGTGGCACCGAAGGGAATGAATGCATCCAGCATCACCTCTTTGGCACAAACATTCCCATCGAATGGCGGTCCTAGCGCTGGTTCATGTCTTATCCTGGATATGTTTGACTGAATTATGGAGAGGAGCCTAAGCTGACATGACCTTGTTTTTGGGTGTATGGAGAGAGCATGATTGAAGTTAGTCCAAGGTGGAGGTTTTGAGGTAAAAGAAACCAGATGGATAGATGGCTCGCCAGTTGGCGGATATGGCCCGCCAACTGGCCAGTCGAATCGCGACCCGGCGCGGCAACGGAACGCGTCTTAATTACATCTTCGATCTCTCCGTCTCTCCCTTACTCTTGCAAATCACACTCATTGTCTTTCTATTTATGTCCGCATCTTTCCCCATGCCGAGGGAAATGATGCGAGAGGATCTTTCTTGTGTTTAACTTATCCCTTCGTTTAACTTCTGTTTCACCCTAGATCAATCCAATCGCTTTCTCCCTGCTGGATGTTTAGGCGGCTTTTTTCTCACCAGCAGAGGAGCTTCGGTCGTGCGCATCAACATGCGGTGCATTCCTGTGGGGGCTGGGAATCTGGCTCCCCCCGCCAAATTCGCCACTGCTTTCGGAGTATGTGGATGAAAAATCCCGTTGTCGTGGCGAACCAGAACATCCTCTTGCGCTGCCCTCGTTACCAGAGACGATCAGCTTCTGTGGCGGCTCACTCAACTCCTGGACATTCCAACTCTCGACGATCATTGAGCTTTCGGATACCCCCATCCCCTCTTACCCACTTGCCAAGTTCAAGGCGATCATTCGCATTTTCGGCAGTGTTCAGGGGTACAACGAGAGCGATGGCCAGTATCCCAGGTGAAGAGACACAGACGCAGGAAGGCGGTGCGGAGTTCGGCCCAAATGATTCGCTTCCTGCTGGATCTGGTGACCCGACGGCCTTGGACCCAGAGTCCGACGACAATGTTCCCATCGAGGCTGAGGAACTTCAGGAGGCCTTATCACGGCCACCGGCGGTCAACAGCAGCTACCTTCCCCTCCCGTGGAAAGGAAGACTGGGTTATGTAAGTTGTGATAACTCGCGTGGATTGTAACGCCCCATTTTTGCTGACGCAATCATCCATGGGCAACAGGCCTGCTTGAATACGTATCTGCGTTACTCCAACCCACCCGTCTTTTGCTCTCGGACCTGTCGCATTGCCTCCATCTTGGAGAATCGCCATCCGTTGCAGGACCCCTCACAGCCGGCCCATCCGACCAAGAACCGCCCCGATAAGACCCAAACTCCCGATGTTGTGCGAGGGCAGGCTTTCGTGGAGGCCTTGGGCCTTGCGAATGCGCGCGACCTTGTGAAATTGCTGCGCTGGAACGACAGATATGGGATCAAGTTCATGCGCATAAGCAGTGAAATGTTCCCATTTGCCAGCCATAAGGAATATGGTTATAAATTGGCCCCATTCGCCTCAGAGGCCTTGGGTGAAGCTGGGCGTGTCGTTGCTGAACTGCGCCATCGCGTGACCGTCCATCCCGGCCAGTTTACCCAGCTAGGCTCTCCCAGGACGGATGTAGTGGAGAGCGCGATCAGAGATTTGGAGTATCATTCGGAAATGCTTGAACTCCTTAGATTACCGCCTCAGCAAAATCGCGATGCGGTCATGATTCTCCATATGGGGGGCGTGTTTGGCGACAAGGAAGCGACCCTGGAACGATTTAGACAGAATTACCGGACGCTCCCCCAGGATATCAAGAATCGCCTCGTGTTGGAAAACGACGACGTGAGTTGGTCAGTGCATGACTTGTTGCCAATCTGCGAGGAGCTGAATATCCCACTCGTCTTGGACTATCATCATCACAATATCATTTTCGACGACAGCCAGCTTCGCGAGGGTACCTTGGATATCATGGGTCTATACGATAGAATCAAGGCGACATGGACTCGCAAGAACATCACCCAGAAGATGCACTACTCAGAGCCTATTGCCTCTGCCATCACCAAAAGCCAACGTCGGAAGCACAGTGACCGAGTGTCAACGCTTCCCCCATGTGACCCGACGATGGACCTGATGATTGAAGCGAAGAACAAGGAACAAGCCGTGTTCGAGCTGATGAGGAATTTCAGGCTTCCTGGACATGAGCTTGTGAACGACATGATCCCCTATGCCCGCACGGACGAGAACAAGCCATTCAAACCGCCTCGCAAATCGGCAAAAAAGAACGGGGATTTTGTCGATCTGGAGAGCCACTTACCTCCCCCGCGTACAATCCCCGATGACGAGGTGGGCATGGGAGGCCCTGATCGGCGAGTCTACTGGCCTCCCGGTATGGAAGAATATTTGCGACCGAAGAAGGTCATCCGCGCGAAAGCGCCCTCCAGCCCTCGCAAACCTCGTACGCCTAAAAAGACGGCCGACACCAACAACGGGGAGACGTCGCTCCCTGACGGCAACGTGGAGGGTGAGGCACCGAGTCCACCTTCTAAAGGAAAACGGACCCCTCGGGGCGCTGCTACTCCCACCAAGAGATCGAGTAGAAAACGAAAGGTCAGCTCGCCTCTTTCTACACCGGATCCATCAGAAAATGAAGGGTCGGATGATGCCATTGCAGAGAAACCTGCACGCTCTCCGAGCAATGGCGTGCGACGGAGTCGACGTACGAAGACCGTCAACTATGCCGAGGAGAGCGAGGCGTAAATGCTTTGTTTTTACTGCCTCGATGTGACGGACTTTCTTCATGAATTGATATTTCAAATATTCCGGATGACCCTGACGATGCGACGCTTTTGGATCCCGACTTTATACCCTATGTACCTTAATTCCTGTACAATATAAATTCACATAATTTAGCCCATCCCATGAAAATTACTAAACATGTAGATCCGGAATATTTTTAGCACAGTTCATATGAAAACCACCTATGCCCACGCACGCCCCTATGATGTTATGATAACGAGGGACGGGCTGGACGCGGCGATTTGCCCCACAGCGCCCGCGGCTTCGAAGCTGGAAACCCGTCGTAAACCAAACTACCCACATACGCATCATAACAGCCTAGCATCTGAGAATAGCTCAAATCGCACAGGTAATTGTTGCCTCCGACATAGCTTATTCTTCCAAGGCATTGTGCAGTAGCGCAAATCTGCTTACCTTGTCATTAGGTAAGTAATTCTTGATCCAATGCTGAGACAACAAGCGTCGCCGACTCCTTCCCCAGGAACAGCAGGAGGCCACCGTGACCCCTCAACCAATATTCTCATTACTTACATCTCCCGACTTAGATTAAACCAAACTGCCACAGGCGACACAAAATCTGGCTCCAAAATTGAAGCCGCCTCCGCGCAGCTTGTGGCGCGCACCCCCGCCGCCGTCGACCAGACCCCCATTGACCCCACGGCCGTTCCCTCGCCTTTCCCGATTGCCGATCCGCACAAACCCAGGACCTTTCTTCCGTATCCTCCGGGCGCTACTTGGACCGCAAACGAGTCGACGAGCCCAGTCGCGCGCTTGGAGCCTCCGCCACGAGACCATCCCCTCTCTCCGCCACCGGGCGCAGTCCCGCATCTACCGCGCGATCGTCCAGCATCAATTGAACCGAGCAAAGAGACGACGATCGGGGCGTGGACGTCTCGTCGAGTACATTGTTGGGAAGCGACGACAGTTGGGCAGTGGACGTGTCCTTGACAGTCCAGCGGGTGGGAAGGAGACGACGGCGCGGGGAGGAATCGACCCAATGTCTCAGTACAGGGCGCAGGAACCGCCCGCTTTGGGTCCAGCGAGTGGTGCTGCACCAGGTGGGCGCCGGCAGAAGGTGTACGGGTATTTGAAGGCCGCCAATGAGCTTCGCCAGACGTACGCCGCACAGTGGACGGCGCAGAGAAATGGCCAGCGGGACTGGAACGAGGAGTTTCTGAGGAATACCCCGGGGGCGTTCTCGGATGTTGAGATTGCACGGGCTGGCGATGAGGAGATGGTGGTATTTCCGAGTTACGCTATGCGGTTGGCCAAGGGTGGTAACGGGCAAGCTGCTGCGAGACGGCGCCGCGATTCGACGTCGACGCTGGATGAATACCATGGTACCGAGGATGAGCCCGGGATGGGGATTGCGGAGTTGGAGGAACTTGAGGACGAGAGTGTTATTGTCGCTGCTGATGTTCGCGGGTGGGTGTATTCGCCTCACCGCGGGCCTATGACTCGCAAGCATCGCTTGATGATTGCGCTCGCTCGGAAGCTGAGTGGGATACCGGCCCCGAACGTGAATACGAGTGAGGGTGAAGAGGCAGATCCCGACGCTGGACGGACGGAGAAGACGCCTGGGAGAGGGGAGGAGGAATTCGTTGACTCGGAGGCGCAGTCAATCATCAAACAAGCGGAGGGAAGGGCCGATACGCCGTGGAGAGAGAACCACTTGGCAGAGAAGGACGAGTCGGGGCCTCCAGGTCGCCCTCTGGGGAGGACGACAGCGACGACATCAGCAGAGCCTCCTCAGCTGAGCAAGGATGAGCTGTCTATAGCCAATGCACACCTCATGGAGAGACTACGGCCGTTCCTGACGAACCCAATGGCCGGATTGCCTGTGACGGTTTTCTTTTTCAACGATGAGAAAAGTCAGTCAAGGAGTGTCATCACCGACGAGTCTGGTCATTTCAGCCTCCGCGCTGGGTTATCCTTCGTTCCGACCAATGTTCGCATCCTGGCATCGGAAGAGCTTTCTGCTGTCAAAGCTGTCCAGGTCGTTGACCCGACTGGCATCAGTTTGATTAGTGATATCGACGACACAGTCAAACACTCTGCCATTGCACATGGTGCCAAGGAGATGTTTCGAAATACATTCGTGCGCGAACTCGGCGACTTGACTGTGAACGGTGTTGCTGATTGGTACAATGAGCTGTGGAAGATGGGAGTTCAGATGCATTATGTATCCAATGCGCCGTGGCAGCTTTACCCTTTGCTGGACCGCTATTTCAAAATGGTTGGGCTACCTGCTGGCTCCATCCACCTGAAGCACTACAGTGGCATGCTACAGGGGATCTTTGAGCCAACGGCCGAACGGAAAAAAGGACACTTAGAGCAAATCCTGCGCGATTTTCCGTCACGCAAGTTCATATTGGTTGGCGACAGTGGGGAGGCTGACTTGGAAGTATATACGGACATCGCTTTGGCAAATCCGAAAAGGATTCTGGGGATTTTCATCCGTGACATTACAACGCCGATCCGAAGTCGTACCGGGTTCTTCGACAAGTCAGTGAAAGATCTGGACAGAACTTCGGCTGCCAGCCAAAGTGCGCCGCAGCTCGTCGACGATTCTGATACAGCAGCGCCCAGCCCGCCGACATTGCCGCCGCGTCGAGATCTCCAACGGACAGAGTCGACTCCAGATGCCAGAAGCCTTGATAACGCGGATCTCATTGAGCTTCGGGACGACGAGGACCCCAGGCCAAAGACAGCAGATGCGTCGAAACCGCTTGCACCACGGGCACCGCCAAACAAACCATCCAAGCCATCGTCGTTACGCACTGTCTCCAGCAATCTCGATACAGGGGAGAAAGATGATTCTTCCTCGTTGTCGGTTCCCGAGCCTCCTCCCAAGCGCAAGCCAGTCCCGCCACTGCCCCCACGTCCTAGCTCCTCGCTCAAGCCAGAATTCTCTGAGAGAGAGCCGGACCCATCTACACCTCCCAACATTCAGCGTCTGGGCCGGTCCACGACAGAAATAAATCAAAGCAGACGAGACCCAGAAGAAGCGTTCCCTTCTACAGAAAGGGATCCAGCGATGAACGAGAGACACCCATCGAACGTGAAAAGCAGCCGTGCCCTCCGCCCACCACCCGATTTACCCTCACGTCCTAAACCCGTCCTCGCCAACAGCACCACCAACCCACCCCTCGCAAACGACCAGCGGTCATCACGGAAACAGCCCCCTCCACCGCCACCCCCTCGTCGAACCGGCACGGGCAGCTCAACAGTAAGCACCAGCTCAACACCACTACCATCCACAACCACCAACCGGTCTGGGCCCCAGAACCCGCCCCAGCAGCAGCAGCAATCCTACCCCGCCGCAGCAGCAACAGCCGCCCTGCAATACGCATCCGCAGCATCGCAGTTCGCATCCGAGCGTCTCCCATGGCCATCATCCTCATCGTCAACCCCCTCCAACACCCTCCGCGCCACATCATCAAGCACCTCACTCCGCCAATCCAGCACAACACCCAGCCTAGACAGCAGCTACGCGTCTCTGCCCACGAAGCGCGAAGAAATGTGGCAGCGCCGCTGGGAGCGCGCGCACGATATCCTCACTCACCACGGCGTCGTGCTGGCCAGCTGGCGCGAGGGCAAGGATATGAAAGATGTGAGTGTGTGGTTGGTTAAGGAAGCGATGAAGGGGGAGGGTGCGAATGCCCCGCGTGAGTAGAGGCGGGTGTGGTGTATTATCTTTCTCGGGTTAGATATCGGTTAGTGAGGTTGGAGGGTGTGAACGTAAATCGTGTACATACTATCTTTGCTGGCTTCTATACTTGTGCTGTAGATGTTTACGTGTATAGTAGACTAGAAATCTCATTGCATTGACTGGCACACATGTCAACACATAATTTATATACATAAAGACAAAGAAAATGGAATGATAGGTACCTAGGACTATTGTTGTGGAATATGAATATAAGTATGTCAACATTTGATGGACACGAAAAGTTATTAAACAAAAATGCATAAGTGCAACATAACAGAAATTTATGTACTCCATATTGAAACAAACAAGATATATACAAAAATGCAAACAATCTAAATACAACAGAAAAGCAATCTTTAAACATATGTGCAGTTTTCTATCCTTCTTCCTTTTTTCTTCCCCCTTTTTATTTTTTATTTTTTTGTTTTGCTTCTCAAACTTCTCATATCACATAGAGACTCACGCTCAGCGCAAAGAATCCACAATGCGTTCAATCTCAATTCCAACATCAGACACCATCTGATTGACTTCACTCTCATCCAGGACGCCACCTTCGACACGAATACCAAAACCAATGGTGTCAGTCTTGGGGTCAGGGCCGATATCAATGAACACGTTCTCATCAGGCAGAAGGGAGGTGTCGAGCGCCGACACGGAAGTGGACTCCACGCCTGGCAGCGGCTGCGCGGGGATAAAGTCCGTGGGCACGCCGATGCGGAGGGGGAGGAAGAGGTCTCCTTGGTTGGCCTTTTCTGTATCTGCGCCAGGGTTGGTGTCGGCGGAGGACGGGACGCCGTTTTGCATCCAGAGGAGGTTGACCCAGGCGTTGAAGAGCGGGCCTCCGTTGTTCTTGGTGGAGTTCCAGCGGAGGACGTCCATGATGGAGCTCTGTTCGAAGGAGACGCGCTCGGCGAGAGAAGATTGCACGGCTTGTGCTTTCTCTAGCAGACTGGGGTCTGAGCCGTTGTGGTCAGAGATGGCGTTGGGGATCACCAGTGGATTCACGTTCAGACACGGTCCGGAGAGTTTCTCGATGTCCGCGAATGAAGCCGATCGACCGGTCTGGTATAGACCCATGATAGGGCTCTCGACCCCGGTCATTCGGGCAAGAGAGCGAGCAACAGCGAGGAGGACCACGGTCTGGAGGCTCAGGCCTGCAGCCCGACACGCGCTCTCCATTTGAGACAGGTTCTTGACCTTCTCCCAAGCTCCAACGAAGAGCTGATCAGACTTGTTGGTATGTTCGGTGGGAGCAGGATACCAAAATCTCTTGAGTGTATCCCAGGCGCTACAGAGGAGAGATGACTGGTCGTCGTCGTTGGTAGGCTGAGACTTCTTGATCACAGTGGGTACACCTGAGTCGACAACAGAAGACCAGTATGCCTTCTCGTCGAGATCGCGCAGGGAGCGCACAGAGTAGTCCACGAAGGAGCGGAAATCCGGAGTGGCTTCCAAAGGCTCATCGCGGTAAATCTTGACAAGCTCTGAAACGAACATAGGCATTGTCCAGGCATCGTAGGCCGCGTGATTGACGATAATGAGGATTCCATCCCGATCGCTTGCTTTCAACAGGCACAGACGAACAGGAGGGACATACAGGGAAGATGGACGTGCAGCTTCTTCCTTCGCCTGTGCCTTGGCGGCTTCTGCAATGGAAGAAGAGGACTGGATCACCTTGAAGGTCGACGTGCCGCGTGCCGTGCGTTTCATCACGATTTGAACTGCATCATTCGGAGAAGTAGCCGCGAAGCATGTCCGCAGCACCGGGTGCCTTTGTCGAAGTTTGAACCAGGCATCCTCGAGCTTCGCGCTATCGAGACGCTCACTACTGAAGTAGGGCCAGGCAGGCTCGAGTAGCCTCCTTCCAGACTTCAACCAGCCGACCAGATGGAAGAATTGACCACCCAGACAGGGCAAAATCGTATCCACCGCTTCTTTCTTGATGTTCAGTTTCTCAAGAACCGCCTCTTCAACTTCGGTATAATTTTCGATAAGCGGCCCCTGGGGCGTGACAGTCTGCGCAGGCATGGGTTTGATACGCTGGCTAATGCCGCGCAAAGTGTTTCCTTGGAGAATGTCCGCCACACTCGCTTTCAGACCCTTGGATCGGCATATAGAGGCAATGCGAATTGCCGACAAAGAGTCCAACCCAATGCTAAAGATGCTAGTATTCGGTTTGATCTTGTCAAGGGGAAGACCAGACACATCCGCAAGGACAGCGTGGACAACAGACTCCTGAGCTGGTGCATCAGATGTATCAAGCTCCTGGTCCTGGGGTTGTCCTTGTGACAATCTAAGAGGCAGCTCCCTAAGTTGCTCAGGGAATGTCGTAGCACACCTCGCGGGGGTGTCAACGATGTCCCTGAAAACGGCGCCAAATTCGCCCATGAATTCATTGAGTGCATCCTGCGACAGGTACAGGCCGTTGCACGTGGCTCGAACAACGATACCATCGCGAGCATGGTCAACTTCAACGTTGAGCTTGTACTCAGCCTGGGCGGCGTAATCTTCCGACTCATACGGCGTCCAGATCTTCTGCTCCTCGAGGATGCTGCCAGCAAAATCGGCACTCTTCTGGAAAACGAACAGAGTATCGAACAGCGACGCAGATTTGAGATCGCCGCTCTGTCGCAGAGAGTTTTGAACAGTGCGCAGAGGAGCGTGTTGGTAGATTTGGGCATCATTCGTCATCTCCTGCAGGCTGCGGGCCATTGCCTTGTTGCTCAGGAACTTGGGCTCAAAAGTGACCCTGTGAGCGACCGTGTTGAACAATGGACCAAGAGTGCGTTCAGCCTCAGGTGTCGGCAACGAGCGACCAGCCAAAACCTGTCCGAACACAACATCGCGCTTGCCAATCAGACGACCAAGCACCTTGGCATATGCCAAAAGAGACACGCTTTGAACAGTGACTTCCATTTTCTTGCAGGTCTCGACAATTGACGCCAAGTCGAGGTCAACACGATACTCCGAGAGTAGCATCTTGTCTGACGCCTCAGTAGCGGGAAGTTCCGGCATCTCCACGACTTCGTATCCGCGGAGCTTGTTGACCCAAAACTCGCAGGATTCTTCTTGTCCGCTGAGAACGTGCTGCACAGTCTGGGAGAAGGGGGGTCTGTCCACTGGAGTTTCGCCGTTATACAAGTTGGCAAGATCCTCGAAGAAGAACGGAATAGAGGCACCGTCGTACAGGGCGTGGTGCAAAGTAACAACGAGAAGTCTTCCTTCTGGCTGGCTGACCAAAGTTGATCGAATAGGGGGAACCTGGAAGGACGACTCCTCGCCAAACGAGTAAAGGGAGGAGACCTCCTTGAGGACATCGACACTAGAGGGAAGTTCGATCTCCTTCCACTCGAAAGGTGGGTTTGAGTGAACAGCACCGATCCAGGATGTACCAAGTTCCTCGATCAAGTGGAAAGAGGTACGCAATATGTCATTTGCCTCGATCACTTGGAGAAGGGCAGCTTTGAGCTTGCCGGGGTCGGTGGATGCAGCAAGTCTGATCGGATGAGGATAGACATAGACTTGACCGGCAGAGGCAATGGTCTGTGTGATCATGCCTGATTGAAGCGGGGTGCTTTCGAACATGGCGACGACAGAATCGTTGCCACTGAGAAGACGCACATGCTTCTGATAAACATCAACCGGGATGTTGGTCACACTGGACTCCACGACGCCATTGGTTTGAGGCTTCTGTATAGGAGCTTCATCAATATGCTTGGCAAGTGCGCCGACACACGAAAAGCGCATGACATCAGATGATGATGCCTCAAGACCTGCTTCGCGCAGCCTGCGCGCAAACTGAATGGCGGTCACGGAATCGACACCCAGGCTCAAGAATGAAGCTCCCTTGGACACATCCTTCGCAGCCAAGCCGCAGAAATCTGCGGTTAAATCACGGATCTTTTCTTCTGTGTCGGACCAGGTCGTCTCGTCCCACTTGATTGCGGAAGACCGAGAAGCAGACGCTTTTGATTGGGAGAGATTGAAGCTATCCAACGAGAGACTTTCCCCAGACACGACGCTCGATAGAACAGTATCCATCTTCTCGATGAATTCCTCCCCGTCATGCACAGCGCCGAAAGCAGAAGAGAAGAGACAGTTGAGAGAAACGATGTCCTTGTCGTGGTTGGCTTCAACCTCAACCGCTAGTGGATACTCAGCCGGCATGTGGCTGTCCAGTTCACTCCACAGTTTATGGTTAGGAGGCGCAGTGGAGCGAATGTAAGAGAACAGACAGTCAAATAGAGGTGTCTCAGATCTCAACCAGCGCTGAATATGTCTCAGTGAAGTATGCTGGAAATCGAGGGATTTGACGGTCGACTTTTGAACAGCTCCAACGATTTCATTTACAGTGTCAAGATCGCTGGTGTTCAGTCGTCCAGGGATAGTGGTGATACACGGGAGAAGTACGGACTCAGCTCCAGGAACCGAAACAGCTCGGCCAGAGAGGACTAATCCGTAGGTCACATCAGAAACACCAACCGTATCGGCGAGTAAAAGGGCAAAGACTGCTTGCATCAAATTCGGCACTGTTGTGTGGAGGCTTGCCGAACGACGTTCTAGTCCAGAGAGTTTGGTGCTAAGAAGCTTAGTAGCAGTCTTGGGAAGTTCCATGATGTTGAAATCGTCCCGGAAAGTTGTTGGGCGGCAATCGGCAAGGTGCTGCACCCAATGTTGCTGTGCCTTTGATTGATCTTGGGAATGGACGTATTCGATGAAGGCCGACGGCGAGCCTCTCTCAGGGGCCGATTCCTGTGCGTACCGCGCCGCTACATCTTCCATCAGCATCGAGAACGATTCACCGTCGTAGAGGGCGTGGTGGATAGAGATGAAGAGAGCCAGAGGTTGTTCGGTTTCCGAAGATCTTGCCAATTGGAACCGGACTGGAGGCGTCTGGGTAATGGAAGAGAGGATATCGCGCGAGACGTTCGCCTGCTGATTATTTGTTTTTTCAAGTGCCTCTTCCAGGCTGTGGTAAGTCTCCTCCGTCCAGCGGATCTGGTGCGAGTCTGCAGAGAAGACGACCTGGGCCATTTGCTTGTCGAGAGGAGCAAATGCGGTTCTCATGATTTCATTGTCCATAGCGACTGTTTGCCAGGCAGACTTCAATTGCTTTGCATCAACGTGTTCTCCAAGCTTCAAAACGACATGGTTGACGTATAGGTTGTCGCCATCGTTGTTCATGGACCGAGCAACCAAGCCCTCCTGAAGCGGCAGGCAAGGGCGGACGGAGGAAACAGCGGATAGATCGACGCCAGCCGGGGCATTTTCCCAGTATTGAGAATCCATTTCCTGTACGATCTGCCGCAGTTTCGATGAAGCCGTGTCGGTAGTGGAAGACGAGCTCCGGGGAAGACGTGCCAGTTGCTCAACAATGGGGTTGCTCATGACGAGAGCAACAGTAGCGGCATAGCCAATCCTCCTCAGCTTAATAGAAAGGCCGATAGCGCTGAGACTGTCCACGCCCATCTCGAAAATATTCGTCATTGGGCTGTAAGCAGACGCGTCGGTCGAAACCACCTTGCAAATCTCCTGGACCACGGCGCTTTCATCGGAAGTCAGAGGGCGACTAAGAGCATCGTCGCCAGTATTAGACGAGCTGTTTCCAAGAAGGACAGTCTGGAGAGGAAGCTCCGCGAATAGGGCATGGAGATCTTTGACATTGGCCTTCCCTGACAGAGGAGCCAATGGAATATACGTGATGGGCAGAACGATCTCTGGGACCATGTACCCCGGAAGCTTCTTCTGGCAAATGGTCTGAAGATCTTTGCCCAGAGTTGCAAAGTCCGATTGAACAATGGCCACCTTTTCGCCCTTTTCGCGTTGACGAGTGCCACTTCGCGCGATGAATGAGATAAGCTGCACTCGCGCAAGACCGGGGTGCTTCGCGACTGTCGTTACGACGTCCACACCGATAGACGACGCGGAACGAAGGACCTCAGAGACCTCACCGAGTTCCAATCTCTGACCACGGATCTTGGTCTGATCATCGCCGCGGCCAAGATATTCAACAGAGTCGTCCACCATCAAACGTCCAATATCACCTGTCCGATACATTTTCTCACCATTGGGCCCTGGAGTGAAGCCACCTGCATCAGGTCTGTTGAGATACCCCTTGGCAACGATATCACCAGAGAAACACAGTTCTCCGGTCTGGCCCCTGAGAGCGTAGTCAAGTGTACCAGGGATGAGAACATGACAGACACAAGCGGGCAACGGCGGTCCAATGTTTCGCAAATTGGTGTCCTTTCCAACGTGCGCGAATGTGCAACCGATAGTCACCTCAGTTGGGCCGTATGCATTCACAAGCGAAGTGTACGGATTGACAGCCCACGTATCCAAGACCCGCTTGGAGATCTTTTCACCACCAACAGTCATGAACTTCAACTTCGGACAGTTTTCAGGGGAGAGGCTAGCTTGGTCCACGAGCGACGGCACAAAGCTTGCATGCGTGATTTCCCATTTGGAGAGCGTTGTTTGCAAATCGTCGAGGATCATTGGCCGGGGCGCAGTAGCGGTCGCCATTCCATGACGCCACGGGAACAGCATCTCCAGAAGATGGGGATCGAATGCTCTGTTGGCTTGGGCGAGATATTTGCCGGTACCGCCCAGTTTCAGCGTGGCTGGGGCAACTCGGCAGCAGAACTCAGAGAAGGACTCAATGAAAGACGAGAGGTTTCCTCGGGTAACCATAACACCCTTGGGTTTACCAGTCGATCCGGACGTGAATAGGAGATATGAGTTGTCATCAGGATGCGACTGGTAATCTTGGGTTTCGGGCGACATGGTTTCCAACAGCTGAGGGAACTCCGGACCGTCAATGAGGATGGTACGACAGCTTTCAGGAGTGCCATTGAACGAATCCATGAATGGGTTTTCAGTGAACAGCATAGGACAGTCTCCGTCTTCGACTAAGAAAGCTTTCCGATCGGCGGGCAGATTTTCGTCGATCGGAAGATAGCAGTTGCCAGACTTGAATATACCGACGATCACATGGTACGACGGAACATTCCTCCCAGAACAGATAGCAATTGTCCTGTTGCGATGTCCTTGCGAAGCAATGAAGGCGGCGACACGATTCGCTTGCTCGTTCAACTCTCTATAAGTCATTGTCTCCTTTTCAATACCCTCGGGGCTGATCCTACTCGCGACCTCCAAAGCGACCCATTCTGGCTGCTCCTTGGCATAGTGCTCCAGCCAGTGAGTCGGAGACGAGTGAACAGAATTTTTGACCTCATCGCTGACGGGACGGCTAGAGAGAGAACGCAGCGACTGGGGAACATAGTTGACGAGCTCGTTGAGAGGCTTCTCGGGATGCTGCAACATCGAGCTGACAAGGCTGTCAACCTGGCGCACGAAGACAGCCAGCTGGTCACGACTCATGATGCGGCTATCTGACCATGCTTCAACCACAATGGCATCATTTGTGTGCTGAAAGACGTTCAAAGCCATAGGATGTTCGACATGCAGGCCGATCAGATCCTCTATTTCACGCCACATGGTAGGTTGGCTTGACTGCTGGGTCTGCTCGCTGATGACTTGAAAGTTGAAGACGGCCGGGTACAGGGGCTCCCCACGTGGACGCTGGAGCGTCTTTCTAACATCTCGAGCATGAATATGTCGATGTTTCCATGTCTGACTCGACAATCGCTGCTGCTCCGCGAGAACTTCCTGCACACTTCCCTCTGGATGGAACGGAACCGGGACCACCGAAATCAAAGGCCCGACGCCGTCTTCAAGGTCCGAGTGCAAGACACGATCGGAAAGGGTTTCAGCAAACACTGTCGCTGGAAGACCCAGGTAGCTTAAAGAAACGTAGGCCCACGCGGCCTTAATAATCGACGCCACGGAAGATACTCCCAGCGACGCTGCAACAGATTGGAGTCTCGAAGAAGAGACTGAGAGCGGGATCTCCTCTACCATAAGCTTGTATTCCTGCACGGCATCGGGCTGCACCCTTTTCCCGGTAAGGTCAGGCCACACAGGGACATCGAGACCCGAGAACTTCTCCAGCTCAGCTTTCCAGAACGCCCGGGTATCCCGGCTTTGAGTCTCTGTCGGGAGAAGGATAGAGAGGGCATCGCTGAGTTGACGTCTTGCAGGCGGCTTGGAGGTATAAGCTGCTTGTACGTTCTCCATGATAAATCGGAGTGAAGGCTCGTCGTGAATAGCATGATGGAGAGTCAAGACCATGAGTCTTTCATCCCCCTTGTCGAACACGGTAACTCCCCACGGTGGGTTGCGGAAGTAGTTGTTCTGGTGCTTGGTCATGATCTCCTTGATTCTCTGATCACGGACAGCTGTCCAATCTTGCCCGGTACATGTGTGCTCTTCCCAGTCCAGGTTCGGCAACTTGTAGATGAGCTGTAGGATGGCAAAGTCCAAGTCATCTTGGGCCTTGCGACTGTCGAGCTCAGCCACGGGAATGAAACCAGTTCTCAATGCCTCCGTATTCTGACAAGCAGCGATCCAGGCCTGTCTTAGTCGAGAGAGATCCACCGACTGATCCAGAGAAAAGAACTGGTTGCTCCAGTACATGTCGTATGTCCCCATTGTCTCACTAATCAAACTTTCCTGGAGAGTTGTTGCTCGGACGGTGGTAAACTCATCGTGCACCTTCTCTGACGCCACTCCATGCCAGGAGATGTTGAACTCATTCAGGTCGAACTTAGTGACTGTGGCGTCTTCAGCGCCAGAAGAGCAAGCAGCAAGCTTCACCAAGTCCTGGACGGTAACGCAGTTGAGGACTTCAACAACAGATAGCGGGAACCCATTGTCCTTCAGCTTTCCGGTAAGTCGAATCGCACGGAGGGAGTCGAGACCAAGACTGCGGAGCCTAGTGGAGGGAGCGATAACCGACGGTTCGATGTTAGTGAGAGTCGCGACGATGTCCACAATCTTGTAAGCAGTAGCAGCGTCGGCGGCATCAACATCAAATGACTCTTCAGCAGCAAGGTTTTCCGGATTGAGCCGGCTATCCCACGTTTCGATATCGATGGTAGTGTATGCCTGCTGGAGGGCTCGACGGTCGGTCTTGGCGGATTGCGTTCTTGGGATGTTCTTTACCACGATATACACGGAGGGTATCATGTGGCTCGGCAGCGAATCCAGTGCCTTGTCCCTGGTGGCCCTGGCAATTTTAAGGGCGGTATCGTTGACCAGCGACAGCTCCTCTTCATCGTCTTCAGCTGTAACAGCGCCAGGAGCAGACAAGAACGCGACGACGACTTGGACAGGTCTGTCAGGACGATTCAGAACCATAGTCTCGATGTTTTCGACAAGAGGGTGGCAGTCGTTGAGGGCGAATGTGATCTCACTGAGCTCGACGCGGATACCCCCGATCTTGATCTGATCATCAACGCGATTGATATATTCCAGCGAACCATCACTGAGCATCCTCACCAGATCTCCCGTGTAATACACAACCTGCGATGCCTCATCGTTCCAAACATATTTTGCCTTGGTGACGTCCTCCTGCTTGAGGTAGCCCGGGGAGATTTGCGGACCACCCAGCGCCAATTCGCCCACGGCGTTCTTCATCACCATGCGCTGGTTCTTAGTCACGAACACGGAGACGGTGTCCATGGGCCATCCGATATTTGCACTCTTGATAGCCTTGTGCTCATTGCCGAACTCCCTGATGGTTGAAACGATGGTAACCTCGGCTGGGCCGTAGGTGTTGAAAGCTCGCATATCAGTACCCCAATCATCAGCCACAGGCTGGGTCAGCTTTTCACCAATCATGGTAATCACCTTGAGCGTCTCACAGGCCTTTCTCGGAACGTTGGCGGCAAATGCTGGCGTAAGATGTGCGTGGGTTGCCTTGGTCACATTGGCCAGTTTGGCGTACGAACCGAGCATGATTTCCCTCGAAGCAGAGATCAGAACACCACCGATTCCCCAGGTGTAGAAGAAATCCTGGATCGATACATCAAAGGTGTATTGTGAGAACTGCATACACCTCACAGCACCTTCTTGGACGTCCGTAGGAATGTCCTTGTGGAGAGATTTCATGCACGAAACACCAGCAGCGTGCGTAATTGGCACACCCTTCGGAGCACCGGTGGTACCACTGGTCCAGATCAAGTATGCCATAGAATCTGGGTTGCTCCGGTGTTTGGTACTGCTTCGCTTCTGAGAGTTCTTTGCGGCGTTCTCATCACAGAACCGACTGACATCCACCATCTCCACGCCAGTCGGGACGGCATCTTCTGGTTGGGGGCTATCTTGGCTTGATACGAGCAGGAATTTCGATTCCGTTCGGACAATAAGGTCGTGGCGGCGTTGCGACGGGGAGAATGTGTCGATTGGACACCAGGCACCACCAGCTTTGAGGATACCAAGGATGGCAACGTACATGACCGGACTCTTGTCGATGCAGATCGGAAGCGGGCTGTTGATCAGAGGACCGGAAATTTGCAGAAGATGCTCTGCGAGGTCATCGGACATGGCATTGAGCTGTCCGTAGGTCCACGAGATGTTACTGGGGTCATTTTCATCGTCCAAATTGCCCTTGAAAAGCAGCGCAGTGTCGTCAGGATGGGTCTCAGCATGGTCTTCAAACCAGGTGTGTAGCAACGCGCCCTCCAGCGCTTCGGAAGCGACGGCTGCATTGGGGTTGAAGGAGGACTTAAGCTCGATTTGCGTCTGCGAAGAAGCATCATGGAAGTTCGCTTCTGGTTGCTCGAGGAAGTAATCAACAATATCGGACATCTGCTTGAGCATGATCTCCGCAGCGTGGTGATCAAGATGGGTATCGTTGAAAGTGGCCCGGAGAGTCAGGGACGAGTCAGCTTCGGGCCATACTTCAATCATGACTGCGAACTCGTTCGCCATGGGTGGGTGGTCAATTGAGCTCCAGAGTCCGCTAGCCCTAGAGCCGGCGTTGAAGTCTTGATAGATCAGGAGTGTGTCATATGGGAGTCGACCATCTGCAGTTGCGACTGCCCCGAGACGGGGCTGCAAGTGAGAGATGGTTTTGGCATTCAGAGACGTCAAGTGGCGAGCGACGGACCTGTTGGTCCACGATCCTGGGGCGTCTTTCGCAACCTGATTGAGAGCAAGTCGAACGGGGATGATGTTGAAGGTCGGGCCAATACAGACTTCCGACTCAGCGTCAAGTCGACCGGAAACAACACTACCCAAAACCACGTCTTGGTCAGGGGTTCCACTGTAGGCCAGCAAGACCGATGCCCAAGCTGCTTGGAGTACGGCAAGCGGGGTCGAGCCGATGCTCTTTGACTGTTTCTTCAAGCTGTCATAGCTGATGCGGGCTGTTGTTTCCACGCGATCGCTCGTTTTGAGGGAAGGGGGACGGTTTGGTGTGACGGTAGGAAAAGCGACAGGTATATGGCCTTCTAATTGACTCTTCCAGAACTCCGCTGTGGCTTCATGATCGGCCCCGAAATGGTGCTTGACTGTGTATTCCAGCGAGGTTCGCTTTCCCAACGGCCGCCCATCATAGACCGATGAGACATCTTCAAGGAGGAGTTGCAGTGAGCCTCCGTCAAAGATACCGTGGAACATGCTCAATACAATTGCAGACCTTTCGGGAGATGTGACCAGAGACAGTTTCCATGGGGGCGCTGTTAAACGGATAGTTTCCTCAGCACTCCGACAGGCCTCTCGCAGAGATTCTTCCTCAGAATGCTCTGCGGTGTATACATCCCAGTTTGGCTTAGAGTTTGCGCCCGGAACTAAGATGCACTGCGCAAACGGGGCCAAGTCATCATCAATCCAGGAGAAGACCGTTCGGAAAGAGTCATAGCTTGCGACGACAGTGTCCCAGGCCTGCTGAAGGCGCCCGACATCGACACCAGATTCAAGGGGAAAGACGGAATGGTATATGTACGATCGGGTGGTGAATGCGCTATTGGCCGAGCTGCGCAGGAAGCTAGTCAACATACCTGACTGCGTGGCTGTCGTCGGCAAGACATTCTGGATATTCTCCGGCGTTACACCAAGCCGCTCCGCGCATGTCAAACGGTTCCTGTCGCTAAAACAGGCAAGGCTCTCCTGCAAGGTCTGCAGACGGGCCGCCTCGCCAGAAGCCACGCTCCCATTCATTTGGTTTTGCTTATGGATAGTGGCAACCAGGCCCTTGGGAGTCCCAGCTTGCAAAACGTCACCTACAGACAAGCTTTCAATGGCATTGTCTCTCAGATTCTGCAGGAACCGCATGGCGCCAAGACTATCAAGACCGAGCGAATAGAGGTCCGATTCGGGCCTAATCGCAGTTACGTCCTCCTCGACCGTGTCGGCGATCAGGCGAATCACAAGCTGCTGCGCCGAATTCGTTTCCTCGTCTTCTGGCGTTTCCCATTCGGACTGCGCACCATTGGAGAGTGCGGATTTTGATGTGGGGTAAATTTTCACGCCATATGCCTCCGGGTCCTGTGATTGGTCCGCAATAGCTTTGCGATCTACCTTTCCAGAGCTAGATCGGGGCAAAGCGTCGACAAATGTGTACACGGATGGGCACATGTACGACGAAAGGTGCTGATGGGTGGTTTGATGCGCTTGGTGGATCAGCTCTTGTTTTTGCGTCTCGCTTAATCCGTTGGCCACGAGACACGCGATAATTTGTTCGCTCCCCTGGACGTCATTCTCGCGCTTAGAAACGATCGCAACGGCCTCTGTGATAGCACCAACGGTCGCAAGGACTGATTCAATTTCACCAAGCTCGACACGGCGACCACTGATCTTCACCTGGTCGGACGTTATGCGACCAAGGAATTCAATGACTTGAGAGCCGGATTCATCCCAAACGATGCGCGCCATGTCGCCCGTGCGGTAAACAGGTCCGAATTCTGGACTGTAAACGAAGGACTTGGCCGTCTCTTTGGGACGGTTAAGGTAGCCTTTGCCAACCTGGGGGCCAGCGATCGCCAATTCACCAGCGAGACCGGCAGGAACTGCTTTAGGCAGGTGGCTGTTAGGGTCGAGGACCAACATTGCACACGTGGGCAAAGCTTCGCCGATGATGGAACCACGCGTGGAATATTCAAAAGGCGCCAGGAAAGTACAGTTAATGGCACCTTCGGTCGGGCCATAGGCGTTCACCAACATCCTGGCTGGTTCTGGAGCGGAACCAGGGGCGCTGGCTTCTGATTTTGGAGAGAAGTTTTCAATGACCGTTCGATTAAGTTTCTCACCCATCGTCCACAGGGACTGGAGAGTAGTCAGGTGAGACGGCCGCAGCAGAGCGGCCAAACTCGGAGTCGCCATCATCACCGTCGCCTTTGCTTCGTTGACCGTGGCTTCCAAATCCGTCAGAGTCAGGTGTCGATACGCGGAACAAAGAGTAGCACCGCTACTCAAAGTGACGAAGATCTCCATGAGGGACGGATCGAATGTGGGGGATGCAAATTGGAACCAGCGGAAATCACCAATCGAATCCCCTGGCAGGGGAATTGCAGTCGCATGAGACTCGATGGAACAGGTGGCAGCAAGATGATGGATTTGGACACCCTTGGGCTTTCCGGTGGAGCCACTCGTAAATAGCAGATAGGCAACTTGGTCTTCATGTATATCCAGTGGTTCGGGAGGTTCGATCGTTTCCACCAAGACAGCATCGCCGCGCATCTCCTTCCACCTGGAGACTGCCGCCACATCAATCCAAACATGGCCGGTGGCTGCATCTTGGCTATCGATCGGGCGCCATGGACCAGCGGCGGGCTCGGAAACATTGCCAAGTATGACGGGGGAGTTGATGTCCTCAAGGATTTCCCGGACCCGTTGCTCCGGCGCATCCTGGGGAATAGGCGAAAATGCACAGCCCGCCTTCAGGATGGCGAGATATGAGATGTAAAGCTCGGGGGACGTGGACATATAAACGGGGATAATCCGTCCATACTCAGGCACCTGGCCGTCCATCGACAACTGAGCTCTGATGTGCGCAGCCAGATTCGAAGCTGCTACGTTAAGGGCGGCGTATGTTAGAACGCTGTGCTCTGCCGAGTCTGTCGCAGAGGGTAAAGAATGTACAAAGTCGAGTGCGATCGCATTAGGCTTTCTGCGGGCCCAGCCCTCGAAAGCGGCGTGGAGGAGGGACGGCTGTCGCGAGCTCGTTGATTCCACGTCTTCCGTTGTTTCTCTCGTGGGGGGTATCATAGATGGTGGGAAATTAACAATCGAAAGGTCGGGCGTGGATGCGACAAGGTTGAGAGAGGGGGAGGAATGGGCCAGATGAGTCGCAAGTGTGTTCAGGAGTTGATTCACAGCCGGGTCGGGGATCAGTGGCTTTGGGTAGGAGAAGCCAATTTGGAGAGCGTTATTGTTCGCAACGGCATCGGCGTGAAGCGTGAAGACCTGTTGACTCGTCATGACTCGTAAGTATCGCTCCCTACCGCACCCCGCACTGCCGGGGAGGGGGAGGAGACTGACAATTTCGCGTCCACTGGCGCAGATTTGATGCTCGCCATTTTCAGGTTCGGCATCCAATCCGAGTTCCAGTGAGAACTGTATCTCGTCCTTGTTATAATCTTGCTGGTTAATTTCGCGCACTTGGCAGTTATTCGACTCCCCCGCCTGCAGCTCCTCGGACCAGAACACCGAAGCCGAAATGACCGCGGTGGCAGGGCTCGACGCGGACTGCCATGTCGCGCGGCGCAAGATGCCAAAGGCGACGTCCTCCAGACCGGTGAAGTTCGAAATAAAGCGCGCGTAGCCTTGGACGAGGTCGTCGATGAGCTCCGTCGCTGCGCGACTGCAGGAAAGCTCTATCCGAGGACTCTCCGCAACCGCATCACATGCAGGTCTCGCGACAGCGTAGGGATCGATCGTATCTAAAGCGGGGATTTTGGTGACGGGAAAAGCCTCCATAGCGATAGGAGTGTGGTGGCCATTAGGTTGAGGGGAAGCATGCGCGGGGCTTTCATGCTCCTCGTGGTTTAAGATTGCGCCTGCCATGGTTTTAGCGGTAGGGATCAAAGCGGCTACGCACCTGCGAACACAATTGCCAGGGGCACGATCCTAACACTGGGGCGCGTGTATAAAGAGTGGACGTCGTTACTGACACGATGGATTCAGGGAGGAAAAGGTAATTATATAAAAGAGAAAAAAAAGAAAACAAAATCCCAAGGCACAAGAAAAATAACAGGAACGGCAAAAGAAGGGTCAAAAAATACAAAATACAAAATACAAAACCCACAACCCCCCCAAAATGCCGTTCTGCAGCTTCACACACTAAGTGAGATCCATTGAGCGTCATTTGAGGTGGACCCCGCGAGGGCCCGAAGTGACATGGTTGGTGGTGTGAGTGGTGAAGTGGGGTCAGTCGATGGGGGTCAAGCGTTGACTACCGCGGTAGTCATAAGAGCGGTGGTCATTACGATGGACAGGAACAGTTCCTGGGAAGGGAATAGGAAGATCCGTGCTTGGCAGAAATCAGCCTTACTGTACTGCGTGGCAGACACGATATCTGGATGCGATGCACAACGGAGAGAAAGAGTCAGGCAAGGCAAGAGGGAGAGGGGAAAACGTGATGTCGGTCTCGTGGTTTCTCCGGTCTTCGGCACACTTATCTGATTAGATCATCTGATTAGATCCACCCTGTATTGTTCGGTATGTACGATGATAATAATGAGGATTCCTAGCGTATGATACGGGTCCATCTACCAAGGCTAGTCAGGAACGGGTTGCACAATCCTAATTTTTCGTTTCTGTTCCTAGATCGATTGGAGAATATCTTCGAGGACCTACTATCCGTACCTCGTGCTTGATCTCGCCGACAACAGCAAGCTACGTAACTGGATCAATGCACCGCAATGCCCTAGGAGACCGCATGCCACGGCCCATCAACGTCAAAGTATTGATTGGTCTGAATTTGCTTTTCATGCCCGGACGATAGAGCTCGCAGTCTTGTTACCGGTCTGCCATACTTGTATCTCCCAGTGCTGATCGATAACACCCAAATGGAAGCCCCACAGACGCGCATTATCTGATCCGTAGTGGAGAGCAGAAGTGACAAATGAGCCAGCTATTCCAATGGTCCTCTCATGACCAGCAATACCGTGGGATTGCCCGGGGGGAGAAACACTCTACCAAGAAATGTAAAATGATCCCTTGAAGGGCATTGGATTGGGGGAAACCTTAGCATTGGGCTGAGGAGACGAGACCGACTTCGGGGCTGTTCCGGCGGGTATACAGTCCACCGCCCAGATCGATACTGGCTAGCGCTTTACCTGATGTTACAGTGCAGTAGTGCCGATGGGCTTGCATCATGCGTGGGACTTAGCTTTTGGCCAATGCCATTATTGCGCGGTAAAGCGAACAGTGGGTTTTGTCCCATATATGCGGTTCCGAAGTAAGAGCTACAGAATTACAAGAACGTACCAAGAATTCTTGTGATCTGACACTCAAATCAAGTCGAAAAATCCGTTATCTTCGTGGCCGTTGCGAGATACAGCCACACTGGTTGGGCGTGAGTTTCACCTAAGTTTAAAGTAGGTACTAGGTAGTATATCTTCCAACAACAGACAAACAAGCGAAGTATATCACACACTTTCCAGCTTTTCAAGTGCAAAAACACTCCATGGCAATCGATACTGGTTTCAGCTGGTCAACCGCGATGGGAAGTAGGTCTCCCAAAATAACGTAAAAATCAGATAAAAAGCATGAGACCCATTGCAGGTGGAGATATTTTTAGCGAGCCACTCAGTCCTCCCAGCGACGGCCATGATCGGCATACCATATCCTCCGTACGAGCGAAGCGGTGGGCATCTCTATCCCTCTTTCCGGCGCCAAGCCAACGAGGGCGGCAGCAAGCGACGACATTACAATTTGTTGTGGGATAATCGGGTTGGTGTAGATTACTGTCGCTTGTATGCTCCGATTGTTTTGAACCCTGTTTAAGTTACTGTAGATGCACTGTGAAGTTAATAATCATGAGCAGTGCTACTATCTCATGAGTAGCATTACAAGCAAATTCCTTAGGTACCAAGATGACGATGCAAAAAAGCAAAATACAATCAGATTAGACGGACATCTAATCAGATGCGGCCCGCCAAGCATTGTTCAATTTTCTCTCGTGGCAGAAATCTCCGAGCCCCACCGGGTTTAAGCCGGTGTCGGTTGTTGTTTATTGACTCATTCGATGGGATTTCAAGATGTGTTTGTGATCTGATAAGATTATATATATTACCAAAGCCAAGAATTGAACAAGAAAAGAGAACAGACAGAAAGAGAGAGAGAAAGAGAAAGAGTAAAGGAATTATCAGTCTCTGTTTGTAACTATCTTGGCAAGACGTAAGGCGTGTAATGTAATGTGTTGAAATGGAATTTGTATCTCCACAACACCACGGAATTATCCCTAAATGGGACTCTATCCGATTGAGGCGATCATCCCGGGTGGGCTCAGGCGCTTTCATTTCTTTTCCTTGGCCCTCCCACGCCACGAGATGATCTCAATAAGCGATACGTGTAAATGCCGCATCCGCCAAAGAATTCATGCCCCGCCTCCAAAAATGCCTCCAAGTGTTGTAGTTTCCATGACTGACGGTTGATAATTTTCTTATGGTAATCATTAGATATACTCGGGGGCTTCACTAGCTACCAGAAGGCTCTCGATTTATTTATATGTATATGTCACTTGTAGAGAAGGCTTATCCCGTTCAAATTGATGGTGAAGGACCAGCAGCCCTAGTATGAACGATGAAATTTGAAATAGAACGAAATTAATAATTATTTAAGTCATCAATAGAAACCCAACACTTAGTTCAGTAGTGACTATCAACAAGAGGCATGGTCTAAATCAGATAACTCCGGTTTAAGTTCGGATCTGATAAAATCAGCTATTTCAACCAGGGAAGACGGCTTCAATCTCAGGTGGACGAAAAGAAAGGAATATTTCATTGAGACTCGATTTCTCTTCCAGCTGGGAATATCTACTAGTAAATAAACACCCCCCCCCCACCACGTCCGTAGACGATTATTAACAAGTAAAAGTATCCGACATCACCCGGTGCCTCGCTTAGCCCAATCTGATAAGATGGCGTAAGTTTACTAGTAATTTACCAATTATTACCCCGCCAATATCCGGATCATGCCATACTCTTGGACTCGGTCAATAATAGGGGTGTCGCTATACAAAAACCGTCCACATCCAGAGTCAACCCCCCTCGAGTAAACTGATCATATTAAGGTTGCCACTACTAAAACTCTTGTCTCTTGTATTGGAATACTAATCACAAGGTATACATAGCCTTACTACGCCCACCTGGGCAATATTCATGCCATAGATTCATAGTGTTTGCTTTGCCATAAACTCCACGTCTCGATCATGCTATCCGATTGAAGAGAAGAGACCTAAGAGGGTGAACATTTGCAGTGATCAATGCTAGACAATGGCATGCCCTCAATCAGGATAGATGAAAGGCTTCTACCAAAAACATGCCCGTATCAACGCATGGATTATATATATATCTATATAACACTTCCTCTCCTCTTCATAACTCTCCAATAGCAGCTTCCACACTCTCAATGTATCATACCATCAAAGCCTCCCTCCTCGACTTCGACGTCAGATCCAAATACGGCGCTTCACCAATGCTACACACGCGGTCACCGGCGCGCGCCTCCGCATAATCATACGTGGCGCAGTGCCAGGTGGAGCGGTTATCCCAGATGGCCATGTCGTTTCGGTTCCACTTGAAGCGGACCTGGGCGTCGTGGTTTTGGGTCACGAGCTGTTTATTGTCAGTATTAATTACATATATACTGGAGTGATTCAAGGAATGCTTAAACATACGTTGAATAGGTAGTGGAGCAGCATGTCGGACTCGTCTTTGGTCACCCCGTTGATCCGTTTCGTGAAGCCCTTGTTGACGTATACTGATTTCCAGCCCGTGACAGCTTTGTCTAGTTAGCCTATGCAATCATTCAAGAACAAAAGTGCCGAAGAAGCAGACAGAGAGGAAAGCAAGGAAGACATACGGTTAGTCCTAACAACAGGATGCACCGCACTAAGCTCTTCCCCACAATTAAGCGGCGAGCCCCTAACACCCACCCGCAACGGGTTACCCAACCTCCTTGCTTCATCATGGAAGAAGCTCCCATCGTGCGTCGCCGTCAGCGTCTCCAGAAACGAAGCCATCCCCGGTGACAGCCGGTCGTACACTTCGTAGCCGGAGGCCCAGAGAGTGTCGCCGCCCGTCGGGGGCAGGGTGTGAATCTTGAGCATGGAGTAATCGGAGGGCACGCGTTCGAAGCTGATGTCGGTGTGCCAGGCTGCTGAGGCGAGGCGGCTGGAGTCGCTGAGCTGGTGGGTTAGCCCGCCGCCGGTCTTTTGCTTCTCGCTACTAATGACGCTGATTTGGTCACCTAGTTCGCTACCTTCTTCTGTGAGGGGGTGGACATGGAGGGTTGAGGAGGGGGCTGTTTGTTTGTTTAGTGGATGTATTTTTCGTGAGGTTCAACTGGGCTGTTGGGACCGCGGTGAAAGGACTTACACATCCGGCTACTGTGGTGAGTTTCTCCGCGAACTCGCGCATCTGCTGGGGGGTGATGTCCTGATTGCGAAGGAAGACGACGCCTCGGCTTGATACTGGATATCACGTTGGTATATATTCTCGGGTGGGACTTGTGTTATGAAGAAAGAAGGACTCTGCTCACTGGTGACGGCAAGGTCTTTGATGATCTGGTCACAGCTTTCATCTTTCAAGATTTCCACAATCTGAAGTCCCGAATACTCTCTTCCAATGACTGGAGTTAGATCAGAGTATGTGTACGGATCGAGGCTGCCTGAGTATTCGAGCGGTTGTGAAATACGTGGACGAGATTGCTCTGCGCCTCCGATGATGGGACTCGTATCAGCAGCTGGCATGGTGAGTGTAGTCTATTCAATAACAATAATCTTGGATATTGACAGAGACTGGGTTGATCGCGTGTCGCGGATTTGTATGGGTGTAGTGTGTATTGATCCCTGAGACAGCCACAATCTTATGGATATCGAGTATCGAAACGCTCCATATATCCGACATATAATCCCCTGCACACGATACAGTACAGCAAAAAATAGCCCCTTATCTCTCGACAAGAAGTTAAGAAAAGCGACAAGCCGGGTGATCCTCTTACCGTCTATCACACCTCATATTGCACTGATAGCCATGTCCTTGAGACAAGATGCAGCTGCTACTCGCTGATTTCACTCCTCTTCCCCGCTCCCAAGTTTCAGAGGTAGGCTCTTCACGATGATGTGCTCCGTTCTCCGCATTGTGCAATAGATGCATATCTTTTAAATAGGCGGATCAGTACGGCTACCTGGCTCGGGTTATCTATCGACAATGTAAGCCTGGAGCCGGTCCAACGATCACCATTTCCGCGCAAGTAAAGAAAATCATGAACTAGACAAGACATATATAAGCTCCTCTGTGGCATCCAAGTTCAGTTCTTCCATTATGAGGCGGGGAATAATCCAGTATACCAGAAACCCCACTATATTAGACGGTAGCAGGGATCATGATAGCTCAAGTAGTGATTGCGCTAATCTCTCCGCACGACACGCCATTGCTGTCTGGAACCCCACCTACGACGGAATCTGGCCGATGTGTGGGTTCAAGACTGTGCAGTGGAATCTGAAATATCTGTAGGGACAGGAGAATGGATCTGGAATTGGTATGTAGTTGACCTTACAGTAGATCAATATACAACAGAATGAATTCAATCCTTAACCTGCTCTGGAACCAATGGAAAGAAGGGTTCAAGATTCATGGGCCTTGATGTATTTAGGGAGTGTGTACAGCGCGGGGTAGATTATATGGAAAGAGGCCCCCTCTTGAAGAAATCACCCAACTATTGACAAGAAACAGTCACTTTACAAGCTACTTCGAGTATCATTGATTCTTCACCTTCACTAATCACGACAGAACATACCCACCGCTATAGAAGCCCAATCCTTCCGGTACTTGTAGTAGTCCTCACTAAGGAAGACGGCTCCAACGCTAAGGCGGCATTCCCTCCGAAGGGTATTCCACTCCTCGCTCAAGCCTCACAAGCACAATTGATTGGTACAAGCTGGGCTAGCGGGTCTCCGTGCCATCTACGGAGTACCTGATAAATTGACCAGCTACCCCTCGAGTGCGGGGAAGAGTTGACGACTTTGTGAGATTTATCGACATTGACAGCTGAGAAATTCCAGCGAAATGGCGTGGCCGAACAAGAATAAAGATATGCTCTACCGACGAGTAGGTAATTCGGGCCTACACGTATCGGCTATAGGGCTGGGTGGATGGTTGACGTTTGTATTTCCTATTCTTGCTGTTGTTCAAGAGGTGTACGAAATGTGTGGCTTACTTGTTTGATACTGTTGGTAGGTTTGGAGGTCATGTTGAAAACGGTACGGCCTTTTGTATTCTACACGACTGAAGCGGCAACTAATGGGAATTGCGTATTCAGAGACGACATTGGAGTGCATGAAGCAGGCATACGACTGCGGGATAAATTTCTTCGACACGGCAGAGAGGTAGAATCATGCTGCATTTCGTTCTCGCGAACGGATAAAGCTGACTCGGAAATCCAGCTATGCAGGTGGAGAATCCGAGGTCGTCATGGGCCACGCTATCAGAAAGCTTGGCTGGAAACGAAGCGATATTGTCATAACCACCAAGGTTCGCCGAAACTCCCAAGTATCGTGCCAACCAGCTACTAACACAATCAGCTCAACTGGGGCCTCGCCAATGGCGAAATTCTCATCAACAACCATGGTCTTTCGCGGAAGCACATCGTCGAGGGTACGCGGGCATCACTGGAGCGGCTGCAACTTGAATACGTCGATATTATCTACGCGCACCGCCCGGATCGCCTGACACCGATGGAGGAGACAGTGCGCGCATTCAACCATGTAATTGATAGAGGATGGGCCTTTTACTGGGGCACCTCGGAGTGGTCCGCAGACGAGATCACAGAAGCATGTGGGATCGCAAAGTCACTGGGGCTCATTGCGCCCATCGTCGAACAGCCGCTATACAATATGCTAGACCGGGAGAAGGTCGAAGGCCAGTACCAGCGCCTGTACTCGCGGTGTGGCATCGGGTTGACGGTATTCTCTCCGCTGAAGATGGGCCTTCTGAGCGGCAAGTACAACGACGCAACGGCACAACCGCCGCCAGGATCGCGATTCGCCGTGAGCCAAGATAATTACATCGGTCAACTGCGGAGTGAATGGGGCGATGAACAGTGGGCAGACACGATCCGCAAGGTCGTGGGCTTGAAAGAGCTGGCTGATCGGTTGGGGGTGAAATTGTCGCAGCTAGCCCTTGCGTGGTGTCTGAAGAACGAGAACGTCTCGTCGGTGATCACGGGGGCGTCACGACCGGAGCAGATTGCCGATAATGTGCAGAGTCTGGCATTGCTGCCAAAGCTGACGCCCGAGGTCATGGCGGAGATCGACCAGTTTTTGCAGAACAAGCCGGCGCAAGATCCTGCTCGACAGGGTTGATAAAGCGAGGTTCCTGTTAGCACAAACTTTAGATGAATTGTTCTCACACGTTGATTCCACATAAGAGAAAGGATGTCTCCATACTTGCTTCATATCCTCTCCCTCCTTCACCCCAGGACTTTCCCTCTCTCCCTTCCCCATCGGCACCCTCGCTCTAGCACAACTCTCACACAGATTACTCATATTCCCCCATTTTTCCCTCCACGCAATGCCAAGCTTCCGACACGCCATACACACCACATAGAGCACACCCTGTATATCAATGATAGCACCCCTCCCATACCTCGCTTCCTGCGACTCAGCGCGGGGAGTCAGCCCACACTCGACACAGAAGCGCTTCCGTGCATCGCGACCGCCGCGGCTTCTTCGGCGCTCGAGCATGCGTCGTGCGAACTGGTCCGCTGAACGCAGCCGTAGACAGCACCGACAGGCGTAGAGATGTCGAAATGTAGCGTAGCGGGATTTCTCCGCTTGGAGGAGATCATGATGCGAGAGGCGGGGGAGGAGCGAGTTGAAGTAGGAGGATGTCAGCTTTAGGTGGATGTCCCAGGGGAAGGAGAGGTAGTGGGAGATGAGGAGGTGAATCTCTGGGGGTAGGCTCATAAACTGTGGAGATGATTGATTAGATGCTGTCGTCAGGTCTGCCATAACACTGCAAGCTGGGAGCTGTAGGCCGTCGCGCAACTTGGGATGGATGAAGAGTGCGGGGATATGCGGAGATATGATTCGAGCGCTGTGCATATCGAGTTGTGCAGAATTATATAATTATGCATTCCATATGCTGTTTGCACTGTTTGGAATGCAGGTGAACATTCGTCTATTTTTACCTCTTCCTCTCTTGCCCAGACTTGCACGTCCTAGAATATCTCAAAAGCATGAAGTGGGACCATTGGCTTGTCATATCCATTGACAATGACCAGGCCAGGTCTGAGCGTCGTGTTGAATCAAACTAGCAGTGACGGCCAAGTCTACGCATGCTGGATATGACGTCTATTCCCCACCACCACCGCCTTGCAGTCCTCCGCGCACACGACATGAAACGAATGCCAACGTGAACAGGCCAGGCTGGGTAAAACTGCAGAAGAGAATATGATACGACAGTTCCAGAACAATATCAACAGCTGACAAGAGGCTCGAGCCATCCCCTCCAACTTAGTCATGCTCGTATAACACCACCCACATCCATATCCATCCCCGCATCACTCGACAAGACCAGACCAGACCACTGCACATCACCATGTCCCCCACGCAAGAAGACGACCACGAAGCCACCAAGCTCGCCACCCTCCTCACAACCGACATCCGCACGGTACTTCCTCCACAGCCAACAGGGGCCATACTCTCCCAGCGCCCGTTCGTCTCCATCCCAGGCCTCTTCAACCTGCGCGACCTCAGCACGCCCCAAGATGATGGTCCCCCCGCAATCCGCCCGGGCTTCATCTACCGCTCCGGCGCCTTGACACACATCACGCCGGCTGGTAAAACCGCCCTCGTTGATACCCTCCATCTAGGTACAATCTTCGACCTGCGTCGGCCGGAGGAGCGCGAGCGCGCCCCCAGCCCTGACATCCCCGGCGTCGAGACAATCTGGACGCCGTACGCGTTCACGCCCATGCCTGTTAATCCGCGCGATTTTGCAGGACCGGATGGTGGCGTCTCCGGGTTCGTCAAGATGTATGTTGCGGTGCTGGAGTGCGCTGAGCCGGCGTTCAAGGCGGTGTTTCAGCAGATACGGGACCACCCGGAGCGGCCTATTCTAGTTCATTGTTCAGGTTTGTCAATATTTACCCATCTATGAACAGACTTCTTCGCATCCTCGAAGAAGCCAAGCTTGTAATATGGAGTGCTAATTTAAGTTAGCCGGAAAGGACCGCACGGGCGTCATCGCCGCCCTTATTGAAAAACTAGCCGGCTACTCCGACGACGCCATCGTGTACGACTACCTCCTCACACGGATCGGGATTGAGCCTGCGCGCCCGGCACTGCTGGGGTTCCTGCGGGGACAGGTCGGGGCGCCGGTGCCGGAAGAGATGCCGGGGTTAGTGGAGCTGTGCGGTGTGCAGGCGGCGGCGATGAGGGGGTTCCTGAAAGTGCTGGACGAAACGTTCGAGGAGGGTGTTGTTGGGTATTTGACTATTCGACTGGGGTTTTCGGACGAGGATGTGGAGGTGATACGGAGGAACTTGGCTCATTACTCTGAGGATCAAGTTTCAAACCCTACTAGATAGTATAGTATCCCCCGCGAGCGCAGCATACAACCCGACCAAAGACAACAGAAGACAATACAATCTACAATGAAGAAACAACAGACTCAAAACAAACCAGCTAAATTCACCTAGCTGAATAGACAAATATAAAAGATCTAAACAGGAACCTCCCTCTTCTCCACATACTGCAGCACCCCAAACGCCTCCTTCACACCCTGCGTCTCCACAACCCTCTTATACCACTCCATCGCCTTAGGGAACTTCTCCCTAATCTCCCTATCAATAGCAGTCGAGAAGCCCCAAACCAGCGCACTCGCCACCGTAATATCCCCCAGACTAACCTTCTCCCCACCGGCAAGCCACTCCTGCCCCTCAAGCGCCTTCTCCAGCGTACGGAACGCCCTCTCAATCTTCCCAACAGCCGCCTCCTCCACAGCGGCATCAAAAGCGCGATACTTCATCCGCGGCAACACAAGGTCAATAACAGGGTTCTGGACGTCGCCGTCCGCAAAGCAGATCCACTGCCTGATGAGCGCGCGGCGGAGCGGCGTCTCGCCGAGCAGCTGGTCAGCGGCGGGCCCGCTGTCGGCGATGTACTGCGCGATGGCGTCGGACTCGAAGAGGGTGACTTTGCCGTCGGCGGATTCGAAGGCGGGGACTTTGCCGTGGGGAAATTTGGCGAGGAAGGAGGGGGTTTGGTTGGTTTCGCGCATGACGAAGTCCGGGACGTAGGGGACGGAGAGGTTGTTGATGTTTGCTGCTGCTTGGGCCTGGGATATCATTAGCATTGTTCTATTTTATTTGGTTCTTGCTCAATGGCTTTTTTTGGGGGGGGGGGGGGGGGGGGGGGGGGTTCAAGGCGTGGTGGGGAGAGGATGAGGGGTAAGTAGTACCTTCATAACCCTGGGGTTATTAGGATAGCTCCAGATCTGGCCAAACGGAGTGGGAGACATGATGTATGTAGTATGGTATGAATGATACTAGAGGATCAATATGTTGTGTTGATAGTGTAGTGTGTAGTGTAGTGCAGTGTAGTTGAAAACAAACAACGACCAAAGAGGGGTTTATATAGATCTCAAAGGATCTCAAGTTCCCAGTAAGGAAAGGTCATCCAAATGACAGCTCAGCTAGTTTACTCAATCCGTCAAGATAGTTATTAAGCCACGGACCACGATTACAAATAGGCTACCTCCATTACCCACCATCACGAACTAACTACTGTGTATACACCTAGTTAGGGGTAGTAAGGATGACAAATACAGCGGGGTTGTTGATAATCCACCCAAAGAAGGACGGAAAGAGAGGGAGTCTCTCATCGAATGTTATCGAACAGTGAGAGTGGAGTGCTGGTAGTTGACGCGTGCTCATAGGCCGTGTGTGGCCCGTTACTGCGGGGTTACTTGTTTGGACTGTTTACTCTGCGCTGTAGGTAACAGTTACAGATACGATACTATGGAGGTTGAAATGTAAGAGATATAAGGTATCTATAATATCTACAAGTTGATAGATAGCTTTATATAAAGTTATAGATGCGATCCGTATGCAGGGTCATTCTTATACGCCGTAGATCTTGCTACATGCCAGGATATGATGGTGTCATTCATGTCAGCATATGCCACAGAGTGGAATGCTCTATAGATGATCAGCCTAGTAAGAGAAAAGAAGAAGAAGGATCAATAAGGTAAGATAGGGAAAATTAAGAAGAATAAGAAGAACAAGAAGAATAAGAAGAATAAGAATGAGGAGAATTAATGATAATAATGATAATAATTCAGGCTATGCATATCCAAGTCATGTACTCGCTTTACAGCACCACCCCCTTACAACCTAGTCTTGCTCATCTGCTTGTCCAACGACTTGGCCAACTTCTGACTCGCCCAGTCTGCAATCCCCATGTTGGTCACCATCGGGTTCACTCCGCTGGCGCTCGGGAACACCGACGCGTCCATCACGTACAGCCCCCGAGTCCCCCACACCTGACACTCCGGGTCCACCACGCTGCTGCGCACCGACGACCCCATGCGGCACGTGCCCATCTGGTGCGCACTCGCGAACATGGTGCGCTCCGGGTCGCACGGCGTCTTGCGACGCAGCTCCGAGATCCACGCCTGCAGCGCCGCGTTGTTGGTGCCCTCCGCGGAATTCGTGTTGGCCGGGTCCGGTCGCACGAACGGCGGCATGTCGCGGTACGACGTGCGGAACTCCTTGGCCCCCGCGATGTAGGCCACCTTCGCCGCCGTCACGATCCCCTCCACGATGTGCTTGCGGTCAAAGACCGACGGCGTGTAGTCGATGCGCAATCGTCCGTCCACCGGGTCTGGGTACACCCGACCGGTGTCGCGGTCCTTGGTGAGCGTGATGAAGCCCGCCATGTGCGACAGCTTGGCCGTCCACATCTTCCAATCCAGCCCGTCGCGCCACGTGAACGCCGGGAGGAATGCCGGCGGCAACATGGTCAGGCATTCGACCTTGACACCGTGGCCGTGTCCGTCAAGGTCCTCAAACTCGTCGATCACGGTGGTCAGCGCGGCCCCTTCCCACGGACGGGTCTCTTCATCAAAGACGGCTCCCCCAATGACAACTATACATATCAGTAACGGCATTCCCTTGGAAAGAGGAGAGGAGGTGGGGTGGGAAGGGCTTACCCGGATGCAAATGGAGATTCCGGCCGACCTGCGGGTTCTTAATGCCACTGCGCAGCAGAAGCAAAGGACTCTGCAAAGTCCCGCACGAAACGACCACTTTCTTCGAGTTGATGATGACCTTGCGTTTGATGGCAGTCGGCCCGGACTGACCGCACCAGGCGTCTCGCGACGTCCACGTGCCCTCAACACCAGACGCCACACGGCCGGCCTTCGTGTTGGTGAAGAGGACCCGGTCGACATGGAATCCCTCGATGAATTGCGCACCGGCCTTGGACGCATCCGCGAGGTACGTCTCGGTGGGGCCCTGCTTCTCAGCTGAGTGGCAGCCCATCGTGCAGTGGCCACAGTAATGCTCGTGAGTCCCCGTGTTCTGGGGTACCGCGCTGGCCGAGTATCCCAGTTTCCGGGCGCCTTCCAGGAGCACCCGGTTCTGGTGGTTGTGACGGGTGTACTCCGAACTGGCACCGATGCGCTCGCACACGCGGTCCAAGCTGTTTTGGAACTCCATCGAGGTAAAGAAGGGCAGGCCACCGTCGGCCCACTCCTGGCGCACATAGCCCTGGGTCTGGAGGGACGCCGACCAGTTGACGGTGCCACCGCCGCCCCAGACAGATCCGGCGAACACGCCCATGGTGCCATCGTCCGTCGTCACTGCCCCCGAGCCCTCGAACATACTGACGAAACCTTGGTCAAAACTCATGGGGAAGTTGCGCGAGGAGTACTGGTAGGCCTTTTCGACAACGATCACCTTGTGGCCCGCCTCCGCGAGATTCTTGGCCGCCACGCCGCCGCCGCAGCCACTACCGACGATCACCACGTCGGTTTCGATAATCTCGGGGCGATCACCACCGGGGAAGCCAAGGAATTCAAAGGGATGACTGTCCCGCGGTTGCCCATGGGCGGGAACCTGGGGGAACCCGATGGCCTGCAACGCGGTAGGGCTGGTGACGATCCACGTCCGCCTGGAGATGGCGGACAAGGCGCGGAAGACGGCACGAAGGGGCTTTAACCGGGACGTCTCCCATCCGCGGAAGACATTCTCGCGGACTTCGAATGGTTGGTTCTGGAACGGCGTCATGGACCCGGTCAGGAGCAGGGAGCCGGCTCTGGTACTATAACACTGTCAGCTTCACGCATCATCCAATCGGGGACGCCCAGACACGACGTACTTGAGGACATTCAAAATAAGACTGATGCCGTTTCGGCCCTCTTGGTGGACGTAGGTCGTGAACAGACGCTGGATATTCTCGCGAAAGGCGGCGTTTGTCGACACGTCTTCTGCCAAGTACTGGGCGGCGATGACGCCGGCATCCGGGTCGTGAATTTTAGCAGTCAACGAAGCAAGGGCCTGGTCATAGACTGCCTTGGACACCTGTTTATCGGACGAGGATCTCGACCCTCCCCTGCTGCGGATTCTGGGGACGACCGTGCTGGCGATCGACAAGAGCGTAGTCCATTGCAGCTCGGAGAACAACTGCTCCTGGGAGACGGGGGGGATTGACACTGGCAAGGGAGTGTATGGGATGGTCTGGTCAGCCATGATGCCAGGCTATCTCAAGACAGTTATAGGCAGGATGAATTAGGATATCGCAAGGATCCTGCGTGGATGACAGAGGGTCCTCAGAAATCGACTTGTATAGCAACCCGAGGATGGATAGGATAAGGATGAATAGTGGATTAAAAAGGACAGTTGAATGAGAGAAGAAAAAAGATAACAGGTGGCGATGAAGCTCGGCCGGTAGTATTATAGTATTAATGACAAGGGAGGGAGTGAGTGAAAAAGAGGAAGTGAATGTAATTGTCCGGCGGCCCAGATGGGCGATACCTAATGTACTTGACAGGTAGTAGCGCCTTCCTTCTCCACGTTGAGCAGCTGGTGGGTGCCCAGAGCAGTAGAGCTTGCGAGCGGACTTGGCGAGGCAGGTGAACCAATGGCGACGCGATGTGGGGGCGAATTCTCAAGCCTTGTCTCTCAGAAACTTCTCGGCCTTCAATAAGACAATAAGAGAGAACCAATGGCCTGGTCTTTATGTCGCAGCCAACCCGGGGATCCCGCGGGGAAGAAAAGGAGGGGAAAGCCGAGGCTGCGGACATTGTTTGGAGATGAACTCATTTCGGGGTGTGTGTTCGAAAAACAAAGAAAATAACCAGGGACGCGGCAAGGATAGGTGGTGGGTCAGCGAGGGCTTCATTCATGGTGGTAGTCTCGTTCATTGGGTGGTCCCGTCACGATCGTCCATCCAGTGGACTAATGAAGGATTTGTATGCGGGGAAATCAGCCAAGCTTCACGTGGAGATGATACTGAAGTGGAGAGTCAGCAGCATCATGCCATGTCATGTGAAAGGGTAACCCGGGGTGATGAATGAACTATATGGTGCGACATCCTGACACTAACAAGGATTCGTGGTTTCTGGTCTCAAATCCGGGGATCTACCATGCTTGACCACTTAGTCTTTGGAGATCGGTTGCAGCAGTCGATCTCCAAAAGAAGGCAAGTAGACGTCGTCAGCCTGAACATTCACCAAAGGAAGAGTTGTGGGAGAGAGAAAGACAGCTAACCGTCATAGCTGGAAGCGAGCTGTCATGCATAATGCATGCCGAGCTTCCGAGAATGCACAGAATTCGGTCCAATGCCGGAGTGGGTTCGGAATGTGGGCAATTGATGCAGCATTCCAGTTTTGAACTTCGTATGCTTCTTCGTCGCCACTAAGCACGAAGCAACCCTCAGCAATTCATGACTGGGATATTATATCCAACGATCTGGTAAGTATCTCACGACACATATCACTGGCAGCACGAGGATATACCGAGAAGGATGGGAAGTAGGCAAGACAGGGGAACAGGAAGTGAATAATATACACCTTATATAGGAATGAGAGAGATATAAAGACAAGGATTGAATCAAGATAACATAAGCTTCAAGAGCACAGAGATCAGGTGATGCCACCACCTGCGTTACCGCCAGATCTCAACGTGACCTCTACACATCTACTATCTGCGCGGTAGAAGATCTATTGGACGATGTCTCCTACCATGATACAGCCTATAAAATACACATTGAGTACCTGCCTAGGTAGTATCGTGGGATTGTCCCTCTTTCAACTGAACCGTTTTTATAGGTTAGGGACATCAGATGGAGATCATGATGCTATACAAAATATTGAACTCAAGCTAAGCGACTATATGCTGTAACGGCGCCAATTGGGTACAGGCGCGATGTATATCTGGCAATATAGATTGAACCGAAGGCGTCTGTCAAGTGAACTATAGTAGATACGACTACAGCTACGGTAACAAGATGAAGTAATGTTAGGATATAGATAGATTAATCGTATATCAACTATCAATTCCTCCAGATCAATCAATCAGACCAACTCCTCTATAACCGAAAAACCCAACATGCCAACTAATGTAAAATAATCAACGCCGATCTCAGAAAAAACAGCAGAAACGAAGGCTCGAAATGGCATAAGATCGCCGAACGATGAAGAAAAAAAAATGACGGGGTATCCTGAGTATCAAGGAAAAACAACGAAAGAAATAACCCCCCGTCTCTATGACGATCGCGTGATGACATTAGTGGGTTGGGAGTGACCCGTGTAGAGAAAAAAAAAAAGAAAAAAAAAAAAAAAAGGCAGCACTCCAAAACAGTCAAGCAAACAAGACCGGACTCCAACACGGAATCACTGAACGAAGGAAGAAAAAGGGCATCAAGTCGAGAAAGAGAAAAAAGGCTAATGGTAATCTAAAACGGGCGTGGGTAGAAAAGTAGGTCCGCAGCGAGCGCAATGTCCAATGGAACGGCGGACGTGGTATCGTATCGTAACAGGTGAATCAGGCGTGGGGTTCGTAGGGCATATTAAAAGGTACTCCAGTTCCAGCCGCGCGGAACGCTCGCGGCTATCTCGGTGGGGTTGGGACCAAGCATCGCGGCCAGTTTGGCTCGAGGGCCCTCGACCGGCGAGGATTCTTGAGTCTCGGAGGGGTCACGTTCGGAGCCAGAGCTGGAGGACTGCTCGTCAATCGCGCCTTGGATCTTATTCAGACGGTCGGAGCGGGACTCTTCCCAGCGCTGGAAGGCGTGCCAACAAAGGTCGCATGCCCGCGACGGCACCCCGTCGGGGTGGAAGCGGGCGGACTGGTCGAGGGGGACGTGGAAGGGGGTGTGAGAGGAGCAAAAGACATGCCCACAGTGGCGGCAGTGATGCCGACGGAGGAAGATTCCAAAGGAGGAGCGGCAGGTGGGGGAGTCGCAGTTGGGTGAAGCTGCATCAGCCTGTCACATGTCGTTAGCATCACGTTGTCAAATCCATTATGGTAGTCATTGATGAGCGAGCACGCCATTCGTCGTGATCGACCGACTGGTGCGACATCTCGAGGCATGCTCACGCCATCCAATGGGATATATAAGGATCCCGACCCCTGGGATCATGCACAATAAAAGGAGAGGAATAAAAGGAAAAAGAGGATGCTCACCTTCCAATGATCCCGCGTGGGAAGACCGGTAACTTGGCCCAGATGTTCATGTCGCATCCACTCGTTCTCAGCCAGTCTACTCACTCCTGCGCTGGTGGTGCTGTCCATGGTGGAGCGACGGCTACTGACGGTCTGCTCCTCTCCATCGTTCAGGCTGTCGAGGGAGCCATGGACACTGCGTGGAGGAGTTGGGGGCGAATGCTTCTGCGGGCGCTCTGTCGGGCGCAAGGCCGCGGGAACATACAAGGGGGCCTTGGGCGGGCGCAATTGACGGTTATTGAGCGGTAGATATTGTTGCCGCGGAGAAGTCGGTGAGTTGTTGGAGGGAGTGGCGGTGGCCGAATTCACAGGGGAAGGTTGCCCGTAGACGGAGAATTGGTTGCCGGAAGGGGTGGGAGAGGTAGTGGTAGCGGTGACGACATGAGTAGCCATGGTGGATGGTCGGTGTTGAAGTGGCAAGTAGGGTTGGGGAGAAAGGAACAAAGAGGTGTAAAGAAACAGATCGCAAGATCTTGAGTCGAGTCAAGAAATGAATTCGGTTCTTATCGAGGGATAACGTTGCAATTAAAGGAGGTGAGGCGAAGAGGAGCAAAGCGGACGAAACCAGGTAAGCATCGCTCAAAAGGATAGACGGTGAATAGAGTGAACGGTTCGATGACGAGCACACAGGAGTGAACCACCAAACAGAGGAATAATAGGAAGGCGATAATCGAGGAAGATGCAATTGAGTAGAAGTATCGAGAGGATATCGAGAAGATATCGAGAGGAGATTGAGAGATTATATCCTTCAGAACCGAAGGGATGGAACTCGGGAATAAGGAAGAACGTGGTATCCGGTAGTTGGAATCTGGGAACCAGAATATGGGGAAAGAAGAGGATAGTTGAAGTAGTAAAGTACAGAGAGTACAGCGAGTACAACTGACAACACCGTTGCAGTGGACGAGAAAGAGGATTAGATCGCGCGGGGACGAGCGGACTAAGTATGGCGGTCGACGTTGCAGGCCAAGAGCGAGAAGCAAAACGGCGGGAAGTGACGGGCGTTCGAATTTGCCATGCGCCAGTGGGGGGGCGGGGATAGTAAGGAATAATTAAATAATAAATATAATCAGGAATATATATATATATAATTATTATGGTGAATTGAATTAATTAAAATTATGGGGATTCAATTAATATAATCCTAAAAGTCAGCCGAAGGGTTCGGATCTGAGTAGACTGGGAGATTGGAGAGAACCATAAAAGGTTGAGGCTAGAAAGTCCCGAAGAAACGCAATGGGTGGAGTCGGTTGGAGAGTTGATCGGAGGCGGTTTATATTATAATTAATATTAATATTATAATATTTTTATTATGGATCATATTATGTAGTATTATTCTGCTTGGAAATGGTGGAAATATTGGAATTAATTGGATTCAAAGGTCGTACGGAACTTCCTCTCCTCCTCCCCTCTATCGTGAGATTGATTCATGTTAGAAGGATGTATACGGAGTATTCACAGGAGAAACCTGTTTCCTCCCTGTTAACCCCCTGTCTGGTTTGATCGAGTCCTATGGTTGATTCATCTCCGAAATGACTGGGGGAGTTCTTCTTCTGGTCAGCCAAGCGTTTACCGGATTGATAGATAATTATGACACACAGTCCTCCGAGAGTAGTCCGGGAGAATCGGATGCATTCCTGCTCTCCCCTAAACTCTAAGGGGAACGGCTTTCTACCGAGGATGAATCCCATAATCCCGTCCTTCGCGCTCCTGTTCGGTCCGTGTCCAGTAACGCTGATAGTGCAACATGTGTTCCTTGTAGTCTGTGTAGTCCCAGAGACTCATCACCTCTAGTGTTGTCTATGTTGTTACTAGTGTTGTCTATGTTGTTGATTCTACTGTGGATGTGATGTGGATGTTGGTCTGTTACCAACTGACTTGCATGGCTGGAGACATTCTCCATGAGAGATCCAAAGGCCAAGATGATTATGTCTGTCATCAGTGGGGATGCACTGGACTAGTGGTGAATCTGTTGTTGAGCCAACAAGAGTCTCCTCTATCCCTGCACTTCTTGACCGCTTTTTGTGATCCTCCCACGCCTATCAATCATCCTTCCCATCCTCCATCATCCTTTGACCTCTTCCTCTCGAGGGTCAACTCCTAAACTCTAAAAAAGGAACAAGATAAAGATAAAGAACGCCCGGAAAGTAAGAACACGAAGGATGAAAGAACGTACATGATACATCATTCTTCGGTCATCGCCAAGGGTGATCTGAATCCTGACTCCGTGCTAGACGTGGCAATAACATCACGGACGGGTTGGCACGACACCCTTCCTCTTCAGGCCCTTCCTTTCCTACGAATCCTCCCCCACTTGCAACGGGAAAGAAGTGGATGGTACCAGTGGATGGAGCCAAGTTCCATCCCTCCCCATCCTTCTCCAACTCTCCATCCGCCACCAGGAGAGGAAGGATAGAAGTATCCAGATCCCACTCCTTTAACACCACAAGATGTTACATGCGACCCCGGTTGCGGGGGTGACTTCGAGGTTAGGTCACTTGGTAACCCTCCTTCTCGCCGGGTGAGGATCCGTCCAACCAGAAGTACGGCGGACTCGATCCCTCCCTGTTCCCTGTCCGGCATGGCCATCTTCTCCTATCCCTTCACACGGGAGCCCGTCCAGCCCAACCGGGCGGAAGGGAGACCGGGTGGAAGAAAGTCCTAGCCGGTTGAATCTCTTAAAATCAGAATTCTGATTAGTCTGAGGGTCCACATTTCGGGGAACTCCACAGTCCACAGTCCACCCACGACGCGGATCCCACCAGAGCCCACTCATCCACTTGTCCTCGTCTGCTTACCTACTGTGTCGGGGGCAGTTCACGAGATCCTCGGCCGATTTTCCAAATGGCCAGGGTAACATTACTACTAAGACGTTGTAGTTAAGGAGTACAGATACATCCATGAATCAATAATTTGAGTCAGAGGTCTGGGTCTTGTCTTGCACCCACGCGTCGACCCGATCGTAACACCGCTGGTGTCACCATCAACGAGTCATCGAAGGATGTTCTCAGTCGGTCGGATCCCTTGCGCAAACTCTTTGTGCAACTCTGCTCGAACCTTCTGGCGGTGACTGCGCAACGTTCAACGGTCGGAGTAAGGATGGAGTGGATTGCGGACAGTGGACTATTCACAGTGGACACTGTTGGAGACTCGATTCCTCCAGCGTGAGGTGCAAGTTGCAACTCAGGCATCCAGAATTCCACTGACATCCCGCCGGTCAACAGTGGAAACCAATCAGAGCGGCGGACGACACTTCCCAAAGCGGAGGCTCCGTTGAGGCGAAAGTTATGCCAGCCCTGTGATTGGTGGATTCTGGCTTCTTGTTATCGTCACTCTCTGATTGGCTGCTAAGCACCGCTCCCATCCCATTGGCCAGTGCAGCCTTAGAGCCTGAGGACACTGCACAGACAGACCCCGACGCTCCAACCTTGGCGTCCCGGCCTCGGCTAGTGCAGTGTTGTTAGGTAACAGAATAACAGAATGCGACGGTCAGGGCAACTATCGTCCATGGCTCTTCGGACTAGTGCTCTTCACAGCAACCGTTGACGGTGGACTTGCCTTGCTGGGAAAAGCCTCAAGGATGGGTGGCATAAAGCTTCGACAGTCGTCCACTTGTTAATCCCAAGGGGGTCTAGCTGCTGGTCTGGCTCACCCTGTCAGTCTGTCACTCGTGGAAGATTACCAATTAGGGACTCGAGATGGATACCTCGCCTGAGAATTAAACACCCCTCTGGTCCGGCGACTAGGCGATCATACTCGGGCAGGTAACCTAAACGCCGCTGCCACCTGCCGAGGAGATCCCCAGATCTGTAGACAAGACAGTAGCTCGCATGGAAGTGTGCGGTAAGGATACGGATACTTCGTGGAATGCTATCGAAGAATCACATGGAACATCACGATATCAATCACTACACTCTATGACACCATAGTGGCAATCAGACAGGCAAACAACAATATCAGAATACATATCTACAAAGAAACGGGGTTCATATTTCAGCGATTACGGAGCAATCCGATAGTCTCATCGACTATGCATTGGCCAAAGCCCGGCCTCCTGTTGGTCGGTGCAGCGATCAACATGTAAAACATCCATGCGTACTTGAGACAGACTACCGAGTAACTAACTACTAGGCTCACTCTAGGCAGGAACTAAATGTCCTCGAGAGTCAAGAAGGCAGCCAACGAGGGAGCCGTTGGCGCTATTAGATCTATGTTCTCGACACGGTCCAACGAACAAGACCTATCTAGTTCAACAAGTCTGATACTTAGTTCGGTTGCCATCTGAACCAGGTAGGACGTATCCGTAAGATCGTACAGCAAGCACACGACGATATAGTACGGTCGGAACCGGCTCGACGATCCTCCATCATCTTCGACTCATGTTCGGCGTCCTCACTGACAGGGATCAAGGGACTAGCATTCGATAGATGGCCACGCCGAGATCCCCGACCGGCAGACTATTGGTGATCTAAACGTGTCTCCTGACGCATGCGCTAATCATGGCGTAACTCGGCAAGTTCCCTGCATGCTTGCTACGCCCCTTTCTTCCTCCATGACTATTACCGAGACAAATAGATTGTGCTGTCCTATTCTTGTCAAGGTATGCCCGTCCAATTGAAAATAGACGATAATAACACCTCATAGATCGACGCGTCGTTTGTTGGGTGCTGGTGGGTTGTGGGAGCCGGTGGCTGGGAGGCAAACCATGGTACCGCCCCTTTCTAGTCGCTTCCAACCCTTCCAGAAAGGCCGAAGAATTTCCTTTCCTTTTCCAGCCAGTCATGGCTCAACAATACTCAATCAATCAACAAATGACAAACAATCTCCGCTCCCTGGACCACCCCCCTGTCCCTGGGAGATTACGCAGAACTTCGATAATAGTAACCAGGGTTCCAGGTAGATTGAGACTATTGACCTCGTGAACCATGGGTAAAACAGACCGTATGCATACTATACTACGATACTACTACTACTACTACTACTACTACCACGACCGGCCCTCTTAGCTTGGTCCCACAGCCCGCGGAGATGCTGAGCAGCGAAAAAGAAAAGAAAAAATAAACTAATCATAAAAAAATCATAATCACATTCATAACTGAGTCTCGGTGGACGACGGCGTCTCCACTGATTTGCCGCACTTTCACCCACCCTCGTGACTGACTCCGTTCGACGGACTACACTCCCCATAGTTCTATACCCAAGTAGGTAGGTAGCCAGCTAGCTCCAAAGTCGACGATCGGTGGTCTTTGGCAAAGGTGGACACTAACACCTGGATAAATTCGGTGTACTATTCTAATTCAGTATTGATTGAAAGTGGCCCGGCTGTGGATGTGGGATGGTTGAATTGAATGGATTTATTCAATTTCTACTATTAATTTACACATCCCACTTAATCTATTAAACCCGGCAGAGGTGGATTAGATTAAATTCCCGCATTAATCAAATTCAAAAACCGAATTCTGCATCGTCTACGGCTTTTACCTGCCTAGTCCTACCTTACCTTACTAGCCCAGGTAGACTACTAGCTAACTACTGTCTAATCTAGCTAGCCTTGTAGAGAGCGGCCTGGCGCCGTCCGTGACTGGAGATGGGATGCGGTGAAGAATTGAGTACGAAGATCATCAGCACGGCAGGATGGATCTTCATGAATATAGTAGACCTCTTAGTACTAGGTAGGATGTAAACATTATCATAAACAGATAGCCTGATTGGCCCCACGAAACCCCAAATCCAGCAATCCAATCCACGGACGCATGGATATAATGGGCGGGATAAAGGCAAGGCAGAACCACTTGGGAAGCTGTCAAGCCCGGCTATTGTGCTTGTTCAGCACCTCCGAGTTTCACCCGAGCCCGCGACCTGCCCGTTCGGAATACGGGGGCGGGCGGACTTACTTCCCTGGACAGGGGACCTCGGGTCGGGTGAATTGGGTTGAATTGGACTGCACGCGAGGATCGAAGGGAACGGACACAAGGATCGAACCGCGTGGTCACGGGGATGGGGTCGGGGATGGGACGGGGATGGGGATGGGATGGATGGATAGATGGATCGCTTAGGCACGAGGATCATTGATCGTCCTTACCATCCCTTCTCTGCCGTTCTCAATTTCCTACACGGCAACTTTCCGTGTCTTTGGGACGCGAACCGAGGTTCTGTTGCCCCTTTATCTGTCTATCTATCTTATCGCTTTCCTTCTGCCTGTCTGTATCTTATCGATACTGCTGCTTGTCGCGTGGTATGGGGTAGCATTCTTATCTGTTTGATAGCTACAGATACTAATTCTTCTTTTACGGTCAAGGTGTCTAAGAGAGATCAATCTTGATTATGGCAATAATATCCAATCTGTCTCTCTTATTCGCATGTAACATCCCGCCAAGTGCGTCATGCATGATACCTGAACTTATTCTGCAGAACGTCAGATATAAAGTTTAGCATGGGAGTCCCCTATCTATCCACATCTTGGCATTGTAGTATAGACAGGGGATTTTCGTTTATGGGCAAGGTCTGTCCCGATATTCCACGTGCAATAGTTATATAAATGGGACTAGTTGTACACTTGTCATCGGATTTATGTGATAACACGACGGTACTCGATTAAAACTGCCTGGCGAAATAGTTGAACTGCTGCTCCGTACAGCAGATTGAGATTATATCAGAGTATTCGTGAGGGTTGTCGTAATAGTATTCTCAGGAGTATTCTCAGGACTTGGTTTTAGGGACTGTTAGTGTGAAATAAATTGATCAATGAAGTTTGCGAATCTAACAGAATCAATGAAGGTCATGAGGCGTAAGGAGAGGTTCAAACGGTACTGGAATATATAATGATAGTGATTGATCCTCTAGTCAGGTGACAACTTTAGCCCTGGATATCGCATTCATTGATCTCCAAACCAAGCTGCTTGTTTAATTCTATAAACAAGATAATCGTGCCTCCTCGTCTTATCTTAGTCCCGTTGATCATGGATATAGCTCCATCCATAGACACTAATCTGTGACGGAACATGTTTGCCATAGTTGTACCAACACCGGTAGTACAAATACCCTGAGTCCAGACCTATGTTAACACGCATAACAGCAAGGACAGCAAGGATATTAAACGATGCATGTAACCACTACCCGCCAAGTGGCTTATAGTCCGTTTGTGGCATCCTGGACCGACTGGCTAGAACATCGCATCAACGACGTCATCCACTCACCTCCGCAATTCAATGCAACATAACCACCACGATCCAACATCATTCCCTTATCGATTATTCCATCTCCTGACCACAAGAAACGTACAAAAAACACATCCATAGAATACCACATACATCCACCCGCAAAATGAGACAACTCGCCGTCTTCAGCACCAAATCCTACGACAAACAATACCTCTCCACCACCCTCCAAGAGCAATACCCCACCCTCTGCGAAATCGTCTACCACAGCTTCCCCCTCTGCGACGAGACCGCCTCCCTCGCCCACGGCAGCGACGCCGTCTGCGCCTTCGTCAACGACAAGCTCGACGCCGCCGTCCTCCGCGCCCTCCACGCAGGCGGCACCCGCGCCATCCTCCTCCGCTGCGCCGGCTTCAACGGCATCGACCTCGACACCGCCGAAAAGCTCGGCCTCTTCGTTGCCAACGTCCCCTCCTACTCCCCCGAAGCCGTCGCCGAGTTCGCCGTCGCCCTCATCCAAACCCTCAACCGAAAGACCCACCGCTCCTACAACCGCGTCCGCGAAGGCAACTTCAACATCGAGGGCCTCCTCGGCTACACCCTCGCCGGCAAGACCGTCGGCGTCGTCGGCCTCGGCCGTATCGGCCTTTCCTTCACCCGTATCATGCACGGCTTCGGCTGCAAATTGCTCGCATACGATCCCTATTGCGCGGCGTCCACAGACGCCAACGGCGGGGGTGCCGAATTCCGCCAACTAGACGGGTCGTTCGTCGAGCTAGACGAACTACTCCGCGAGGCAGACATCGTCTCGCTCCACTGCCCACTAACAGAAACAACACGGCACGTAATCGGCCGGGAGAGCCTCAAACAGGTCAAAGCCGGCGCGATGATAGTAAACACCTCACGGGGGGCATTAATTGACACACAAGCGGCGATCGACGCCCTAAAGACAGGGCGACTAGGTGGGTTAGCACTGGACGTGTACGAGGAGGAAGGGGCGCTGTTCTACGACGACCACTCGGGGGATATCATCCACGACGATGCGCTGATGCGGTTGATGACGTTTCCGAATGTGCTGGTTTGTGGGCATCAGGCTTTCTTTACGGATGAGGCGTTGAGGGAAATTGCCACCGTTACGTTGGGGAATCTGGAGGATTTTGTGCTTAGGCGGACATGTCGGAACTCGTTGGTTAGGGAGGGCCATTTACTTGTTGAGAAGGATAAGGAGCCGGTGAGGTTGTAGGTCCCCTTTTTTTTATTGAATGTCGGTTTGTTGGTTGGTTTGATATATATCTGGGAATCTCGCTCTTGAGATTATTCTTGTTGCAATGGCATTAGCAGATTATACAGTATAGATGTGTGGATGGTGGTCAACGTCGTTATTTAACGGCGCAGGTGTTCCGATATATAAATCCCTAACCCGTGGTGCACTGATCACACCAACACAACGCAATACCCTAAATCTCTACTAAATATATGTCTTGATGATATTAGACCTAAGCCACCCGAATATATATGTAAATGCGAATGAATCGAGGATTACGTGAACAGCGAATCGATCGAAACATGCATCACCATGCATCACCATCACAAGAATGCCTCCGACGTGACGGACGAAGTCGCCGAATGTTTAACTACCTTCCACCACGATCCTCGCAAACTCGACAACGCTTTCAGTGCCGCTGCATTCCTAGCCAACCAAGTCTGGATGGGAACCAACATCGAAACGAGCGAAAGGAGCCTGAGGATCTGGTCCGACAAGGGCGCCGATACCCAAGTCCCGGCCATTTCGCGACGAGACATTATAATCGTGTCTACCTGCTCGGTCTAGATATCTTGATCTTGCTACCGCTAGCAATTTACGCAGCGGGGTCGTCGCTATGGACGGAGAAGCTGGACTCATTTGCCATGATGCGAATTGGGGCTGTGGTCGCTGAGAAAGTGCCATTCCTCGTTGGACGGGGGACCGACAAGATCGAGGCTCTCGATGAGATTCCCGGTTGGGTGGGAGACACAGCTGAAGGTAGTGAGCGAGTTGGGAGATCAGGGATGGGAGGGCTCAGGGCTTTGGCTGATTGGGAGGACGGACGGTTTGAGTGCTATGAAGGAGATGGAGAACCGTGGAATGAGAAGAGCACATGGCTTCATCTAGCGCAATGGACGAGGAGATTTAGGTCTGTGATATGGAGGAATTCTAATGATATAGTAAAACTTGGTGAGTAATTAGGTAAAATCCTGGTTTGTATCTATGTAAGTCGATTTCGAAGACTTTATACATTATATAGAAGGCACGAACATGTGAAAAAAATGACTTTAGAAAATCCCAAAACAAAAGACTTGGAGATAAAAGAATACCCAGGTCGTGAAATTTACGAAATATTCTAACTGATCAATAGAAAAACAGACGCATAACTCTTTAGCTCTTATAGCGGATATGTGTAGGGATGGTAGTTACTACCCAAAAAGGAATCCAAGAAAACTGTCAGTAGATATGACCACTTTTCCAGGGATTCTGAGGACGTCCAATGATCAAATGCTCATCCGCATGATTTTCCTCTTATGGAAGTTGACACGTGGATGATTATGCGCAGATGGTTAGGAACTCAGAGCCTCGTATTCTTTTCAACGAGCACTGTCTTGTCGGTATATATTGAAGACCGATTTTGGTTGACAGCACACAAAACCACTCGCAGAACAACCGCATCACAATCTGTCGACACTATAACAAAATGACCGCCAACATCCCAGAGATCATCCTGCTTTGCCAGGACGCAGACTTCATCACCGCCTTCCACACAGCGCAGCAGGAGCACTGGCCCGAGCTACCGTCCAAGCTCACGATCACTCCGATCAACTCGCGCCTAAAAAGCCTCGACCCCTCAGTAACCTTCGACCTGGTCGTCTCACCCGCAAACTCCTATGGCCGTCTAGACGGAGCCTTCGACGACGCCATCTCATTAGCGTTTAGTCCTCGCGATGACTATGGAGCCTTGACGCGCGCCGTGCAGACGGAGCTGTATGAGAAATGGCGAGGATTCGCGCCGCCAAGCACATGCACGCTTGTACGGTTCCCTGCGCCACTGGAGCAGAATCCCCGGGGCTGTACCTGGGTAGCTATCTGCCCTACTATGCGAGAGCCGACGAATGTCGTCTGGGACCGGGAGGTTGTCTACGAGAGTATCTGGAGTCTGCTGTGTCAGGTTGAGGGCCATAACCGAGTTTCGGGCGAAAAGATCAATAGCCTTTTGATGCCGCCCCTGGCTGCTGGTGTAGGGAGGGTTAGTAAGGAGCGGTGGTCGGCGCAGACGGTGCTTGCCATGAAACATTTTGTGGACGCGGTTGAAAAACCGGAGCGGTGGGGTCGGATGCAGTGGGGTGAGATCATGCATGATTGTGATGAAGTTGCGACGACGTGGAAGACGAAGGAGTAGAGCATATAAAGTTGCTCCGGGTTTCCTGGTTTCGTAGTCTTAGGTCTGCCGCTGGAATGGGTTGACATGATTTCTTCAGTGGAGCGAAGAGGAGCGCTCCACATGAAGCGACCTATTACAACTTACTGAGACTATAGACAAGAAGACATCTACCATTTCCACAGCTGTGGAAGCCCCCAAATATGCGCATGCCGGCGGGGGAGAAGCCGACGACTACCCACCAGTGTAGTCTATTGTTGTCGCGGTACCCACAAACTGAATAGAACTAGAAACACCGTTTTTGTCATTGGGAAGAACAGTCTACTCAAGTCTTGTAGTCTTTTAGGAATCAAACTAACAGTTCCTGAACAGCAATGGATTGTGCCAGGGAAAATTACCATGGGTAAGCTATAAGTTCCAGAGTGAAGACCTCCGCATGGACGAAGAGAAAGGACAAACCATGCAGAAAAGATGGCATCCATCAGGCTAGGGAAGGAAAGTATCTCGTTGAACTAGCGCCAGCAATAATGAGAATCGTGATAGATAATTAACACAATTTATGAGAATCGAGAAACATATATAAATAAAACCAATCACAACGAAGCCTCAACCTTCTTCCCCTCAGTCTCCTCCAGTTTAACAGCCCGCTTATAACCCTCCTGCTCCTGCAGGAGATCCACGTATTTCGCAAGAGTTGGCCACTTCTCCTTCAGCGGAAACTTCGCCGCCGCCGAGATAACAGGGAAGCTCAGCATGATGTCTGCGGCGGAGAGCTGATTGCCGCAGAGGAAGGGCCCGCCCGCGGGCGCTGTCTTGAGCTGCTGCTCGAGGAAGTCGAAGTTGGAGGTGATGTTACGTTCGAGGAAGGCCTTCTCGACCTGCGACGCGACCATGCGGGGGAGGGGCTTGACGAAGAAGGGGAGGAGAGGGGGGTTTTTGACCACTGTTTCTCGTTAGTTTTCTTCTTTTATTCCTGGAGACTTGGGAGTAGCTGTATTTGTCGTAGGGAGAGAAGGAAACATACCATCCATAACCAACTGCATCACCAGAAAAGGCATCAAACTCCCCTCCACATAATGCATAAAGTACTTATGACGCATCCACTCCTCCGTCTCGCCGCCAACCTGGCCCTCTTTGCCGTCCTGGTACCGCTTCGGGACGAGCTTATCGCCGCCGAAGTGGTCGCACATGTACTCGATGATGACACCCGACTCGGCCAGCACCATCGGTGACGAGGTGTTCTCGTTTTCGAGTGTGATGACGGGGGATTTCCCCAGCGGGTGGATTTCCTTCAGGGCGGGCGGCGCAAGCATGTCTGCTTGGCGCTTGTAGACTTTTAGGTCATAGGAGAGGTTGAGCTCTTCGAGAAGCCAGACGATGCTCTGGGAGCGGGATTGGTTTAACCTTTTTTCTCCAGTTAGCAGTGATTTAGGGCAGGGCCGCGGAGGAGATCGGGATGGGTTATGTACCAGTGGAGGGTGATTTTGGTGCCCTTATTGGTGTCAGACATTGTTGCAGAGTTTGTGCTTTCTTGTCGCTGCTGTGAGTAATTTCAAGAGCTGGATGTGGATGTGTGAAGCTTTATAAATGAAGAGACAGTATTATGGCTGTTAATCTCTCGATCTCATGACCTGGTTGATAAGCTCGATGGTCTAGATGGATTGAGTCAGAATATATACGAGCACGGCCTTAATCCATCGGTTTATACCCCATAATCGGACATGATGAGTACCCTAGTTGTAGCCGAGGTCGACTACGGGGTCCCGTTCTCACCAATCACTCATTTCGTCCAGGGGGTTCGGGGTTAAGATGGAGGTTGACAAACCCTACGTCATCGGCCTGGTGGATCCCTACTGTATCGGTGGGTTGCCCCGATCGTTGATTGTCGTTCGATCCGCGCGGAGGATCTAGTGTCGATTAGGGTTAGTCTTTGATATGGTTGTCTTTAGTTGAATCGGCTTGTTTCCATCTCTTTCTTATTCTGCTTTTTGTTCAGTGTGGCTTGACTGAGATATCGCGGATACGAGTAGCGCTTCCTGCTGCCTACCTCCTGGATCTTCCGGCATCGTAGGCATTGCAGAGAAACTGAGATAATATAGACAAATTCCACGGTATAGTGTCCTGAGTACATTGAATCCCCTGTGTACTATCTATACCTTCGAAGGGCTAAAAGGCGTAAGCCAGAATGGAGACGGCTTGAATCTGGTCAATCGTTACTAGAACAAACCGAAGCCTCGAGTGGAGGAACTAACGATTATCTTAGAACCCAGCACCCGCAGCGCACATCTTCTGAAGGCATTCGATCTCCACCATGTCCCACAAAAATATCATCTATTGACGGGAGGATTGTACCACCACCAAGCCTTCGAGACATACCTGCAGTCGAGGTCACACTCATAAGCTGGAGGCATTGGTCGATGGCAGTTGGATGAACGACATAGCGACCGTCATGAGTCTTCATCCTGTCCGTGGCAACCCTGATAGCGCTTTCACCCTTTGGGTCTGCGCGCATGGACCCAAGTCCGTAGGATTGAGCGCCATAGAGTAAACCAAGACTAGCAATAGCGTCGTGCCAAGCGGGCGGCAGTGCTAATCGACATTGTCGGGGGACTGGGACCGACTGTATTGGTGTTCATCGGGCCCAGCTCGCATCTGGCCACTGACAGGTTGCAACCACCAACATCTGCCATCGTTGACACCTACTATCTTGTTACCCAACATGTAAGTCTAGTCTAAAGTAAATCAAACCAATGACTATTTCTACTAAATCACTGAGATATTCAAGGATCCTTCAGACTTTACAAATTTACAAACAATCCTCCCTGTTGCGCTGGATTTCCGGTGGCCTACCCAAGCTTGGCTCCGACGTGTAATACCGTGTGGGATTCACGCAACAACCCATCATACACTATCAGATGGGTGAAATAATTCAAGCATAATCTTATCCCACACGTCTTCAGAATCCCAATTTAGACCTGGGGAATTTGGGGCCAGACTGTAATCCCAATGCGGAACAATACAGGTTGGTCCACCATCTATCCTCACTGTGGCCAGCATATCGAGTTACAATAGCAGACGTATCACCTACTTTTAATTAAAGCTACGAACAAAGGCTGTCCAGATCAGGCAACTAGGGGAATATTTATCTTTGACGCCCCGGTACTAACCAAGCCAAGAGAATCAAACATGCAGTCCTGGACAATATTAATGATCTTCTATTCTTCTCTGGCAGGACCTATTGTCTGGTACAATACAAGACTGGCTGGCGTGAACTGTGGCGTCACTAGTAAACCGATCCTTTGAAAAAGTTTGATCAAGGGGCCAATAGTCTAACCCACCTCAGCATCAACAGACAAATCACAGTCTGTGCTTGGCCCATCCCCTGCATGATCAGAGCAGATGTCGAACAACACGGGATATGAAGCCCTTGCTTCTGTGAATTGCAGCCCAGATCATTGCTTAAATTCCCACTGTTCGCTGAGTTATACCTTGTTTGTCCTTTTCACCTCTCAGAGTCGAGCCAATTTCCCCAAGAATGCGCTACCGTGGTCCATCATGGAAGACGAAGTCCAGCGACAGTTTGACCATGACTCCAGTAATCCCACTGCGAGCGACCGTGTGACCAATGATAAGACACATGATCTTGCAGGGGCACTGCATTCTCTGGAAGAAAGAAGATTGATCAGAAAGATCGACCTGAAGTGAGACCGGTCAGAGACGTCTGTAGTGGAGTGACCATCGCTAAATGACACAGTCTGATGCCGCTGCTTATCGTGAGCTACGGATTGCAATATGTGGACAGTAAGCATACGACTCCACGGTATATGCCTAGGTCAACTGCTCATTCTGTGCGTAGAGACGAGCCTCTCTTACAGTGCCATCCTCAACATACAACATGACCTCGTGCGATCTCCCTTATGCTGTAGACGATACTAGCTAATGGCCCCTAGAATCTTCGAGGGCAAGACTTTAGTTGGGCGTCTGGAATATTTTATATCGGATATCTTGCCGCATCGTATCCGATATCCCTCGGGTTTGTTCGATTCCCACTGGGAAAATATCTAACTGTCCTCATGTGTGTGGTGGCTATCTTGGCCCAAAATCGTATTGCTAATTTTTCCAGCTTTCTATGGGGCATTGTCCTCACACTGCATACGGTCGCGAATGATTTTGCTAGTCTTATGGTTCTAAGAACCTTCCTGGGTGTCTTCGAAAGTGCCATCAGCCCGGGGTTCTCGATGATCACAGGGATGTGGTATACGCCTCCGGAACATGTCTCTCGGCACTCTTTCTGGTTTACAGGCAATATCATAGCCAGCGTAATCGGGTCAATGATTGCATACGGGATCTTGTATTATGCGGGAGACTTTCCACAATGGAAGGTAAGTCAAGCAAGACAATGCTCATATTCAACGGTGCTCACTCCTTCACAGATGCTATTTCTCATATTTGGCTTGATTACTATTGCGTGGTCCGTCCTGCTCTGGTTCTACCTGCCAGACTCCCCATCGACCGCCCACTTCCTCACACCTACAGAGAGAAAAATGGCCTCCTTACGCCCAAAGAAGTTCCAACGTACTACCCAGACCAAGAAATGGGACCGAGCGCAGTTCAAAGAAGCACTCATCGACCCGAAGACGTGGTGGTTTGTACTATTCGCGTTCGTCATCTGTGTGCCAAACGGTGGCCTAACCAGTGTATGATCCCCTACATTGTGATTTCAAAATTCATGACAAAAGAAATCTGACAAGATATGGCCATAGTTCGGCACGCTGATCATCAATGGCTTCGGCTACGACAAGTTCCAAACCATCCTCATGGGGCTCCCAGCAGCAGCGTTCCAGCTCACGATGGTCATCCTTGCAGCCGTCCTCACCACTAACATTCGCAGATCTCGACTGTTCGTGCTAAGCGCGATCTGCCTAGTTGCAATAGCCGGTATCCTCATGATCAAGCTGCTGCCCACGTCAAACAAGCTGGCTCGACTCGCTGGCCTCTGGCTAACCACCAGCGTGTCGCCCGCATTTCCTCTAATGATGTCCCTATTCGCAAGCAACACAGCAGGGTTCACCAAAAAGTCCAGCGTTGTGGGCTTGATCTTCGTGGGCTACTGCGTTGGGAATTTCGTCGGCCCCCAGTTTTTCAGAAGCGAGGAAGCGCCTGGATACGAGGTACGTCGGAACTCAGTTAGCCTTTGCCACATACGATACTTACTTGATGTCGAACAGACTGCATTTGTGACTATGCTTGCTTGTGCGGCTATTGTTTGTGTCATTACGCTTACATTCCATGTTTACCTGCGCTGGGTCAACAAAACACGAGATCGAGAGCAAGGCGTACACATTGACCCGGAAAAACATCGCGAGGTCAATCTGCAGACAGATGAAGATTTAGATGAGGTGGATGAAACCGACATGCAGAACAAGAGCTTTCGATATATACTCTAGAAAGAGGCATGAGCATATTGATCACCAGTGGTCTAGAGCCTTTTCCACAAAGTATCTAGCTGTGAGACATGCCGATCAGTGTTTATTTCTCTGTATTTGATGTGTAGAATCATATATCATATAGAGGCCATATCAGAGTGGATTCTACATACCGTCCATCACAATCAAACAAATGCAGAAAAACAAGAGCTATCAGCTTGACTTTCCGTCCACCCAACACACTTCCAACAACTCAACAAACCAAAAGGGTCATACTTATTTTTAATACTCACCAGCTCCTCATAGTTATCGCCCCACCAAGCCTCCCTCCAATCCTCAGTGAACGGGCTCGCCTCATTTGCATACGCGCCACTCCCCGGTGTGATGCGCGCAAAAAACGCCGTCGTATCCTTCATAGTAGCGATTTTCTCCCTCCTATCCTGCAGTGTACTGTTCCAGGCCCAAGAAGCACCCACACCCAGCTCCCAGACAGCAGAGCGCCAGGCGGGCGTAGCACTCGTGGATCCTTCAGGGTAGTCAAACAGAACAGGGCCCACGACCGGAATGTACGGGGACTGGCCCTGATCTAGGAGGAGCGCAAAAAAATCCATCAAGTCTTTTCGACCCTCTGCGGTCTGGAAGACAGCCTTGGGGACAAGGCGGGTGCCTACAAAATGCGTGACTCCGACGCCGACGGAGCCCGACGTCACGTATTTCTCGTAGAACGGGTACCAGGACGGAAACTCCTCCACGACGGCGGTGCCGCCCTGGGACTTTGCGTAAGCAATCGCTTCAGCTAGGGACTGTTTGGCTTCCTTTACCGAGAGTAGCGGGGACACGTTTACCAGGGTATTGCCCGTGATATGGCCTCCCCAACCTTCTGCAGCCCACTGAAGCGTGTGGTTGACGACGATGTCCAGAAACGGGATGACGTTTGTCGGCGACTTGGGAAACTTGATACTAGCTGCGACGAGCTGGATCTGAGGCTCGACTCGATGCGTGCTCTCCATGACTACGCCAAAGGTGCCGCCGCCGCCGCCACGCAACGCCCAGAACAGGTCGGGGTTCTGACACTCGTTGGCAGTGCGATACTGGCCATCTGGGGTTACGATTTTATAATCCACGACGCGGTCAATGCCCAGGCCGTAGACGGGCGATAGGATGGAGTGCCCGCCGTTCTGGACCCAGCCACCGGAAACGCCAACGGTGGATGCATAGCCGCCGACAAGAGTGACGTTGTGTTTGTCGGCGAAGGCATACACCTCGTCGAAGTTGACGCCGGCGCCGACGGTGATGGCGTTGTATTTGGCGCTGCAGCCGGATGGGACGAAGTCTGGGCTGTAGCTCATCGACCGCAAATTACGGGTCCATAGCGCCAGGCTATCCTTCCCACTGCTGCGGCCGAGATAGTCATGACCACTGTTCTTGATAGAAAGCTTGGTTCCCGAGCAGTGGGCGTATTTGAACGCTTCGATCACGTCCTCGACGCGCTGGATCTCGAGGTAATGCGAAGGCAGGTCGCCCTGGCGACATGTTGTATTTGTGTAGGCCGTCGGATTGGCTGGGTTGCTGTCATCTAGCAGGCATTGATTGTACGGCTCCGAAGAGCACATCTCATCTTGACTGTTCATGTACCCGTTCGGACTGTTGGTTCGCGCCCAGGGATTGAAGTAGTCTTGCTGGATACCAGCGCATGCTGCCCGGTTTGGGCCCACGGATTGTCCATCGTAACTGGAAAAGCAGGGAAGGGAGAATGGCTTGAGCTCTTGAACGCGACCTTGCATCGTGGCATTGAAGTGTGGCAGATTGCATGTTTTGCCATCTGCAACAGCGATCCCTAGAGATAGGGCTGCCAGTAGGCACGCCAACGCCTTAAGTCGAGGAACTGTAGGAAATGCCATTCAATTGGATAGTGCCAGAGATTTATGAATCACGCAAAAGATGGAAAATGGTCCCAGAGAAATGCGAGGATGGCAAGGAGAGAAACCTTACAGAGTCGGTCAGTCATCATTCCATCTGGGACAAATATATGCATGCTTCCGCCAATAAAATCCAAAAAAAGCCACTGCTGGATCATTAATCCGACTCCTTGACTTATTGATAAGACACTTCATCGTTCATGTATGTAGATATATCAGAAGGGAGTGAATAAATGTTATGGTACTACGACAAGATAGAATGCCACCTGGATATATAAACTTATGCGATATATCCGACTATTGGACTCACTAGCTGGGCAGTCCGTACGTTTTTGTGAGCATAGGCAATAATCATGTCAACCAAACTAGGCTAGATGATTACTGATATATTATAGTATAGATTGTAGTTATGGCGAACAATATTGCTAAGTAAAAGACTGGCTGGACGCTGAGAATCACCACAGCCGACGGCCGACATAACGTTATGCTTCGGGTCTATAAAACCTCACAGATGTCCAGTCTACCACACTGAAACACAATCACGATTGTTTCACTAAACAGTATACTTTCAGAAATTGATAACTTCATTTCAAGAATCCATCGCCAAGAAAATGACTACCACGTACAACTACTCCATCCCGTCTATTGCAGCCGTCTATGGCATCGGCCTCCTCCCACACGGCTACTATGTCATCAAAATGATGGCTAACGCGAAGGGCCAATCGAGCAATATTCTGTGAGAGCCTCTTCTATTTCTACCTTGCAATTATAGACCAAATTAATAAGTTATCATGTGTCCAGACCTCGCCAAAACCTGTCCGATCTCAAAGGCCGCATCGCCGCCGATGTCTGGAACAAGTTGGCTCGAGCACGAGGTGCGCATTTGAACGCTATGGAGGGCGTGCCTATGTTTGCAGCTGCCATGGTACGGTTCTTCTTTCTCCTGCGTTGTGGCTCGTTCTGGTGGAATAGACAGCTTCGTACGTTGAGAGTGCTGACTGGATTTCCTTCTGGGAATAGCTGGCTGGGAACCTGGCCAAGCTGCCTTCAAGTGAGCTGAATACACTTGCGGTGGAATATATCGGCGTCAGGATCCTGTATACGGCACTGTATATGGGCGTGAGGTCTGAGGCGGCAAGTTATTTGCGGACGGGGGTGTGGGCCTGGGGGATGGCGATTCCAATTTGGGGATTGATTCGGGCTGGGAGGGTGATGAATGCGGATCAGTGAGTTTGCTTTGTTAGTGGTCGCGATTTTTGTTTTATTTGTGTTTGTAAGTAGGATATTTCATAACAGTCCAGTGCCTTGTCGATGCTTCACGGATCATTGTTGTGGAGGTGTATGTCTAGGCGTTTTGCGAAGAAAATCCGTACTACATCTGTAGCCCCGTGAGAGACAAGACCTTCGCACCTCTTTTCTTGCGGGCCTGGTTGCTGGTTTGGACTATATCTGTTTCAAAAGCCCACCACCACCGCTCGAATACTAGTTGGCCAACTTCCCACCCACTCGCCTGGAAGGGATCCTGTCCGTGAACGTTGATCCCTTCGCCACCAGCGTCTTCCATATCGTACACCAGACGCAGGATCCCCATCGGGTCCTGTGCTGTCTTTGGACGTTGACTCACAGGGAGATGGAACACTTGAATCAATTTGTCTCGGACATTTGGCCAGGGAAGAAGATCCAGCATGGGGTGGTGAGGGATGAGACGCTGTGTAGGCGTTGGCTGAAGGTGGGGCGGAAGGGTGGAGAGATATGCTTTTTGCCCACTACCAGCACTGTCTGCTGTTTCGGACGGTGTTGTGGATGCTGCGTTTGATTGATAGGTCACTAGGGATGGCGTGGATAGCCCGGACGCGGGTGTACCTCTTTCCTCATAGAACGGGCTGACAGAAGTGAGATCCCAGATAATCTCCGATAGTCCTAGCCGTCGAGCTACAGACATGGCTGCGTTCAGGAGGGTAAGAGTAGGTATATGTATTGTATAGTCGTCAGGAAAAGTAAACAATGAAGCTTCCGAGGATTGGAGCTCTGCGCAAATATCCCTCAGACTGCTGACATTTTCAAACACGGACATGGTGACTCCGTCACCGCTATCTCCTATAGCTTGACCCTGCACGTCGAACTCTGGCCATAAATATTGAGATATCTCATTGGTGTCACCACAGGGGAACGCTGACAGTGATGATGGAATTAAAGACGATTGGAAGAGGAACCGCGAGGACGAGTCGACAAAATCACATCCACTTGGTGTAATGGGTTGTATAGACCCTGACCCAACATGTGCATTGTCGTCCTGAAATACGTCCCTTGCAGGTTCATCCGACGATGTAGCTTGGGCATCATATACCAGAGACCCACTCTGGACGGTCCCAGAAGGCGATGATCCTCCCTCACTTTCACGGAGCGACTGGCCACTATCCACAGACAAGCAGCTGGTCTCGGCGGTAGTTTGTTTTCCCCCAGTCTCATCTGTTGCTCGAGATTCAAGCGCTCGGAGACGATCCTTTCTTCTCTGCCCTTGCGTGAACGTTAACAGAAGCGTTATATGGTACTATCAGACACATACTGTATCTTCTTTGCGCCAGGATATTCAGCACCCGCTTTCGCTCCGCTGCGTTTTCCGTAAGCTCGGGGACAGATAGATCAGCGGCTGTGCGTTTCGCAGACATGTTGAGTATGAACCTGATCCTATGAAGATGTAGTCAGTAGACTAAAGATACTTTCAAATTCACATGAGCTGGAATGAATGCAGGAATAAAGCTGCCTCGATCTCGAGGAGGAAAGCTACGAGGGGCCAAGCAGCGGACGGACAGCATAACGTTATGCTATACGAGCCAATGGGAAAGGAACAATTGATTGAACACGAGGCGGCCTGTTCCATAAGCAGCCATACTTCTTGGCATCTAGTCGTGTCTGTCATTGAGAACCGATACCAGGGCGATTGATCATATTATCCAGATGGTTCATCGAGTTCAAACAACACGTTGGGTCAATGATACAGATCGTGATCTTGGGTGGATGAAAAGGAACGAAATGATGGATTCCGATCCGCACGATTTCACTTTTGCAAGATGGTTATTCACCCTATTCCTTGCCATTTGCTTATTCTAAACAGGTCTCATCAATAATGGCTATGACCTATATGGATATGCGACGGTGTTGACAATAGTTGGAGAATGGCGCCCAGTAATTCTCGACCGCTGATTGGCAACTACCAGAGACGCACGTGACCATCATGACCGAATGGTCGCTGACTCAGCCGCATACCCACACGTGACCGGCATCGGAACCTCACCACCAGCGATAGGTCCGACGACAGGTTGGATCTCAAGATCCACAAGCTTCACATCCACAACCGCAACCATGGCCGGTCCTAGCAAGTGTACGTCCCGCTGTCCGGAGGGTGAAGGACTCACTCGAATTGAACTCGCTGACATTGAACCCCAGCCATGATCTTGGACCCCGCTCTGCAGAAATATTACGGTAGAACCCCCCTCCGACAATGACGACCTCGTTTCCAACTCCCTCGCATCCCGTCGTGCGCCGACATTGCCGTCCCTCACAGTATAGGAGGTCTCAAGAGAATATGCACTGACTCAATTTTGCGAAATAGAGGTTAACGCCAACCGCTACAAGTACTTCCGCTGGACGCCGCGCAATGCCTGGTTCTCCTTCATCTTCATGGCTGTGATCCCCGGCACGCTGGGCTACCTTACCTACAAGACGGAGGTATGTGCTTCCACACTTTGATATTGCTCTCTTTATTTGCGCCGCAAAACACCATGCAATTGGGTTGGATCGGACGAACGAAACGGTGGCTGACCGGTCGCGCAGGGCAAGTGGGATCTCCGCGGCAAGCGGAAGGGCGATACCCTCAGTGAGTGGTAAATCAGTTACCAGGCGGCAGGTTGTTGTTTTTTTGAAAATGCCGGAGTCGTGTTTTCAGTCTGCGAGTTATCCCCTACGGTTGAATTGGTGCCGAGCAGACAGACTATCGCATCCGCTCCCTCGGCAGTAGGGGCTCGCTGGACGTGTATCTATTACCAGAATATACCGCATCGATGGTTCTCTTTTGTCTGCGATTTCTTTTGCCAGGGGTGTTTAAGATCGGAAGTTACAATGCTATTCATACCTTGTCACACCTGGGCTACGCCTAGTATCTCCCGAACCTACGGGAAGACTACTATACCATACACAGAGCCGGCAACAAAGACAGAGAATAATCCATTGTTCTCACACCGGGTATCCCAGTCCCAGTCACAACTCCAAGGAATAGTACAGTACAGTAGAAATGCACCTAAAAGCCCGAAAACACAGCCCCTTGAACAAACTATCAAAACCAAGCACCACCCCTAGTACGGCGCCCAACCACGTCTTCCCCCCCGTCCACCCTCCGGCAACCGTTCACCCCGTTTCCAATCCCCAAAGGGAATCCGCTCACCGCCCCGTCCACGGGGCCCACCAGCACCACCGGCCCCAGGCCGGCCTCCAAACCCAGGCTCCCGGAACGCGCGCATCCCACCACCCATCGGCAAGCCACTAGGCCCACGGCCGGTCGTCAGCGGCGGCGCAACAGACCCGTCCTCCAGAGGCGGCAAGATCGCGCAGTCCACGTAGTCCCCGATCACGAAGCGCATTTCCTGCAGTGTCTTGTCCGCCTCGTTGCCCTGCATCCGGTGCGGACCGCGACCGCCGCCCTTCTTCCCTCCTTCTTGGTTCTCGTCCTCGTCGCCGTGCTCCTCGCGGTAGGGGCTGTCGCGCGGACCGACGACCACACTCCCAATGTCCTTGCTTAGGTACCGGCCTCGGGCGTCAGGCCCGGCCATCGCCGCGGCTTTCGTGTCGGGGTAGATGAGTCGGAAGCAGATTCTTGTGCCGATTGGCGGGTCGGGGAGAAGCGACGGCAGGGCGGAGGTCAGGAGCTGTGAGAGCTCGCGCAGGGTGCAGGATTGCCAGGTGTAGATCTGGAGATGGGGCGGGAGGGGCGCGGCGGCAGGAGGCGGCGAGCGGGCGCGGATGGCGTTGGGCCCGCTGACGGGGCCGCCGTAGGATGACGATGACGACGAGGGGCCGTAGATGGAGAAATCTGAGAGCGGGTGGAAGTTGTTGACGCGGTAGAAGAGCTTCAGGTGGAAGGGTGTCGTCGCCTGGCGGTCGATTTGGGGAGGGTTGGGCCCATCGCGGGGGGCGGCCATGGTGTTGGGATGTGCTGGTTTTCTAGTTGGTGGTGCTGTCTATGCTGCGCTGATAGATTGCTTGGTAGAGATTATTCTGAAAGAAGGTACTTTTATGCGCGAGAGTGGAGTGGGAGACAATTCGTGGATTGAGAGGTGGTGGTTGGAGATGGGATGGTAGTTGGAGGAGCTTTTGTCACGAGCGAGACCGCCGGCGGAGAAATCCAGCTTTCCTCCTCACGTTTAACTACTCTGACCTCACCCAGCCCGCACAGGCCACGTCTGGCATTCTCAACTTTTATCGCAATCCAACCCCAGCAAATCTTTTTCAACTTATTTCTTTTACGTCCTCACCTTAACTTCAACCTATTTTGTCCGTCACGCACCCAAATCCGCCATGGACTTCGCGGCGTTAATGTCGAAGGAAATCGCCAAGGCGAAACCCACCAAATCCGAGTCCTCCACCCCCAGCGCCAAAGAAACCTCCAAACCGCAAGGGAGCAAATATGTCCGACGCGGAGATGAGGAAGCCGCCCGCATCGCAGCCTATAAAGAGGAGCAGGAACGCGCAGAGCGCGAGCGTGAAGAACGCCTCCGCAACAAACGCAAGCTAGAAGACGAAGAGACCGAGAAACGGCACGCGCGCGAGGAGAAGAAAAGACGACTCGCCGAAGAATCGCGCAAACGACGAGAGGAGGAGGACGCGGCACAGGAACGGGATCGCAGGCGGCGATTAGGTCTGCCTGACCTGCCGCCGGACCAGGGCGAGGAGCAGAACGAGGGAGAAGATATCCCCGACGAGGAGCTGCTCAAGAAGCTTCGGGAGATGAACGAGCCGGCCCGCTTGTTCGGAGAAAGCCATGTCGGTCGTCTGCGACGGTATCGGCGCCTTGTCGAGCGCGCTCTCACACCCCAGCAAAGGCTCTCGGATGGGCCGATCCCCACGACACTAGAGCTGGTCCCCGAGGTCGAAATGAAAATCCCAACCGCGCTTCCTAAGGATCTGGAAGGTCGCAAATATCTGTTCCGTCAACTGGCGTCATATTTCAACATGGTGTTGGGCGAATGGGACCGGGCGCTTGCGAAGCGCGATGCCTCTGTGAAGCAGAGTATGCAGGGCCGTCAGGCATATAATGCTATGGTGCAGTCGCGGGAGAATCTGAAGCCCCTCTTTCGGAAATTCGAGAAGGTGGAACTTGACGACGGAGTGCTGGAGCATATCATGGAGATCGTGCACAAAGCCCAGCAACGGAAGTATGTCGATGCCAACGATGCTTATCTGCGGCTGAGTATTGGAAAAGCGTACGTTTACCCATGCGTTTCATTGTATATAGAAGGTTGTTATTTCCATGATCGCTAACAATTCATAGTGCCTGGCCCATTGGTGTCACGATGGTTGGTATCCACGAACGTTCCGCACGAGAGAAACTACACCAGAGCGACCAGCAGGCGCATATTTTGAGTGATGAGATTACGCGAAAATACCTGCAAAGTATCAAGCGGTGTCTCAGCTTTTCACAGACCCGATGGCCCCCGGATGACCAGCTGCAGATTATGGGTTAGTTATATCAGCGTTGTAGCTAGTATAATCCAGGTTATTGTCGAAGTGTACAATTATAATCAATATAATTTGACTACGTTGTCCGTAGGCTGATAAGAGTGCCGTCATAAGGTACAAGATCTCTGTAAAAGGTTCATGTTGTTAGGGATGTGAGAGCATATTAGTTCCCTATTCCTCAATGTGTTGACTTAGGTCGGATATCCGTTACCTTAACTATACACACATCCAGCATCGTTTACTATAGAAATTGACCAGTGCAGTGTTCATAGCTGTGGCCTTAACGGCATCTAATGATAATATACACCAGCCGACAGCAACCATCAAAAGTCTATCAAATATACAGTATGTTCATATGCCTGTTCACGCATACCAAACCCTAGCCAATGTTGTCCAAACTCCACCCAAGCCGAGTTTGTCAAACAGAGAATGGAGTAGTCCATGGTTGTCCCCACTATCAATGTGATACTGGTTGTGGTTTGGGTAAACAGCATGGCCATCCATGCCGTGCATTGCTTGTAAGGCGGCGCTCTGAGGTTTAGATCTGAGCACTGCTTCATCTTTGGGCCTTCCGTTACTAGAAGATACCCCGATTAATTTCCCTGCCGTTTGAACACAGCTCCCGTAGGAGAAGCGTATGAGCGAGTCCCCGGTCAGACTGCCAATGATGAATAGATCTTTCGCAATCTCCATGTCATCTAGAGCTTTGCTTCGTAGGGTCTGGCCGGAGATGGTGGGGTTTATTTCTGGCCCTTTCGGTTGTCCGAGTAGTTCTGCAAGGAGGTCGTTGTCGAGATATTTCAGAGTACCCCGTCGGCCTGTGGCGTACACCATACCCCGAACCTTCCTGGTGAATACGCTGCCGTCGTTCGCGCGAAAGGTCACCGTCGCATCGTCTTTGTTCGTATCTACCCCGATGATCTCTGTATTAGGCAATCCCTCATAAACATCATCCCAAGTCCGGCTTGTGAGGAAGGGTGTGGATGTCAATCGCCGGTATCTGGGTTTCTTAGTAGAAGACGGCTCCGCAGCGACAGCAGCTCGCCTCATCAGACGGTACACACCGGAGTACTCTGGATATGCCTGTTGGTGACACCCGCGCAGCGGAGATGGTCGGTTTTCCGGGGCCCATTTATATACATGGACGATTTTCTGGTCCTTCGGGGCCGAGATAATGACATCCGCAGCTGAGAACCCAGATCCGATCACCAGGAGCGGGAGCTCAGGAACAGGCTGCAGGGCGGCTAGGGGTTGTAACAGCGGACGGGGCTGCAGCACCTCTGAAAAGATTCCGCTGGCGAGGACGAGACGTTTACAGTGGATGTTGTGGGAGCGAATATAGAATCCATTGGCGGTTCTTGAGATCCCATTCAAGGTCTCGTGGCAACGCATGGTATCGTTGATTTGTACTGCCTCCGGATAAGCGCGGAAGTAGTCGGCTGTCTCCTGTCGACTTGGTCGGGTGAACGCCGGAAGATCGTTTCCGGTGACCCTGCGATAGTGCTCTGCAAAGGAATAGCCGGGGAGAGATAGCATCGATGCGTAGCTCAGGGTCTGAATCTCCCAGCTCCCAGGCATGGGGTTTTCGACCCATTGGCCCCCGGGTTGTGACGCATGTCCGAAAACCAGGTGTGAGACGGATTTCTCTGGTAAGCGTCGCCATTCGATATTTGTTGTACAGCTGAGTTCCTCCACATCCACACTGGGTCGGACCAGGGTATCTAGCAGTACATTGACGGGGAGCGCCTGCGTGGAATAGGAAAGGCGAGAGGCAGCAAAGTGCTCTGTGAGTGCCGAGACATCCGCATTCAATAAATCCGGGGCGTCCTTGAGCTTCGCATCGAGAAGAGGGTCTGGATGGGGAGGGTCCGAAGAGTAGTATGGAATATTGCCGTGGAGGATGAAGGATAGAAGCATGGCAGACGGCCCATTCCCTGCAGAGTTCCGCGTCAACTGCGATCGCTATTGGACAGAGGTAAGGATAATTGCGACATACCCACGATAATGGTATCAGTTTCCATTCCCGGCGAACCAGATGGCCGTGCCCGCCCATCCAGCACGGGGCATGCTGTATCAGCCATGCGATGGGTTGGAGATGTTGCAATGGACTCGCTCGGTGGGTCCAGACATTCGTAGGGCACTGCCTTCAGGTGAAGGTAAAGTAGCCGGACAACCGTCGAGGGACCATAGTCAACCGTGAAGGGAAAAAAAAAAAAAAGATCGACTCGAGTTACGTGCAGGATTTTAAGATTGACGCGCCAGGAGAATCCCCGCGAAGGAACAGGGCAAGGAATTGCTGACAAAATCGAAGCCCCAATTTACAGTAGCTTAGAAATCCCTATCAGCGGGGGGGGGAGTCGATCCTCGTTGAAGCTTAGTATGGCGTGCTGGGTTACGAGGTGGCGGACGCAGGCTCCTCTTGGTCGAGGACTCCCAGTAAACTCAATAACGGTCTAAAATAGCAAGGAGATATCGAGAGCCAGACCCATATATAAAGATAATCATATTGATCAAACGAATCCACACCCTCAAAAGAGGGTCCTAAATACCTGGTTCCGAAACAATGAGATCAGAGCAGAGTCAATACTAGTCATTCCCAGCATAATCGAGATTTCCCCTCCCAAAACGGCGGGATGGACGGATCGGACTGCGGGGATTATGGACGGATTGGGAAGTTAGGGCAAGGGGTAAATGAGGGGAATACCCTATGCCCTATATTCCTAATCCAGACACGGCTGACGCGTGGAGCGGACGGGCGTCTGGATCGTCCCCTTGGTCTTGGGGTCCAAATGGAAGACGACAAGTGTGAACTGGAAGTTGCGCAGAGAGATCCAAGCAAGCCACTGCAAGCCTCTCGCGCTGCCATGATTGTCGCATCTCATCACTCGTGTTGTGCCGCTGGTTCTGATTGAAATAGAGGCTGCGCCTGTCGGACTTTTTTGGCCCTCTCTGTCCGACCGCAACCATGTATCATTTGGCCAAGTCGCTGTATATGCAAGCGACTAGCAAAGAGGGTAAGAACCATCGCAGAGTCTCTGGGAGTCTAGAGTGGCCCGGGTATTTGCTAACGGATACCCCTAGAATACTCCGCGCTACTACTAGGTCTTGACAACGCCGGCAAAACAACCCTCCTATCCCAGATTAAGAACATCTACCAACCCCGTTCCGATGGCGTCCCTGCCCCCAACCCCGGGAAAACCGTGCCCACGGTCGGGCAAAACGTGGCCACGATCAATCTCCCAGACATGTATTTAAAGATCTGGGATGTCGGAGGTCAAATAACCATGAGAAACCTGTGGCAAAGCTACTACACCAGCTGTCACGCGATCATCTTCGTCGTCGACAGCACCGACGTCGGTCAAGATCCGGATATCACCCGCCTTCCTTCCACCTCTCGATCGAGTTCCCCGTCAAATGCGTCAGATGGCGACGCAGATGCCTTTACAGAGCGGATGGTCGGGATCGATGCCCCTGGGAGCGATTTCGGCCGGTTAGACGAATGCCGGCAGGTGTTGGAGTCTGTTTTGAAGCATGCCGATGTCGCGGGGGTCCCTATTCTGGTCCTGGCCAATAAGCAAGACCGAGAGGACTCGGTGGAGGTGGTTCGCATCAAGGAAGGGCTAGTGCGCAAGGTCTTCGAGGGGGAGACCGGCGTCGGCGTCCGCGACAGTCGCGTGCTACCGATCAGTGCACTCATGGCAACAGGGGTTCAGGAAGCCGTCGAATGGGTCCGAAGTCGAGTCAAGTGGAACAAGGATGGCAGACCCCCGATCATGAAATGATTGGCCTCGTCGGCCCCTTGCGGTGTGATACTCTAGCGTCGCGAACCCTTGACGGGTTACATTATGGTCGTTCGATCAAGATACCCAGGAATTGGCCAGGAGATCAGCGACCGTCCTAATTTATGGAGTCTTTCTACATGTTTGAGATGTTAAGGCGCTTGGGGGTTCTCTGTCATCTGCGAAGATACCTTGAATAGTACATATCCTAATTATTTATTTATCATCATTCTTGTCTTTGGGTTCATGTTGGATTGAGATTATGATTACTCCCGCTCTATTCCTCACGTACCAGGCTCTCCCCTGTCGCTGTGGAAAGCAATCATGTGATATCAGTTGCGGTATCCAGCAACCGGATGACACTTCTTCCCACAATGATGTATATATGCTTCATGTTTACCATCCCTTAAACAAAGAAAAATAAAATAGGCAAAGGAAAGACCTATAAGGCAAGCAAATACTACCTAAAGAAAAAAATGGATAAATCCAACCACTCTGGTGCATTGTCGTCAGCCCTCCCCCACATCATGCATGCTGTTCTCAGCTCGACGTCACCAGCCCCATTGCAGCAAATCAACCCCGACACTGGTGGTCATTCCATTACACGTTCTAGAACCCATGGATTTCAGGAAACTGTCCCAATGTCTGAATCTTGTCGTAAATGCAAGAGGCGTTGGGTCCTTATCATTCTGACGTCATGGCAGCGTATTCCATTGTGAGTGCATATAAAGATGCGCTCTGGGGTTATTGTTATGGCTCGTACCAAGTCTAAATTTTTTTTAAAAAAAACACTTCTCATAGAGAGATTCACGTCTGCAACAATGAGCACCCAAAACTACGAGTCGTTGAACCCCAAGCAAGGGGAATTTTTCCCCCACGAGCATCCCGACCAGGTTCATCAACATCATCCACACGGCGGAGTATGTTGCTCTATATCCAAACCGAAAGTGTGCAAACAAGCTAACAACCGCCTACAGCACCAGCCGGGACGCAAAGTCGGCGGCAACGACGACGTCCGCGAGTCCCACGCACAGACATTCCCCCCCGGCACAGCCCCCGCCAGCAACTCCTACTCGCCGAACCCCTACAACACCGTCCCGGGCCAGGCAATGAACCCTAACGTGGAACGATCCCACGGCAAGGAGTCGACGGGGACGTCAGCTGCTGACACCATGATGGGCGCTACTTCGCAAGACGTCCACCGGGGCCTTGGCCAGCCTGCGTCCGGGCAGTCCAGCGCTGAACTCCACCATGATGGCCAGCCTGGCCGCAAGCATCACGGCTCGGGGCTTGAGGGTGTCGGCGCCTCTAAGCCTGAAAAATTCGAGCGCACCATGCCTAGCCAGCGTGGCATTGAGCGGGATGAGGCTCAGGGTGGCCAGCGCGGGGATAAGGGGTTTTTGGGGGCTGAGGAGAAATTTCCTGAGGGGGCGGAGTCGATTACTCGCGAGTGGAAGTATGAGCCCAGTACAAAGCATACGGACAGGCGTCATGGGCATGCTTAGCGGTCTTGTATCTTGAGTTGTATATTCTTTATTATCCATTAATTATCAATAGCAAGGGTATCACAGGTCTCTGTTTTCGCAAACAGTAAGTTGTCGAATGGGTCAGGCGTAAGCAACAGTAGGGTCAACGAGGAGAATGGGAGACGGAGTTCAGGACGCTAAATGAGATCTGGAGCCTTTGCTGCTGTTGTTCAAACCGTCATTTTCGCTCTTCTGTTCCACTTTCTTCGGCCAGCTGCGGGCAATGTCGATATTGACCCGCGGGAACCACATCTCCAGAAAAATATAGAGCAAAAAATCAATGACCACGCAGAGGCAGAAGAGCTTGCCAGCCCAGACACCGCAGCCGTAGTACCGCTTCAGCCGGTCGATTAGAGCAAAACTCCGCACTCGGTCCCCGCTGGCGTCTAGCCCTTGTCCGGGGTAGTACCCGTAAAACTCTTCCGGTCTGATATCCCCGCAGATACCATTGTAGACGCGCTCTGTCCGCTGCGCCACGTCTCTCCAGGAATACATCATCTTAACTTGGTCGTGGAAGCGGTCAGTGCGCACTTTATTTGAGCGCAATGCCGCAATGGCCTTTCCGGTGGCCATTACAAGGTCGTCTTCCTCCGGTTTGGCAAATGTGGTCATATGCTGAGGTAGCACCTCCGGGATGCCCCCGACACGTGTGCATACCACGTACAGACCACAACTAGCGGCCTCGACAATGACCGTGCCAAAGGCCTCGGTTAGACTCGGATGCAGGTAGATGTGGCCTCGAATCATGACATCGCGGACCTCTTCATGTCGCACAGGGCCAAGCATTTCGACCTTGTCTTGTAGGACATTCCTTTCCAGCATTTGTTCGAGGTCGATGGCCTTGGGTCCAGACCCGGCGATGATGAAGCGTACATTCGGATGAGACGCTAATATTCTCGGGATAGCGGCGATCAACAAATCCGTCCCTTTGTTGTAAAAGAGGCGCGAGATAACCACAATTGTAATCGTGTCGTCTGGCCCCAGTAGCTCTGGTGAAGCCTGTACCTCCTGAGATCCCCCAGATAGTCTATCCGTTATTCGGGGAGTGTAGGCCCGTGGCCGGAAGTTCTCCGCAACGACGGCGTTAGGAATTACAGATACCATCAATGGATCTAACGATGCTCGAAGGACTGTGTTCTCTTTACTGTAGGGTGTGTTAGCTTCGCATGAGTGGGTTGCGCATGGATCATCAGTCTGCGCTCACCATGTATGGCTGACGCAAATCACATGGTCAACGTCACTTAAGATGAACTTAAGCAGCTTGTTCGTCAAGATAGACCCAGCGTCTGCAAATCCAAAGAGCGAGTGGTCTGTAAACACAGTCCGCAGACCCATAGTCCGGGCGTGAAGAATGGCTTCGTGACAAAAGCTACTCAACGAAGCGTGTCCATGTACAATCTGAATCTGTTCGCGTATAACGATGTTTCTAAAGATCGGAAAGAAAGAGAAGACCGTGGGCATAGTCGACTCGCGATAAATGACGAAGAAAGGTACATGGTAGACCTTCAATCCATTTGTGAGATAACGGACGCCCGTTCGACCCTGATAAGCATGTGTAATGATAACCACTTTATGGCCCCGATCGATAAGCTTCGTCGACAATTGGTAAATGTGACATTCTACTCCACCCGGTTGAGGGAAGAAGAAGTCACAGGCCATGCTATGCGACGCTGGTTAGACAGGAAGGACTAGTTCTGGGCCACTGCGACTCACGCAATGTTATAAGGCATGTTGGCTGTGGGTGCACTTATGCAGATACATCCAGAACGCGGTAATTGAGTAGTTTCGCTTCAGTCTGTCCATGTTCAGACACTTTCCGCAGGTATCAGCATGGAGCGTGACGCTGACACTGCGTAGTGGAGGAGAAGGTCATCACCGTCGCCAAGTAAAAGGGATGTTGATGATCGCCCAAAGGTCCAGACCCTGGCGGCAGCCCAGGCGGTGTGCAGTTTCTGCCGTCAGAAATAATCCCCGCTAACAAGAAATATTCGGAGAAAAAAGATACCATCCGCGCAACGCCGTTGATACTCTCCATTTACTTCTCCAAGCTTGCGCTTGTACTGCGCTTTCACATTGACGATGGCCGGTGACCCCCGTGCGAATGCTACTTCACCTCACAGCAAGAAAACCCATAAGCGGAAGAGAGATCTAGATGCCTCCGCTGCCACCACATCGACTGCGACGCCCACCAAGAAGTCAAAGAAAACCCAAAGCCCGTCGGAAACCCCTATCTCCGCCAAAAGCAAACGGAAGAACAGAAGAGAGGTCGAAGACCCTGTCGATGGGAGTGTTCAAGAGGATGCGACCCCGAAGAAAAGTGCTGTCTCGCCGGCTAGCGGCAAGACAACAACCCCAAATGAAGATGTTGGAGACGCTAGGGGAAAGAAGAAATCGAGGAAAGACAAGCGGAAATCTTCAGGAAATGATAACGAATCGCTTGGTGATGCTACGGATCTAACAAAGGATGCAAAGGATGCAAAGAAGAGAAAGGACAATGCTGAAACTTCGGAGTCGCGCAGAGAGGCAGCGGCAACAGACTCTGCACCCAGCGAAGATGAGAAGTCGAAGCCGGCCAAGAATAAGTTCTCTGGGGTCCTGTCGAAATTTGAAAGATCGACCAAGGTCAAAGAGTCGGCCAAGGTGAAGGAAGATCAGCCGGACGAGACCGAAGAAACAGGACCAGAACCCGTCATTGCCCAGGGTCTGGAACCACTACCTCAACCGGAGCCTGTGCCTGAACAAGTCGAGAAGCCCACGTACTCTTCACTTCCTTCGTGGCTGGCCAATCCTCTCCGTACATCGACTGAAGCAAAGGGCAAGTTTGCTGACCTTGGCATCGAACCTAATCTTCTACGCACACTCGAAAACAATGGGTACAAGGAGGCGTTTGCGGTGCAGTCAACGGTGATTCCACTACTTCTCAAGGGACCCAAGAGCCATCGGGGTGATCTGTGTATTTCGGCTGCTACTGGGTCGGGAAAGACCTTGTCTTACGTGCTTCCAATGGTGACTGCCATGGAACAATTGCCAGCTCCCAGGCTCCGAGGTTTAATCGTGGTGCCCACCAGAGAGCTAGTCAAGCAAGCCCGAGAAGCGTCTGAGCTCTGCGCTGCAGGCTCGGGTCTCCGAGTTGCCTCGGCTGTGGGCAATGTAGCGATCAAGGATGAGCAGCGCTCGTTAATGCGTGTCGACCAGGTTCACGGCCCGGAGAAATTCAAGCTACGGCAGCAGGACCAATTGACACCCGATGACTGGACGAATTTCAGCCTGAAGGACTATATTGCCGACGCAGGAGAGCAAAGCGAGTCATTGCCTGGCTACATCCAAAAGACCGAGGCGAACGTCGACATTCTGATCTGCACGCCGGGTCGTCTTGTCGATCATCTACGTTACACAAAAGGGTTCACCCTCAAAGATCTGGAATGGCTTGTCATCGATGAAGCTGATCGGCTATTGAACGAGAGCTTCCAAGAATGGGTTGAAGTGGTGATGGATTCGCTGGATTCGCGAAAGGCGACAGACGCTTTCGGCTTCAGCGGGAAGTTTACGGCAGATGTTGGCCTTCCTATTCATACTAGAGAACCCAAAAAGGTGATTCTCAGTGCCACTATGACAAGGGACATTACGAAGCTCAATACTCTTCGGCTTGTCCACCCCAAGTTGGTCCTTGTCGGGCAAGAGTCGGGTCCCGCTGGGGAGAACGAAGACGAGATGGCTGTCGATCGCCCGGATGATAGGTTTATTCTTCCCCACACCCTCAAAGAGTTCACGGTGTCTGTGGGAGATGAATCGCAGAAGCCGCTCTATCTTTTGCGCCTCTTACTCTCGAACATTAATATCAGCAGCGATGCCAACCAGGAACCCAGCATTGATAGCGCGAAGTCGGATACGAGCTCAGACTATACCAGCTCCGAGGGCTCCGACTCTGAGGATTCTGACTCCGATGACACAAGCTCCGATGGCTCATCTTCTGACGAGTCCGATGAGGGCTCTTCGGAGGATAGCTCATCTGACAGCGACTCTGAGTCCGAGGATGAAGTGATGCAAGATAAGCCTAGCCGTTCTGCGGAGTCCAGCGTCTTGATCTTCACAAAGTCATCTGAGTCTGCATCTCGACTTTCCCGCCTGTTGGCTCTGCTTGATCCATCATTAGCCAGTCGCATCGGAACCATCATCAAATCCAACAACTCTTCGGCGTCGCGCAAGACGCTAACCGCCTATCGCCAAGGCAAGATATCCATCATCATCGCTACGGACCGTGCTTCTCGTGGTCTTGATCTGCAATCGCTATCGCACGTGATCAACTATGATGTGCCACCCAGCGTCACCACATACGTCCACCGCGTGGGTCGTACGGCACGAGCTGGTCGGGAAGGCTCGGCATGGACACTCGTCGCTCATCGGGAAGGCAGATGGTTTGGAAATGAGATCTCTCGCTCCATTGATGGTAAAATCACCCGGTTTACCAAGGTGGAGAAGGTGAGCGTGAAGCTTGATGACATGAAGGCCGTCAAGTCGAGGTACGGAGCGGCACTGGAAGCTCTTGGGGAGGAAGTGAAAAGGGGAGGTATGGTGAAGTCTAGCAAAACGAACGCGTGAAACGCGATTGATACCAATGCTTGAGTTTTCGACCAATTCACTTCTATCATGTTATTATAGAACTCGTCCTACAGCTTTTTCTGCCATCGGTGGCTATACATAGGTTGTTTAAACTTGTCATCCCCAAATGCCCCCTGTAGTTTTCCACCATGGAAACCAGACTCTTTCCTTGTCAAATCCGATTTCTCCCTGACTCGCCTCGCCTTTTAGCGAGAGTGATCGGCCCCATCTTCCCCGCAAAGATAGTCCAACTTGGCATCATCGAAGTTAAAGTCAAGATCGGCAATCCTTCTCCTTCCATCCATTGACAATACCTGATTGGCTTCTCCCTTATCCTATCTGTGGTCCAATCCCAGGTCTAACGCCTCGAGAAACAACACCGAGCCGATAGCTATCTATCCAACATCAGAAAATCCCTCATCCCCCAAAGCGAACGCAGCGATGACGTGTGGATTGCCTGCTTGTCAAGATCGATTGATTGGTTACTTCGCCTTTGCATTTGACAGGCTGGAAGTGAACTCCCTTGCTTCCCCGGAAAGTGGCACTCTGACTGGCGCAGTGCGGGCTTCAGCCTCTTCAGGGATGGAATGCAATGACCCTTTCCGTTTGGCATTGCCATCCTTGTCCAGGAAACAAGTGGCTGGAACATTGGAGCGAGGCCGTCCAACTCGAAACACGACTGCATTGGATAAAACCTTAAGGCTTTTCTTAGCGCCAGCCAGATGTCGTATTCTAGATTGTGTACCACTGTACTCCCTGTCCATCACATGCAATCCCCGTTGGTTTCCTGGATGTTAACTGATAACATCACTGCGCAGACGCTAGTAGCTTCCAGTATCAGAATACGGAAACTGCCACTCCGGGATACTTGCTTTCGTGGGAGCTTCAATGGGCACTGCCACGCTCAATGGGAGATAGTATTGGCTTGGCGTACTTGGCCTTATCCACAGATACGAAGTCGTCCTTTCTTTGGCTAGTAGTTATAGGCAGCATAATATCTTTTAGATTAATGGCTAAGTAGGTTATCTATCTGAATGGTTAGTCTTGTATATGCTATCAAGCAGGAACCGAGGTTCTAGCTAGGTGCGACGACAATATAGGCTCGCATGTGTCTTATTGTGTACGTTATCTATCGAATCTCTACAGACACGTAGCATTCTATGAATAGGTTGAATGTTTGGAATGTGAAGGACGTAGTGGACTTCACTGTATGTTCTATTTCTTGGCTAACGAAGAATCCGATCGTTTAGGCTAGATTTCGTGGTGCTGGGTTGATACGTATTGGAGTTGTTAATGCGAGGTTAGCCATAGACCAGCTCCAAGATAGAGTACTCATTGCTAAAGTAGTCCCATCCATAGCCATCGAAGATAAGTTGGAAATTGTCCAATAGAAGGGGATGCTGTTGGAGATCCTGGGGGAGAACATATCGCGAATAACTTGAACGCCTTGGTTGGCATGAGACTTGTAGCCCTGTCATGATGCGCTGTGGATGATTCAGACATGCCTGGAGGCCTCAGACTCTTCGGTGTAGCACTGGTATGCAGAGATACTATCCATCTAGGAGGAATGTATGGGTAGTATATACAGCTCGCAACACTGTGGCTGTCTATCTCAGTACCGACTGTTTCTTTGCCACATTGGTGTATATCAAGCAAAACTTTCGGTTTTTGCGCGGTATCAGTTTTTCTGCCAACAGAAGCATCGTGGAATTCGAGCACTTGAGCATACGCTAGCCGCCTGTTTGATGAAGATCCCGGAGATGGCTCCAAGGCAAGGCCCATATCCGACAGCGCAATACCTCGGTAGACATGGGAAAATCCATGGTATCTCGAGAATACTTCACGCGACTGTTATGCCAGTGGTCAGACGACTCAAAAATGACCACTGTGCACACAGGATGCTGTCAGAAAAAGCAGTGAGGTCGTCAGTGCAGATCAGTGTGAGTGGGTCTGAGATAACATACGATCGTCCATCTATTTTTGCTTTTGATGCAGGTTGATTACCCACATTCTGGTAGTGGGTCACGAACGGCCGACAGTTGCGATCGATTTCCACACCTCCCTCCTTCACAATCTGCTCGTTGAACTTCTGAATACCTTCATCTCGACGAGTAAAACAAGAATTCCGTAGAAAAAATCATGGTAAACACCCCCATCTCAAGGAATCACCAATTCCAGTCTGCGGGGATATGTTTGGGGTTGCACTATCGACCAGGGATCGTCCCCACACTCCCGAACACTGCAACTCACGAGGATACCCGATGGTTGTATGGTGCGACTGCAACGATCTTCGTAAAGGGACATTCAGTGAGAGACACCCTTTCTCGGAGCCTGATGCCAAAGTGGTGCCAGGAAAACCATCTCACTCAGAGAATCGGTTCAAGGGCAGGGAAATGTTACAATGTGATTGTGGGCCCACGGTCTGCTACCCCCCTTTAAATTCTCTCGCTAGCCTCGCGCATCCGGTTCCACTCTCTCGACTATTGTATCATAGTGACCGGTTCTCCCTCCACCCCACCTGGGGATCTGACCGGTTTTGGGTCGCTTGTAGCAGCCGGATTGTCGCCCACGCCGTACTAGTCCTGCGGGCGGCCTTTAGTTACATCTGGCCTCACTGACACGGCAGGGAAGGGCACGAGAGCTGCTCTGCCAGATAAGCGAAGCAACGGTCATTCTCGGATCATAAGAATTCATATGAAGCATGCATCGACAGATGTCGAAGAGGAAAGGTAGTCGAGCAAGAAACTTTGATGTGATGCCATCGCACGGCAGAGGAGGTGTGGAGGAGGCGGGCCATAGGAAATAAGAGCAGCCAAACACGAGGGCGTCGGAACAGCCACCGATGAAGGAAATATATTGGTCGGCGCCTTGGTGAATTTGCCTAAACTGGAAATACCAATGCACGAAAGGGACCAAGGACAGGCTTCGGTGGCCCATGAAGCCGAGACTAGGCGGACCAGGTTACCATGACATGATGTTACAATAGTACTCCTTGATAATGGCGAATTGGTCAATGAGGAGCCTGGCGCTGACTTGGCTTCTTGGTCAGGCAACCACACAAGCTGCTTCCCCCCATCATCTGAAATCCCTCATCACTTTCAATCCACTCGACTTTCTCTCCACTCACACCCCCCATTCAAGTCGGTAACCTTTCTGCATGCCAATATCAGCCTCGACGCCACTTGTAGCAGCCAAACTCAGCCATTGCATGCCAAAAGACATCAGTGGCGGTCCGGAGGGAACCCTCCCTTTGGAGTTTTCCAGATGATCCTCACAAAGGTGAGGCGCACGGCCAGTGCAACCAGCCTGAACAGGCACTAGATTGGCGCCGAGTGGTTTGGCCCCTGGCATCCCTGCTAGCACTGGGAGGTCGCCAAACCGGACCACCAGTGAACTAATTCGACGCTATGATGTAACTAACAACCGAGTCTTGCATCTTTATCGCTAACCCCGCGAGCCCGTGAGGGGCTTCCCATTAGCCCGCGTGGGTTGCTCCACTTGGGCCTTACACGGTGGCTGCTGACTGGCTTATACTCAGACCCGACTGCTATTCGGGCGGAGATACCCGGGAAAATAAGGAATGGATCGTCTCCAATCAGACGGATGGGTTGGATGTGGTATACTTGCTCCTGAGACTTATATACGACCCCGGAATCCCCTCGACGGCCGGGTTGTTTCCTCGCAAACCCTGCACAGATTTTCTTCAGCGAGCGCTTGAATTTATCATTTCAAACTTATCTGTCCTCATCATCCATCATGCAGTTGAAGGCTCGAGGTCCCACGAAGCTTGATCTCCGGGGAAGCCCTAGAAAGGTACGGCCTCAGGTTCTTCCGATCCTGTGGATCAAGGACTTATGGATTGACCACGTTGGCTAACACTCCGACAGATCGGCTTCCAACATGGCCTGCAACTGCAGCGTCAAATCAAGGATCAAATCTCCGTCTATGAGGAGATGTTCAGCTTCACCTCCCAGGTGTCCTGGGAAACGGTCAAGGACTATGCCAGGGAGTTTCAGGTGACCCTCCAGCGCTTGACCCCGGATCTTTACTCCGAGATGGAAGGGATCGCCGAGGGCGCCGGACTGGACGTCCTGGACATTGTCGCGCTCAACTGTCGAAGCGAGCTGGCCCTGGAGCTGTACACAAATGTTGCAGACGGCTGTACAAGTGTCTCGTGGAAGAAGAGCGAGAATTCCCGACTCTTGGCACAGAACTGGGACTGGACGTCTCTGGTGTCAGGCAATATCGTGCTCATGTCCGTTGAGCGCGAGGGAAAGCCCAAGGTGTACATGGTAACGGAGGTAAGCCATGACTAACTCATCTAACTACGCATTGTGAGACACGGCACTAACACTTCCACGTCAGGCCGGGGTCGTCGGTAAAATCGGATTCAACAGCGCTGGAGTCGGCGTAGGTCTCAATGCCATCAAAGCGCGCCCGTGCGAGACCTCCAAGCTCCCAATCCACGTCGCGCTGCGTCTCTGCCTAGAGAGCACGTCCGTCGACCAAGCACTGAGCACGATCTCCAAGCTCGGTGGTCTCGCCTCCGCGCAGTACATCGTTCTCGCGGACAATGAACGGTCGTTGGGGCTGGAGCTCTCGCCTTTGGGCGACTTTGTTCTCGAAGAAGACGACAATGGCATCGTCACGCACACCAACCACTTTATCGCGAACCGTTCGATCGGTGACGAGCCATGGCAGCCCGATTCGGACACCCGGCTGCGGCGCGTGCAACAGCTGTGCAGCGAGCTGATGGACGATGGCGTGCACGGGAAGCACGCTACGCCCGCGATCCTCCGCGACCGGATCTTCTCCGACATGTACAACATGCCCAACTCCATCTGCCGACAGGCGGATCTCACGCGGCACCCGACGATGCGTAGCTCGACGCTGTTCAACATCGTCATGAACCTTGAGCCTGACAATCTGAGGGCCGAGGTTGTAATCGGGCAACCAGGGTCGGGTATTGAGAGTTCAGTGGTCACTATGCCATGGGCTTAGATTGACTTTTCTTCCATGACTTGTCACTTTTGGGGGTTTTACTTCTTTCTGCGTTGTCATAATTAGCTTGGAGTTCAAGAGTTAGGATGGTTTACACATACCCAATTTGTAACAAATTTTTACCTATTTTATGATTGCTACATGAATATCTTGAATATCCTACATCAATATTCCAAAGTTACATGTACACTGGGAGTGATAGATATCATAAGACATGCACCGTCTATCTTCACTAACAGTGTACATGGTCACCACGCTAGGTTCATGGGCCTCACCATACACTTCACCTGCTAAGTAGGGTCATTTTCTTACTATTTCATATATATTTGATTTTATCTATCATCTATGGATTTCTATCCATTGATTCCTCCTTCTGATTGGAAGCCCCGAGAACAATATTGTTCTCTTTCCCATACACACACACACACTTCCACAAAGAGTGAGAGACATATACATAGTGTTGTGAGACATACAATCAGCCAACATCAGCTGACTTGCTGGGTTTGCCCCTATATATTGTTTTCTTGCTCTTCATGTTTTTTCTCCATTCTTGCAACTGTTCGCAACCCTTTTCATACCTATGAGAATACTGAATATCATCAATATTTTGACCGTTCCATCAGTCTCCCACATATACGAAAGCAGACTTCAGATAAACACCAGCTATCTTGTATTATCGTTTTCTTTGGGGTACATGGGTCAGCAAAATATAATTACCTAACAAAAAACATTGTGCTGAAATAGAATAAGGGCATTGCTACTCGACTATAAGGGATATCATGATACTTTTGGCCTTCGCAGGTGCCCTATATCCAGTGCGACACACTGTGATTTCCATGAACTAAGCTTCTGGCTTTTAGATTTAGTATCCCACAAGACTTGAGCTACATTTGCAATCATGAACATCATCCAGCTCAAGCCTATTGGGGATGCGTATAACTCCTTTCAACACAAGATGGCTCCAACAGACAGAAGATGGGTAGGCTGAATGCCTTCATGTGGGGATTTACTTGACCATAACACTAGCTAGGCTATCACTTTGGTTCACTTGGTATGGTGGGCCTGACGAATGTCAGTCCAGAGTGGGCTGACATTTGTATTTGTCTCACACAACGACCTGTCAACTTCTATCTCGCATGATCACACTGGCTATCCAGCCCGGTACAAAGTCAGGGGAGTTGCCGCACTATATCTAGAAGTATCCGCCATGAGTACCGTTCCATGGATGGATCAAGACTCCCCAGGAAGGCACGGCCGCGGAGATCCAAAGCATACGGCGGGTCTATACTACCTATAAAGGCGCCACTGGTATATTGGCAGCACATCCTGTTAAACGGGGTTTATAGGATGGGTTCTAGGTAAAGGTTCTTGGTTAAGACGTCATGGCAAACATTGCAATACCCCGAATCTCAGAACAATTCGAACAGGGCTGACAATATGGTGGCGTGTCTGGACCGAATCTAAACTCAAGCTCGAATTCGTGGCGGTTATCTGTTGTGTGGAATCAGATGTCGGCCAATCCTCGGTTGTCTGCAGACTAGTGGTTGTTGTTCCAGCCAATTCCTGATATCTGGGGTTATTCGCCACTTCACATGGATGAAAATATGGTCAAAACAAGGCAGTGGCAACGGCTAGACCGGCTGTCGAAATATAAGGTTCAACCGCGGCGTATGACCGCTGTTATATTCCATCCTACCACGGCTTTCTTGGGGCAACCCACTGTAAGTGACAGTATCGGTAAGCTATCTGATCCAAACCGCCCGAAAGCCCAGTGCCACTAACAGATTACATAGGGAGATATTTTCCGGCCTTAGATTGGACCCTTAGACCACCACACGATCCTTCAAGCCCACCATTCCTGTTCTGATCACTACAGTCGCCGGTCATAGCGAACTGACAAACCATGCTTGCAACAACATAGTCTTGAATAAAATCCGTTCGTGGAGATTGAGGTAGATTCCACCTGTCAATACTTCTGTGATTTGACGTGGACGTTCCCAAGATGCCTCGCAAAATCGCCATCATCGGCGCCGGTATCGCTGGACTAGCCTCTGCCATTTCTCTCTCCAATGAACTCACACCGAAGCTATCCGACCTCGAGATTATAGTCTACGAGCGGTCAAAGGAGCTATCCACCGCAGGAGGCGCCATCAGCCTGACTCCTATCGCGCAGCGTCATCTCGACGACCTCGGCGTCCTATCGAAGCTCAATCAGATGGGGCCCGAGGCAGGCGTGGAAGTCGACACTATCGACCTTTTCGCCCTCAACTCGGGCCGGCGCCTGGGCCCGCTGCGACTCACAGCCTCCAAAGACGCGGGGTGCGACAACTACAAGGGCCGTCGGGTGAAGCGCATCAGTCTGGCGCTCGCCATGGTCGCCGCCATCGAGGACCTACCAAAAGTGTCGATCCTCTACGGGAAGAAGCTCACCGGAGGGAACACGACAGACGATGGAGCAACACTGATCTTCGACGACGGCACGTCAGCGAGCGCAGATCTGGCGCTGGGCTGCGACGGGGTGCACTCGCCGACGCGCACGCGGATCGTCGACCCCGGCAACGAGTCAAAGTACTCCGGAGTCTCGTTCGTCCAGAGTATAACCAGCGCCGTGAACGCATCGCAGCCCACCCGCTCGGAGACCACGTCCCTGCACATCGGTCGTCACGGGTCCATTTTGACCAGCTACTGCGACCCCAATCGGGAGAAGCTCTTCGTTGCGGCCGTGCTCAAAGTGAACGAGATTCTCATTGAGAGGTACTATGCCGCGTTGGAGGGGGATGCTGCTGCACAGAACAGTATGAAGATGTCGCTGCGGTATCTGGTGCGCACGCAGTCGAACAACTCCCGTAGCCCGGCCCTCCGGAAGATGGTCGACCACGCGGAGGACTGGGCCCTGTGCCCTGTGTACCAGGTGCGGCCGGGTCGGCCGTGGCACCGTGGACGCATTATGCTGCTGGGCGATGCGGCACACGCGGTACGTCTACCATCTACTCTCTCCCATATCCAGAAACACAACTAACAGTCAACAGATGCCCCCGCGCGACGAATCCACCACCCATGCCCTCGAAGACGCCATCATCTTCTCACGCACACTTTCCCACAACATAGGCCAACCCATCGCCAACTCATTCCAAGAGTTCGAGTGCGAGCGCCGCGCATTCATCGACAACGCCTTCGACGAGTCCTTCCACCTCTGGCAGCGCAACCAGGACCTCGCCGCGTCCCTCAACTACCTCAAAGACCCAATGTCACCAATTTCGCGACCCGCGTCGCCCGATGTGAACGTTGAGCGAATCCCCCCGCTTTCGGTACCATTGCCGATGAATGATAGTTTCTCTGATCTGTCTGTTTGCTCGCTTACGCAAGAGTATCTCGGGAGTCATGGGATCATATAGATAACTTATGGCTGATGCGTGATGCATGGTAGGAGTTTTGTGTGCTTTACCTTTTCTAGTGGGACTTGGTTTAGTTGTTCGTCATGTTTCGGCGTTCTGGTTAGGTTGACGGTCATGAGTACATGCGTTACGAGATAGAACAAGATACTAGTCATGATATACTATACGAGATTGATAAGAACCTCATTTGTTGATCTATATCCACACTGCGTTATAGGTATGCTATGTCTACTACCGAACACGTATAACCACCGGAACGACGAACGGATGAGGAAGAGAAGAAGGAGAGGAAATTTTGAGTGGGGGGGTTATACTCCTGGGCCCCGTGACCTCCTGCCAAATGCATCTGTCTACACGTGCCAACAAGGGGAAACGAAACGAATGCAGCATTAAACATATACACACAAATTGACCATATACCAAGCCATCTATCTACACCCCAATTCCAATTCAACAACCCCACCCTAACCCCCTTCCCTCTTTACCTCCGTCGGATGCTTCTGCAAACTCTCGTACCACTGAATCCCGGAACCCACCAAGAAAGCCCACGACCCCCAAAACGTAGCCAAATTCGACTGATAAACCGCCCCCGAATTACCCTCCGCCGGGCCCAACACCCCACACAGCGTGAACCCAATCCCCCCCACAAAGTTCCACATCCCAATATGCCACCCCAGGGTCCGCGGCGCAGGTACATACCACTTCTTCTGCGTCTCGATGGCAAACAGCAGTCCGCTGGCGATGAAACACGCCCCGCCGGCCATCTGCGGTACCCAGAACACGCCGTTCGTCACCCGTCGACTCATGTGGTTGATTATGCCGGGGAGGCCTGTGAAGCCGGAGATCCAGAAGATGGTGGCGCCGATGAGCTGGATGAAGGATGCTTGGAAGCCGATCTCGCGGATGTAGTGCTTGCGGAGCTCGGTTAGGGTCGGGAGCCAGGTGAAGGAGCGGGTGCTGGCTCTGTCTGTGTCTCTGTCTCCGGTGGCTTTTTCGTCGGCTGGGGTGGAGCCATTCTCCAGACTGGCTGGAGAGGCAGAGGCAGAGGCAGAGGTAGAAGGACGGCGGTGGTGGTGTCTCATCTTCAGAAACGTTTTCCGATCCGCGTGGTGGTGAACGCAATCCTTTACGCTCGGCGCAATCTTGATAGTCTCCTTCTCCGGATGCCCTGGCCCACCACCATGAACAGCCTTCTCTAGCGCCCAGCCAAAACAATCCGCCTGGTTCTCGTTCACAGCCTCGAGGATCAAAAAAAAGCTGCCTATTTCGAAGATCGTGGCGCCCACAAACGCCGACACTCCTCCCGCGGTGAGGGTTTCATTCTTAAACGTCGACCCCGGATCTTGTAGCGGCAACCACACGAAGAAAGCGTTAATACACCAGACCACAGACCCCAGCGTGAAAATCACAGCCACAAGCCACGACACATCCCAGTACGCAAACACAGTCACCATGCGCAGGAGACCTTTCGCTATTGCGCGCGGCGCAGACGTCCGTCGCGGAAGGATATAGACCACCTCAGGTTTGGGCGGTGGTGGTGCTGTCGGTAACTGGACGCGGATCGCATGACGGCCTTTTCTGTTATCGCGGGATCGCCAGAGATGCTCGATGCGCGGTTTCTGGTCTTCGCGGGGGCGGTGGATGTGCGGTTCTTTTTCTTCGTGCGGTGGTGATGGTGGTGGATGGGGCTTGTGTAGCTTTGCGTGGGTGGGGTTGAGGAAGGATATGGGACCCCCGACGTGGGTGACCTCTGTCCCTGGGGAGGTCCGATACCGAAGGATGGATCTTCGGGGCATGGATGATACTGTATGGGAGTTTGGGGGTTGAATTTATCAGGAAATGTAGTACACTGGGAAGGTTAAGTTGAGTTGAGAGACAATGCTGGTGGATGATTACTGGCTGGGTGGAATTGACTTTCGAGCATGTGGGTGCATGGTGGTGATGTCGTACGATTTAGAGTATGCTTAAACAGACATTGTACTGTCTATATCTGCTTCATTAACAAGGGATATACGCTGTGAATTCATAGAACCATTTCATAAAGACTGAAGAATACATCAATCCTTACTTCTGCTTATGATACTCAACAAATACCATCACTGCAGTAGTATAGTCTCATCACAAGAATGGACAGTACAGAAAGTAAGAAGAATGACGGAGTCCAACTGACATCATCACTTCTGTACAACCCTATAACTACAACCACATTCCAACACCCGATGACTAATGCTACGTGGTTACCATGATATACTCACTTACCATATTATTGTATTACTAGTTTAGTATAGTAGGTTCACTTGATATTATAGGATATCATTCTAGTATGGAATGCTCACGATGCACTCATCTAAGCATACTGTACATCGCTTTTAGGGTAAATGTGGGGCCGGGTATCAAGCTGTCGACAATAAGCGGAGAGGAGTGGTAGGGCTACCACGATGGGAGATGGGATTGTCTGGCTCACGAGACAGGGATCTGTTTTCAAGTTTGGTGACTTCTGTTTGGGGTGGATTGCTGTTCATTGATTGGGTCTCGGAGTCATCGCATAATCTATTTGATTTGTTATACTCTATCTATCCAACTTGCAATACACCTTATGGCAGCGTTATATCACCAATCAAATCGACAATCTATCAGAACCCCATCTCAAAGAGAGCGGGAAAAGAAAACTAGTGATGTCGTCTATACCTCCAATAAAGCCCCCCCAGCGCAAACGCCCCAACGGCAGTAAGTTCCGGCAGCCAATACGGCAAAGACGTATCACGTCCCGCATGAGCCTGATACAGAAACGGCGACACGCAAATATACGCCTGGACGGCGAGAAAAATAAGCGGGACGATCGTCCACACGCGGAACTGATTAGGGCCATAGGAGACGGTTTGCCGAATGCGAAATAGGCCCAGCACAACCATGGAATTGACCATTGCCCATTCGTATTGGTTGATATCGGTTAGGAAGACATAGGCGTCACCTTAACAAACCGTCAGTATTTGATACATGTGCAGCTAGAGAGAGAAAAGTGTGACAAACCAAAAGGCACAACAGTAATAGCCACAGACGCAGCCATGAACACAAGAATGTACGCATTCGCAGCAGGCGTCCCATGTATCGTTTCCCGAGCAAAGAACCTCGCAGCGGGGATGACATTCTCAACAGCCAGATTGCGCGCCACGCGCGCCATCGTAAACGAAGATGTCATGAGCGTACCATACGTAGACAGCGCCGCAAGAGCAGCAGCGATACGTCCCGCACCGCTGCCAAACACTTTACCCAGCAGGACGGCAACGACTTTGACTCCGGAGTTGCTGATCTCTTCCGGCGATGCGACGATGAAGTACGAAATATTCGTTAGGAAGTATAGGATGCCCACTAGCCCCACGCCCAGGATGCCGGCCAGGGGCATTGTCCGGCGCGGGTCCTTCACTTCGTCGAGGACATACGCGGCATTGTTCCAGCCTTGGTAGGTCGTGAAAACCTTGAGTAGGGCGGTAGCGTAGGAGTAGAGATCCGTGGACGAGCCTGCGAACGGGCGGTGGAAGCTAGCGGTTGGGTCGGGCACGCTGGGTATGAAGCCGCAGAGCGCGATGAGACCCGTTAGGATGACGAGCACTAATATGAAGACCTTCAGCAGTCCCAGGTAGTCCATGAAGCGAACGCTCCAGTCGCGCCTGGTAAGGTGGAGGCCGATGATAGAAGCGAGGACAGCGACCGAAAGGACGCGCTTAGTGAAATCACTCGCCGAAATGTCAACCGCGACGAGAAGGTTTTCAGAGACAACGACACTGCCGAGTCCGCACAGCGCGAAGATGATAAAGAACCCATACAAGGTCGTGATCAGACGAGGCGGACGCGGATACGCGACCTCAAGGTATAGCTTCTCTCCACCACTACGAGGCATCAAGCAGCCCAGCTCGATCCATACGAATAGCCCGCATAGCGCTAGTCCAAGTCCAACAAGCCACAGTGAAAGACTGGCGCCGACGCTGCCGACGCTTTGGATGATGGCGGAAGGAACGGAGAAGATGGCCGCGCCGATCATGCGATTGGTCCTCGGGTACAGATTAGCTTTGGCCAGAGGATCATTATGCACAGCGCGTTGCATGCGTCGCGTCGTGTAGCTTACAGGAGAAGAGCCGTGGAGAGAAGCCCCAAATGGCGCTTTTTGTCTTGATCATTTTCCACAAACACCCGGCGCTCCTCGTGGGATACAGACTGGTTTGCGCCGAACAGGAGTTGTTGTGTTTCGGGGACGTCCGAACCCAGGGGTTCTTGTGGAGTCATGACCATTCCCGGCCAATAAACTGATGCGACAAACCGGACGCTGAACAGAGGGCGTGGGCTGTGATATCGTGGTGGTTTGAGGGTGTAATGAAGGCCCTCATGGCTTTGTTGTTCTCGTCATATGCCAACTGTCAAGTTTGCTGGGTTTCTGCGTCTCATCTCATATGCACCTGCTGCATACTGGCTGACATAATCACTTTGTGCATATTAATATGAACTATCAAGGATTGTTGTTTGGTCCTATCTCAATTAACAGCCGTTGAATTGGGACTTATGCTCTTAGTCGCTTGTCTGTGTGCATTGTTTAAAGCCGTGTGTTGTAGCTGCATGATATATATAGCTTAGCTTGAGTATTCATGGTTGATCGGTCTTTAATTCTTTTCCACGAGATCTTACGCAAGTATATATACTATAGCAGTCACTTAGTTTGGTCTCCCAACAGTCCTTCAAAGGTAATATCAGCCCTACAATGAATGATTTATTCAAAGAATCTCCATATCAACGGCAGCTTCTTCGCCCATCACCGACTGAACAAAAATCACGCATTCCTCCCTACTTTTCTCAGCCGCCAAAATCCTCATCCCAAGAGCACTTTTCGGAAGAGGGACATCGTTCTTCTCAGAGCCATCCGACGAGGTTAGACAAAGAGTTTGGCCTCGTATCGAAATCTATATAACATGAGAACATTGTTTTATCTTTGAGAGTACGAACTCCCACTCACCAAATGAAACTTGGTCGCCGTAACGACAGGAATGTCCATGATATCCGTAGACAGAAACTCTTGCACCCTGCGGTCACCCGAGAAGATATCATCTCCCTCTATCAGGACTTTTTGACACCCCTCTTGAAGTGAGGTTGCTCTTATGCTGGAAATTTGGCATGGACGACCATTCACAAAGACAAAGTCATTTTTCCGTAGCTCTGAGCACTCCTTCGTGTGGAAACTGTAGATCTGACCCATACGTTAGCATCGACACATCCTCGTCATCAATCATGGGGAAAGTCTGTGCTGTGTACTACCAAGTCGTCTGTCATGTTTTCACCACCATGTGGGGAGTACTTCGCGGAGTGTAAGTATTACATCGATCAGGTGGACGCAAACAAGGGCCGTGGGACAGAATCGCATAAAAAAGGCTCCTGTAGTGGGAGACGAGCAGCCTAAGAACCACCACACCGCGAAGTAACAATCGAGTCGTCATAGCAACAGCCTTGAGCCGGTGACCTGAGCGCTTTATTGTATATAACTGACCTAGGCATACTGAAATACTCGAAGCTGGGATCCAGTCCTGTGATCTTTCGGCTTTCCCGAACAAAGGAATATAAATCAAGTTCTGACATTGTAACCAGTCGAATCAATGCCTAAGCTATTCTGTCATGTAAATTGGAGCCACGAGATGATATGAACAGCGATCTTAGAATCGCACAGGAAACTTAAAACCGGCCTTCAGCAGGTGTGGTCTCGATTGTCAAAGTATTGTACCATCTACTCAGAGTCATTTCAATGCGTCTCAATCAGTACCCATCATCCCATCCAAATAACGCTCCTAGTCCCACCCGTCAAGGCGAAGACGCATGTCGAATCATTCCAACCAACTCCTCATACTCCCCCGTATTCCTCATCATATCCCAAAACACGCCTCTCTTCTCCACCAACTCAGCCGGAGAACCATTCCTATAACAATATCAATCAGTACCCGTATGCCACAGCTCATAACCCCCCACAAATGGAAAGGGAAATGGAAGAAACCTACTCAACAATCTCCCCATCCGCCATGACCAAAATACGATCATAATCCATAATCGTCCGCAGCCGATGCGCAATCGCAATGATTGTGCAATCAGGGAACTGGTCGCGCAATACGCGCTGCATATGCAAGTCCGTCTCGTGGTCCACTGAGGCGGTTGCCTCGTCGAGTAAGACAACTTTCGAGCGGCGACACATGGCGCGCGCGAGACTGAGGACTTGCCGTTGGCCTTGGGAGAAGTTCTCGCCGTTGGCCGCTACTGGAGACTGTAAGGAAAGCTGACTATTTCTTCTATCGTTGGTTTCGGGACCATGGTCGTGTTCATCGTGGTTGTTGGTATGGATGGAAGCGCATGCAGATAATGCGGACTGGAGCTCTGTTTCGCTAGAGGCACCGAATGGGTCGAGGTTGGATTGTACATCGCCAGAAAAGAGAACTGGCTCCTGTGGAATGAGAGTGACGCTTGAGCGGAGGCGGTGCAACAGGAGCTGGGTGATATCCACGCCATCGATTGTCACGCTTCCACTCACGAGGTTGACAAAACGCAGTAAAAGGAGCCCCAGGGTACTCTTCCCACTTCCGGTGCGGCCGACTATCCCAACGCGCTCCCCCGAGTGTGCGACAAATGAGACCCTGCGAAGAACGTCCGGGCCGTCGGGTGTGTAGCGCGCCGTAACGTTGCGAAACTCCACCCGCCCCGACGTAGGCCAGCTGGCTGGGGTGCTGTCTGCTATATCTGCGAGACGGGCCTTGTCAAAGGTTTCCTCTGGTTCAACCTGGCAGTATTCTCGCACACGCTGGAACGAGTTCAGTTCCACTTCGAGCTCATTCATAGTGCGGACAAGCGTCAGGATTGTCTGGCTAAAGCCGATAGCGTTGGTTAACGAAAATCCAACTAGGCCAGGCGACCCCGACCAAAAGTACGCGACGCATCCTGCGGCGGCTGACACGGATGCCGCGCAGAAGTCCGTTCGGACGGATACCCATCGGTTGCAGTTGTATTGGGCTTCTGCAGAACGGGCGTGCACGGCCAGCTTCTTGGCCAGAAGCTTTTGGAAGGCCTTGTCCATGCCCTGTCGGGCTCGAATGACACTGATGCCTGACAGAGAATCGGTGAAATGGGAGAAAATAGGGGAGTAATTGACTGAACAGAGCCGTTTGATGGAAACCTGCGCACGGGTGTACATCTCACCGATGAGGAACCCAGCCGTGCAAACTATTGCAGCAGGAAGCGCGAAGATAGGCATGATGGACGCAACACTAGCTATGCGGAGCAAAAACCGCAGACCATTTTCCATCGACATACGCAGCCAATCGATGATAAGCGCATCGATAGAACGCATATCGTTACCGAACCGATTGACCACCCTCCCGACGGGGTTTTCGTCAAACCAGGATATAGGCGCAGATAAAACAGCTGTCACCAACTTTTTGTGCATCGTTCTTGCAGCGGCCCAGCCTCCATACTGGTAGATAAGGTTATTGGTAAGCTGCATAACGAGAAACGCCATGATCGCTGCTCCATAGACTGTGAGATAGAAGATATTGTTCTGGTTGCCGTTTTCCCCATTGGCCTCTGTCCAGATTGAAAGCCAGTACGTGATACCGAAATATGCAAGTTGGACCGCGATCGTTGCTAAAATGGCCAGTGGTGCGTAGAAAATTCCACCAAAAAGCTTCATATACTGAAAAACTAAGACAAGTTTAGCACCCAACCATTTGAAGTGGGGGCTGCGAACTTACACAATGAACGTGGCACGCGACCTGTAGCAGACTGTTCTTTTGCAAGTTTGCCTGTTTGGTCACTCTCATCCACTCGGAAAGCTGGCGTGGCCTTAATTGGCGGCTCTGATGGGGCATCATGGATTTGGTCCTGGGTCTGTAGCATGTTGTCGGTATTGGTATTGGTCTGCGTGCTCGGCGTGCTGCATCTTGTAGGTTCAAGAGACGCCGAGCATAGGATGGAAGGTGTTTCAACAGAAAAAGATCTTCCATGCTCCAAACGGATCGCCTGTTGGGCGTCTTGCAGGGCGGCTGGCAAGTGTGTTACAAGCACGACCGTTCTGTCGGAAAGCAAACCACTGCGGAAGCACTTCTCGTAGACGAGGGACGTAGTGTGGGTATCGAGAGCAGAGAATATATCATCTAATAACAATACTGGCGAATGGGAATACAATGCTCTTGCCAGGGACACTCGCTGTTTTTGCCCGCCAGAAAGTGAGGTTCCCTTCTCCCCGACCAGAGTGAGATCACCAGCGGGCAGCTGCTGGAGATCCTGCGAGAGACCGCTCGCGTCGATGATTTTTGCATAGCGAGCCTCGTCGAATGGACTATAAAAGATCACGTTTTGGCGGATGGTATCATTCTGAAGCCAGGCCGCTTGGGGGACATAAGCTACATCTCGCGGACAGGTCGCAGATCCGGATTCCAGAATGGTCTCTCCCAGTAGCGATAGAAGTAGCGTAGTCTTCCCACTTCCAGTTGGACCTGTCACCACATTGAGGGCATTGTGCTTGAAGGAAACGGACACCTCCTTCAGCCTGAAAGCAGCAATAGGAGTCCGCTGGAATGTTGCCTGTGTGAGCTCCAGTGGCCCTTCCGGATGGCGTTTTATCTCCCCAGCGGACTCGAAAAACCGATCGACGCGCCGCAGGGATTCTGCGCCCTGAGCAGTGTATCGACTCACGTTGGACAACCACACGAACTGTGATCGTAAAGCCTCCATGATTGTCACGGATGTAAATGCCACCGGGGCCCTCAACGTGCCATCGGTAAAAATCACAAAGGCCGAAAACGTGACCAGCAAACTCACCAAAGGTAGCAAATCCCCGGCCATAGAGATAGCCGCAGCGTAAACACTCCGTTTCCAGAGGCGGTCTTGCTCAACCTTCCGAGCATCATTGATAGTATCGATGGCCGCATGCTCCCAACCAAAGTACTTAAGTGTGCGGATTGAAGCCAGATACTCCGACACTTTTGACAAGCGGGCATCTGTAGCTCGCATGACAGACTGCTGAATGCGTGAGACTTTGCGCGACGCGAAGGCAGGGAGGGGCGTTAAGAACAAGAGCGTAAAAACTCCAAATAGCGACGGCCAGCCTAGTAATTTATACAAAAATACCAAAGCAATAGTGGTCGATATGGGGCTAGCAGTGGCGACGTAGAAGATATCCCGGGAGTTATAGATGGCATCGACATCGTACGACATAAGACTGGTCAAGTTGGCCTGTCTAGATTTAGACGTTCCCTTTGGTGTATCTGCCAGCTTTCCATCTGCCTTTTGTGCTCGATCAACCGAATCCCGTATTGAATCGTCATATATGTGCGAGCGCATTGCGGTTTGGTATATGTCCTGGACAAGAGATATATTCACTCTAACCAAAAGCCGGGTGGCAGTGAAGATATACTGTTGATAGCATAAGGACCGTAGCACGGGCCCAATAAACAGCAAAGATATCCAGATTGCGGGGTGGACAATCGCATCATCTCGCGCTTCTAGGTATGCTAATAGGCCTAGCATGGAAAATGGCGCAACAAAATCCATGACTGCAGTGGCGGCAGACCAACCCATCATGGTCTTGATTTCAGTCTTCAATAACCGAATAAGAGTCCGGAAAGTTTTTCCACCTTTCTTGCGCTGCGTTTGGATTTTTTTCAACCATAACGACGGTTCATCGTATGAAGGCAATGGGGGCAAATCTTCCATCGTTAGATCCTTCCGACAGCCTCGCAAGATCACATAAGTGACCCATTCATACGACCAATAATATGAAAAAAGGGAGCAAGTTTCCTCCGGTGATACCCTGATATCCTCTACGCATAGCTCTTCAATCTCTTCGTTACGCACGAGTGGACGACGCGGTCGCGGTGTTCCCAATGCGATGAGCACCACAGCAGCCAAACATGTTAACAATGCGACACGGATGGGGCTAAGGAGATATTTCGTCCCTATAATCGCCAGGGGCGACAAATGCTGAACGATTTCCAAAACCAACGCAACAAAAGCAATTGCGTTCATATGGCGGTAGAGATGGGCACGATAGCGGCTATTGGTGAAGCAAAACCGCAGCAGGCCCAACAACAGCATATAGCTCATCAATGCCGATTGCCTCCAGCTGGCTCTCTGATGCGTCTCAAGCCAGCTGAGAACGCACGCTGCAATAGCGACAGCCAGGTGCGCAAAAGCAAAAGGCAGCGACTCGGCAATCTCCAACGAAACCGGGGAATCATCTGGCCGAGCTTGACGCTTTGATTTGCAAGAGCGAAAGACATAATGGCGACATATCGAAAAGAACAGCACGACGCACGATACCAAAAAAGCAACCGTATGCAGGCTCCCGGTCGCCACATAGGCGGAGACATTCTGCGCACGGCGTTGCCAAAGATGCCTGAATCAATCCTTAGCGACCGAACCTGCAAACTTAATCCGAATTGGCTCGAACGTACCTTTGCAGTGCGCCACCACTCTCTAAAGCGCTAGTAAATTCATTATATACAACATCTGAGACCGGGGGGCTCAAAACATGCTGAACAGCCCCGGCAAAGTGCTCCATTGTCGCTGATCAGACAGTGGGACACCCAACAAATGATATTGGTGTCAATCATGGAAATGTGGCCCACGTCAGGTCCATTGATGACGAAGAGACGGGTTGTTAGTGCTAAGCAATTGTCCTAGTCTCTTCTACTATTGGGCCTTGCTCGTTGAAGGAAGCGGGGAGACATTCATCATCCTGCCATTGAGACGACGCGACCGGACTGCAAGTACAATGGGGATGATTTTGAATGATTGGGGGGATTGACAATGCAATTGGGAAATTAGATGGAGAGATGACAGGAACTTGGCGGTGGAAATCTCTGTGAAATCGTGGATCGTGGAGAGAGAAAGGAAGGAACTTTTGGGTCGAACCAGATTTGAGAATTGAGAATGGCGGTGTTGATCTGATAAGCGGGGCTGATGCCTCAGGAGTCACTTTATACTAACTTGCTAGATACATTCTCTTGGTTATACTAATTATCTTATAATTTTTCGACGAGCATTCATCTGAATAGTCTATAAAAAAACCTCTTGAAACTAACAACAATGGTGATTTTTGACAGTTTTTTTCTCATGGAAATTTGTATATCTAGCTAGACAATATTCACTTCTATACTATCCAGAAGAATCAAGAACCGAATATACTACAGTCCTACGAATAAAGATAGATAACGCAGTTGAGAAAGTCAATTGGGTATTCTAGATTACATCAAAGATACTACCAGCTCTAAACACAGAAATACAGTCAATCATTCTATGATAAGCTTGAAATACCCAATATAACCAATCTGCCTTCAGCCTCTACCAAGTCATGGGTCCCCACAATGCTGCACCGGAGCCCCTACAAGGAGGATGTCACGTTTGCTTGTATTCTTCTTGACATGGCGGTATGCTCCCATTTCTGTAGAGCCACAGCCGGCTGAGATCTTTTACCTTCAATGGTCTTCCGCCAACCGGGTTGCCATGATTATCAGATCGCAGTGGCCCCGATGCATTGGAGGTGACTTGGACTGACGAGCCTTCTCCGTTATCATCTTCTTTGTGGTTGCCATTAACCCCTCTAGCCGACTCAGGAACGGCCATATCCACTTCCGTCTCCATAAACTCATTCGTCTCCAAAGTCCTCATATCAGGCCCCAACGGAAACATACTATCCATATAGTGCTGATTCAACAAATGCCCCGGCCCAGACCGCACAAACAACCGTCCCATGTATCGATTCGGAACGTTGATAAAGTTAACCACGCCCCAGAGACCCACAAAATCCTTTGAGTTCACATAATGCTCGATATGGCAGATACTCTTCCCGTCCTGCTCAGCGGTGCGCTGTGAGTGGATCAAATCTGCGCGCTTGGACTTCGTCGAGCGGAAATCTTGCACTCGTCTGAATGGATTGTTGAAGTGGTTGGCTGCGTTGCCGAAAGTGTACACTTCGAGATGGCAGAGCAAGTCTTGGGGCATTTCGTCCAGCAGCCAGTCGATGATTAGGCCCCCTTCAATGCCGCCCTGGCTGTGGAGGAGCAGTATCACTTTGTCAATCTCCGGGTTTAATAGGGCCTCTTTGATGATTGCGTATGCCTCCCGTACGTCTTGGGTGGCGTATGAAAAGCATCGCTGGATCAAACATTCGATAATGTCGAAGACGATGCCGAATCTGCAAAGCGTCAGGTTGTTTGTTATCTTAAGGAGTGGTCGTGGATTAATAACATACGTCCTGTTATGGACCCCGGTGATTTTTCTTCCGAATGTATATGCCAACCGGTCAAGATGCTGCTGCATCCAGTGTTGTCTTAGCAAATTAGCAAGATTCCCATATGCATCGGTAAACAGAACAAGGAATATAAAAGACATACGGACATCGAAAACAAAGAATATCAATCAAAGTCAAAATAAAGAAAAAAGAGATTACTCACCCAGCAGCAACCCCATTAACATAAACCCAACACTCCCTCCCATGCACCTCCTCCCTATCCACATCCACACCCGACCTCAAAACCCTCCCCTCCCCATTCAACACCCTCCCACAAACCCAATAATTCACCCCCACGACAGCAACCACATAAACAAGCACCCACAGCGCGGGCACCAAGCAAATCACACACACCACCAGCGAGACCAAAAACAGCAACTGCGCAATCACAAGCACGACATGCACGACACCGCACCAGATATTCTGCCTAGACGGGTACGTCTCGTCTAGCGCGCCGCTCTTGCACGGCCACAGGGGCGAGAAGAGCCATTGCACACTGCCCAGGTGGTGGATGACCAGGACGATGTCTGAGGCGAGCAGGCGGAGGGGGGAGGATGTGTAGGGGAGGGGTGTCTCGTCTGGTGAGCCTACCTGGGAGGGGAGGAATGATACTGAGGGCATTGTGGTTGGTGTCTGGTGGGTTTATTGTGTAGTGTTTTGCTCTGTGGGGGAGGAATCTTTGAAATAGACGGTGGGGTGAAGAGATAAAAGTGAAGAGATAATAACATGTGTTTATAGGCGGATGTCTTTGAGCGAGTAGATCAGGTCCACCTGATCTAGGATAAGTCGATCAACTGATGGGCGGGGAAGGCGCCAATGTCGCACTTGATCCAGGGTATCATGTCCGGGTTCCTCATCCGTGAATGTGATGCTCTTATCTTAGTTCTATATGCTGGAAGTTAAAGTGTCTTTGAAACTCAGGCTCAGTGCGAAACGGGTTCTTCAGAAGCTGGATACCGGGGTGCGGGTTCTAGGTTGTAGCTTCACATGGTGTCATGGCACTCAGGGGTCTGAAACCACTAGCGAGAAAATGAACAGTCTATCAACATCGTCTTGTTTTGCTTAGGGATGACGTATTTGGTCGACACCTAGTCGGATAATATAGGGATTATTTATGCTCGCACCCATGCTCTTTGTTGAATGTCTATTGTTATCCCAATACACCCACAAAAGAAGAATCCACGGGGGAATACGAACCCTGCACAATGATCAAAGAACACCAGCCTATAAAGAACCTCTTAAGCATTCACCCTTTGTTCCTACATACCTCTCCATGGACCATCCCCTCCAATAAGTATCGGCCTTCTCCCCCAATAACCCCATCCCTCGAGAATGTCATTGTCGCAAGCACAAAGACCCCCTCACAAAGCCAAAGACACAAAGATATAAATTCCGCAGTCTCCCACATCTAGACCCTTTCCATCCAATATATCTACCCCTGTAAGCTAGCTAAGAATGTTTCACCCCATACCACGTATAACCCCAACCCCCACAGAATCAACCCCAACCCCAACTCCAACCCCTACCCCAGCAGACATCTATACCACAGACACACCAGACTAAGGCCCAACCACCATGCAACGGGCCTCAGCCCGCCCAGTCCTCCCGAGGTACCCATTTACGCTAACAGACCTCACCAGAGCGGATCTAAACATGCTAATCGCCGCCCTAGCCGCAGACAAGACCAGCGACAGCAAGATCAAGTCCGCCATCAGACATCTCCCGCTGGCCCTCCGGCGCAACTTCATGATCAAGCTGGTTAAGAACCCCGTCGTGCAGCCGGCGGTGCTCTGCGGCTTGCACAAGAGCCTCAACCCCTACGTCATCAACCATGTCCTCAGTCTCGTGAAGCGCGAAGTCACGGTGCATCTGGGCTGTCTTGACGGGTACATGGAGCATCTTGCTCCCGAGCTGAAGTGCGTGATGCGGTCTATCGGGGCGATGAAGGGCATGTGGTGGGTTCCTTCGGCTGCGGAGTGCGAGCCGCCTGTGGGCGCGGTGAGGGTCCAAGATAATGGCTGTGAGGCGTGCATGTTGGCGCGGGTTGTGTCTCAGCCGGTGTACATGACTGATCTCCGCGGGGCGTTGTTGAGTCGCACGCGGACGAGAGGGAGTACACATCGGGCACCGAGGTTGCTGGCCTTTGTTGATAGCGCGATCAACCGTCAAAGGGATGCGGCAGAGCTGTTCTACATCAGCGGCCAAGTAGGTTTCGAGCTTAAGAAAGCGAGGAAGCAGGCGGCCAGGTATTTCAGGAGTGAATTGGAGGAATACAGAGAGCGCGAGCCAGCGAAGAGCGAACATTCGATTATCGTGTACCTGGATCCGAACGCCAAAGATCCAAGCACTGGGCTAGAGCATGTTCAATATGACGACACAGGATACGATCCCAGATACGACCCCAGATACGATCCAGCCTCACCGGGAGCCACCTCAGACTGCGACGCGATAATCGAAGAGATCATCATGGCATACGCCAGTTTCACAGACGGCAAGAGTGTCCACGAAGCAGACCTGCCCCCCGTTGACGACTCGATCGACGTGCCTCTCGTCAGCCCACTATCCGTCACAAAGTACACCGGATCAAGCTTCTCTTCGCCCGAACCAGACCAACCGCAATTTGTTTTCCATTCGGGCAATTTCCCCCGAGAGATCGACTGGGACCATATAATCAGCCAACCCAGTCCCCTGGAAGCATTGAAAGAAGTAATGCGATCTATCATTGAAGAGGATCCTCGCTGTACGGCGTTATTCGAAAGTGAGGAGCCTGCAGGTCGCTGCCGCGAGCTGATCGACACATGGTTTGAACGTAATCGGATATCCGAGTATGAGGATTGCCCCGTGAATGAGGAAATCGGGCCGGCGAGCAGCACTTGGGACTTCGTATGCAGATAGCGATAATTCACCGCAGAGTCATTTTTCTTCGGTTTCAGAGTCGGTAAGCCGAACGGTCAGTTTGGATCCAGGTGGTTATGCTGTCATCTGACATGGTCACAGGCGTATATACATTGTTCTGTCAGCACCCGCAAGCTCTCACCTGATATTGGCTTTCGATAGAGAGCTAGGAAACACCGAACTAATATGGATGGCGGTCACTATGCCCCATCAACCAAACTGGTCCATGCCAAAGAATATTATAGAAAACTAGGTACAGTACAAGGAATCGTGACAATATAGGCTATCGGTCTTGGTGGCCGATTATTAATACAGCAGTAAGATATGCAAAAGACAGTATTGACCTATGGTGGTCAGGAGGCGCCCTGCAGCTCCCAAATTTGGACACGGGTCCAAACACAATTAATACTTGGGCAAGAGAAGAGAAATTCGAACGACGAAGCATAGGGGATTAATTTTATAAGACACTGCTGGTCACCCCGTGATTCACCCCCTTGACGCTGGGAGAAGAGAGACTCGGGGCCTTGCGGCGCAGGCGGGACCGGGTGTCGGGCGGATTTTCAGGGGAAACGACCGCCGGAGCAGCCGTGACATCGGCTTTGGCCGCGGCGGCTTGAGCCGCCTCGTGATCTACTTGTTGCTGGGAGGTGATCCGGGAGCGTTCATAGCGGGAGGTCACATCGCCCCTCCATCGCGTTTGCAGAAGACCATCCCAGAAGGTGAAGAACGGCTGCGAGAAGTTGGTCTTGATGCCCCAGCTCTGATGATGGATGTCATGGTACGCAGCATTATTCGAGGTGAAGTGCTGCAGGGGATCCCAGGGGAAGTGGTAGCCGGAGTGATCATCCACCGTCTTGATCGTACTGAAGGTGAACAGGAACATCGCTTGCCGGTTGTTCATGTGGGCCGTGAGAAATGCAACACCAGTACCAGCGGTGTCCAGGAGGAATCCCTCAACAGGGTGATTGTAAAGCGCACCAAACGCATAGGGAACATAAAGGCGGTGATGACGCGAGTGGAAGGTGACTAGACATTTATTAGACCGAGCTCTTCAACAAGACGTGTAGTAGGTGGGGGTACGCACCATATAACCAGCGATTCAAGTGCATCGCACGATGAAGGAAATACTGCCATGTGTCGATGACAAATACAGCCCAGACGAATTGCAACCCGGGGATCAAGTACCAGTAGATGAGGCTGGCAGCCGCCAGTTCCCAGCCAGTGAAAGCGGGGACGGTGGCCTCCATACCATTCTCCGACACCATCGACTGGGTAACGGTGGGATAGTATCCCCCGCCAAAGCCCCACCAAGCATCGTATAGCCATTCTGGGACAGATTCTTCGCCAAGCTTGTTGCGTCGATACCAAACAAGCCAAGCACATAGGGAAAGCTCCTCTGCACCACACGGAGACGACTAGCCCATACTGCAACATCGTAATCCTCCTTTCCGATAAACTCCGGCTCATCGAAGTACGACACCGAAGCGCCGGCGATGGTCTGCACGACCTGTTGGAAGATGACATCCCTCACTACCTCCCATCGTGACACATGGTTGCGCTTGAGGAGTTCGGCTGGCGTGTGTAACCGGTACTGCGGGAAATAGTCGTTGACATCGATGTAATGGAAGATCATCGATAAGCCCCAGTAGGCAACGATCGGTAGGATGAGGGCTAAGAAGTTGTCGGGGATCGGGGCGAGAACCGGCACACGGGGGGTTAACGTATACGACGGAAGGGGCGGAAGGTCGTAGGTTGACGCATTGACCGCCATGGCGGAGAAACAGACGACGAGGCGTCTCAGGTGCGATCGAAGGTGGACGTAAGACTATCTGATGAGGGAGAATGAACGCATCTGTTCGTTCCGACAACGGCGAAAGAACAGACTGCGGCCAAGTATTCCAAGTCGGGAGTATCCAAGTAAAGAACCCGACACTAGTGGCGTTCTGCAAAAGGTGTAGGATCGCCGAATCGTAGAGTGGTGGTGTTGTTGTCGTGGTCGAAGGCGAGGCGTCAATGGAAGGACGGATGATCGGATCGAAGCCTTCCCAGAGCGGCTCTCAATCAGGGGAAGCGCGGACGGCGGGCGATCCAACGGCGGCGAACCTACGGAGCTAGGATATAACAAACAAGAATGAGAGAATCGACAAAGGAAATCAAAGGAGAGTGTATGGCGATCAGAAGGCCGGTAAGATGTAGGAGTAAGAAGGAATGAATAGGTTAAAGTAGTCCAGCATCCAAAGAGGAGAAAAGGACGGATCGCAGTTGAACCTCAGTGGCACCACAAAGAACCGGCGGCAATCTAATCAGCATCAGTCATCAGTATTCATCAGTGTATGGTATTTATCATGTATTCAGATTACGCACCTACAAGGCTGTTATTACGATAAAGATGGATCATAATACAGGTATAGTTCTGTAATTATGCCTCCAATTATACGGTATTCACATGATGATCGGTGCTTATTGATGCGTGGCAGCCTCATTCCTGAGGCAGCATCAGCTTGACGGTTGGATCCGACAGTGCATATACAGTATGCATCATACCTCGTTCTCTACTTCTCCAGTGGGATGATAATTATGATATCTGATCATATGAAAATGACAAGGATATCGAGACATTGCCATCCATCTTGCTATAATCAGACTACCTACTAGATACTACCCAACAAAGAAACTACCTTGAAACGAACCCACCAGTCTCGAACAGGAATAGTGCCGGTCCTTCCACCCAAAAGGTCCAGCAGGGAAAAATACAGAAGAAAAAAAAAAAAAAAAAAGGAAGAAAAAAAACCCCACCAAGACGGGCGCCACTAAACAATCTACAGTACAAATTTCCCCTCTTTTTTCCCCTACTACGGTCACGGCGGATCTTCGTTTTTTTTTTCCACTTCCTTTTTTGCTCTTCCTTTCTCCAGTCTTAACTCTACCTCATCCTTCTCCCTATCTACCCTCCTTCTTTTTACCCTCAGACTCCGTCAATCTACCTTCAAAATGATCATCTACACCGTACGTGTTCCCTCTCTGGATGTCCCCTTTACCCCACCATGCAAATCTTCCTGAAAATCGCTTAATGCGGCCAAATCTCTCCCCCAACGAGTGGTAAACAAACAAGTTGCTGACGTGGAGATTTTGCACATTATAGGATATCGTGTCCGGAGACGAGGTCCTCTCCGATACCTTCAACATCAAGGAGGTCGACGGAATCTTCTACGAGTGCGACTGCCGCAAGTACCTCAAGAAGGGCGGCGAGGATTTCCAGCTGGAGGGTGCCAACCCTTCCGCTGAGGACGCCGCTGACGATGAGGGTGGTGAGGGTGAGGCCGTCATGGTCCACGATATCGAGGACCAGTTCCGTCTCGTCTGGCTCAAGTCCGAGGAGGGCATGAAGCCTTCCAAGGATGCCTTCAAGTCTCACCTCAAGAGTATGTCTATATGACATTTCGGTCGCTTTCAAATTTCAATCAAATGCTAATTACGGTCGTACAGCCTACATGAAGAAGGTCCTCACCAAGCTCACCGAGAAGGGTGCTCCCGCCGAGACGATCGATGCCTTCAAGAAGGGCGCCCCCGCCGGTGTCAAGAAGATCCTGAGCAACTACGACAACTACGATGTGCTCATGGGTACCTCCATGGACGGTGATGCCATGTATGTCTCTTGACTTCCTATCTCTAGTTTCCAATGCTAATATATGTGCAGGCACATCCTGATTGACTTCCGTGATGACGGTGTCACCCCCTTCGCCCTTCTCTGGAAGCACGGCCTCGAGGAGGTCAAGGTCTAAGCACCTCCCTTCTTACGGCAATTGCAGTCTGTTGGTTTGAAAGCAAAAAAAGAAGAAATTTCTCACGAAGAAATGAGGAGAACGGTGCATGACCAATTATAACGTCAGCCTTAATAGCGCGGGAGATAATCCTAGATCCCGCAGTGCATCTCAGTACCCTACTTGATCTGAACCGAGTTACGCCTCATGAATCCCATAGCTGTTCCGTCATTTATGACCTCGCCTTTTCCATTAGTCAATTTTAACTCATCGTATAGCTCATCGGGCTTGTCATTTAACCAACCTATCCACCATGATTGTCCGATTCTCGTGTGGACGAACCTTTCACCTTCAGCTAGTACTTGTTATTTTTTATTACCATGTATAAAACTACATGTAACTGTAAACTAACAACCGGATATCTCGAAACATCATGACCAAAGTTACTCAGATCCCAACAGGGTATATATAGCCGTAAACTACCTAACCTATATAACTAACCTATACCAAAACAAACAGTCACTTACCCGCTAAACCATAGAGCCATAAAACCAACCAAAACCAAACACCATACTTGTCTTTCCCCCGCCCTCCTCACTTAGGATCAAGAAAGAGGTCAGGACAAAAGACAACAAAAACCAACCAACCCCAACACGTGTTAAACAAGTGTAAAACAACTACTCCCCACCCCCACCCGTCCACCCCAAATCCCCAAACTCAAGACCCGTAACAGGATCCAACTCCATCAACTCATCCGCAACCGGCAGATGCTGCCCGAAGACAGCATCCCATTGATCCCAGTCGAAGTTCAGGTTATTGGGGTCGACCATCGACGGAGGCGTGGGGGCTGCTGCCATTACTGGGTAGGGCGGGGCAGCTCCTGCTCCTGCTGGTGCCGCGGTGGGAGGGATGATAGGGGGGTTCGTTTCCATGAATGGTTGTAGGGGCATTGTTGTGGGTTGGGTGTATCGTGGGATTGGGTGGAGGAGGGGTTGGTCTGGGGGTGTCGATAGGTTTGGGATTGTTGAGGTTCGGGGTGCTGTTGTGGCTGGGGCTGGGGCTGGGGCCGGGGCGCTTGTTGCTCCTATTGGGGGTGTTGCTGTTGCTGATGTGGACTGTCGCAAAGCCGAGTGCGCGGGCTGCGGAGCAGGTGTCACCTGTGGGGTTGCCGGGATAGTAGCCGGGGCGGAGGCAGCTTCTTCGTGCTTCCTAAGGGGACTAGGGTGAACAGTCGCATCATTATGCTCGGATAAAGTATGCATTCTCGTCATATTATAAAACGTCTTCGAGAAGTCCACCGGCGGACGGCGGAACGCAAGCGGCGGGGGCCCCCCTGCCGGCGAAGAAGGCGAAGAAGAAGAAGGGGAGTCTGTCGTGGACGCCGGACTACCATAGTGGTCTTCTGACACGGGGATAGCGCCGGCTTGGACCTGGGCTTGCTCGGTCCACAGCATGTGCGGATCGAGGCCGGCTTTCTGCCACGCTTTCTGGCGCAGTCTGCGGATCATGCCCCATGCTTCGCGGCCGCCGTCTTTCAGGGGGCGTTGGGTGGAGATGCCGTCTTCGCCGCCGACGACGCCGCCGTCGGGGCCCGTTAGGGAGAAGATCTTGTCGATGAAGGCGCGGGATTTGGGCGCTTCGGGGCTGCGGGGCCGTTCGTAGAGGTCGATGAGCATGATCATGGCTGCGTGCATTGGCTGGTGGTTGCCTGGCCAGCTCCATTGGAAGGGCTGGAAATCGGGATCTGTGGCGAAGGTGATGAACTTTTCCATGAAGCCGTGGCAATGACGGAGAGCACTGGTTGCGTTAGAATTGAAAGATACGACAACAGACTTTCCTTTGACATACCTTTGTCGGGCAGCGGGCCAGATACGACTCTTGGCGTTTTTGAGAAAAGGTTGATATGCAACACAGAAAGCCTAGAATTATATTAGGGTACTTCAGACTTCAGTATACAAATGGATTTGGTACTTACCTTGTCTATGAAAAGAGAGAGAAGTATCTTCGCCCACTTGTGAAACGCTACGAGGACAGGGGTGTGGTACTGCTCTGAACAGCCAGTCGGCCCGTCCCCTGGGAGCTCGGTATCGCTGGTTCGAACTTCAGCTGGCGAACGCGAGGACACAGACCATGATCTGTTAGAGTTGGCCGGAAGATCATGAGCTTTGGGTTCTGGAATCCGATCGATAATCGAGTTCAACTGGACTTGCAGATCGAGCAGGATGCATCTAAGCTCCTCCATATCCTGCCGGGTGACTGGTTTGGTGCCTAGCTGGATCCTCATGATCCTGCGAATAGCGCCTGCAAGCATCACCGCGTTAGCTTTGGTCAAACTAGGAACGTCGCCTGGTTACTTACTGGCCATGACGTATTTACCCCGTGCTGACAGGTAATACACGTTCACGATCGACGAGCCTCCGCAAACTGTCGCGTCATCAGGATTGTCGCGCGGCTGCATACCTGCAGCAACCAGCTTCTCGTACTCTTCTGCCTCGGGGGTCCCGAGTAATGTGTCTTTCACTTCACTGGCCTCGCGAACATCCCAAAAATTCTCGTCACTAACCAACGGCGGCAGTCCGCTTGACATCGACACCACGACATCCATGTGCACAATATGCCACCATATCCGACGACGATACTCCGCTTCGTATGGCTGGATTCCAAACTTCGCAGGATCCCGATGCAGTCCCATCGTTTGGGCAACTCTCATCGCAAGACTGACAAACAAACTGCTTGCCAAAGGTTCCTCCTCCTTGGATAGGATTGTTTGAACCAGAAGGTAGGCCGCCAGTCCTTGCAGCGATGGACTTCGCGGGAAAGAAATTCTAGTCAACCACCGATTCACCTCTTCGTTGTAGGTTTTGGACAATGTGAACCGCGATGCCACAGTGAATTCGGATTTGATCGTCCTTATCGAGATTGTGACGGAACCGGCATACCATATAGCGTAAAGTAGCGGGATGAAGGACGAATCCAGGTAGGGCTCTCCGGAGTAACTGCTATAGTCGTACCAATCCCAAAAAGCGTTGTATAGTTTTTGGATGGTTGGCGGGTGCACTAATGGGCTGATGGCATGTACGCCAGACATGAAGCCCCTGTATAAAATGTGACTTTGACGCTTCGACGGCACGTTTTCCAGCATTTCTGGCTCAACGAGTTGATTCTTCGCCAGCGGAGACTCGCTGGATGGGAAGACCACCGACTTCTGGAATGCATCGCCGCTTGAGGTTCTGTCGTTAAATAACCCGTCGGGACTCTCGACCGACCCTCTCCATGGGGTTCGAGGAGTCCGTGCGGGGGTGTCCGACACAGAGTCGTCAAACGTATTTCCATTGCCGTTCTGCTCACCGTGGGATCGGTTCTGATCCCTGAGTAGCTGATTGAGTTCGTTTATCTGGCCATGTGTAAGTATGTGATGATCTCCATATTCGTGACACGAGTAAATGCATACCTCGTGTGATATATACGCCCAATATGTCGTTCCAACATATCTAACACGCCGATGTCAATACTAATCTATCGTTCATGACATGTAAAACATACCTAGATTTCCCTCCATCTTCGAGACTCAAATGTCCCAAGTTAAGACTGCCCACCGGATCCACCAAATCCGTAGCCGACCCAGCAGGAATCGGGAATTCGTCCCCGCCCGAATCAGCGACGCGACGTGGACTACTCACGCCTGAGGCTTCCGAGGGCTTCCGCGCGGGAGCGTCGACCGACCGAATATCCCCTCTGGTCGACCTGGTATCGACATTCTGAGTCAACAATTGTCTCTCTGCCGGGCTCAGCGGCTGGTTGGTCTTGCTGAGCCGCTCGATCATCGACGTGAGCTTGTCCAGTCGCGCCTCGATCGCCTGCGACCCGTACTTCTGCTCCGTCGACGACTCAGCTTGCCTCAGATGGCCGCATATCGATTCCAAGTCATCGATATCATCCTCGACCGGTCGCGAGGTCTCTCTTCTCCGCTTCACGCCGTGTTCAAGCTTGATTTCGTCGTCGTGCGACGCCGCGTTCTTCGATGACGCATCGTAAATGCACTCGGTCCCGTTCTTGATGCAGTTCCCGCAGATCGGATGCACCTAGGAAATATAAATTAGCTCTGCATCCTTATGATAGATCTCATGAAGCGTATCAGATTAATTACCTTGTCGCATTTCACCTTCCGTCTCCGGCAGGTATGGCAGCTGTAGCTCGCGCGGTTCCGGGTGATCTGGCGCCCTCGCGCCCTAGCTGACGAAGACGATCGTGGCGCAGAGGATACTGGAGCAGGTACGGGGACCGAATTAGGTCCATACTGAAACTGGGATGTTGGCGACCGATTTGGCAGCCCATGGGGGGCTTGGTCGCTCGGTGAGCTCGAGCTCATGGTCGCTCCGGGTGTTCGTCGCCGTGGCGAGGTCGGTCGGCTCAATCCATCGAGAAAACGCACTGTGGGGGGTATGCAGGAGCGCGCATGGATTCTGTTGCGTTTAGAAACACGGGCGCAAAGAAGGGGGGTGTTTTCAAGCACACAATTTACGTCGTAAAGTCGAAACTACAATTGGTGGGGGTGGGGGGCGAATGATTGGCGTCACTGTCTGGAGCGGTTTGAACCGTACGGAGGAGTAGTGTGAACCTTCGAAGAACCCAAGGGAGACCGCCTTATCAGCGACGATCGCTTACTACGCCAACACAACTGGACTTGGTTATGCAATGAGTCAAGTTTCAGCTCATGTCACTCAGTATAGGATGAAAACAGAATAATATGATGTCAATACATGACGCTGTTCGTATCTAAGAATATTGTGGGGTATCATTTACAGAGTACCCAAGAAATAAGATAGTCGAGTAGCTTTTCGATTTCCACACTGGTATCAGAGAACAGCATCAATGACCTCTTAACGGTCAAATATAAACGCCTTTCGCCCGTACAATGCAGCCAGAAACACTATGAAATGTGCGAGTACGATCGCAAGAAATTATTCCCATGTTCGCCATCGTTGGAGACCATCATGCCTTGCCCTTCTTCTTGTCCTTCTTCTTCTTCTCGCCGCTGGCGCCGGCCGGTTCACCACCACCTCCCATACCCCCCATACCTCCCATCATAGCACTCAGTGCACCCATATCAGGCATGCCGGGCATCTGCGGCATTCCTGGCATTCCTCCCATGCCCTGCATCTCGGCCATGGCATCCTTGAGCGGGTTGTCGCTGACGCCGCCGCCGCTGTACGCGGGGGAGTGGATCGGGAGAATTGTAGGGATCTTCCAACCACGAGGGGCGGGAGGTGCGGGGGGAAGCTTTTCAGGCATCGGTAGTCCTTGAAGCCTCAAACGGTATGGAGATTGCTCGGTGGTCGGGTGCGCTTGGAGGTACTTGGCCACGAGGATGTATAAATGATGCTCTAGACGAGTTGTTAGCGGTGCTCCCAATTTCTCCTGGAAGTCCACTCCTTCCGATCCAACCCCTGTATATCATAGGAGATAGTGAAGGAACGTACTATTCTTAATATTTGAATTCGTCGGCTTCCCATCCTCCTTCAACAACACCCTAACCCGTCCAGGATTCGCCCAGTCCTTAGGGTGCAGCTTCTCGGGCTCCAGTCCCGCCGTCAAACCAAGCATCTGCACCGCATCGACAATATCCCGAGCCAGTGGGTTCTCAACAGCCAGCTCGGTGCCCACCTTGCGGCCCTCGGCGCGGGATCGTGTCTTGTCGAAATATATAGGGTAGAGGCACTGGTAGTGCTTGGGGATCTCGCGACGAATCTCGGGAGGGGGTCTCATCGGCATTGACGTCGAATTTGCCGTTGGGACTTCAGCTGGACGGATAATCGAGTCGTTGGAGACTAAGGAGGGGACGACCTCTTCGGGGTCGGAGTCGGACACCTCCTCGACCTGGGCGTTTCTCGACATGGTAAGGGTTTCGATGTGTTTCGGTTTATGAAGTAATTATATTGGTATAAGTCAGTTGATGCAGAACGGCCGCGGACAAGAGGCGCTCGTGGGTGGTGGATATGGTCTGGGGCAGCTAGTCTGGCCTTTCTGTGCGGCGTTGGGTTTGCCCGCCGCCGCGGAGCGGAGAACTGGGGGGTTTCGTTAGCGCAGCAACATCCACCGCCTTACATTGCCTGTCAACTACCTGCTATTGCAGATGAACGAATGGATCTGATCAATAAGTTGGTAATATTGATTTGATTTATATACATAATCAAACGAATAAGTTGGTACTAATTAAGCAATTAATGAAATCTAATTTAAATAAGAGGGAATGTAGAAAGAACCGAACAATTGAATGATTCGTAAATACAATACATGCTGTAGCACTACGGAATACTAATTCCATCTACTCCGTATATATAGTTGATATATTTTTCTTTAATCAAAGCATCTACTCCGACTACACCAAGTACCGAGATAATTTCTTTCTTAGTATTCTGATATATGTCTGACTCCTTTCCCAATGGGTATGCCAAACTATTGCTATATACTAGTACTACCCTAGTGTACCATCTGGCCACACCTAGAGTTGTGTTTGTATACGAACTAAGAACGAAGTAGATGCAAAGTCATAGATCGATTAGAGCTAGAGGGGAATAATAATACTACCTAGGTAGTAATATCAGTGGATACAAAGCCACTCAAACATCCGAGTACCTGGATGGGCGACTTCCCACCCAGGCAAGGACTCTATCATACGACCGATCTTCGCATTCTTCTGCTTGGTGACAATTGGCCAGCGATCAGAAAATTTCAGTTCTTTTCTCCAGTCGATGTCGTAGGCTTATCTGTGCTGTGTTGGCACGAAGCTCGAGAGCCAAGTACTCCCAGCGATGTCGTCGACAGCATAGCGCAAATATCAGTGCTTCCGTCCCCAGCTAGGGACGTAGTACTTTTTCGATCTTTCAGGATCTTTTCGGCCTGCTTTGCTTTGCCACTCGCATGCAGAATTCGGGCGATCGTAGCGTGAAATTCTAAGAGTTCTGGACTGGGGAGTTCGAATCGGGAGTCGGCAGCCTCAAACGAGACAATCCCAGATCCAGGGAAATAGGTCCCCACGATATCACGAGGTCTGTAATTTATGATCTTGTATCTGTGTTCGACATCAGTCTTTTCCAAGGCAAATTTAAAGGCCCTGAAGTGGTCATAAACCATTGGAAATAAGGTAAGCGCGTTGCGGTGGTCGGTGATGCTGTCCTGGGTAAAGTGGAGCTGGTTCCATAACATTGGGAAGCACCTGTTTAGATTCGCCCAAATCTCCGCCTTAGCATTTCGCTCGACGACGGTGTCCCATATGTTTAAACAGAAAGGCACTATATGCGCGCACTTAGTTTCACACCAATGTGTTTCCTCATCACCTTGGTCAAGTGGGATGCCCTCATCGGCCACTCTGGAAACAAGACATCTGTAGCCATCCCGCTTCAAACAATCCTTCTTCACCTGAAGCAGTCGGGCCTCCGTTTCTATCATCGCTGGGGGCTTAATTTGTAGAGAATCACTTAAGAAAAGCGCAGGTGTTGTGACGATGCTTGGGGTACAGGATCTCGACTTCAACGGGTACAGAAGCCCATCAATAAGGCACTTCGCATGGGCTCGGATCTGGTCATCCGATTGGCAAGCGTATATATCAGTCTGTAGGTTCTGCTTCCCGTCTTCTGGAAGATTGTCGAGGAAGACTTGCAGTACCCGTGCAGTATCATCTTCCGGTCCGGTTGCTTTGTACTTATAGACACGGTCCATCTTGACGTGCGTAGCCAAAGGGAGAGAGGGTGTTAAGGCGACTTGGCCTCCTCCTTCTTGCTCGCGGGAGAAGGTCTATTTGGTAGAGGGGGTGAGCGAGAGAATGGAGAACGTATGGATGTTTTGCCAGCCAAGCTCTTTGGAGGGGCAGTGATTTTGTAACGTGCTTGGTAGACGCTTAGCTTGTGTCTTGACTACTTGGCACTGAGCGTTGGGTAATAGTTCAGAAAGATTCGATGATCGTATGTGGCGAAGGACGAGTACTTGAAACCGTAGAGAGTGGAACTTGATCCTTTGAAACCTATTCGATGAAGTAATGGGGCACACTATGATAAAGTAAGAGAATTACCAAAGTGCAGAGATAAGAATTGATATGAGTGTATAATGGGACTGTGATGATATTCGAGTGGATGCTTGATTGGCATCTTATAAAGAAACGAGGTAACAGGTGGGTTTATGGAAACCTAGTATAGTTACTATAAGGCAACTACCCAGACAGGAACTTATTCACCACCCCGAGGGGGACAAGGCACCCCACAACCTATGCCTTCCTTTTTCGTCAATTTTCATCGCAGTCCAGCCTTTTTTCTACGGTAAAAGAAGAATATATTAACACAGAAGATAGTCCATTGTCGTCCCATGTTAGCAATTCATCTAAACAAATCGGCATCCACCGGCCGAACCGGGCCGTCGGAGGTTCAATCCAATAAGACTCTCGGGATCTCGATCTCGGCATACCGACCCCACCGACCCCACATGTTGAATGCTTTGGAGTAACGTGGATGGCGCGGTAAGTATAGGCTATAAAGCCGGTCTTTTCCACCCATTGCTCCCCACTCGAATTCCTTTATCTTCCCCGCTCCAACCACCTATACATACTCCCGTCCCATAACAACAACCTCCTGTCTCCCTACTAGTCATTCAAGTAGGACGCAATCATGACCCAAGGCGTGTTCACCCCACCACCCTCAATGTGTTACACATTGAGTCACTAACATGGACACAGTCTCCGCCAGCCACACCGCGGTCCTCCACCGCGACACCCGATTCATCCCTAGAAAAGCCATCGGTGGGAAAGGCAGTTACCTCCACCTGGAAGATGGCACCAAGTTTCTTGATTCGACTGGTGGCGCAGCTGTATCCTGTCTCGGCCACGGCCACGAGGAAGTCTGCAAGGCCGTAGCAGACCAGGTTCACAAGGTGGCCTACTGTCACACAGCATTCTTTGGCACAGAAGTCACCGAGGAACTTGCTCAATTCCTTGTCGACTCGACAGGCGGTAAGATGTCGAAGGTGTTTGTCAGTAGCTCAGGTATGCCATCCAATTTATTATCCGAACTCGTCATGGGGAGTGCTGATGTCCCTCCCAGGCTCCGAGGCCGTCGAAGCAGCTCTCAAGCTCGCACGCCAGTACTTCCTCGAGCTGGAGACACCCCAACCACAGCGGACTAGGTTCATCGCCCGCCTGCCCTCTTACCACGGCACAACACTGGGCGCCTTATCAGCAGGTGGACACGTCCAGCGTCGCCAACCATTCGAGCCAATTCTCGCCCAAAACACATCGCACGTTTCCCCATGCAATGCGTACCGCGGCAAGAAAGAAGGCGAATCAGACGCAGACTACGTTGTCCGCCTAACCACGGAGCTAGACGAAGAATTCAAGCGCGTCGGGCCTGAAACCGTGTGCGCATTCATCGCCGAGCCGGTTGTCGGAGCAGTACGTCCCACCCACACCCATATTCAAGGACTGAAACTAACCTTGAAAAGGCCCTCGGTGCCGTCCCCGCCGTCCCGGGGTACTTTCAAGCCATGAAAGCCGTCTGCGAGCGGCACGGCGCGCTCTTCATCATGGACGAGGTCATGAGCGGCATGGGCCGCTGTGGTACGCTGCATGCGTGGGAGCAGGAGGGCGTAGTCCCTGATCTTCAGACGATAGGAAAGGGTCTGGGAGGAGGATACGCACCGGTGTCAGCGCTCCTGATCGGGGAGAAGATCGTGCAAGCCATTGACAGAGGCACGGGCGCGTTCCGACATGGGCAGACGTACCAGGGTCATCCTATCTCGTGTGCAGCTGCTTTGGCCGTCCAGAAGATTATCAAGAGGGATAATCTATTGGAGAATGTGCGTGCTATGGGTGCTTACCTGGAGGAGAAGCTGAGGGATACATTGGGAGGGCATCCGTTTGTCGGTGATATTCGCGGCAAGGGGCTGTTTTGGGGTGTAAGTTTGACTTCTTTCCATTGGGCGAGAGAGATAAAAAAAAAGACCTAGACCTAACGAGGCACCGGCTGACAATCACCAGATCGAGTTCGTCAAAGACAAATCCACCAAGGAAGCGTTCCCTACGTCCGCCTCGCTCGCTTTCCACATCCAGGAGACTGGTTTGGAAAAGGAGTACAGTCTCTCCCTGTATGCCGCATCTGGCACGGTTGACGGCATTCGCGGAGACCATGTTCTCCTCGCACCGCCTTACAACGTGACGAAGGAGGAGATTGATATTATTGTTGCGAAGACTGCACAGGTGATTGACCATGTGTTTTCGAAGGTCGTCAGTGTCTAAACATTTGAATCGGTTTGCATAATATGTTCTGTTAGTCTAGGATTGAGGGATATCAATTGCCTCAGAGATGGCTTTGTTTACTATTTATGATATATAAACCTACGAATGCCTGCGTTTCTTTCATAATCGCTACCTGAGTTATATTCATTGATTTAGTATGTAGCAACCCGAAGAAAAGCGCCCATATATTCCCCGTCAAATCGTGCATACACATCCCAGAATCCATCAAGAAACAGCAAAGTAAAAGTTAAAAACCATGATACTAATACACGAAATATCCCTAACGCGTTAATCATGCCTTGGCGTCAACTTCCGCGCCCTTAGCCATATCCGGCGCGTCGTTAGTCCGCTCACTCGCATCCCCATTCGTAGCATGAGGGCCCGCCGTCTTAGGATCCTCAGTCCACATGCTCGCAACGGTTTCGACCGCTCGCTCCGTGACAACACGGACACGGTCCCTCACCACGTTATTCGCACACTCGACTTCAAGGTCTTCCAGCCACACGCGCGCAACGTGCTTGTCGATCTTGATTTCGATTCCGGGGAAGGGAATGCCCAGGGCGTGGAGCCGTGCCAGTTCTGTTACTTCCCATTCTGTTACTTCGTCTGAGTCCTCGGTTTTAGGTTGGGGAGTCTGGGCGCCGTCGGGTCCGGCTGGGGTCGTGGTCTCGCTTTTGGGTGCGCCGTCGGGTTGCTTGTTTCGGGGGCGTTCGATGGGGGCAATGTCTGAGCCGAATTGCGCTTCTAGCATCATGAGGAGTCGAGCGAAGCGCTCGTCGACGGATTGCGCCGCGTGAGGATTGGGGAGTTCCAACATATCGTCGTCGTGATGGTGATGATGGTGGTTGTGTTTTGCGGATTCTGGAGTTAGGTCTTGGTTAGCAATTGATTTACTCGATGTGCGCGGGGGTTTGAAGACTAACGTTTTACGGATGCCGGACTGCTTTCCACCGTGAGAAGAACAGCCATGACCGCGTCTGCCACCCCGTCGTTCATCATGTTACCCTCCCATTCGAGCTCGAGCTCGCGGGTCCGCGGGTGATATCGGAGAATCACACAGCCCATGACGAGATAGGTTTGTTCATTTTCCATGGGGATCTCTTCATCGGCTGCTTCCTCTTTGACGTTGGGTTCTTCCTCGTCAGTCTTCATCACGGAGTCCTCGTCCATGTCTTCTCCCTTGACGTTGTCTTTCTTGCGAGTACCAATTTCCTCAATGGCACCAAACGTGCCCTCCAGCGCCCATTTGATCAGATCCATGCTTGCAGAACTGAGGGTGAGATGTTGCTTGCATGTGATCGTTGTCGTGGTGAGACCTGCGTACTCGCGGAGGTCGTCTGGTGCCATCAACGACAGATCAAAGCCGTTCTGGACGAGCACGCCTGCCATAAGGGGGCCGTCTTCTTGGTCAGGAGGTGCCACTTGCGCTAGTTTACCCACAACCTTTGCGATCTTGTCTTTCCGGAACGGAATGCGAACCTCATCGCAGTTCGCTGGGGTGTAGACTTTGACCTTGACTGTCTTGTCTGCATTGAGACTTAGTAGTTTTGATTTGAGTCGCATCATCTGATGTTTTTCGCCATGTACGAGAATCTAAAAGCAATTAGACAATGGATCAAGAGAGAGAATTGGTACAAGGATACTGACCACAACAGGCGCTGCGACTTCCTCGATAAAGTTTCTATTCTCCACGCCGTCCACATGAGCCGCAAAGCTGACTTCATCCACGGTACATCGTCGGGGTATCATGACCTTCTGGTCCTCGTCGTTACCAGTTATACCTCTTCTGATTACACCAGTCGTGGCTCTTGACATCACGGCAGGGATTTGTTCGGGTTCGTTGAGTATTTGCTTGGCCATCGTGCCCTCGACACTGTAGCCGGTCATGACAACGCCGTTGCGTTCGTTGGGAGCCCAACGCTCCAACAACTCCCGACTTGTTCCTGTCTGCAACATACCCGGCGAAGCCAGCATAACACATCCCCCCACGTCGTCAAAGCGTTCCAGAGACCGCAGACTCCGAACAAACCGGAAATCCCACGGCCCAGCGCTGACGCTCTTGTCACCACTCGCCTCTGCTTCCGCCATACGCTGGCGGAAAAGCCGCTTGATATTGTCGTTCATCGCCCCGATATACGTCTGATATACCACCATGCACCTCCGTGCGGTGTTACCGATGTAGTAGATCGGGATCTTCTGCAACTCGGGATGTGTCTCCCAGTATTCGTCAAGAATCAACAATAACTCTTGAGCTCGACCGAGGGCAAACACTGGCATCAGGACTCTGCCCCCACGATTCAACACCCCCGTGATCGACTTCATCAGAGCCGCTTCGCGTTCCAAACGAGGCGGATTGGATGAGATTCCGAAAGTCGACTCCGTTATAAGCACGTCGATCTTGATGCCACGCGGTACCTCTGCAGGAATAAGATGCCGGTCCTCTTCCCGTGAATAGTCACCAGTGAAAAGTATGTTTAACCCAGCGATCGAGACCAGAAACATGGCAGCCCCGAGCACATGGCCAGCTGGGAACGGGGTTATACGAATGCTGTTGATCGTATGGGTCGTGTTGAAATCGATTGTTTCGATAAGCGGAAGGGTAGACAGGTGGTCGTGTTCTGTATAAAGGGTAGTGCGCTGATCCGACGATGACGCCGTATTGCTGACTCGAACGTTGTCTTGGATAAGCCATTTGTAGATTGCCTTGGTCGCATGTGTCATGAAGACACGGCCCTTGAAGTTGGTCTTGCTGAGGACGTATGGGAGCGCGGAGGAGTGGTCAACGTGGAAACTAGGTAACGCAAAGTTCATCAGTCAATCGCATTTTCATCCATGGTGACGAATCTGACGTAGGCACGAATACGGAAATATACACCACAAAATAAGACATATTTAGCTAGTATAGATTGACCTGCGCTTCTTGTACACATTGGGGCTGACAAACGCCCCATAACGAAATGCAACTCTCGACCGGAAACAAGTCGGTTTTTGCCCGCAAAGACCAACCACGCGTTCTTGGATACAGTGCCCGAAAAGCCCAAGGGAGCGGAGAGTTTCACATACTGGCTAATGAGGAGTATATCCACCGTGCTCAAATCGAATTCGTCAAAGAACGGGAGGGCCGAGAAGCCTTCTTTCGCAGGGTGCATGCCGGCATCGAGCTAAACAAGACCGGAGGTTAGCAACACGATCAAAATAAGTGCTGGAAACGGGCGCATACCATAACAGTTTTGCCCTTGTACTGAATAATATGACATGATCGACCGACTTCGTTTCCTCCACCAAGGCAGTAGAATGCCAATTCGTCCGAGGGGTCGACAGGCTCGTCATCGCCCGCATTCAAAGCGGAAGCTTTTCGCTTTGTCGCCATGCTTCCAGGTTAGGGTACAAAACCAGATCCCTTGGGTCGAGTAATTAGAATATGATCTAGCTGCCCAAGGCCAGTGGTGTTAAGCCTCAAAGGTAGATGAATTGTTAGCTAGGAAAGGATGTTGCTGTCTCAAGTTGTCGGGTAAAGACCGATCATGATAGTCGTTAAACGCCAATGCTGTAAAGGAAGGACATCAAGGAATCATATATGCTCATCGCAAACCCGGATATTAAACTTCCGGAAGAAATCTCACAGTCTCAGCCTCAATAGAACCTCGATTGATGAGAAGAAAGCGCAATGAACATCATCGCCAGCAGTCCATGTACAGAAGCGCAAATCGGGGGATATCTTACATAATCCCACGTGACCAACGGGCAGCGTGCGGGATCTCGTTGCAGACCTCACCAGTGAAGCTCCCCTTCCGTCTGCAAACTACACGGCCACCCCTGGTCTATTCACCGCGCCATCGATCCGAGACAAAATTCAGTATCCCCCGTGACGGACGGCTTGAGCTCTATGTTTATCACAGCACCTTGAGATGGTTACACCTGGCGGCGGTGGTGGTGAGAGCAATCCGCTCAGTTTTTCGGCCCACGCGCGAACGTGCTCTTTGCCTCAAAAAGCGTGATACCTGGCTATCCGGTGTATCAACTATCTTCTTTGACAGTCGCTAGTAATTTGCAGTCATCATGGCGCAAACCCAACCCCAACAGTTTTCCCAGTCATTCTCTCCCCCGGGGTCATCACCGTCCCCGGGGGTTGGCTCGCCGGTGAATGGAACCGGTGTCCCGCAACATCCGGCCAAACGACAACGCCTCTCTCCCCTCACACAGTCCCCTTACGCCTCTCCCAGCTTTGGGACCTTGCAGTTACCTCAAAATCAACCCCCAACGCCGGTAAATGGGACGAACATGAATGGCATGGCTCTAAACCCAGGATCTGCGCCTCAGACCCAGCCTCAGACCCAAGGCACGATGGGACCGCCGTCTCGGCCGGTGGAAAAGGCCACGGATGCCGCTGAACTCACAGATGTTCTGGCATCTTCTGGTATCGATGTACGAGAAGAAGAAGCTTTTCTTACCAGCAGCTATTCCGGTCCTGGCGTTCAAGTACAACAGCCACCGCGTCTACAGCAACCACTTCCTCCCCAACACCAGCAGCAACAACAACCTCAGGCTCAGCAATCCTTTGTAAATACCTCTTTCACCTCACAGACGTCCACGACCGGGACAGCCTCGGCAAACGCGAGCTTCAGCGAGCCGTCACCCCTCAAACCGACCCCGACTCAAGAATCCTTCTACTCCGAACCGTCCACTCAACCCCCTGCTCCATTCAAAGATCCCAATCAGCCGACTCGAGAAGATACCGAAGCCGCGCGACGCGCACAATACCATCTCCAGGAGCCATTTCTATTGACGAAGGTGTTGGAACAAAAGCTTCAGAAGCGCGGGTTTGAGCTTGGAGTCCGCATTCCCGCAGAGGGCCTATTTCACCCCATACCTGATCGTCCACAGCCGATCGAAGTCACCGGACCGGATGGCTCATCCGTTGTGCGTACCGGCAAAACTATCCTCAACCAAGAAGGCGCACCCTTGGTGGACATACTGAACCTCATGTCCATATCTTGCGAGGAACGACTGAGATCCGTGGTAGATTATTCATCGACTCTCGCGAGAAGCCGTCGGGCGCACTCCCACGGAGTCGTGCCCGCTGATTGGAAAGACATGGCGCAAGCTTCTAGGGTCAACGAAAGTGTAGCAGGTCAACAAACACCTTCGCTGAAACGTAGGTTTCAACCCCTTTCAGAGAGTTGCATGGCCACACTAACTAGAACCAGGCAACCATTCATCGACGGAACCACCCGGAACGAAACCTTTGTCTGAACGGTGCCGCTTGCTGGTAGAGAGGGATAATTCTAGCGAGGAAGCGCGCGCGTCCAAACGCGCCAAACGCAGCGCGAGCGCGATCCTGGGGGAGGGTGGGACCAAATCCGAGTCCCTGGAAACCCCTGGCTCCGCGCCGTCGACGCCAGTGGCAGAGAAGGCGCCCAGTCTCGACAAGAAAAGTGTTTCCAAGAAGGAAGCCAGAAAAATGGTCGATGCGCGAGCTACCGAAGCGGCACAACACCAGCAGTCGGTCGAGACGGCACGAATGGCCACCAACAGCATGTTGTCGAGTCGGATGTTTGGCACGAAGAAGTCGTATTCGTGGCTGAATCGCGGGCCGGCTACTGGAAGCGGGTTTTCGTCTCCGTCGCGTGCCACTGCGGCCACTCCAGCTCCTGGCAGCGAGAAATCCGGGCGCTCTGGTGAATCCACCACGGTGACCTCCAAACGACTGGGGACGTGGAGGGAAGACAAAGAGAAGGGAGCGGGGGTGCAGGTTCGGGATATTCTCTTTATGCTGGAACTGGATGGGCGGGGGTCGCGGCATGTCCAGAAGGCGTACTCCAAGGATGTGAAGGAAGACCGGGTGGACTAGCCTGGCAGGCTTCCGTTCCAGCCTGATTCTGCCTTTCTGCCATTCTGCCTGCCTCTTCTAATCTTTATCAACATTTCTTGCACCTTTTTTTCTACTTTATTAACGTTTGGTCTTACGCACAGTTACTGCGGGATACTAGGCGTGGGCGTTGCGGATGGTTTTGATGGGTCACCTTGTGCATGTTTCTGTACTACTGCGTGCATTTTCCTCGAGGAGGTAGTGGGGCGCGTGCATCTCTTTCCAGCTGTTCTTCTTGCTTTGGTGTTTATTGCTTCCCGGTTCTTTTCCATCTTCTTTCCATTATCGATGTATTGTGCGCAATGTGGCAGGGATTGCGTCTATCTAGTGGGCCAGACAACTTTCAAAATACGGATACCCCTTAAGGAACTCCCAACTTTTCCACCTGTGTTAGCTACGACCAAAATCTTGGAATCAGAACGATCCCACCCAGTACCCACGAGAGATTTAGTAGAATCTAAGGCATTACGGGGTGCTAGGAAGTATTCAACGCCACGTTATGAACCAATGCCACGGAAAGGAACAACCAAGGAAGCGTATCGGCATGGATTAGTGTCTACCAAGACCATCGAACCCTAAATGGGAACGAGTAAGGACTGGGATGGAGAGGACGGGGCCCGGGCAACAGTGACATTACCGTACGGTTAGGGTTTACTCATCCACTCAATTGCTAGCCTTTGAGATCTCATCCTGTTTGACATGGGTAGAAATATATTAGAAAAAGGTAGACAGGGTAGAAAATACTAAGAAGATCACAATAACAATGACAATATAACTATTGAGTAACCACAGTGATGGAAATAATATACAGTAGATACTAGATACTATAGTGATCATTATTGATTCAATTAAACATGACATCAGCAACCCAAGTGGCCAATAACCACCAAAGACAGTATTAAACCAAGGAAAAAAGGCGGAGAATGAGAGCGAGACGGGGGGAGAAATACCGACTCGTTCTATGCGTCGTTACGAGGGAGACAGACAGACAGACAGACAGGCTAAATTCTTAGTGTACGATCCCCATGCTGCGGAATGACATGCGGCATGGATTTCTTCCATACATTCTTTCATTACAAACACCGTAACATTGATTAGATTATTATGATTATTGATTAATGGTTATTTACTGACTGCCTCCTATTTCATAAACACAACGTGCGTTTCTTTTCTTTTCTCCGTATTCTTTCGGTCTGTCTTGTTATCCCCCTAGTTTTAGGCTTTCCTCCACGGGCGTTGCCACATCCAACCACGAGTGATTGATCATTTGCCTCACCCTTCTTCTGGATGATGGGGTTTCGTGATCATCTCGAGTTTGTCCTGTCAACAACCTCTAAATGAAAAAGGGTAAATCACTAGAGAGGAGAGAAAGAATAAGAATGATTCTGTTAGATGGTAAGAGTCCTGCAGGCAGTAGGTAATTCTACGCCAATCAAAGCCTAAACGTTGGTCCCCGACGCTATAGATATTCCCTTGTACCCTATTTCTTTCTAAATTCTAATTCTTTTCGCCCCCCGATGGCTGAGCCTTGCGATCCTGCGACATCTTACTGACATACAAACACGAAAAAATACAGATTAAGAGAGCGTCGGATTCTTGACCAGAAACGAAAGATTGATATTAAGATTGCCTCGGACATCCGATAGATCGTCACAATTCAATGTCGCGAGTGGAGATTCCAAGAGGGTGTCTGTATCATGATACACGATATTACATGAGCGATCATTCTTGACGGGCAGAAAGAGTTTAGTGTGTGGTTGTGTCGTTGTCGTAACCGAACACTTGATGGCCACAATCCTAATCATTCTATACGGATGGTGATGATGATGACATTCTAATAATATTCTGTAATCCTCCAACAATCCAGATGTACAGAGTAATTAGTAGTCACGGTCAAAAAAGAGTAGAATGGACACTGTATACTATGGTAACTGTAGAATCACTTCTATCCCTCACAGCCTGCTTCTCACCATCATTACCCGCTGTTGCCTCTGGAACCAACCCCGGGTTCAATCATTCTTCTTCCGCTCTTTCTGGCCCTTTTTTATGTCATCCCTCGACTTTTTCGGTCCCTCTGCCAAATGTGTTCTCATCATCCAATGGCCTCCTCATTGACTGTTTCCTTTTTCCCCTTCGAATGAGCCAAACTCATTGACTTTCCCCCAGTCGCAAGTCACCGGAGCGCGAGGAAAAGACTCTCTCTGCTTTCTCCCCGTCCGACCGCCTCGCCAGCCATCATCCATCCCCACGCCTCACGAAATCCTTCATTCTCTTTCTTCTTTCCCCTAACCCCTTGGACTGGTGTTGATTCTTGTCCCTCTGCGATCTCTTCCCTGTCTGAACAGCCTGTCTGAACAGGTGTGGTTTTTCACCCTCATCGATCGGTTTACATATGAGAGTCCCCAGGTCTCGAGTCCCCTGTTCTCTCTGCCACCCCCATCCCCAAGTAGATTAGGACGGCGGACTGCGATCCGACTGCGCTGAACCTCACTCTGCTCCCCTCCCACCATCCTTTTCTGCTTCATCTCTTCTCGACTATATCACCGGCGGTCGGCCTCGGTGGTTCATCATGTCGACCCCCTCCACCGCGACTGCGACTCACCCTACGCATCATCATCCTCATCAGCAACCGTACCCATACGTCCACCCTCCCTACCAACCCAATACGTCTTTTCCGACCACGTCCGCTGCAGGGGCCGCTCGCCTGCCGACCTCCTATCCCTACGCCGTCAATCCCTCCACGGCCACCCTCCCTTTCGCTCAATCCCCAAAGATCCTGCCGACCGTCCCGACGCCGCCGACCACAATGCCTCCCTCCCACAACGGGGTTGCCGCCGACACCCCGACACAGAACGGCCGACGGAAAAATCCGGACTGGAACGAATTCTACAAGAACGGCATCCCCAAGGAGGTCATCGTCATCGATGACACCCCTCCCCCGGAACAGTCCAAGGCGCCCTCGACTCGCAGTTTTGCGACAACCTCCACCGTGACGGCTCCCACCGCCGCCGCCTTGCCCCAGCCGGCGGGTAAGAGACGCCGCACCGGCATAGAGACCACCTACGACCTGGGCTACTACGATCGTCCCTCCTACTCGATCAACCCGCAGCACTACGGCGAGGAATCCTCCGCCGCCTCCATATCCACCGATCGAACCACGTCCTTACATACTACTGCACCCACGTCGCTGTCCCAAGGGAGTTCGGGGGCGAGCAACGGGGTGTTCTTTGAAGATGCCAATATTGGCCAGAAACGCAAGCGTGTCGCCACGCGAAAGGCCGTTCGGGATGAACAAAAGCGGCGGGAACTGGAGCACGTGGGTGATGCGTTTTTGAGCTACGTGCCTCCTCCGAAGCCTCCCATCAAGGCGAAAGATGTTCCTGTTCCGGTTGTCCGTGACGTACGTGTTTCCCCTTCTTTTCTTCCCTTCTCTTCTTCGTCTGAATCCTTCGGTGAACATCTCTAACCTCTATACAGTACGTCAATAGAAATGAAAAGGTTGATGATAACGATGGTCACTATATTGTGACTGCCGAATCCCCATTGACCGACCGATGTGAGTAAACTTTTGGCCCTGGATCGTGAGCCATACTGACCGGTCAGACTCCATCATCAAACTCCTCGGACAAGGAACCTTTGGAAAGGTGGTCGAGGCGTATGATAAGCACCGCAAGTCTCGGTGCGCAGTGAAGATCATCCGGTCGATTCAAAAATACCGGGATGCATCGCGGATCGAACTGCGAGTGTTGTCCACGCTCTCTTCGAACGATAAGCAAAACCGCAACAAATGCATCCACCTGCGGGATTGCTTCGACTACCGCAACCACATCTGCATTGTCACCGATCTGCTCGGACAAAGTGTGTTCGACTTCTTGAAAGGGAACGGCTTTGTTCCGTTCCCCAGTAGCCAGATCCAGAACTTTGCTCGACAGCTCTTCACGAGTGTAGCCTGTGAGTGTCCTCTCCGTCTCCATGTTTGATGACTTAAACTCATTCGTTCAGTTCTCCATGACCTCAACCTCATTCATACCGACCTCAAGCCCGAGAACATCCTCCTGGTCAGCAACTCCTATCAGACCTTTACCTACAACCGAACCATCCCGTCTTCCTCCCACGCCATTACTCGCACTGCACGGCAACGACGTGTCTTGTTGGATAGCGAGATCCGTCTGATCGATTTTGGCTCTGCCACTTTCGACGATGAGTATCACTCGTCGGTCGTGTCTACTAGGCACTATCGGGCCCCGGAGATTATCCTGAATCTGGGCTGGAGTTTCCCCTGCGACATCTGGAGCATCGGGTGCATCCTGGTGGAATTCTTCACCGGGGACGCGTTGTTCCAGACGCATGATAACCTCGAACATCTAGCGATGATGGAGGCGGTGATCGGCGAGCGAATTGACACTCGCCTCGTGCGGCAAGTGATGCAAGGTGGACGAAGTGGGAGTCAGAACCAGTCGGCCAAGTATGCCCCCTCCCCCTCTTCTCATGCCAGGATTTCGCTAACGACGACAGATACTTCAACCGGAGCCGACTCGATTATCCGAATGGAGAGACTACCCGAGCGTCGCGCAAGTACGTACGCGCCATGAAACAACTCACGGTATGTCCTCCAATACTAACCTCAAAAACTAGACTAACGCCGTGTCAGGAATTCATCCCCACCAATAACCAGTTCCACCGACAATTCCTCGACCTTCTGCAACGCATCTTCGTCTACGATCCCAAGAACCGCATCACCGCCAAGGAGGCTTTGAAGCACGCGTGGTTCAAAGAGTCTTTGGTGGATGATGGCACGGAAGCGTTGCGGATTGGGGAACAGCTGCAGAGGAACCAACGCCAGTAGACGTGTATCCGGTCAATCTGGCACCGGTTCCCTGCGATTGTTGTATGGCTAGGAGGTTCCACTGCCCCCACCTTACTTTAATACAGCTACAGTTACGATAGATGGTTTCTTTTGGTTAATGTGCATCCAAGGCATACCATGAGGTTTGCAAAGATGAGGATGCCGGCATATCCTGGGCTATGGAGTTGAGTGTGCTCATTCGGAGGAAAGGTGTACGGGGTTATTTTCTTTTTTTGCTTCTTTACTTCTTTTATTCGCGCTTGATTTGGGATGCCATCCCAAACCGGATACCATCCCAAACCTGGCACTACAGAGATACCGACGAACCAAAGGATAAGGATAGGGATAGGGACAGGGACATTTATTAGGAGGGCATATTGTTTGATTGATTTTCATTCCGACACGTGGTTTATCTTACGAGATTGCCTGGATCTATGGTTAGGCTTGTTTATTTTTTTATATCTTTTCGTCCCACTTTCTTTCTTTTTCTTCCTTTTTTTCTTTATTTATGATGTGCTTTATATCACCATTGTTCTATCATTCTCCGCATGGTCGACTCGATTTGATTCGACCGAGCCTATTTTATCTTTTATTTATCTATGGTTCGTCGTCTTATGACGCTGGTTTATGATCATACAGGGTTCTTTTGCATAGTGATACTTTTTCTTTTTCTTTCCGGTGTTCTGTCAGGAGTGGATGAGCACGAGGGAGGAGAGGAGTCAAGGGGGAGGGGTAGTCAATTACCCACTACCTACTCCCTACCTGCCTGCCTGCTTACCTACTACTATTCACATACGCATCGCATCGCATCTACAAGACATATACTGCCTAGGAGGTGATGCCTTGATAGAACATTGCATTGTATTATACCACCTATCTACCTACTTACATACTCTATACTGTTTGATAATTTCATACACAGCCACGAGCCTACCATCGAGAGGCTCTCATCATCCACAACCCACCGATTCCATTCATCCCATTCATCTACCTTAATCAACCAGGCCTACACCATCCCCCAAATAATACCAATAGAGAGAAACAATCCTTAAAGCACTACCCAATACTCCACCCCCTACTACTTAACGGCAACACCAATGAACGGTACGCAACTACCTACCTATCAAGGGGCAGATTGGGATCACGTATTCCTGGGCTTGGCTGGGACGGACGCGTAGATAGCAATACCCCGCCATCGCACCGACTCCACGTCACACTACACTACACTACAGTGTTGACCCTTGTGCGCAGAGGGTTGATGCGGGCCAGGGGTGGAAGATTTGTTCTGTTTGGGTTAGGCGTGGGTGGATTGGTTGGTGCATGGTTGGTGGGGGAGGATAGGAGGGTGAGTGGTTAGAGGGGTGTAGATTTGATGGTACGTATGGATATAGATATATGTGGATAGATGGATAGATGATTACGAGTGATGACTGCAGTATTGTTCAATTACCGTTCAATTACTGGAAGTTAGTAGAGTGGAGTACAGATCAGGTTGTCGATTGTACCTGAATCACCATCATGTAGTGGTTTTATCTGTGTATATCCAGGTAGTGAAGGTAGAGAATACCCCGCAGGAAACTAACTACAGACATTCTGTGCAGTAGGGGGATACATGCACGAATTGAAGTGCTGTTACTACGTTGACGTACAGTACACTCTACAGGTCAATCATATCTACTCCACCGAACAGACCAGACACTAACAGTTTACCCCCCACTCAGTCTATCTCCATCTCCAATTATCCACTTCTCCAACTACACTACACTACACTACCCTACACTATTATCAGTACCTCCAACGCTCAATCCTCAGGAATATAAATAACATCTGCACAAGAACACACACCACAATCTTTCCACCCAACTCGAACATCCATTATATGAATGAATATGGACAACCCCCAATATACTCATGTCCACGAACTCACCATCCCCGCTTACCACGCCGCACTCCTGAACGGCACAACAACATGTGAACAGACTGTTTCAGCTTATTTGGCTCAGATAGATAGGTATAATCCTACTCTTCGGGCTATCGTCACGGTAAATGAGAACGCTTTGGATGATGCACGGCAAAAGGATATCGAGCGTCTTCAATTCCTCCATGACAACAACACCAGCAGCAACAATCCCACCCCAGAGGAAGCCGACTCGAACGATTCAATCCCCAGGAAGAAAAAGCTACACCCCCTACACGGCGTCCCCCTCCTCCTCAAAGACACCTACACAACCACCCACCTCCCAACAACCTCCGGCGTCCTTGCCCTCTCCACCCTCCACACCCACACCAACGCCCCCATCGTGCAAACCCTCCTCGCCTCCGGCGCCATCCTCCTCGCCAAAACCAACCTCCACGAATTCTCCCTCGAAGGAACAACAACCTCCTCCCTCGGCGGGCAGACCCTCAACCCCTACGACCTAACACGCACCCCCGGCGGCTCATCAGGCGGCACCGCCGCCGCCCTAGCCGCTAATATGGGGCTCGTGGGATGTGGCGGCGACACGATGAACTCGCTGAGGTCGCCCGCGTCGGCGTGTGCGGTTGTGGGGTTCCGCCCGACGATGGGGAGGGTGTGTACGAGTGGCGTGATGGGTGTTTCGAGGACGCAGGATGCGTTGGGGCCGATGGGGAGAGGGGTGGGGGACGTTAGGGTTTTGTGGGGGGTTATGAAGGGGAGCACAGCTTCTTCTGCTACCGCTGCTGCTGCTGTCGCTACTGCTAGCACCAATACTGATGCTGCCACTGATACTCCTAACCCCAACTCTACTGATAAAGAAAACATCCCCCTCCGCATCGGCATCCTAACAACCTACTTCCCCTCCTCCGACTCCTCCAACCCCGAAAGCCTCACAATCAACAACATCATGCAAACCGCCCTCCAAAAAATCCAATCCTCACCCACCCTCACCCGCCCAATCCACTTCATCCCCCTCTCCCCCCAACCAACCTGGGAAGTATCCCTCCTCCGCACCGAAGCAGACACCCAATCCTTTGAATTCAAAGAAGAGATGGACTCTTTCCTGCAATCCCCCTTCATAAAACACACCCCGCACAGATCACTCGCATCCATCGCTGCTTCCGACGAGTATCATAAAACAGCAGTAACAGCCGTATTCCACGAGACGTTACAAACAGAGAAATTCAACACGCAGTGCGAGGCGTATAAGGCGCGTCTACAGCGAATCAAGACGTTAAAAGAATCCGTACAAACGTGCTTTGTGAATGAGAGACTAGACGCAATGGTCTACCCGCATCAGAAGAACCTGGTTCTCCCAGTGGGCGAGGTCGTGCAGAGCGGACGAAATGGGATTCTGGCGGCGTTGACGGGGAGGCCGGCTGTTTGTATTCCTGGTATTTACCTCCCCCCCCCCCCTCCTCCTCCCCCTCCTCCTTCTTCTACTTCTTTTTCTTCTTCTCCTTCTGCCCCGTCCCAATTCCAAATCATCATATATGATATATATAATTGCTAACCACAATATATGAGAAATAGCCGGCTTCGCTCAACCCGCAGAACAAACTCCCGGGCCCGGTATACCGGTTGGACTAGAGCTAATGGGCACACCATGGCAAGACGATGAATTGTTGGACATAGCGGAGGTGTTTGAGGGGATTATCCAGGGGAGGAAGCCTCCTTTACTCACGTCTGATTTATCTAGATCTGGGGATCTATAGTTTGATCTAGATCTAGCTAAAGTATATAGTGTTGTATGTTGGCACTGTTGTATATACCATTGTGTGCAGTTTATATATAGGTATATATACTTTTAAATCGGTAAAAAGAACCATTGGAACGAAAGAAAGACTGAATAGTATTGACATATCGTTCGGGATCAAGGCAGGTTGTGACAAACCGATGCATATATTAAGGGTCCTCCATAGATTATTGTGTATTGAATATATATAGATAGACAGATAGACCTCGGTTAATACGGTTAAATATCAAGATAAGCCTTATCGGAGGCGGTGATGCGATAAGCTCGGCCTTCAATCCAATCGGAGTTGTTAATTCCCCGAGATGTGGGTCACTTCCCACCGCCTACGAATTTCCCCGGACTTATTTTCTCTTATATTTCTCGTGTCAATGCTCACATACTGGTAGGCAGGCTTACTGATTACTGTTTGCAAATTTAGTAAAACTGATATCTGTATAGATACACTAGATACATAACGGTGTCGCTCGACTCAATCAACAAGATAATAAACTCCGACAGTACCAAACACCGTACAACAAGGAAAGGTAGGGGTATTTCTAAATTTTGTTTCAAATGCAAAGGAAACACAAAGGAAACCCAGTGGAAGAGAGTGAAAGTGCCCGTGTCTTAGGTTAAGACAGACGGATCGAGTCATCTATCCGTAAATGGTACACGCAAGAAGAAGTACTGGACGCAGTCATGAATCATCGGAATCGAAAGGATTTGTGAGCCAAAGGCGAGGTAGGCGCATGGCCAACCGGACCAACGGGTACACGGATGCGATTCCGGCGGGTTGGGGTCTGCGCACAAAACACGCAGACGTAGGAAGACGGGAGATTCGACCGCTCGAGGCCGACGCATTTGGTGTGGAGCCAGTGACTGCATGATTCGCTGGTCGAGTAAGTAGAGCGTCCTTAAACTATTGGTCATCAAACTTACCACTGGATCATGAGGTGGCCGCCGTTGTCCATGGAATTACAAATGCATCGGGTTCCACTGCTAGGATTGCTGAAGCGGTCGGTGGTTGGCGTGGCCAGGTCGGGGTCGGTCATCGTGGTCGGGGAGGAGGCGTTGGGAGGACAGGCGTTGAGATCTAACTCAGCCCCGAATCGTGGGGGCGAGGAACGCAGATGTGCCAGCGAAGGGGGAGCCCGGGTGCGTGACCCGTAGCCGACGGTGTGTGGACGGGACACTTGCCGTCGCTGCCGCACCACCTTGCGAAGCGCATGCTGCGCGTCCCCGTCATCCTCCTCCGATTCGGGCAGAGGCATTACGGCGGAACTGGCACTGCGGTAGGAGAGGTCCGAGTTCACAACCTGTCTCTTGGGCGTCGTTCTCTTCCAATCCTCGATGGTGGAGTGGTACGTCGGCCGTCTCGCCAGTCCCCGCGTATTCGACCACGGAGAGACCCGCCCCGACTGGGAGGACGCTGCAGATGTGTAAGACCCCTTAGAGTGGGGCCGGGACCCGCAGTCACTGTGGGCGAGCACAGATCTACCGGCGTCAGAGAAGGCAAAGGAAGGATTACGGCTGGGAAAGAGCGAGCGGTCGAGATACTCCGCCGAATCATACTCGCTCTCGGTCGTTGAGCCATCCAAGTCCATACCCGTGACCGGGTCCGTCAACCCGGTCGACGACTCAGGCACGGTTTGCATCTCCGTCTTCGCTCGGCCGTCTCTGCCGATCCGGAGGACGACTGACTGGGAGCGAGTGGGAACACTGGCAGTCGAGCTGGACCTGGATAATGGCTGGCCTGCGGGCTTGATTGGAGAAGACCGGCCCTTCTTGGACGGGCTCTTGCGGATACCGTTGGTCGAAGCCATCATGCCACTGGACAGCGGGCGCCGAGACGTGGCCGCCGTGAGCGTGAGGCTGCGAGTGAGTCCTGGGCGAATGGGCTGAGGTTGTCGAGGGGTGTGATCCTCCTCGTCCTCCTCGTCAAACCCCAGCAGACTATGGTGGGCGTTCTGAACGCGGCGAAGCTCCTCTCGCTTCGACTCCTCGGTTTGGTGGTGGTACGGTTGACGGATGGGAGGTCGGGAAAAGAGTCGCTTCTCGGGAGTGGGCTGGGGGCCCCCAAACCGCCGGGCAGGAGAGCTCAGGAACATAGCTGGGTCCTCCGCTTTGGTCACCGGGACTCGAGGGGAGGTCGAAAAGGGTGCCGGGAAGAGCGCCGCATCGGTCGCTGGGGCGGACGAGATTCCGTAGAGGCCGCCTTGGAAATCGGGCAGCTCCATGGTCGTCCCGATATCGGGCAACTGTGGGATCTGAGAGTCGTGCATGGCATGGGCGTTGACTGGTAACGTGCCCGCGGGGTGGGCATCGAACACACTGGAATGGTGGTCGGGCAACCCGAAATGGCTTCCCGGCTGCTCGAAATCATGATCCCAGAACAGCCGTTGCTGGGGGAAGAAAGGAGAGGCCGAGGGGTCCATGGTCCCGAGATGGAAGGGATCCGAGGACGCCTGGAGATCGCCAAACAGGCGGGGAGAGGCCCCCATCAAGCGACTAGGAGTCTCCAGATGGCTCCCATCCACCACACTGGAGGCGGACGGGCGTCGATTTGTATTTTCCACGTTCCCCAGGCCCGTCACCTTTCTCTTCGAAGCGCTGCTGGGCGGAGGGGTCTGCATCGAGGCCGCGGATTTGGCAGACGCCACGGTCTGGGGAGCATCTTCCTCCGGAGGGCCCCGTGGGTTTGCAGGGCGCACACGTCTGGCCGTATCGGTCTGGTGTTCCAATGCCCTTACACTGTGGCCGCCCGACCGATCTGCGCCCGTCTCGGGCAACCGCGGGTGGTTGATTGAAGGGGTGCTCAGGGCGAATTTGTGGGGGGTGCGGAGGAATTCCGGGCTCGAGGCATACGGATCGGAGGTGTCCCAGGTGACCCGGGGGTCAAAAAAGCTGGACTCAAGTTTGGGGGTCTGGAACGCCGTGTCGCCAAAGACCGGAGGAGTCCTGGTGGGGGTTTGAGGTTCACCGTTCGGATAGCTGAAGCTGCAAGTGAAGGGGGGTTCGGTCAGCATCATCGTTTCGAACATTGATCACCGGAACGGAGCTCGGAGGGAGCTCCGTCAAGAAAACAGGAAGATCCGTCTGGTGTATATGCAACAAGATTGAAGAAGACAAAGGGAGGGATGAAAGAAACAGATTTAGAGTAGGACAAGTCGGACAAGGCGCCGCTGGCAAGGAATAGCCGTTGCAACCCAAAGAGACCCCGCCGCCGAGCAAGAATGTCAGGGAGTACGTAAATTGAGAGCAGAACATACCTGTGGACGGGCTGATCCCAACTCATGTCAGCAACGGTGATCCCAGCAACCGATGGGAGCAAGCTGCCAGGCAACCCTCTCTGGCGGGCGGAGTCCAGATACTTGAGGAGTGGTCTGGAATGCTCAAGGAGAGGGGGTTTGAGGAGGGATCAAAGAGCCGACGAATGTAGACCTCCACAGGACCATTGAACCAAAGCTAAATTTGCGGACGGCTTTGTTGACGAATCTGGAACGTCTCCGCAGGGAACAAAGGTCCTGGAAAGAGAGACCGGGACGATAAACGGGAGATATAATTTTTTTCTTCTTTTTTCCTTTTTTGTTTTATTTTTATTTTATTTTTTCTTTTGGTTGTTTTCCAAGCAAAGAGAAGGAAAGGGGGGAAAGGAAAGAAGGAAAGCGGAGAAGAGTTGTCTGTTTGCTTTAAAGCATAGTCTGGAGTGGGAGTGGTAAGAAAAAAAGAGCGAGATCGACGGACAAATAAGCCCGAGATGGTGGATGGAGGAGAAGAGGAGGAAGACAGGGTACGATCCGAGGGATTGAGATGGGATGAACAACGAATGGATTGGAGGAGTCGACTTTAGTTGTTGGCAGGGTAGGCTGTAGGCAGGTACCTAGGTAGGTAGGTAGGTTGGTAGGCACCGGATCGGAGCTCTCCTGAAGGAACAAAGGGAGGAGAGTTAAAAAGCGGAGGAATGTGATTAGTGCCTAGAGGGAGTTTGTCCTTAGTGATATCCTTGAAATGAGAAACGAGGAGAGAAGGAAGCAGCAGTACCTTGAATGGAGAAGAATTGGCAGATGAGAGTGAAGAGAAGAAGAAGAAGAAGAAGAAGAAGAAGAAGAAGAGAAAGAAGTAATGGTTGGAATCCTCAGGCTGTCGTTACGATGAAGAGGATTTTTTGTGTTTTCCTTTTTCTCTGTTTGTAATTTCGTCGCTTTTTTTTCTTTTTACTTTTTGGGTTATTTCAATTTCAATTTTTACTTTCTTTCTTCTTATTTGATTCGATTTTATTTTTCCTGGATGGGGCTTTTTATTACTGATTGTTTACTCCGCAGATCCACAGGAATAGGAATAAATGACAGGGTGGGAGTAAGGCTAGTATCAACTGAGAGATACAACAACTGAACCATGAGAATGGACTCGGATCAATTGCCAGTAGATAAACAGATAGACCTATACATACTTAGGTATTGTACCTACTTGATTCCCTGCGTCGACTCAACTACGTGGAAATCGATCTGATGTAGGTCACATGATAGGTCACGACGTAGTTCTTGGTAATGGATGCATAACTATAGTTATGTTGGGATATCAGTCAGGTTAAGCCCTACTTTATACCTGACGTTATACCTACAAACCCTTGCAATCACTCTCCGTGGTTATTCGTTCCATCACTCATCCACTACAGTCGACCCCGCTATCGCATATCAGCCCTCCTGGGCATTACAGACAAAGACGACCTAGCCAGCCCTAGTGAGGACGGGTGGTTTGCGTCAGACTTCTACCTGTTCCACTATCTCTGTCCCCGCAATTTCCATGACGTGCGTGTTTCCTGTTCCCTGTTGTCTTGTCCCTTCTCTGCTAATCTTATGACTAGCGCCTGACCAAATATGGCTGACGTGCGAAGACCCGTCGGCCCTCGTCGCAAAATAACACGAATTCCTTCATGGTAATTTGGAAGGGGACCGGCGGGCGGCACAGAAGCTCATGGGGTAGAGGTCGGAGGTTCGATCCTGCATATGAAAGACCTCCACCGTCTGCTGCAACCAAGGTCATCTGGGAGCACTGGGTACTGTCCAGCAGATAGTCTTTTCTGCTGAAAACGTCGAATGGGAGATAAGCTACCAGCCTCGTCTCGGTCTGCCCCTGATATCATATCACAACAAGTGGCTGTCTCTACGACAGGTCCCTCCCTCTCCTTCTTCGACCAGTGGGCCAACCGGCGAAGACTGGCGGCAGGCGCCTGGAACGCCAAAAGTATCTCGCAGAAGAGTACTTTGCCGCAAAGCCTGGTCCGAACGAAGCCGCTCCAAATATTGGCCTACATAACTGTCTCCAATATGTCCTCAATGGCGCTACCTACCCAAAAGACAAGGTAGATAGCCTGACAGAAACCACGGCGCACAGACTAGGGGCGATGTACGAAGCAGACTATCTAAGGGAGCAGATAGGGCTGGAGTTCCCTCCATCATCGGCATGGGGACCCTTCACCCAAATAGCGAATCACCTCGCAACCGGTAGTTGTACTCACAGACATGGAGCTTGCTTCGGGACCGGGATATCTGCACAACTCCAATTGGGATCCGCCTGCATTTCCCCAAACCCCTCCAGTATCTCGCACCTGCGCTGGTGGAGTCATCCACGTCCTGGGAGATGATCCAGGACCAGGTGGAGGCTATGGCCTCTGAAGCAAGGTCTGGTTCCGGTTCATCTACAGGGCGTGGATGGGAAATCGAGTTGCCCGTGACGAAGGAGTGATGAAGAGCAACCGGGCTTTCCTAGAGGCTTGCAAAAAGCTCAGGCATTGGCCATGAACGACGCCGTCGACGCAAAACAGCCCTCGTGGTATGTCGTCACCTATTCTTACTTTCACTTACATTACCGACATCTCCTCTATCTCATTCCGTACACGGCTACTCATATCACATCATCGTCCTCCTCATCGGTCCACTATTAGTCTTAGCATATTTGGTGTGAATTCCTTTTCTGCCTCAGGCACTGCGCTCTCGTAGCTAGATAGTTGAATGGAGATCGACTTTGTCATTACGGGCGAACGCCATCTCGACTAAGCAGAAAAGCAATAATAAGAATTACAATAATAAAAAAGCTGATTTCCAAGGTCATGAGTATAAACTAATCAATTGATCCCCTTCCCCCCTTCGAAGTTAATTACGTGCATCATCTCTATCCCTTCCCACCGTAGCGTCATCATTGGCCCTGAAAACAAGGACTCGACGGATCGTCTACTGGTGGATCGACTACCTCGGGTCAATCTCATGGATCAATCGAGTCAGATACATCTGAACGGAACGGCAGGACCGAAAAGCCTATGGTAAGCTGATCGGAATCTCTTCCACCGAAACAGCCAATCGATCCAATATCCAGAGTCCTTCGGACAGAACCTGATAAACAGAGTGAAGGTGTTAAACCAGACCAGTGACACCTCTTTAGGCTGCCTTCCTGCCTTCCTACCTAGTAGCCACGGTCCCTTAGGTTAGGCGGACATGACCTGGTGGAGCTGCTAAAGGCTTTAGTTCCCCGCCAAGGGGACCAGGCTCTTTCAGCTCCAGCCTCGATCGATCATCCCACCAGTCCACAGTCCATACTCCATAATTAGTACGGAGTACCAACGGAGAGTCCACCCAATGCCCCAACATGACGACATCCCGTCTCTGCGCGGAGGAACTGACCTGGTTGTATGATTTGGATACCAACCCGCCCCCATAGTGTACCCCTGACTACCTACCTACACTATGAGAGAGGACCTTTGACAAATAACGAACCATAACTAACCAAATTGAATTACGTGGTTCACTCCAACCCAACGTGACGGGCGGAACATTTTCCATCGTCGCTTGCCTCTAGCTCACAGCCTGGCGATGGATGATCCATCCTACCTACTAGTTAGTTAGCTTAGTTGGCATTCCCACGGACCCATCTGAGAACATCGGGGGATTGGCATTGGCCCACGCAACACAAAACAGCGATCGGATGAGAGGCCAGTTTGGAAGTCTAGACTATCGTCTCCTATCTATACTCTCTCCGGAAGGACTTGCCTGTAAAGTGCTTGATTGGTTGGGTATTTTGGCCACGGAATGAGGTGTAGAATTACACCGACTGGCAGGCCGGAGGAGAGCCTCGCGCAATTCCGCTTACTTAGATTAGTACTTAAGGCTTATTTGCTATTTATGATGGAACGGTATGGTGGAGATCCAATCTAAGCCGGGCTCCTAATTATGGGCGTGTTTCCCCGGTCGCTATTGCTACGCTCGTATTCCCCATATTGAACAGGGCGCCTAATGGCCCCGGGCCCTTCACCACTACCCCTACTGTACTATAAGCATCCCTAATAATAACACCCCAATAGATCCTCCCCCCCTAGGCAGAATCCCTCCCCCCCATCTAAACCCCGTACCCTTCTCGTCAGCCATGCAGACGCACCCATGGGACCTGCAGCAGACTAGGTGGCCCACCCTGCCGTGTGACGCCGTCGCACATACACTATGCACGTCCGCGGACAGGAGAGCTAATAATGTCCTGAACCCCTGACATGGTCTCGCAGCCGCCCTGCAGCCAAGGGCCCAATTATCGCTCTCCCTGTCCCCCTCTTCCCCCCAGCTTCTATTTGCGTGGTTTTTAAGTTGAAGACATCGGCAAGGGAGTTGACCGCCTGTGCTGGACTGGACTGGGCTCTCTGGCAACCAGTTCTCACTCACCCCGCCTTGGAGATGCCATATTGGTGGTAGATGCAAATGCACGTTGGCTTGGTATGGTCGAATCTGGAACTGAGTTTTGATCGCTGCATGCATGGTTAGCATATATAGACAATCCTGCTGATCGGTAAGTCGCTGGCGACTGGGGTTTCAAGCCTGGTCCATGTCTGATCGAAACTCTGCTCTACTATATCTGATCTTAACCCTACCAAGGCGCAATGTCCATGTCTTGCCCTATATCCCTGGAGATCCATGTCCCTTAGAGATCTGACTCAGGGAGAGTGTCGTGTTCTAGCCCTTTCATAACCACTGAGTACCAGCCAAACATGCCCGTAGCGAATGTCTAACATGCAAAGCGACATCTGGCTGGCACCGCCCGAAGGCTGTTTCGATGATTGTCTCGGTATCGGCTCTCGGATCCGAGACCGTACGCTCTGGACAATGAAGTCGAAAGCAGACTGAGTCTACCCGGTGGCACTCGTCAACCACCAAACGGAGATTGACTGGAACCATCTGCGAGCGTCTCCCGGGTGATTCTCGATCATGTACCGTCCCGAACCTCCAGTCTCCTCAAAGTGACTTGTCATCTTGAGATGCGATGCGAAACTCTTGTACCACTTGCAACTAAGTTTGCCTCATAGTTGCCACTCCATGCAAAGCCATCCCACCGTTTAACCTGGGGGGGGGGATTAAACGGTGGGATGGTAATGGTCATGATCATGACCAAATGGTTGAATGCTTGACACTTGGAGGAATCGATCGCCCACACGGTCCTTACAGATCCATTTATGCCTGATATACAAGGCAGCAAAGTACACCGCCTGGTGCCCCTCAATGAGAGCGTTCATACTGGGCCACGATTGCCCCATGATTCAAGCGTTGGTTTGGGCAGAGACCGGGTCGCTTCTCCTTTTCCATGGGTCTCCATGTCCTTATCTTTGCTTAGTTCCTTCCTCTTTGATCATGATTTCCTAAATAGAACAAGACATGGGTGTGCCGCTTTTGTCAACAAGTATCAATATCTGATTGTTCCATGATCTATGATCTTTGTGTCGGTCTGCATCTGTGCCCAAGCAGATGATTCACTCGCTCTTTGATAGCAGCTCAATTAACTACATATGCCTCTTTGTCTGACAATCACTACACTTCTCTTTCATATTGAAAACATAGATAACCTGTTTTATACATTCTCATGTTTTCATCATCTTTCTCTCATCCCAGTCCTTTCCACTACTACCCACTTTTTACGATGACTCCAACGATGCGATCCCCGCGCAGAAGACACGCCAGGAGGCCGCACACCCACGGAAAGAGTCGTCCCGCAAACCGGTTTGCGAACAGGTCGATTTTATCCGATCTGGGCCAGACGCGCAAAAATAGTCTGTCTGGAGGACGCCGTCGCGGCGGTAGCCTGGTCGGTGTCGCCGGGATCAACAAAAGAAGCCCGGTGCGGGGCACCAGCAATCGGCGCGCACAGGCTCAGAAATACGCCAGACCTCCTAAGCTGCCGCCTTCGTCTGAGCCTTTTGAGGTGGTAAGTGTTTCTGTCCTAGGATGATTGGTATCTTGGGAGCTATCAAGTCCGGGGTATAGAGAGAAATACTGTAGGTGCTGACGGAGCGGCGGGTAGAATTGTTTTGAACATGATTCGTTCCCCGATGGTTATGTCTTCGTTCCTAGGGGGGATGTCTACATCACTCGGAACTGTCGTGCGAAAACCAAGCAGTCTCATCGGATAGTTCATTTAGTCTGGGTGAGTAGCCCCTCTCCAGTGACTCATCAGCAAGACCTAACGGAGACAGGATCGATCGGCCAAAATTAAGCTCGGCATTCGCGTCCCAGCAGACGTTTACGCCGCGGTTCTCGAGTCGGCCTCGGCGACAGCCGACACACGCGCCAATGCAACCATGGCTCGCGACGAGAAAGATCTAGCCCACTCCCAGCAGCTCCTGCGTTCGCAGTTCCCACTAATGCCGGACGAATCCATGAAGATCATTCTCGACCATGCTTTTCGCAAGGGCTCGGGGCGTGTAGGCCGGTCGTCGAATCTAACGGATCACCATAAAGCCATACTGGCCGTCGAGGCGCACATCCGCCATGCACTCACGCCATACGAGGACCTTTTGCGTGCTGGGGTCAAACGGCCAACGGCGCGTCATTCGGTCTGGGGAATGATCCAGTCGATCAAGAAAACCTGGGAGGGATGCGGTGCATGCAGTTCACAGCCCAAGCCTTTCGTGTTGCCTCTCAGGAGTGCAGTCTAATCCTCTTTCTCATTGTTATATTTGCATTTTGGGTGTTGGGTTTGAAGTTAACAACAACTTCGGTGTTTATTTGTTTTATGCGCTCATCTATACACGTCTGCAGTATTGCTGGTGTTTCATCGCGATGGTGTGGTTTTGAAAGAGAAAGAGTCTGCCAGGCGCAGCTGAAAGATGGATGACTTTTACGAACCCTATGACGTTTACGAGAAATTATATAGAGAGGTGGCACATGCCGGTGATTGATGGAGGTGGGGGGATAGATTCGATACATGGCTGTTTATCATTATATGGTGCTCGCAACACACCTGTTATTTTAGTATACCAACCCATACCATATTTCTTTTTGCAGACTTCTACTCTAGTAGGCATATACAGGCTTCCACTCCAGTATACATATAATATATAATATACTAGGGAAGATAGTACAATGGGTGCATCCCCTTCTTTACTGGGGGTATCCAGAACAGAGTACGCAAGCAACGCTGTGCAAATCACCTACCTACTGCAGGAGGACCGAGACTTACAGTTAAAGATAAATGATTTTGACGAATCCTGTGAAATAAGCAGTGACTACAATCAGTTAAACATCAACTAATCTACACTCCTTCTCCCACATATTTGACTATTTGCATTCTGATGTTCCTTGCAAATTACTCCTAATCTCTTTAGATTTAATATCATCGAGTCTTTCATCGCTTTGACTGTGCTCCATCTGTTCTTTTCCCGATTCTCATGGCTACAAAGAAGGGGTGGTTGGTTGCGAGAAACACGGAGAGTCAAAATGACAGTTGATGTTAGAAAACACTGCAAGTTAGCCGGTGTTGGTTGAATGCATATCTCACGCTTCTACAATATATGATAAACCGTGGAGGTTAGACACGATGGTTGTATACCCTTCTTTACTGAGGTCTATGTCAACGAGACAAAGGGGGCAATGCTGTGCTAACGTCTGTCTATCTACTAAGGTTATGTAGCAGGTAGGTGCCAAGATATGATCTGGTTTCTTGGTGGATAGTACTACTGTGGAGGAAGTTTACTGGAATTACTAGATGCGGAGGTCGTGATACTAGGTTTTTGATAGCCTGTACGGCATTTATGTTTGTATTCTGAGCATACTATGAGGTATTGTCAATAACGAGGGAAATCATAGTTACCCTTCAAGTCCCAAAACAAGAAAAGAGAAAAGAAAGGGAGAGAGAGGGAAAGAGAGAAAGAAAAAAGAAGATAAGACCAAAGAAAAGAAAGAAGTTACTCCCACTGGATAACAATTGCCATCTCAACAAAGTCACACCCACAGGGAAACGCACTTCCCTGCACAGCATGCTGATTGAAACAAACAGAAAGGGGAATCTTGTCGAAAAGGCCATCATCGCGCGGACAGGTCGCCCGCAAAAACTGCTTATTTGCCAGATCAATGACTTTAGCAGGCGAGTAATCCGGCACATGCAGCTGCTTCTTCAGGTTGAGCTTGATGGCGAGCCGGCCGGTGTTTTCGGCGGGCGAGCCCACTGGGTTGTCGTAGCGCTTGGTGGTGTTGCGGCGGAGGAACTCCTCCTGTACGGCGCGGGCGACATAGTACATTGTGGGCTCGGTGACGGCGTTGATAGCTGGGACGTCGACCTGGAGGAGGACCGTGTCGGTCATTGCAGAGAGGTCGGGGGCCAAGTTGCCCTGGGCATCTAGGAAGGAAAAACCTTCTTGGATGAGCATTAGCTTATTCAAGGTAGCGGGGTCAATGGGGGTGTTGGGTGAAATGATTTTCATTGACATTGTGATGGCCCGGGTACTCAGCTTTTTCTTCTTTTTCTGTTATTGGGTAAGAGACTTGGAGTCTGGGAGCTGACGGTAGATGAAGTATTTGCGATGGTGATAATGATGATGGTGAGAGATGAGATCCGATGAGCTGGGAAGGACGGGTTTATATAGTTTTGCAGATTTACCTACAGGTATATGTAATTTCGCACTCAAGCTTTTGATATCATTGTGAACGCCATTGTTGAGACGAAGTGGATGATCTCTTAGTTGTCTGATAGGCTCTTTGTTCAGAAGTATTCCTTTGTTGTAACTTCGAGAACTATATACACGAGCTATTGTGCAAGAATGAAGCTCTCTGTGTTGTTGCTGAATAAAACAATGTGCTGGATAGGAGCCTTTGAGGTTGTTGGTATGTAACAATTGTGTTCATTGAGCTCTCAAGTATCTCAATGATAAACTATAGATGACTGTAGTTTGTTTATGCCTGCATTATGTTCAGTCTGGGAACAATGCATGATTGTGATGGGAATGATATCAAGAGGAAACAAAGCAGTATGGTGTCTTGTACTTGTATCGAGTGTATTTTGTTGAAGATTGCGGATATAATATAGAGCTAGTTTTCTTTCTTTCTTTCTTTCTTTCTGCATAATGCATTCAATGATATCCCCTATCCTTGACAAAGATAGATCAGACAAGTGTAGAAAGAGATATACTATATCGACCGATCTGGTAATAGGGCTAGCCCTGCGCTAACCCGTTTGGGACACGTCCTTGCGGGACTCAGCGCAGGCTCCATCTCCGTTTCCCGCAGGAAGCTTCTGCTACTCCGCAACATCAATCTCTCCTCCCCCACCATATCATCGCAATGGAAGGTATCGATATTGTCGAATCGCCGCGTAAGCGCATCAAGACGGACAATGCCACCGCGACCGATGACTCGGTGATTCCCCCGTCCGACGCTCAGCCCGCCGCGGCCAAATCCGACGAAGATGCCCAGGCAGCGAAGGAGATGGAGGTCGGAATCACGGATTTCGTCAGCTCGGAGAACCAAGGATTCGCCGGTATCTTGAAGAAAAGGTTGGTGATACCACTCGATTGATAGGAGGCTTGAATTGACGGTTCCAGATATACCGATTTCCTTGTCAACGAGATCCTGCCGTCGGGCGAGGTTTGCCATCTGCGGGACGCGCCCGTGCCGCAACCTCGTGCGAAGCCGACTAGCGACACTGCCCAGTCGACGAACAAAACGACCGAGGGGGAAGCAAAGCCGGAAGAGGCTAAGAAGCCGGAGGAGGCCGAGTCCGCCGCTGGGAATGATACCCCCGCTGGAAATGATACCCCCGCATCGGAGAGCACACCCGCCATTGAGTTCCACATTGCAGACGAAGACCTGGCCCTCTTGGAATCACTTTTCGGCGCCGATTCCACGGAGAAGATGATTTCGCTTCACAAGCGTGCGTTGGCCAAACTCAGGGCCCGACCCAGCGAACTCGGACGAGTCCCAACTATCGTCGTTGATGACCGCGACGTGCGCATCAAAATGCACCAAGCAATTCGCCGGATTTTCAACTCCCAGCTCGAGTCATCCACCGATCATGATGGCTTGATGACCATCTCCGCCGCTCCCAACCGCAACAAGGCCAGCCGTGGACCTAAGGGCGAGGGCGACAAGCATACGCAGCGGGGCCGGATCAACTGGGACGAACTCGGCGGTCCTTATTTGCATTTCACCATCTACAAGGAGAACAAGGACACCATGGAGGTTCTCTCCTTCATCGCACGCCAATTGAAGATGAACCCCAAGAACTTCCAGTTTGCGGGTACCAAGGACCGGCGCGGCGTGACCGCGCAGAGGGCTTGCGTTGTCCGCCTGCAAGCCGATCGCCTTGCCAGGATGAACCAGGTCCTCCGCAACGCCAAAGTGGGTGACTTCGAATACCGCAAACACGGCCTGGATCTGGGAGATCTCTGGGGCAACGAGTTCGTTGTGACCCTGCGCGAATGCGAAATTCCCGGTGTCAACCCCCAGGATTCCGAGACCGCCGTCTCGACCGCCACGGAGCTTGTCGGAACTGCGCTGCGGAACCTCCGCGAACGCGGCTACTTCAACTACTACGGTCTCCAGCGGTTCGGCACGTTCGCGACGCGGACCGACGCCGTCGGCCTGAAGATGCTGCAGGGAGACTTCAAGGGCGCCTGCGACGCCATCCTCCACTACAGCCCGCACATCCTCGCCGCGGCTCAATCCGGCTCGGACAACACAACAGTCAGCTCAGACGACAGAGACCGCGCGGTAGCGCTCTACCTCTTCGAGTCCACCGGCCGCAGCGCCGAAGCGATGGAAAAGCTCCCGCGTAAATTCTACGCCGAGGCAAACCTCATGCGCCACCTCTCGCGCAGCAAAACCGACCACCTCGGCGCTTTGCAAACCATCCCCCGCAACCTGCGCATGATGTACGTTCATGCATACCAATCTCTTGTATGGAACTTCGCCGTCGGCGAGCGCTGGCGCCTCTACGGCGACAAAGTCGTCGAAGGCGACCTCGTCCTCGTCAACGAACACCGCGACAAAGAAGAAGAAACCATCATCGCAGCAACACCCGCCGTAGACGCCGACGGCGAAGTGATCATCGCGCCCCAAGCAGACGACAGCGCCTGCGCCGCAGACGACATGTTCACGCGGGCGCGCGCGCTAACCGCCGCCGAGGCCGCCAGTGGCAAGTACAACATCTTCGACGTGGTGCTGACCCTTCCGGGCTACGACGTCGTGTACCCGCCCAACCAGATGACAGACTTCTACAAGCGCTTCATGGGCAGCGAGCAAGGCGGCGGCCTCGACCCCTTCGACATGCGCCGCAAGTGGAAGGAGGTCAGTCTGAGCGGGAGCTACCGCAAGTTGCTGAGCCGTATGGGGCCGGATTACTCGGTTGAGGTCAAGCCTTACGCGCGCGACGAGACGCAGTTTGTGCAGACTGATCTGGAGAGACTCCAGTCTGCTGGTGCCGAGGGCGGTGCTCCCGCTGAAGGCGGCGCGGAAGAAGCCAAGGAGGACAAGCTTGCTGTTGTGCTCAAGTTTCAGCTCGGGTCTAGCCAGTATGCTACGATGGCGCTGAGAGAGCTGACGAGGGGTAAGGTCAAGGCTTATCGCCCGGATTTTGGAAATGGGAGGTAGGCTCTACCCTACTATTCTGGGCATCTAGATAATTGCAAATGGTGTGGGGTGAATAGAGCTCACCACACAGAATAAGAAAAGCTCTGTAGATATATAAAATTATTTGAACTTTGATATATACGGTTAACTGTAACATAGAGGTTGCATATAGTATGTGCCACCCGTAAATACTCAAGACAAAAGGTAGGGTCACCTGGCCAGCCCCATATAAGTGCAGGTGCCAGCTTCCAATCCGGATCCATCCACCACTTACAATACCTTCTACACTTCGCACAAAGTACCAAGGCAAGGCTATAAACAGCAAGTCGCTTCCAGGCGAGCATCATAAACCCAAACGGGACAAACGTATAGTCAGTAGACACCTAGGTCGATATACATACGTACTTGATTTTCTTGACAGCTCGAAGGCTTTCTCTTTCCATTTGAGTGCTCACCCCTTGCTGCTTTTTACTCACCGAGTAGATCTGAGCACGCCCTGACCATGCTCTAAGCAGCCTGAGACGATCATCAAGCAAGAGATGAGTATATGATGCACACGGGCGATCGAAGCACGTCCTGCATCGATCATGCGGAGGCTGCGCAGCTCATGTGGAACTTCAATTCAGGAGGATCCTGGTCGTCACGGTCAGGACGAAGCCACCAACCCCTCCCCACATACGAGATTCGAATACCCCAATTCCATCTCTGAGCGTTCCCGCACGTTCTGGTTTTGGCTTGAATGACAAGAAGACCGAAAATGGAAACAGTAGATTCTCCGCCCGACCTGCTTCGCTAGCCCAGCTCCGCTCATTCGCTATTTACAGGGACTATTGGCTGGGCCGTTCCGCATGGGCGGTACCGAAACAACGATGGCCAGTGCTCGTTTCATCCGCCGACCTGAGATATTGGAACGACAGAGTACAAGGATAATGAAGGAGTTCCTATACGGTGGATAGCCACCCCTTCCATTCTGATAACGAAGTAAGCCCTCGGATAAACCGACGGGCGAACGAAGGCGGACACAGCGTCTCGCACAAGCTGCAAGTCTCAGATTCATGTGGCAGGCCCCAGTCCACTGGCACGCTGTTGCCAAAGTGTCGGACAAAGTCACAGTATGAACGCGGCCTCAACAAATGCGTGCCCCAGAACAAGCTGAGGGGATCCATGATATCTGTCTGGGGACCAGAACGCCGTGACGACCCCTTGCTTTGCTCTCGCAGGAATTTAGTGTATAGGCTCTCGATCTGCGACGACTGTAAATCAAAGTCGAGAAAATCCGCACTTTGCAGTGTTGATGCTGACTTGGACACTCTCATTACAGCTGTATGCAGATCACAGGAAGAGTTTCCAAGATATTGATAGTGCTCGAAGATATTATGAAGCAGGGGTAGAGTTTGACTCCCAACTGCCTCCGTGCTGGCCTGGATTATTTGGGTTATACTTGGGAATAGATTCGTCGGGCGTGTTTCCTCGAGTAACAGGTCCACTAGAGACTGTTTTAGAAACTCGTCTGTCGTTTCATTGGGAGCCAACCCGTCGTCGACACTCCAGCAGGCCCCGGGCAACGGAATGTTTGTCTCCAGGAGTAGATGTAAATCCCGGCGGAGCTTCTGAGCGAGAAGAGCGTCTTTTCGTAGAATGAAACTGCACCATTGGCACACTTGTAAGAACCCATCATCTGCTAGTCCTTTGCCGCGCCGCGTCGTCCACGGCACAGCGGTCTGCTTCTGACACCGGAAGCATTCGATAGGAAGGGTTTCAGGGTCATTAACATTGTCCCATGCCAGCTTTGTCATATTTTCGAACTGCAGCCGGCAGGGCTCGGGACACGAATATTTCAAGCTATCCGGGTCTATATATTGTGAGGCCAGCTGGAGGGGAAATCCTCCGTTCCATAGTGCCATCTTCTGATATCGAAAACAATCCTCTCCGAAGGCTTTGGTATGCAGTGTCAGTGCATGGAGAACCATCAAAACATCTGTCCCGTCCGAGTTAGTCGGGGAGCTTTGACCGGCGTCAAGAATACATACCTAATGGAGGCATCTGATCCCCTGTCCACGTCCATCCGCCATGTGGCCCGTATGACTTTTCTAATACCTGATTCGAAGCGGGCCCTGGAGTGCCAGTCACTGATAAACGAGTCCACCAAACAGAAAATCGATGGATAGCCCGCGAGACATAGATTGACCACCGACTTTCCTCCGCCGCGGACTGCCGAGCTGTCGGGTCTAGTTCGTGTTTGTTTTTATGGACATACTCGGTCTTGAACAGGCCCTTTGTCTTCAAGACCGTCTGCTTCAAGTCCAAGAAACATCGGAGCAGCTGTATATGTTGCTGGCACTCCTGCGCAGGCACGATTGGTGCCGCCTTCTGCAGTAAAGGCGTGGCCTCGGTGAATATCTTGGTTCCTGGTTTCTCGCGGTCAAGCATGATGCTGCTGCTGTTTGTGGTCCCGAGACGGAAGAACAAGGTCTGAAGGTGTCGATAAGTTCTCTGACGAGGTTGCAAAGATCGGTGTTTCGTTTCCCCGTGGGACTCTAGCCTGGTGTTCATTAGCCTATCACAGTCTACGTGCGTGATTCCTGCTTGGTGTGGAAGCCATAGGATATGACGACACCTGCCTCCTGCCATCTGGCAGTTCACCTCCGAGCCCGCAGCGGTGCGAGTTCGGTGGCGGGGGGGTAGAATCCGCAGCGAGTTCAGTGCCAGGGGGGTAGAATCCACGGCGGACTCGAATCCCCGAAATAAACTCAAACTAGGGTTAGCTTAATTTGACTCTTTTAGCTTAGGTATTCAGATAGTATTTCAATATATGTACTAAATCTCATTATCATCGCGTCCCAAACAACACACACATACAAGCGTCCATTATTTAACCCCACCGCACACAACAACACAAACAACACTGAACATCAGCACATCAACATCAACGCGGCCTCACCCTCTCCCTTTCCCCCTCATCATCACTAACAGATGACACAGACGAGACGTCATCGCGATCATGCAGGTGTGCGCGTCGGTCGCTCATCGCTGACATGACAGACAATTGGTCGTCCATGGGGTGGTCGAAGGGAGATCGCGGTCGTGGCTCGACTGCTTCGTTGTGCCAGAGGCTTCGCTCTGAGATGGGGTCTCCGGTGGAGTGGTAGGGTGAGTGTGGGTGTTGTACTGGTTGTTGCTGCTGCTGCTGCTGTTGTTGTTGTTGTTGGCCTGCGCCGGCGATGAGGATGGCTGGGTAGTTAGTGGGGAGCTGGCTGGTGGGTCGGACGGTGTCGCGGGCGTGGTCGCGTTCTCCCTTCGTTGCTACCGCTGCGGGTGGTTCAATGTTGATACTCGGGTTTAGGTGGCGGGGAGATGGCTCTGCTGGTACTGCTGTGAACGGCGCGGGGGAGTGCGGTTGCGGGGACGGGAAGGGTGGGGGGTATGGCTGTGTATGTGCAGGTGTAGAAGCAGCCGTGCTCATGACGAGATTGTCTGCAGAAGGGACGGCCTTGTTTCGTTTTTGGCGGTTGCGACGGCGGAGGAAGAAGTAGATTAGGGCTGCGATTATGAGGGCGCCGACTATGGAGACGGGGACGGCGATGGCGACTTTTGTTGTGGTCGGCATCCCTCCTCCCCCTCCACCTCCTTTTCCTTCTACGCTGTTGCTCTTGCTGTCTTTGCTGGCGGAGGTGTTTTTGGGGTGGTCAAATGTGGTGGTTGTGGTTTTGGCTGAAGGTTTAGACAGAGTATGTTTTGTTGGTATCGGGTCTTCTGTCGTGGTTGGGAACGACTGGGTCGTAGTAGTGCCGGGTTTTGGGTGAGGGTTGTGTGGTTCCTGGTCTCCCGGTGAAGTGCGAGTCGTTGGGCGAGGGTTATTGTCGTTGGTATTGGCTCCATCTTTCGAGGTGGATGTCGTATTTGGGTCTGATGTTGTCGGCTGTGATTGACCAGTTGGGATTGATTGTGTGGTGAGTTGGGATCCGTCTGTCTTGTGCTCCGTCGGCTGTAGTCCAGGAGCGGTATTTGGGAACGTCCCATCGGAGGTCTTTTCTGTGCCTGTGCCTGTGCCTGTGCTTGTGCCTGTGCCTGTGTCTGCCGATATGGACTTGGCTCCGGCTACGTTTTTGTCAGGACCGAAATCATCGCTCCCTGTCCAGGAAAACTCGGTACTGCTGTCTCCGTCAATCATTGCAGTCGCTGTATCTATGTCGTCAGGCGCCATGTTTGTATGCATATCTCGCCGGGCGGACGACCGTTCTCTGGGGGTAATGTTGTTCAACTTTCGAGGTATACTGGATTGCGTCGCTTGTTGTCGGGTGGGTATATTCGATGACGATCCCGTCTCGCTGGTTCGAGAGTTAGACAAGACACAGACCAACTCGACTATAGAGCCTCATATCGCAAAATGCGACACTCACAGTGGCAAGTACCCGAAGCAAGATTATGTGAAACAGATGGTGGGCACCAGCATGAAATTTGTTGGCGACATCTTTGTCTGCAAGGCTATCCGACAACAAAGGACGAGAAACGAACGACGAACTAACCGGCTGGCCTAATCTACAAATAAAGGAAGGGAGAAAAAAAAAATAAGTGGGATAATAATTCAATAGAAAAAAAAAAAAAAAAAAAAAAACTAACGGCCAACGAGGCGCAGCAACCGGGACGTGATCACCCCAGAACTACTCCATAGTCCATCCTCTTGTGTTTCGTCTACTAGTCATATAGAGTGGTGACAACCAATCAAGAAAGGTCACATAAACGCCCAAGATACGAAGCGGCTGCTCTGGCACCGCGAGACGCATGCGACGGGATATAGGTTGGTGGGTTGAGATGCAGTAGTCGAGGAGCGCCGTACGCGATCTCTATCGAATGTGCTTGTCTTTGCAAGCGCCCACGGCGTTCATTGTCTCCACGATGGTGCTGGTAGGCGCCCATCAACAAAGAAGGCGACCCCGCCCAAAAATGAAAATAGCACGTCAGCCGTTTCTCGAGTGGCAGTAAAGCGGAATCAATAAACCTTGACTCGTGGACCAGGTATTCAGCACTATTTGATACTTAGCATCCTGATAGGAAGAAGTGGTGGTCGAAATAGTATTAGCACTGCAGCCTTGCATGGCCTGTCCATGGGGCCAAAGCCTTCAGGATCGTCGCCGCGGACCAATACTAACCCTAGAAGATTTCAGCAGTGCCCCGTCCTCACCTAAGGATGGTTTGGGAAGGAGTTCAGCGAGTGTCAGCAAGGTGGGACCATCGGATTGACGAGCATCGGGTGTGAATTGAGCAGCTCGTCATCATTCTGACCGTCGATCAAAGAATGGAGAACGAGAGTGGAAAATGGAGATGGAGATGATGCCAAGAATAACTGATGGATAAGAACAGCCCTATCCACAGCTGAGTCATGTATGTAAAGCTATCTCCACGTGATCGCCACGGGAGATAGATCACCCAGGGCTAACCCTATCCGGTTAGACTCGCATCCTGATACGTGTGAACCAACGAGATCACAGCGATGGATGATGCATGACGACTTCCCCCTCGTTCTTCCCCTCCTCCCCTCCATTACCCAATCCTCGTCTGTTTCATTTCTCTCCGATCCTGGTCTGATCGGCAAATAGTTATATTGATTATTGCGTAGATCGCAATGAGTGGATTGAGAGGAGTTATCAAAGAGGGCTGGCACCCTAAAGGCCGTGAGGGCGGTAAGGAAAGTTGGCGGGGCGACTTCAAGGGCATCAACCAAGTGGTACGTCTCCGGTCAGGCTGGGTTCAGTCCTTTTACTCACTGTATACTTTACATTCATAGGCAGGATGGATGGGTAAAGGCGGCAACAAAGACGGAGAAACGGAAGAGCGCGTCTCCCGACCAATCTCGTCGCTGAAGGATCCCAGATCCTTTGGGCCACCTCCCAAGCATATCCAAGCCCATAGCCCGGCTGCTGCTGCCAACCGGGCGTCCTCGGGCTCTAGGGGGCTAGGAGCTCCACTGTCGCAGGATGAGGTCGATGAGCAGAACTATCGCGTACAGCAAGAACGGCAAGCGGAGTTGGAGGTTCAAGATGCAGCGGCACACAAGCCGTCGCCACCCCCGGTACCGTACCGGTTGAACACGACCGGTATCGACACATCCACGCTTCCGCCGCCCCCATCGAGGCGGGTAGATGCAGGTACAGAACACGGGAGATCGTCACCAATGTCGACGTCCAAGCCAAGCCTCCCTCCTCGCGTTCCTCCGCGCACCAACTCCAGCACGCAGTCGCCGGCCCCGCCTCCAGTATACTCGGCACAACAGCCCTCAGACTCCTACATCAACGAGGGTGCAACCGCCCGCCTCCAGAAGGCAGGCGTGTCTGTCCCTTCGCTCGGAATTGGGGGTAATAGCGGCCAGGGGCGGCGGGATAGCAACCCACGTAGCTCGGCATCCCCGACCACCGCAGGCTCTGGTGGCCAAGGCTCCCTGAACGAATTACAGACGCGTTTTCGCCAGATGAGAACCGATTCCGCGCCGTCTCCCACCCAGGCACCTTCCCCGCCAGCCCGGAGGAGCACATACGGCCAGGCGCAGTCCCCCGCGCAAAGCTCCCCCAGCTCGACCCTGGGAGACCTGCGCGAGCGACATGGGGACAAAATCCAAGCCGGAAGAGAGAAGATCAGCGGTATCAACGAGAAGTTCGGCATCAGCTCGCGCTTCAACAATTTCGTGGATACTCACCGGTCCTCTCCCAGCACTCAGACGCCGCTTGCTGCGAGTACGCCCCGGCTGGCGTCTACCGGGGCGTCTACGGGGGCGTCTATCGGGTCAGCAGACGTCAGTGCGGAAGCGGCACGTAAGAAACGCCCGCCTCCGCCGCCGCCTAAGAAGGTGGAGATGCGCTCTATGCCTGTTGGTGCGGCTGCACCGTCGCCTCCGCCGCTGCCGCTGGATACTAAGCCCCGCTGAGCGGGTTTGATTTGATGCTGTCTGGCTATTAGTGTGACCCTACTTTCGGCTGGTTATATTCTCGAGTAGATTGGTGATTATGTATAACTAACCCTGTGGATGTCTGTACGAATAGAATTTGTTTATAGAAAGGGTCACTACTACTATCTTACCTTGTCATAGCTTAGGACCACCTCATGCTGTCTAGAGTAGATAACTATACGACCACCAACATTACGGTTCAGGCTAGTTCGATATCTGGTCGACCTAGTAGGTTTAGCAAAAGTGTATCAACAACTGAACGGAAAACAACATTGACTAAACAGCGTCATAAGTACTAGGATGCCTCCCCTCTCCCTAGACTAGATGCAGCTCATGTCAACTGTCCCGAGGCTACTTATGTTCTATACTAAGTAGTCCTCTACCCAGCACTCACCGCTTCCGATAACCCATCAAACCAGCAAACACATTCATTTCGCTACAAACTCCCACCCCACCTTCCGAGCCCCGAGGGAGCAGTCCTTCCGAACTTACCCTACTTGCTGGATCCTCAATCATGGGTTCATACCCCCGATTTATCTAAATTAAATTGAATGGATCCAGGCAAACATCATGTCGTTGCATCCCCCCACTACCCACACACTGGGACAGACATCCAGATAGTTACTCAGTGGGTTTCTACTCAACATCAAGAAGACAGTGCCTCACCGCTCAATGAACGCAACAGGGCCGCGCAGCTGCAGAGTAGCAGCTACCTAGCTAGCCCCTGGCATTCTTGTTGCCTTTATGCAAGGAAGATCTCAGGGCAGCGTTTACTTTCGGAACTGCTAAATCTAGTATGTTTGTTTCTGCCTTTCATTCCTTGGGGCAGATCCCGACTCAGACCCCGGGCGAGAAGGATGATGGGGTCCTGTAGGTTACTAGGTAGTCCATAAGTGCAAGACTCGGGTGATCTCCATGATTTACGTACAGAGTATAGCTGTTAGGCGATATGCATCCTGTTTCTGAGGTTTTGTGGAAAAAGATGATAACGATACATAATTATGGCTCCGAGCTGGTATATCTTGGAGATGGAAACAGAAAGGGTCAAATAATAATCGACTAGCGTATAGAATTAGCCCTGTTGGTAGGCTGGAGAACAGTGGAGAAATGTGTCTAATGCAGCAGGCTAAGACATTCTCAGGTTCGACTGCTTATCTGAGATGAATCATGGAGGGGAAGGGATTGATAAGATAGAGTTTGATGGGCGACTGTTGATTAGATATCTATCCATCCATCTATGACAGTACAATGTCTTTGTTTGTGATGGGCATTGTTCATGGCGCATTGTGCTGGTGGATTGTTCCAATCATGGGCACACTATGCTTATGTCTATACTTTGGTATGATCAATAGAGCTGTATCTTCTATTCTTGAGGCTTGGATGCTGGGCAGTTGGTAGTCAGGATAGCATTGACGGCGGAGCTAGAAGATAGCACGATCATCAGAAGTCAAGAGAAGGGCGTATCAATCCAGATCTTGGTTTAACAATAGATAATAGGTGTCAATTGCTTAAAAGGATCTAGTAATGAGACTACAATACGTTTATACCGAAAAGAGAAAGAATGTCAGGTCAACAAGTTAGTGCAATTCAGATCTAATTAAGCTGCCGTATAGACAGTCTAATGGTGGGACCTCGAACTTTACATCCGTGTGATGCTACATACATCATTTGTCCGAACTCCGATGTGTCTTGTCTACACTGGGTAACCTGTCAAGGTACCCAGTTGTTGAATCTATCACGCTTGATTAAGACCAATTTATATGTTTCATCCAGATAGCCCAGCTAGGGTACGGCTGAGTCATGCCTTATAAGGTCCATATGGATGGGAAGACATTTCCAATACTCGTATCATAATGACGATTCGGCTCTGGGGAACGAATGGGGAATGAATGGAATGAAGGGGACCGAGGTGCCATGGAAGATCCAGTGGGGAGTGGCGTAGGAAAAGCTGCATCATCATTTGCATCGCGTGTGGAATCCGACGGGAGAAAGTTTTGCATCCCAACCAACCAGTCTTATGTCTCTTTTTATTGATTCTGGTCTTAACAATGTTCAAATTGATACATAGGTCAAGATATATTATTGATTCATTCTTTTGAAGTTCTATACTCTGTCTATTTCCATTCACAGGATCAACACTTGTTGGGCCGAGGTCCTGCGTGAGGCTTCCCAACAGAATCCACCGACCCACTTCATTGAATCAACTCCAGGTTCTCATTCTCGATCTGCCAGGTTGATCATTCAACGGTTCATCTGGTTTCCTCGGACCTTCTGTCCTTAACCAATGGCTGTTCTTTTTTTTTTATTTCTTGGAATCTTTCCTTTGCCTTTCCCTGTTGATTTTTCTATTTTTTTCTTTTCTTTTTTCCCTCTTTGAAACACGTTTTCTCTGTTTTTGCCTCTTTTCGGCCGATCTGCACTTGCCATACACTAGGCCGAATCTATCTTCAACTGGATCCACCCGCCTTCTCACTAGTTAATATATATTTTTTTTCCATTTTATTTTTTTTATAACAAGGCCCTGTCCTGTCTTTTCTCTTGATTTGGTTCTTTCTCTCTTTTGCTGTCTCTTTCGTCTACTCCATCCATTGACTGGTTGTTTCCCTGTCGCCAATCAACCATGTACGACTTCAATGTCGACACCGCGTCGGGACCGGCCATTGTCCGCATTGGCCTCCCGCCCTCCTCCCTGCTGAGATTCCCTCCCGACCAACTGCCCAACACCCTGCCCGCTCCCATCATCGATCAACCCACCTGGGACCAGCCCTTCAACATCCCTCCCACCCTCTACAACCAGGCTCTGGATGTCCGCGTCCCCATCACCATCGCCGGGGTCTACGCCGTCACCGTCGTCCTGCTCAATCGCGTCAACAAGGCCCGGGGTTACAAGCCGTGGGGCTTCAGCCAGTCCAAGCTCTTCAAGCTCTTCGTCATCCTTCACAATGTCTTCCTCGCCATCTACTCCGCCTGGACCTTCGTCGGTATGCTCAAGGCCTTCCGCAACTCGCTCCCCGCCCGGAACGATCCCAATGGCCTGATCAGCGTGGCCGACGCCATGTGCAAGATCAATGGCCCCCGAGGCTACGGCAACGCCGCCACCTACAACCCGTCGATCGACCAGTGGACCATGCGCAACCCGGCCTACCAACTGGCTGAGGGCGGTGTGCCGGACTCGACCGATGTCGGCCGTCTGTGGAACCAGGGTCTGGCCTATCTGGGCTGGATCTTCTACCTGTCCAAGTTCTACGAGGTCGTCGATACCGCGATCATCCTGGCCAAGGGCAAGAAGAGCTCGACCCTGCAGACCTACCACCACGCGGGCGCGATGATGTGCATGTGGGCGGGAATCCGCTACGTCGCTCCCCCCATCTTGATCTTCACCCTCGTCAACTCCGCCATCCACGCCATGATGTACACCTACTACACCGTGACCGCTCTCCGCATCCGCGTCCCGGGCGTCATCAAGCGTTCGTTGACCAGCATGCAAATCACCCAGTTCCTGATCGGCACCACGTGGGCGGCGTCCTACCTGTTCGTGCACTACACCCTCCCTCTGGACCCGTCCGCCGCCAGTGCCGCCGCCGCCGCTGGATCCGCCGACGCGGGCTCCGTCTCGTGGCTGAAGAAGATCGCCTTCCGCGCCGCCGGCGCCGAGGGCATCGCAGAGAACGTGGGCCACGCCGAAGACGCCGGACAGCGTCTCCTCGTGGGCCCCATGACGACCTGCATGGACACCAGCGGCCAGGGCTTCGCCATCTGGCTCAACGTGACCTACCTCCTGCCGCTGACCTTCCTCTTCGTGCGCTTCTTCATCCGCTCGTACCTGTACCGCAAGGAGCCCGCCACCCGCCAGCCGACCCAGATGCACTCGGCCGAGAAAGCCGGCCTGGACGCGCTCAAGGGCGTCAGCCGCGAGATCCAGAAGTCCGTCGAAATGAACGGCGAGACCAGCGAAGCTACCGACGACGAGGTGATCAACAAGGCCAAGGCCATCCAGGCCAAGAAGGCCCAGGCCGCTCCCCCCGCGGACAACTCCCCCGTGCGGACGCGCGCCTCGGCCGCCAACAAGCAGAAGTCGCGCGTCATCGCCAGCGAGACCTCCGACCAGGGCTTCTCGCCCGTGACCAAGAAGGGCGCCAAGAAGGCCACCAAGGAGAACGACCACTCCAGCGCCAACGCCAACATCAAGGGCAACAACCCGTTTGGGGTGCTTGACCGCAATGCCTAAGCTTTCGGCACGTTGAATTTTCAAAAAACGACTGCGAGACAATTGCGGTCCCATTTACGAGATATTCGAGATAACGCCACGAGCTACGAGGATCGTTTTCTGGCATCTGTCTTATTTACGGCTCGACGATTTACGATTCCGTCGTTTCCCTGCGTCTGGCCTGTTTGATTGGGGGCTGCCTATCCATACCATCAGATGGCAGACAGCAGACAGCAGACAGCAGACAGCAGACAGCAGACATGCAGTTCCACTTACATGATCCTTCAACACTACCTACCTAGGCTATGATTATCACTATTGATTACAGCCTGGTCAAAGTTGGATGGTATCATTGGTAATTGTTGGAATAGTGCTTTCACACTGTATTTTTTACCTTTTTTTCATTTTTCATTGTCCCTTTTTCCTCTTCCCTTTTTGTTTTACCTTTTTATTTTTTGTGTTTTGTTCACCCTATACCATGTGTGTTGTTGTACATAGTTCTAGTTCATACAGATCAGAGACAGATCCGCCAGCGTCGGGATTGACGTCGGGGCGTGGAAGGAAAGGAAAAGAAAGAAAGCATCGGTTGATGATGCAATACAGGATATTATCATTATTTGCTCTCTTGTAGAACTTGATTTGTCGTAACCTTAAACAAAGTATAAGTATAGCTAGCTAGCTAGTCACAGACACCTCCCTTTTTAAGCTCCATAATCATCTAACTCGATGGATCTACCCTCAAGAGGAGTAAGTGAGTAATAGTACCTACATAGTTGAGTTACCTACTATGTACCTACAGGTATCTAGGCAGTAGGCCCGAGCTGCAAGCTGTACCTTCATCCATAGAAATAAATCAAAGGATCAAAGGATCAAATGATTAGAAGCACTTGCCTTGAAGGTTACCTACCTACTACCTACCTATCTACCCATCTATAATATCCAATCGAAGCTGAGAGGTTGGGCTTGACTGATTGATTGATTGATTCACTACCGACCTACCAGGGAGGGTCTCGGCATCAGTGTGGAACTAGAGGATGCATACACCAGTTGGTAACTGTAGGTATGTGGTTTATCCTTGTTAGAGATGTTGTGTTCTCCAATGAATTATTACTGCACACTACCTCTTATCTTAATCACTGATGATCTCTGTCTATCCCACTAACAAGGTGGGAGTCTAGATCATGCATTATACCTAGGTCTATAATAATATGTACATCATCTTCTACAACCGGTCCAGTCCAATTAATTTAATCAATCTAATCAATCCAGGCCAGGGTTTCGTACCTAATTGAATCACGGAAGTTATAAATCGATACTTATATATTAGTATACTTGAAACCTGATCACCATTTTCTGCCCCCACGCTTGTCCTTTGAGGGTGAATCATTTTCATTTACAGGTGGATGTATATCAGTGATTGTAATGGCTGTGGATGAGTGTATGATGTGCAGGATGGTTATCTACTTAGCTCCTTGGGGTTAGTTGGTGGGAACCAGTAGATACTAGGTGGTGTCTGGTCTGGTTTATTGCCATAGATGCTTGCAGAGTCTGTGGCGAGCTTGTGAGCTTGGTTGGTTTCTGTATGTTTCCATGCCTGGTTGGATTGACGAGATGATTCTTGATACCTGATGTATGTGAGGATTTTGTGATCTCATGGGTCAGTGGATAATAAGCAAGTCTACCGAGTCTACCTATACTTGTCCAAATCATTGTCTGGTATCCAGAATCTTTCTTCTTTCCACACGGTATCCCACATCTACTGCTAGATAGCCTACAAAAAGGATGGATGGATGGATGGATGCCCATGTCTGCAATATCTACATAACACCCCCGTCTGAGCCCATGCTGTCGAGCAAACTGATCCATTTACCATCTCCAATCACTATTCCGTACCATGTCTATCTTATACAGTCAACCATACATACCCTGGTGTCTTTTCCATGCCCACCGTCTAATTGTAAGAATGATCATCATGGAAGAGGCGCCATCCTCCTCCGACAAAAGTATCCTCCGATCTAGACGCCAGTATAGTGCATCCATCCATCGTTCCAGGCCGGTATGACAGGTAGGTACTGAGGTACCTGGTAGTTTCTATACTTCCCCCACAGATAACACTAGGTTCAATCCAATATCCAGGACGCAAGCCAACCAATCAGCAATATACAAATATACATAAACACTCGCATATCATTAACTTCAATCAACTAAGTAGTCCATCAGAGGTAGCTACCTAGGTATTAAAAACCAACCCACTACCCAACCATGCATCCATATTTTATTCCGCCATATAGATTGATATCGATTGTATACATGCTACCACCATGCATTTGCTCCACTACCCGTTGATGGACAATCGTGTGTCTGTCTACTGTCTATCTACTGAGAGGTTATTATACCAGGTACCTACAGTAGTTAAGTAGTGTCAGGGGTAGACACATCATCCACATACCAATATGACGTGACGTATTCATGAGATGGTCTGATTCTCCCTGAGTATTGTTATATGATTATATGAATGAAGACGAGTTGTTATCTGTTCCAACCTCCATAACCATCCATTATAATGATCACTATATTGATATTGCAGTGATATCTAACTCTGATGATTGATCGACCCCCTGTAGACGACTATCTTTGCTAAGGCGAGTGGTCAACGCACCCTGCCAGACAGATCACTCCCAAATTACATCATCACCTACATCACCTAAAACAGTCTACAACAATGGTCCTGTTAAACTACTTATTCATGAATATCAGTACAAATGTAGGCGTATTAAACCCTACCGGGTCTTGGCATTCTCTCTTGCTTTTAGGGCTGGCACCGATTCTCGCTCGCGCTGGACAACATGAAGAAAAGAAAAGGAAAGAAAAACACAATATCAGAACAGCAAAGGCCATGATGCTGAAATAAAGAAAAGAAAAGAATCTTCAAATGAAGGCAAGCGAAATGTGTTGTTGTTGCATACCGTCCAAACAAAAGTTATTACCGGCAACACGTATGAAAGTTCGAGCGAACGTAAAATAGCGACGCCGAAGTCAAAAGATACAGAATGAAGTTGGATGCAGTTCACAGGCAATGAAAAGAAAAGAAAGAAAATAGAAGAGAAATTCTGGATGCTGCATGTACCCGACCGGCCAAAGCATACCACTGAACCATTGCCGCAATGCTTTATGTACGGTGGCCCATGGCCACAATCAAGAATAAATCAAAAGATAGGAACCGAAGATTGACGGACTGACAACCAAGCAGATAGTGCCCAACTTCCACGCTCACAAAGAAAAGAAGCAGATTAGTATTTGAAACGGAGGCTCGCATGCACGTCAACCTCGAAAGAAAAGCGTCAAGGTCGCAACCAGACCAATGAAGAGTTGCGTAACAGCCCGAAGCGAAGACGATAGATCTGAAGCCCAAGATCGCCGTGCAGAGTAGATCGATGCCAAATGATCCGGAGTGGGCAAGCATTCTCCAACCACGATCTAACCCATTGCCAGTAAGGCGCAGAGGGAAAATGCATCAATGGCCGAGTTTCAACTGCCATGCCGCCCAGAATCACGTCGCTGAGTAATCACTCCGTATCCCCGCATCGACGATGGAGACGCAGTGAACATCCGCTCTAGAGAAAGAAAAAAAGTCTACAGGTTCAAGACACCAAGGCCGCATATCACACCGTCCACAATCCAACAGCCGTCCGAGAATTAAAAGACACAGGTGACAGAGCGTAACGCCGTTCGAAATGCAACGATTAAAGAAAGTGGGTATAGACCTTCGACGTCTCGTGAACTTCCATCTCCTAATACCTAGTTAGTACTGATTGCAACAGGTGGAAGATAATGACGCACCATCTTGAAGTTGTTCAGCTCCTCCTTGATCTGCTGAGCAAGCAGCGGAGTCAAACGGTTGCACGTCGCGATGTCTCCCCGTCGGTCATATTCCCCACTGGGCCAGGTATCGTGGAACTGTATCCGTGGGCTGAAGATGAGGCTCTTGGACATCATCGCGTTCGGGGAGACCGGGGCACTCTTGCTTTCACTGACGAGTCGACCGTCCGACAGGTAGTCATCAACACCAGCAATCTTGACCGCGTCGGCACGTTTCCCGGACCGGGCCTGGTCCTCAGGGGTGCTGGGGGCACTAGAGTGCGGGGACTCATTGCCCTGATTGGTGGTGGGGATCGCCGGCTCGGAGTAGGTTTCTAGGTAGATGTTAGCTAAGGAGTTCGGCAATTCAGTAGAGTATTTACTAACTTTTGAGGATACCCTTCCGAACCGCGGCAAGAACTTCGGCTCGCTCCCTATCGCCCCCGACGATGCTCTTTCGTGATTGAGACTTGTCCACTGCGTCACCATCGAGTGCTGAGGGATCGGCGCCGATTTGTTCAATCTTGGCGAAACCATTGCCAGCGCGAGGGGGCTCTGGTGCATCAGGGATGCCAGTTCCATTCTGCCGGTCCGCCTCGACGTTAACCACGGACAACTGAGGGGCCATCGCCTCAAGAGGTCCGTCATTGGAAGCGGTGCTCATCACGGACTTCGGGCGGAACAAGCCCACGAGGGACCGCCCAGACCGCTTCACTCCCTTGCCCATCTTTCGGAGCATGATGGAAGCCGACGATGCCGTCGAAGACACGGAGAGATTGTCCGTAGAGCTGTTGAAGAACCGGCCTTGATGATGAGAATAGATACTCTCACCCAAGCCACCGGCTTCTTGCTGCTCAGCGATCGCCGCCTGTTCCGGTCCCAACTCTTCCTGGAGAAGGTCCCGGCGGGCCTTCTCCACCGCGATGGCCTCCCGCTTACTGACGCTGCTCTGCTGCGACGCTTTCAAGAGCTCCGACGCACTCCCAAAAGAGAAAGCCCTTCGCAGCCGAGATTTCCCCGGCCGGTTCGGCTCGTTTTTGAGATCGGTGAGGCGTTGAGCTGCAATGCTCTCCGGTCTTCCCCTGCTTTGGGGCGGGGCAGGCGTTGACTCTGGGGGAGGAGGATCCGATGACACGGGTTGGGACAACGGCGACGGTTTGGTC